TTTGTGAATATGTAGGCAACAAAAAGGGATTTACTGTGATGCACGCCGCAGCAAACAATCTCGAACGACGACCTTGTCCGCCGTTCACGGACCCGTCGTCCAACCGTATATTGCGAACGAGGATTCGCGCACGGGCGCCGACGAAACCGCATCATCGCAAGAAGTCCAAGAAGCCTTATCGTTAGAGAAAAGAGAACTCGTAACAAGGATTCTATAGGTGAACCTGCGAAAGGATCATTGTCAATGTCTGCCCCGGCAGACAATAGCGAATTCGTGACCCGATGTACGAATGCCGCTCAGGTCGTCCATCGAGACAGAGTGGGTGTCCGAAAAAACTCATTCACGTATTTTTGTGCATATGTAGGCATCAAAAAGGGATTTCCTGCGATGCACGTTGCAGCCAAAATTTGTGAACGACGACCTTGTCCGCCGTTCACGGACCCGTCGTCCAGCCGTATATTGCGAACAAGGATTCGCGCACAGGCGCCGACGAACCCGCATCATCGCGAGAAGTCCAACAAGCCTTATCGTTTAGAGAGAAGAGAACTCGTAACAAGGATTCTATAGATGAACCTGCGAAAGGATCATTGTTGATGTCTGCCCCGGCAGACAACAGCGAATTTGTTACCCGACGTACAAATGCCGCTCAGGCCATCCATCGAGACAGAGTGGGCGTCCGAAAAATCTCCTGCACGGATTTTCATGAATATGTAGGTAGCAAAAAGGAAGTTCTTGCAATGCATGTCGTGGCCAAAAGTCGCAAAACGATGACCTTGTCCGCCGTTCATGGACCCGTCATTGAGCCGTATATTGCGAACGAGAATTCGCGCACGGGCGCCAACGAAACTGCGTCATCGCGAGAAGTCCAACAAGCCGTATCGTTTAGAAAAAAGAGAACTTATAAAAAGGATACTATAGGTGAACCTGCGAAAGGATCATTGTCGATGTCTGCCCCGGCAGAAAACAGCGAATTCGTGACCCGACGTACGAATGCCGCTCAGGCCGTCCATCGCGAGTAAAGGCTGAATTAGGTTTGTTCATACCGAGATATCGGCGCACATTTGCGGACAACCAAGTAGGATCCATAGGTAAAGACACCATGTAGTCCTCCACCGTCTTCCGATCGTACACTAGCTTTGTGGTTGCCTTGGTTCGGGCGGCTCTCTTCTTCTTTTTCTTCGGAGCACTAGGGCCTTCAGCAGGAGCTGCCCGTTTCTTCCTGGGGGCGGTTGCAAGATGAGGAGGACCCAAAGCAAGGACTGGAGGGAAAGTGAGTTTTCCCAACAGTTGGTCGGAAGGAGGGGCCACCACAGCCCAAGTAGACGACCACCAGGATGGAAAGGCCTCAACCGAATGGGGGTTTCGGCGGAAAGGGAGGTAGGAGTTGGATGTAAGATAAGAAGAACGTTGGGAGAGATAAGGCAAAATTAAGGTAAGGATCACTCGCCCGTCGGGATTTTGGGTTATTAAATATGGTTGGGTGAGCGGACCCGGGGGACCTTGGCAGCAGCCGAACTGCTGGGACAAAAACTGGGGTTGATAATTAAGAGTATAAAAAGATTTGTGATTTTTCTTGTCGAATCTCTGACTGGAAAAAAGAGATCGAGGTTTGAGAGCTAAATCCCAGGAATAAGGATAGGTCGGGTGAGGTAAAGGATCAGGGTATGGATAAGGGTAATTTGTATCCGGGTAGGGCTAGAATAGCTCAGTGTCATATTGTACGTAAGTCTCATAAACAAAATATTTGGAATTGATACGATCCTCCAAAAGAATAGCAGTAATTACGGAGTCGGATGGGTGGAGTGTTGAAGAGTTCTGAGTCAGTTGGGAAAGGGCTAACCCTAGAGACCTCTGAGGGTTCGAGGATACAGGTAGCCGACCCAAAAAGTCTTTTGGAAAATAGACTCGCAGCCAAAGCTCTAAAAACCAATAAGAGCCAGAGGCGGCCGTGTCTGCCCTTTTGGTGTCTAGAAGGCGGACACTGACTCTGGATAAACCCTCGTATAAGTTGGCCAAAAAGAGAATTCCTGATGAACAAAATCGGCCATTGGCCAGGTGAATGGCTAAGTCTAATTGAGAGGTCAAAACTGATTTAGAGTGAGATAGAATTATGTATCTGTAAAAGATACAGGGATAAATCAAAATTCAAATAAATATACGTAAAATTTACCAAGCGAAAGAACTTACATACCTGCACAGCCAGAACAAAAGAAATGCGGTGTGCTCCAGGGCGGTCGCAGGGGAACCATCCGTGCCTTGATGTTGGATGACAAAATTGGTCCAGCCCTTGTCTTTCTCAGTGGTACGGGCAAGCGACCAGTCTTTATGGTTGGTCGCCGATTCCTGACCATCCAGCAAGCCCAACACTGGATCGTCACCCACAATGGGGAGATGGGCGACCATAGCCACAATCCATTAAGGTTGGGCTCATTGGACCACAAGGGAGAAAAAAAAACGTCCAGTTGCGCATTCCAGAAGGCCGCCATGACCATAAGGACTTTATCGTGAAGATATAGGGGTTGGGTGGAGAGAAAAATGGCCTTGTGCCTCCCCTCTCGTCTCCATTGCTCGCCAAAGGTGGGAGATAGCCTGGAATACCAAGAACGAAAGGCCTTTTTCGGATCTGTAAGATGAGTCTTGATGTGGTCATTAACGCGTTCAGGTTTGAAATCTGGATTGTTGATGGCCAAGGGAGTGATTTGAGAAATGATACTCCTCATGCGAGAAGCGTTTTTAGAAGTAGTGCAATAGGGGCGCAAAGTTGGGGTAAGAACAGCAGAGAAAACAAAGGGAATTTCTGGGTTAGAACCATCAAAAGGCAGAGCGGGGACGTATTGGTTGGCCATGATCACAGCAGGATGAAGCTTGAGTGAGAGAAGAAAGAGTGTAGCAAGAGGAGAAAGTAATTGAAAAACGGAAGGCGTAAGGAAGAAGACGAAAGTTGAGGGGTTTTAAGTGAGATTTTTCGCAAACCCCGCGATTGGACAACGTAATAATGAATAGACTCCCTAAAAACGTCACATCTCACATTAATCGAGAAGTGACGGTAGGGAGTCGGGCAGGAGAAGGCAAATTGTTATATATTAAAAATAGTTTAGGGTTTTATTGGGCTTATAAATGGATTATAACGTTTGGGCCCACGGATAAACCCAAAAAGAAAGTGGGTCTTCAAACACCCATTGAGGGAAACGGTCAGCCAGTCGGTAGCTTGGTTGGTCGGTTGGTTAGTCGGTAGCCCGCCTGGTCGGCTGGCCAATCGGTAGCCTGTCTGGTCGGCTGGTCAATCAGTAGCCCGTCTAGTCGGCTAGTTTGTCCGCAGTCTGTCTGGTCGGCTGGTCAATCAGTAGCCCGTCTAGTCGGCTAGTTTGTCCGCAATCTGTCTGGTCGGCTGGTCAATCAGTAGTCTGCCTGGTCGGCTGGTTTGTCCACAGTCGGTCTAGTCGTTTGGTTAGTTGGTAGCATGGAATACAACCGAAGAACGGTTCTTCAGGCGATTGCAACCGCGATGTGGTTTTTGTTAGTTATAACCATGAGACGGTTCCTCATGAGAGTTACAACCGACTGCGCACACGATCCGATAATTGACTTGAAGGGCATATAACAGGCAACTCGTGTCCGGCAAAGGACATCTTCAATCAGTATCAATTTCAGTGAAATTCGCTTTAGAGATCATCCTTTTTATCTTTCAGTATTTATTGCTTTTTGTTTCTTACATTTCGTACTATATCTAGGGATTTACGAATCCAGATATTATTGTAGTGAAATTCGAATTAATTTCGGATTTTCCTTTTTATTGATCAAAATAACATCAGCAATTGTGATATAGTGTTTCATCATTAACGAAATTTTTTAAGTATACAATGTTGTAATTTGTCATTTAAATGAGTACATCCTAAAATCGAATCATAATTGTTATCAACTAAAACGAAAAGACAAAATACAAAGCAAATCCTTAATTATAATTGTCTCCGTTGAGGTATTATGTTTCATTAACAATTGTTTGTACTTTTATATTTGTTATTTTGCACTTTGAATAATATTTACTTCATTATGTATTGGACACTTCTTTAACAAACCACATTCAAACACATTATTGTGAAATGCGGACATAACTTCATACATTTATCAAGTTTGAAATCATGTAACGTTCAGACTGTATTCAAAGCATCAACTGGCCAAGCTATAAACTCAACTTTTATAAAAATTAATATATATTGATTATAATTAAATAAAAATTTTATTTATTTACAAAACTTTTATTCTCTATAAAAATAATATTTATATTATATATTTTTTACTGGAATATAATTTTTAAAATATTTAAATATATATTTTAATATTTTTAATTATATACATTAAATTATATTAGAACTATTAGTGTTAAGAATTTTGGATTTTAACTAGTCTCTCGCTAAATAAAATAAATTGGTTAAACTTATCGTCAAAACCCATATATCATTTATCTTTTTCTTAAATCAATTTTATTTTTATATAAAGTATTATTGGATAAATCTTAAAAATTTGAAAATAAATTCACAATAATTAATATTATTAATTGTATAAAAATAATAAAATAATATCATAATTTATTATTATTAATTACCTAAATATTATTTTTAATATATAATATAAATATCGATTATCTATTTTCAATTATCTTTGGACTAATAGAGTATGATAATGTAGTAATATATTTAATTATAAATACATAAGTTTTATGAAATATATAAACTTTATTCAAAACTTTTGCCCTATATCAAAACATCACAGGTGACCGGACATCCAGAGCCGCCGCCTTCACTGCACAGGTTGTCCTTTTCATTTCTTCCTCTTTCGTACCCTGTTCCTTATTTCTTCTTTTTTTTTCCTTTTTCTTTCTTCTTCATCCGTGCTCCCTGCCGCTCCTTCCATCACCGGTGAGATTAATATATATGTTTAAAAAAAAAAAAATTGAACTGCCGGTTGAAATCAACGGTTTATAGGCAATTCCGGTTCAAACCCAAACCGCCGGTTGGAACCGATTGAACACAGCTAATTACCACTTTGGGGCAGAAAGGTAATATTTCCAATCGAAAGGGGAGATTATCGTCATTCTCCAAATCAAAATTGTCTCATTAAGGCTACGGGTGTCTCATGTTCTTCTCGTTACTATTCTTCCGTTTGCTCCAAAATCCCAAATTCGTATTTATAATGTCCTCTGCCCTAATTGGCGCTTCAAAACCCTAGCGCAGTTTCTGATCTTGGCGCAGTTGTCATGACTGAAACCAAAACGATGGAGAATCCGAACAATTCCATCGACGTCGAGTTCAAGGAAGAGGAACTGACCGAATTGCCCGTGAAAGAGACGTCTCCCAAATTTGGATTTGCTTACGCCCCCGATGGTAAGGACTAGTTTCGATGATCATATTTCTAAGTGTGGCGCTCCCAAACGGGCGAATGAATTTGACGCTGGTCTGTAATTTTGTTACTATTTTGGTGTAATTCGGTGCGCAGTCACTTCGGCAGTGATTAAGTGTTGATTGTGTTTGATTCTCCGCATTACTTGCTATACACCTTTTTATTTTTGTTATCTTTTAGTTTTTTTTTATCGTGAATGTGTGTTTGTTTGGGGGATTGGATTGGATGTACCCCGAATCATCAAATCAAACACCTATTTTTCATTTTCTATATTATACTAAAAATTAATTTTATATTCAAAACATCACATCAATCACCGCCAATTTATATCACATCATACAACTATTCAAATTCAAAATTTTTTCTATTCAAATTCCAACTCAAAATCCAAACCCCCGAACAAACACACCCTATAGCATGATTGTTAGATTTATATATTCTCCCCCAGTGGAGTTGAAAGGGACCTTATTTTAAAGCTTATGACAACAATCAACTGTTGTTTAGAAGTGTAGTTATGCTTTGATCTTGCGAATTATGGTTAGTGTAGGGGAAAGAGATGAAGGCATTGAGTGTAGTTCGTTAGCTTGTATGGTTGCCACTTGCCCAAACAGTAAAGAGTTTCGGTTGGTTTGGAAGTCAGTTACGTCAGACATTATAGCAATCTTACTTGGAAGTTTGTGTAGTCGACATTATAGCAATCTTACTTGGAAGTTCGTGAAGTCGGTATTATAGCAAATTTGTCTCCGAAGTTAATATAGTCAATATTATAGCAATTTATTAAATGATTATTTATTAATTGTCCCTCTTTGAAAATTGCTTGGCCAGCTTAGGAAATATCTAAAATGATTCAAAGTTCATGAATCGCATAGTTATTTTATTATTTCGGGTGCATTATAAATTACTTCATTTGCCATCTGGAATCTGTTTTGGAGCATGTTAACTGGAATTTTCAAGATTCGAAATCAGTATCTTGTTTTCTAGTGGAGCACTGTAGTCCATTTTCTTGCTAGTTTCTTGAAACAAATACGTGTTACGATATTATGCATTTTCATTTCAACTACCCTGAAATTTATTATGTATTACATGTGCTAGTTTCTGGAACTGAGATGGAGTATCAGGAGAATGAAACTGGAGTATGTCGCAGTGATCCAGCCGACACTGGTTACAATCATGATAGTGCCAGTTCATTTTCTCTTATCAATAACAATGATTTTGCTGACATGCCTGACCTAAGTCATGTTCTGCACAATGGTTTTAAAAACCATGGGCAAGCTGTGGACACCAAATTTGATGTTATTCAATCTGGAAGTGGTTTTGGTATAGCAGAACTCAAGTCCAGCCTTGATCACACTGTGCGGTTGGAAGACCGCCTGAATCATGCCATTCTAGAAGCTCCCTGCAATGTAGTCTATTTTTAGCTACTTAATGACACAGTCGTTTCCATAAAACAAATTTATCTTGAATCTGGTTTATATATTCCAAACAATGTTCAGGAAATGTCTGTTCGTGCGGCCTCAGATGCTGAAGAGAGCATGGGCAAGGAATCTCCGTCTGGTGCCACAAGTATAATTGACTTGTCAATGTTTTTTGCTTCATCTAGCATTGTAGTCACCCCAACCCCAAGAAAGCTGATCATTTCTGTTGTGCTGTTTCAGCTTCCTTTGATGGACCAACTTCCCGTAATTACTTTAGTGGCATGGACATGGTAACTTCTTTTGCCTTTTTTTTTTTTTCAGTTTTAGTTTGTTTGCTAATTTTTTAATTGTTTATCATTTCTCTGAAATACCTTTACACCAAAACTTCCTCTCTTGAATATGCAAAAATATTCAAGATTGAAGCATTATTCAATTGTCATCTCTATTAAATTCTAAATTCAAATATACATATGAAAGCATGCTCACAACTAATATATAAGTGCCTTTTAAAAACTAACCATATAATCCTTTTGATCTGGAACCTTCGCTGTAGTTTTCCTGAATTCAACCTAAACAATTCATATTCGACATTATTAAGGAAGATTTAATTATTAGGTTGCGATATAGTGTTTCATGCTTGACATTATTAACGATTTTTTTTTATAGGTTGTGATACAATGCTTTAATTTGTCATGACGCATCATTTAAATGTGTGCCTCCTAAAATCAAATCATCTGATCATTTCGATGTGGAAACTCCTCTGGTAGTTTTGCTGACTCAGACTGCTGTGTTTTTTGCTTGATATCACTTAACAAAAATTTAAAACTGTTAGTTCAACATACATTATCCATAATGTCATTTTTACACTTCACAGTATATATATATATATATATAATGTTGAAACACATTCATACGTAGTTTCAAATTTCTCCTTCCTAGGACTGAAGAAAGTTAAAAGAAGCATAACCATGTTCTTGCCTTTTATGTCTGAATTTGCGCAGATAATTGGAGTTATATACAATAAGGTAGTAGCCGATACTTTAGTTAGTTTCAACTTCTGTGTTGAATGTGAACATTAGCAGGGCAACAGATATCTATGCCCTTGTATTTTTCTGATCCTTCATTCTCTGAGTGCATGTTAAAACATTTTCTGAAACATGACCTTGAAGTATTTCTTTGAAGTCAGAATCTGTGATCATCACAGAGAAAAAGCTTCCAGTACTAATAGTTCAGAAAAACTATTATGAAAATTCCTGTGGAAGTTAAGCTTTCCTAGAACTTCTTGAATTATTTTATGTATTTACTTTTTGTGATTGAGGATTTGCTGATTGATCACAGCTGCTGTCTGCCTGCTCACTAGTCTTTTTGAATTGGCAGGAAGGAGAAAGTGCTGGAGTTGTTCTCTCTACAGATTATCTAGAATATTGTGACGCCCGTCTTTTGGATTGTGTTGTGAGTTTTTCTATAAGTTCTGTTGAAGTTAGGGGTAAAACTGCCTATAGAGAGGAAGGAACCTTCCATATTGACATAGATGATATTGTCAAAATAGAGTCTGAGTGGAGTGCTCGGGTAAATAAATCTTACTGCTTGATCAAAGTTTCGTTTGTTCTCAAGCATGAAACTTTAAAGAGACACTGTCATTGATGACTTTTATTCAGTGTGAAACAGGAACCATAAATATCCATTTCATTTTAAAATATGAAGCAGAAGACAATGTTGCTTTCGATGCCACAGGTTGGTTGGTCTCATTTCTTTTAGTGCTTTTTCTTCTCGTTGTACACGGATTTCCAGTTATTCTTGTTGTCTTTAATTGAAGTCTTCATGGTTTATTTATTTATTTTAATTTTCTCATGTTATAATTGGGGACTTGTCCAATTCAACAAGGTGTTTAGTAAAGAACGCATATTACCCATCCTGTAAAGAACTCTTATTATGGAGCTCCTGTAATCAGCCACACCAGATAGCCTGGGCTGGCGACCGCCTATTTGTGTATACACCTGCTGCCCGAAGCACTGGCCTGCACTGCAGGCTAAGCTAAGCCTACTTTGAGCCTTAAGTGTGCAGACCTGTCCTTGTTGTGGTGGGTGTAGGCATGAATGGGCAGTGGCCCAGTCCCCCGGGCAGTCTAACCAATTTTGGTGGATTTGTAACACAATAACACATTCTTTTCAGAATATTCAATTTGCACCACATTTTGGTTTTTGTTAGTATATGTTAGGTCAGCATTTATAATTCATTCGTGCTTATGCTATTTGGAAATGTTCGTTACATTTTATTTTGCATTGAATTGTGAATTTAATGTAAGTGACATTTTCAATGTTGCATATCTATTTTTATTGCTATTGTGGATAGTTTGTATTGCTACTAACAAATGAAACTTATTTCTGTGATGCTCCACACATAACAGGTCTTCAGAAGTTGAAATTTCTGATTTCTGACTGTGACTGGTGTAAGAAACAAGAAGCAATTGAGTCTCTGAATGTCAGATACAGAGCTCTATGGAATGTTCTACTTGAGTGAGTCATTGCATGTGCTTGCATATAATACTTATATATGTTTACTTGTGAGGTTATGCTTGGTCACCCACTTTATTTCATGTTCGGTTCTCTATAACTTAATGTTAGACAATGATATCTGAGTGCCTCTACAGTGCGCCCCCCCCCCCCCCATCTGCATATATTAAATTTAGTCATCTTGTTAATGATTGCATTTGTTGGTTAATAGAGAAGTAAGAAAAACAAGGTTAAATGTTTGTCGATATTTCTTCTGATTCGCAACATAGAATTGGTGAGCTTGAAATTCATTATTTAATTTGTTTTTTTGAAAATCATTGTTTGTAATGGAAAAGAAAGATTCCATTTGCACTTTGTTTTCTATACAAAATATCATTTGTATAGCCTATATGCTTTCTTTTGAATGGTGATAATATGTTGGTGCTATGATTTTGATAGTTTTATCTTGATGTGATATTTCTTTGATTTCATCTTAAGCACTAGATTGGAAGATTGCTTACCACCATCTGAAGGAGACACGGCTGTACCTGCAGGAAGCTATTTTCCAAAGTGAGTAAAACTATTCTCTTTGTTGCTGAGTTTTCATACTCTCCACAAGACATCACTGCCCATGAATTTTAATGGTGTTTGGTGGACTAGGAGTACCTCAAAATGTTTTCTGATGTGAAAAACCATAAAAAGCCGAGTATTTTTGTGCAGAGCCTGGAAAAGACTATTTATTATGAAGACAAGTTACCTCTATTGGCTGTTCAATTTCAATGTAAACTAAGGTATTCCAAATTTTACAGATTTGATACACATTTTGAAGACGTGATTTATCCCAAAGGTGACCCTGATGCTGTCTCCATAAGTAAGAGAGATGTAGACCTCCTACTGCCAGATACATTTGTCAATGATACAATCATAGATTTCTACATCAAGTGAGTGTTTACTGCCTGTTTGGTTTTCTTCATTTTCAACTTTGAGCCAACTTTAGCTTCATGGCATTTATGTAATGTGCTTACGGATAAAGCATTGTGCTTAATTCAGAACCTATTTCTGGGGTGTTTAACTATAGTGGTTGTGTATCCGAAATTGGAAGTTTCTTGTTATCCTGAATACATTATCGTATTGATGCCTCATGTAATTAGTGCAGGAAAGGGGCTGGGGTGTATAAAAGGCCTTCTGTTTTGATATGTTTGGACAAAAGATCTAATTTAATAAAGAAATTGGGGTTGTTGGGAGAAAATAACTATACTTGTTTTCTTGTTTATCTAATTTGTTTCCTCCTGAATCCTGATACATCTTGACGATTAATTATAGAAACATGCGTCCTTTGTGCTTTTGGCAAATGATATTGGCTTGGTAGAATTAAGTCCTAGATATATGGTTATTTGTTTTGTAGTAATTGTTGGCTGTGTTCTGCTGTTATTTTTTTTCCTTAACTGTATAACATGAAAACTTCTCATTATAACAGACATCTGAAAACGAGACAAAATGAAGAGGAGAGGACTAAGTACCACTTCTTTAATAGTTTTTTCTTTCGAAAGTTGGCTGACATGGACAAAGATCCATGTAGTGCTTTTGATGGCAAGGCAGCATTCCAGCGTGTTCGTAAATGGACTAGAAAAGTAAACTTACTTGAGAAGGATTTCATTTTTATTCCTGTCAACTACAAGTAAGAAGTTAAATCCTCTGAAGTTATTTGGTTGATTTTCTGAATGCTTAACCCTTGGTATCAAGACACGGACAGTGGTAACTTACTATGCAATGGTATGACAGTTACCATTGGAGTCTTATCGTTATTTGTTACTTCGGTGAGATTGCCAACTATGAAGGTAATTCATATTCAGCATGTGCACTATATCAGAAATGATGTTCTCCTTCTTGACAATTCTTACTTGGTATGTGTTAGATGTTGAGGGTAGGAAATCTGCAAGAGTTCCCTGTATATTGCATATGGACTCTTTCAGAGGAAGTCATATTGGACTCAAAGATCTTATGCAGAGGTACGGAAATGTGTGTTTTTTTATAGTTTGAACCTTTATACGGCTCTTTAAGTTCTAATGCTGATGCCTAAGATTTCTAAAAAATCAAATTAAGCCACAGTCCGATAAATTAATTGCATCTTTTGTTTCATCAAAGGACAAGCAAAGGGACAATCCTCTTTCAATTTCTTATTGTTGCAGTGACCACATGTTAGATACGTTTCATGGATGCATTTAATCTGTAGAATTTTTTATGATAGTCCTGAACTAGTGAAAATGATGAGTGATTTTTTATGTTGATGTTCAACATGTTTGTTAATGAAGTTGTTGATAGTGTATATATTATTTCAAGTTTCAAGTATTTTACTGCTTCTCTTTTGAAAACTTGACTTGGATTATATATCATGAAATAACAGTTATTTATGGGAGGAGTGGAAAGAACGGCAGAAAGGATCATCTGATGATTTGTATTCAAAATTTAGGAACTTAAAGTTTGTTCCTCTTGAGGTAAGCATATTTCAGATGCCATGGTTTACGATTCCAGTTTCCACAGGTAGATTCATAAAATCATTCAAAACTAACACAAAATCTTCTAGAGGAGTCGTAGATTTTTTGAGCACCTGTAATTACTTTTGAAAAAAAGGTGCTTTTAGTCTATCCAAAGGATTTAAAATGCGACTTACTCATTTATCTATCATCTTCTATGGTTGGTTCCCAGATAGTAATATGAGAGCAGTTTTTAAGAACAGCATCGGCTTTTCGCTTCATTCTTAACGAGCACTGGATTGATAACAGTGGGATAACAGGCCATGAGTTTTTCGCGATTGTTGGCTGCATTTTCTCTGTCCAGAACCTAAAATGGCATTTACTTTATATACGTTCTGTGTTGGGATTCAATAAAGTATCTTTTCGATTAAAAACTGCTAGCGTTACCACTTCAGGCAATATATAAATATCTGTTTTGCTGTTGCTCTCTGCAGATTCCTCAACAGCCGAACTTATTTGATTGCGGCCTTTTCTTGCTTCACTATGTAGAGCGTTTTCTGGAGGAAGTTCCTGCGAACTTCAGCATTTACAAGGTTACCTCATCGTCCAGCTTTGTAAGTATCCTGCTTTTCCCGTACAAATCTTACAGACTTCTCGAAGTATAACCACATACTGCTACTACCCCCTTTTCTTGGTAATATGGTATCTTCTCTTGCATTCAATTTCCTTATGTTCTGAAATAGCTATCGTTAATCTAAAATAATCGTCATTGGGGAAAGAGGCAACAGTGATAACATATACATATATCTTTGTTCTTGGACAATACTTTCTTGTTTATTATCTATGATATCTTAAAGTTTAATGCTTACTACTAAGCCTCTGCATTTTCAGCTCCAAGAAAACTGGTTTCCTCCCGGTGATGCTTCCCTGAAGCGTACGCAGATAGAGAAATTGATTAGCGATCTCCTTGATCCTCACTCCGAGAATTGTACTCCGTCTGGTGGCAGTAGCTTGCATTCTGTCTCCGAATGCCCTAACATTACCGATAACTATGAGAATGGTGGTGGCTTTTCAATGAACATCGCTCCTTTGAGTGATTGCCACAAGAACTCGCTACATCCAATTGGGCAGGGAATCGAGATGACTTTGTTGCCCTCTTCATCCGCGAGAAACAACCTATGTACAACGACATCTGGATTGGTTCTAAAGGATTTGTTTGCGCAGACATCTGCTTCAGAATCTCTTAGCAACGCACACTGGGAATCTTTGGAGACCAAACCATCTTCACTTTTCGATTTTAAAGGACACAGTCTTCCATTAGAGGTACGTCAAATCTCGTCTCTCAAATTACCTCTGATACGCCTAAGTTTATCTTTTGTGACTTGTCTCTAATCTGCTTGAGATTTGAAATCTGTATTAAATTTCAATGCTCATCTGGTTACGATTCCCCCATCATAACCGCGGGTGGTGTTCTTCTACAGGCGAAGGTGGAAGCTAACGAGTGCTTCATACAAACAGAACTCCCCGAACCCGTCTTTCAGCATCTCGACAGTATCGCCCCAGAAGAACATGCCTTTGCTTACACATGTGGTGATTTTGAAACAGAGCCAATCCACGAACCTACACAGGAGAATATCGACACTTCTGTAACATCAGGTTGCAGCTCTACAACACATTTTTGATCATTATAGACTTCTAAAAAGTAACTCTCTAATACATGATCATCATATGCAGGAGAACTGCTTAATTCTGTTGAAACAAACGACTGTGTTGGAATGTCTATCTTACTAGGTAGTGACCCCACCATTACCTTCTCCCCAAATAACTCGCCCGAGCCTCGCCAGGAAGCTAACCATCTACCCATGCCTGCCTTCACTTCAGACATCGACGTGCCGGATAATTCACAGTCGAAAACTCCAACTCATACAGTATCCCTGAAGCATCCCCGCTCGCCTTCCCCGTTCGGAAACAATGGTCTTGACCATGAACTTGCAGCGAAGAAGATGCGTCTGACACCCCTCGACGACCAGTGCGGCGAAGTCACTACCAGTTCATCCAAAGACCTGACTTTGTGAAGTAAGCAGTTGTTGGTGAATATGATTTGCCCTTCACATCTTTAATTTTATTTTAGTATTACTATTATATATACATATTTTTTCTTTCAACTCTTGATGCCCTTTAGGAACTGGTAGGTGTCTAACTGGAGATGGTTCATTGCTAGATTATTAATATTATTATGATGACTTTTTAGATTTTGAGGGCAGATTTGAAAGGTTTTCTGGTCACTTGTTTTGTAAATTGGGGCTATCGTTTGGAATTTTATGTGTAATATAATATATATATATATATGTATGTATGTATGCATGTATGTATGTATGTATATATTGTGTGTGCGTGTGTTAAGGCTCGTTTTGGTGTAGTAGGGGACCTTTATTTGTGTTAAGCCTTTTGGAAGTGTGTTTGTTTTCTTAGATAATTTGAATGAGTATTTATTTTATTTTTTTTTTAATGTGAAATATGAGAAATTGTATATGGAATATAAAAATAATAAACGGAGAGATATATTAATATTTTTTTGAGAAAAACTTGTGGAAAAAAATAAAATTGAAGAATACATCGGAAGTCTCTGATTAGAATGTGGAGTTTTATTGTGGCTTATTTTATTTTTGTATTTAATTCAAATTTGAGTGTTTATTTGTGTTTTTGGTCATTTGAGGTTTGCAAATTTTGAGTTGAAAATGGGTGCTTAGTGTTATGAATGAAAAAATATGTTTTGTGAAAGAGAATGAGAATAATGAATAATACAAATGAGAAAGAAAGTATAAGTGTGTATATATATACATATATATATATAACTTGGGTTAGAATAATTTTGAATAATATCTTTTTCCTGAAAAATATAAATATGAACGTTTATTAATATATTAATATGATATATATCATTCACTAATAAAAAAAATTTAATAATTTAGTTTAAAATATTATTTTTTATATTATCAATACAGTATATAATTATATAATATTATTTAAATTTAAATAAAATTTTACAGAACAAACTGAATATACACCGTATTTTAGTTGGAAAATGTATTATAAAAGTTGCATAGTAAATTCAATACATAAATAAAATAAAATAGTAGCATTAGTTCATTGTGATCTTTTAACAAACTTTTCAGAATTTTTATTATTTTTTAAATAAATATCATATCAAATATTTATTTTTTATTTTTTATATTATATTAAAAATTAATTTAAATTTTAACTCTTAAAATCTTAATTTAAAATTCAAACTCTAAACAAGCTCGCCCTAAGTTTGTTTAGTTATACTTTAAAGGTGTGTTTGTTTGGGGGTTTGGATTTTAAGTTGAGATTTGAATAGTACAAATTTTGAATTTGAATAGTAAAAATTTTGAATTTGAATAGTTGTATGATGTGATATAAATAGATGTTGATGTGATGTTTTGAATGTAAAATTAATTTTTAGTATAATATAAAAAATAAAAAATAGGGGTTTTGATTTGATGTTTTGGGGAAAAAAAATTTGATGAATAATGTAAATCCAATCCAAATCCTCCAAACAAACACACCCTAAATTTAAATTAACATCATGCGGTCCAAAAATAAGGCTAAGCAATAGAGGCTTTATTCAAATGTGCTACTAACATTTAATATAGTCTCAGTTCTATTATGTTTTGATAAATAATTTTAAGGCTGTATAAAATAAGTGAGAGGATACGTTGCATGTTACTCACTCCGTTCTGCATCTCATGTCATTTTTTTTTTTTTAATGATTTATATTATAAATTAATTATTTTTACTAATATATTTTTAATTATTTACTAATTATACTTATTTTAAATTTTCGTGTTTACGGTGAACAAGAATGATTTAGATTATTGTCTATTTTGATAAGCCTGGGCGTGATAAAACATCAAAACTTAACACTTCAATCAAGAAATAGCCTCTGGAAATGCAAGAACTATTCTATCCCACTTTTGTGTTTTTTTTCTTTATTAGGGCATGAGACTTATTATGCTATAAGTAATAAAATATGAAATTAAAAATATAAAATAAATAAAATACAAATAAAAATTATTTATATGTTTGTAAATAAAATATGAAATTAAAAATATAAAATAAATAAAATACAAATAAAAATTATTTGTATGTTTGTCAAATCAGTGTCACTTGACTTTATATACTAGCATATTTTTTAATTAAATTATTTATATTTTATTATCTATTTCTTAATATATAAAATAAAAATGATTTACCTATTGGTGTTGTGTTGATGGATACACGAATAATTTTTAATTTTAGTTTTTATTTATTTTTTATTTTATTTTTTTATATTTTAAAATAAAAATTATAAAATAAAAATTATGCAGATGACAGACACATGTTAGTTACGTGATTGACCTAACCAACATGTGTCCACCGGCATACTATGTATATGTCACGTAGGCATCGGGATTAAATATATAAAAAATTTTCTTAAAACTATTTTAAAATGACATTTAATTATAGAACTGAAATAATAATGAAACTACAATGGAACTCAAAAATAATTTTTTTAAAAAAATTTATCTTACGAATTTAATTAAAATAATTTATATTTATTAAATATACTTTAAATAAGTATAATTTACTAAAATAAAAAATATCAATGAACATGAACAGATAGAAAACGTATAGATTGTTTTAGAAATATTATTTTTGTATTTTTGAAAAAAATTTAACATTAATGAAATAATTGACTCAAATAAAACTCGAAGAAAATTTCCATTATTGGCACTTGGCAGTAATGAAGAGACAAGTGTTAAGTGCCTTCAATTTTAACTAAAGGCGCATTTATGATTACTGATAGGTTAAAACACGATTTTACATTTAAAAAAAAACAAAGAAAAAATTCAAAAATTTTGAATTGCGGAAAACCGCCATTTTTATTTTATTTTTTAATTTTTAATTCCATTTTCCATTTTCAATTATATATTCAAATTGCGTCTCTTTCCTTCTTCTCTCCAAATTCAAATCAAACAGCCGCCTCATCTCTCAACGGTACACTCACTCCACACAGATCGGTCGACCGTTCGTTTTCTTCCTTCTCCCATTTCCAGCTGAGATCGAGAGCAATGTAAGTGTTATCTTCTCTATCCGCTGCTGCTCTTTGCTTTTTTAGATTTTGTTTTGTATTCAGATTTTGGCCGAGGGCGGGTTGTGTATTTTGGATTCGGATTCAGAATTGATGCTTTGATTGGTTTGTTGACGCTGTTTTCATCTGTTTTGTTCCAGACGAGGAGATTAGGGTTTTGGTCGGCGGGATATGGAGAATCCGGAGTCGCAGAGTGTTAGGGTTGCAGTGAATATCCGACCGCTCGTTACTCCCGAGCTTCTCGTTGGATGTACTGATTGTATTACGGTTTATCCCGCTGAAAAGCAGGTTGAGTTTGAACTCTACATCATTTTATAATTTTGAGTGATTCTGGAAATGTTTCGAGCTAGAAGGTGGTTTATTTTGGTCTATTCGCATTCAAAATTGGGTTTAGGTTCAAGATCTACCTGAGTTTCGTACGCATTAAATCGATTTTAATTTTTCTTATTTATTGTGCAACTGCATTCATGGGAAAAAGGTTTTCATTGGTGTTGGTGCGTTGGCTGCGTAAACAGGTTCAAATCGGATCTCATGCATTCACATTTGACTGTGTATTTGGTAGCACGGGTTTGCCTTCTTCATCAATATTTGAGGAATGCGTTGCCCCATTGGTGGATGCTCTGCTGCATGGTTACAATGGCACAGTACTTGCCTATGGTCAGGTAGGGTATTTCTGTGTTTCATTGCATGTTTGCTAATATCCCTGAATTAGTCAACTGTTACCTTTTGAAAGATGCTGAAATTCCATTTCTATGTTGATAATTTTTGTGTTTTAGACTGGTTCCGGAAAGACATACACCATGGGCACAAATTATAATGGAGAGGAACAGAAGAATGGGGTCATTCCCAGAGTGATGGAAACCATTTTCAGCGAAGTTGAGACTTTGAAAGAGTCTACTGAATTTTTAATAAGAGTTTCATTTATTGAGGTAACAACTGTGTACACAATGCTAGTTTGGTGATGATTTTGTTGCTGTATCGTATTTTAATTTGTTTAAGTTTAACTTTGCAGATTTTCAAGGAAGAAGTATTTGATTTGCTTGATTCGAGGACTACAGGGCCTGCAAGAGTTCCTATTCAAATAAGAGAAAGAGTGAATGGAGGAATTGCCCTTGCTGGGGTTACAGAAGCCGAAGTGAGATCAAAAGAGGAGATGGCTTCATACTTGTTGCAGGGTTCTTTATCTCGTGCTACAGGTAGCACAAATATGAACAGTCAATCAAGGTGGGTTTTCAGCTCTTATATAGCTGTATATAAAAAGTTAATGGAAGTTTAATTATGTGTTTAGTGTTGATAAATTTTGAAAAACTATTGTCATTTACTTTCACTTTTGATCCCTCCAGTCGATCGCATGCTATTTTCACCATCTCCATGGAACAAAGGAGAATGGCCCATTCTTCAGGAGATGATGTTGGGGATGATGTTTTGACCGCGAAGCTTCACTTGGTGGATCTTGCTGGATCGGAACGAGCAAAACGGACTGGTGCAGATGGATTACGCTTACAAGAAGGTTATTTTTTTATATTAATTTCAATATGCACATTCAATTCCAGTGACAACTTCACCAATTTACTTTCATGCGCGGTTCTGCCACATGGTTATTCCCATATCTTATGCTATGCTGCTTTGACTTGAGTGGATGTTGATTATCTATTACTTTCAGAAGATTTAATGAAATTATATTTTCTGGTGAAATGTGATAAGGTATTCACATCAACAAGGGTTTGCTGGCTCTTGGAAATGTCATTAGTGCTTTGGGAGATGATAGGAAGCGCAAAGAAGGCGGGCATGTTCCTTACCGTGACAGCAAGTTGACACGCATACTTCAGGTAAGGATGTTATCATATTTCATTTATCATGAACTTTTAATATGTTCGCCAATTTTCCAATGTTCTAAACGTCTTCCAGAGAAATTGAGCGTAGTTATTACATATGAATTAATGTTCTCATGCTGCCTGTTGATTCCTTTGTGTAGGATTCCCTTGGCGGAAATAGCAAAACAGTTATGATTGGTATACTATCAACCTTTACTTAAAATGATAAAGAAGTCATTCTTTATTTTGCCACATGACAGTTAAGAATCCAATTATTCTTTTTTCTCTTCTAATAGCTATCATGTTTGACGTATTTCCAGCTTGTGTTAGCCCTGCTGATAGCAATGCCGAGGAGACACTTAATACACTGAAATATGCGAATCGAGCACGGAACATTCAGAACAAAGCAATTGTAAGCTACAAATTGAGTATTTAATTGTCAAAACAATTTTCAAATGATGCAGGATATTTACTTTGTTTTCCCCCTTTCTTTTTTGTTCAATTTTGTAGGTCAACCGTGATCCTATGGCTGCCCAACTACAAAGGATGCGAAGTCAAATAGAACAGTTACAATCAGAATTACTCTACTTCCGTGGAGAATCCAACGCACCAGCGGAGGAAATTAAAGTAAAATATTCCTGCCAGCTCTTAGTTTATTCCAAGCATCAATTTGTCAATATACATAAGACATTAGTCATGTTGTTTAACTTGAAATGTGTTACGTGACACTTGATACATAAAAAGTGGAATTAGTTTTTTATTCAGAAGCGTTTGATAGTTTATGAATCTCTATGTTTACTAAAACCTATATTTTTATTTCACTTTCTTGATTTTCAATTGATTTAGACTTTAATATTTCTTGGTCTCAGATTCTTAAGCACAAAATATCATTGCTCGAAGCAAGTAAAATGGAACTACAGGAGGCGTTGAGAGAATGTAGAATTGGTTATGATCACCTGTCACAGCGGGCTGTTGATGCTCAGGTTTGTAATCTTTTGATGTTAAATCAAATTCTGAAAGATATGAGTTTGAGGGTTACAAATGCTGTTAGCTTTATTGATCAAATGATGCATTAGGTGGAAAGGGATACACTGATGATGAAACTTCAATCAGCTCGAAATGGAAAACTTTTGGATGAAGATGACACTGCTTCTGATAAGGTTTGCTTTAGACTTTATTTTCTTTGTTTTTCATTTTCATATTTTTAACCTTCAATAATAAATCATTTTCCTTTCTTCAGGATTATGATATTGTGAAAAGTTATGTTAGTAAGATTCAGGAATTAGAGAGTGAACTTATGAGGATACGAAATTTAAGCCGTTTGAAACATGAGACTTCTGGAGATTATTTCGATTCAGAAGATGAAGCTCACTCAAGAAACTCTTATCTCATAGATTCTGATGTACAGACAATAGAATCTGATGGTATGATAGCTCTTCTGAAGTTCAAACTTTGTAACAACTACATGTTGTGAATGTATGTGATTTTCTTGATGAAGAATATCTGCACAAACAAGTCAGTTTAGGTGCTGCTTGCATAAACTCAATGTTTATGTCATGCAGATGTAGTTGAAGATGTCGAGAAGGAACTTGAGCATTCTTCTTTCCAGGAAAAGATGGATAGAGAACTCAGAGAATTGGATAAGAGACTCGAACAGAAAGAGGTAAAGTATTTGCAAGAGCACCCAAGTTTCAAACCTTGTTAATGAATTTCTAGTTAAATAATTTTTCACCGAGGTTTTGATGGTACGGACACGTCCAGAATCATAAGAACGTAAAGTGTTGGAATTTATTGAAGTCTTTCCAAAACAACTTTCCCAAAACAATTTGTTTTACCCGTCTTTGGATTCTGTGTTTGTAGTGTAAGTTTCAGTAGATGTTAGTTATAGGAACTGCTAATATTGATCTTTTCTCCCTTTGTATAAATTGATTTATGTAATACAGAATCAAAGTTGTTTACGAGGACTTTGTTTTTCTTTTCGGTATTCTTATGTTGGATATGTTCTCTGGAACATGATTTTGGCCTGGAGAGACTGTAGGACAGGCACTAGTTCTTGACTTCTCAATTTTCTTTTTTCTGACTTGAAAGGCTGAAATGAAACAATTTGCGAGTGGCGAAACTTCAGTTCTTAAGCAGCATTACGAGAAAAAAGTTCACGAGTTGGAGGTCGAAAAGAGGGCCTTACAGGTATGTTTGATTCCTTATTTTACACCTGGATATATTAATTGTTATGAGCGCTTATTATGCGTTTCTTTTTGTAGAAAGAGATCGAAGAACTCAGGCATAGTTATGCCAATATCAGTTCAAATTCTGATGATAGTGCTCAAAAACTGAAGGAGGAGTATCTTCAAAAACTCAATGTTCTTGAAACGCAGGTAAAAATCCATCTTGAAATGTTGTCTTCTGAATTATGTGCTTGTTTAATGACTTCGATCTCTCTACAGGTTGCTGAGTTGAAGAAAAAGCAGGATGCTCAAGCTCAACTTCTTAGGCAGAAACAAAAAAGTGACGAAGCTGCAAAAAGACTACAGGATGAGATCCACAGGATAAAAACACAAAAGGTTTGTTTTAACTTTGTGATATTTGCTGCTTGTATTCTCTGAAACATAAGTTCTGCGCGTGCTAATGGCGTTTTCCATGTGAAGGTTCAATTACAACAAAAGGTGAAGCAAGAATCTGAGCAATTCAGACAGTGGAAAGCATGTCGAGAAAAAGAAGTGCTTCAGGTAGATATTGAGATTTACATTTAAGCATAAAATAGTTTTGATCATATACTCAGTCCGATACCTGATTAATTTTTGGGTGGCCATTTCTTTAGCTTAAGAAGGAGGGCAGAAGAAATGAATACGAAATGCATAAACTGTTAGCACTCAACCAAAGGCAAAAGCTGGTAATTCTTGTCTTGGCATTACTGAGTTTTCTAAAATTATGTGAAGTTGAACTTCATAATATTTCGGGCCATCAACCAGGTATTGCAACGTAAGACTGAAGAAGCTGCTATGGCAACAAAAAGGCTTAAGGAGTTGCTTGATTCTCGCAAAGCTTCTCGAGAAGCTCCTGGTATGACATGGTTTTTTGGTCTTAATTTAATCTCACTGTACAACTTTTGTGATTTTAATCATTCTTTTGTGTATTGTATACAGGAAGTACCAAAGGTCCCGGGATTCAGGTATACGTGTCCCCCTTCAGGAAGATCTTTATAGATTTATATCGTTCCAAATGATGCATGCATGTATATCTCCATCTTACCAACTAACCTTTTTGTTTTGAAGGCATTACTGCAGGCCATTGAGCATGAACTTGAGGTGACTGTGCGGGTCCATGAAGTGCGATCGGAATATGAGCGGCAAATGAAAGAGTAAATTCTCAAAGTTTCTTGCGACCTACACATTTTCTCATAGCACATTGAATATTTCTGCTTTTGGCATTTGCATTTATCAATTTTATCTTTTTTTTTTCTTGTATCTAATACTGTAAGTCTTATTGCATATTTAGTTCATCACTGCTTCAGATGGTGTGATTCTTGATTTCGAATATTTTCAGGAGGGTGAAAATGGCTGATGAGATACAGAGACTGAAAGAAGAAGCACTTATTGCAAAGCAGCAGAACTTGAGGTATAAAATGCACAGCTGAAAAATGTTTTATTACATGTCGATTCTCTTGGCATTAGTTAATTCTTACAATGTAACTTCTTTTGGTTTTATTCCATTGTAGCAATTTTCCAGAGACAATGTCTCCCGGCGCCAGATCTTCGAGAGTTTTTGCTCTCGAAAACATGCTTTCGACTTCTTCAAGTACACTTGTTTCCATGGCATCTCACCTTTCCGAAGCAGAGGAGCGCGAAAAAGCATTCAGTGGCAGAGGAAGATGGAACCAAGTTCGTTCTTTGGCTGAAGCGAAGAATGTCATGAATTTTCTGTTTAACTTGGCTTCCTCCTCCAGGTACAACATCCTCTTGTCTTACATGGTCCCATGTTTCAATGAAGTTTAGCATGTCTCGGAAATCCATCGATAACAATTGCTTTTCCACCAAACCACAGATGCCAACTAACAGATAAAGAAGTTGAATGTAGAGAAAAGGATTCCGAAATTAGAAATTTGAAGGAGAAAGTAGTGAATTTGGTTCGACAACTCGAGCAGCAAAAGGTTGAGCTCAGTCGCCGTGATGGCCATGTTTATGATTTGCGACCGAAGGTATGTTTGTTTGCGGGTTTAAGTTTTTTAACACTAAAAATTTGAATTTGACTAATTGTTTGATATGTGAAATTTTTTAATATAATACTTTCTCTATCCCATAACAACGTATCCATTTTCATTTTTAATAATTGTATTATCTACTAACATTACAAATATCCTTTCAATTTACAATATATTACAAAAATATTATTATTCTTATTTTTTCTATATTTCAATATAATATTAATATTTTTAAAACATCGTTTAAAAAATAAATGGATAGTTAAATATGAGATGGAAAGAGTATAAAAAATAAAAAATAAGTGCTATATTGATGCAATGCAATTGGTTTCCTCTACTTCAGGGACTCCGCAACTCGATTGCTTTCGGTAGCGGCACGGGCAACGGGCTTGAGCTACAGGAAGACATGGTTACATCAGATGACGACGACGACGAGTGGGAAAAGACGAAGGAAAGGAGAAAACGGCCAGCGAAGAAAAGGAATTCACGATCAAATAGCCAAGAAACACCTGCCCAGTTGGAACAGCAACCGATCATAATTCTCTCCACGCCGGAAGCGCCATGCTGCACGTGCACCAGAAGCTCATACTGCAAGACGTCGAGATGCGAATGCCGAGCAGCGAACGGGAACTGCAGCCACTCGTGCAGCTGTGAGCCCACGAGATGCAGCAACAGGGGAGCAGCAGCTACAACAACAGACAACTTGTTGCAGCCAGAACTGATTGACATTAGCGGGGATACTTCCGGGACGGACGAAGAACGAAGCCGCCACCTCGCCTCTCACGGCGCTAGGCTTCTTCAAACTGCGTTGTCTGATAAACCGTTGTCTGAAGGAGGCAATGCTGCTGCTACTACGAGGAAGCCATTGTCGGACATTGGGAATAATGTGGCGGTAAGTTTGCTTGTAAGGAGTATTATTCGTAAACTTGTGGGTAGAGCTACTAAACGAGCCGAGCGAGCTCGAGTATTGGTTATTCAAGCTCGACTCGAACTTGTTAATGGTACAGGTTCGGCTCGGCTTGGCTCATTAAGAATTCAAGCCAAAATAGTGCCTCGAGTTCGGTTTGAATTTTATACCTATTCTATGTATTTTTTAATATATAAATTTTAAATATATTAAATTTGATTCATAATTTTTTAAAATAAAATATTTAAATTTTAATAATAAATGTAAATTGATATTAATATATAAATCATATAAATTCTATCTTTATAAACGAGTTGATTCGTTTAACAGCTCTACATGTGGGTGGTTCTTATGTGTTTTCTTGTCTCAGGCAAATTCGGGCATACCTAGGCCTAATAATGCTGCGAGGAAAAAGTGGCGGAGATCGGTTATTCAGCTGGTGCCTGCGACACCACCGGCGACTACTACGACTACGACTAGTATGGATGTGGAGAATGGTGAGGCGAAGGGAGTGGGGAGTTGGGAAGGCGATATTCCGTTGAAGTTGCCGAGAGCGATGAGGTCTAATAACAACAACAGTATTACTAGTCAGCAGCAGCAGCAGCTTAAAGAGAGGAACTGTGATCCACAGGAGTCGGGAGTCGTGGACAATTCGACGATGGAGATTGGTGGGAGTAAAGATGGGAAGGAGAATCGGAGGATGGAATGATTGATTGAAGTTGTTGCAGGTATGGTAGGTTGTTTTGTTGATTCGATTATTTTGGTATGGTTGTGGTTGTGGTTGGTGGATGATTGATTGAGTGAGTGATGTTTGGGTTGGGAATGGACATTGAGTATGATTGATTATTATGGTTATGGTTATGATTGTCCGTGAAAGGACTTGAGCGAGGAATGAATTGGATGACTTATCATGGTGTATCGATGAATGACAACTTGTCTAGTGTTAGACTAGTTGTAGTACACTACTGTGTTTGCTTGCATAATTATTATTATTATTATTATTATAATCTCCTTGTTTTGGATTAGATTTAGATTGAGGTTAGATTATATTTTTTTTCCGTCATTTAATTTTTGTGCTCATTTGACCGAATTTTAAGAAAAATAATAAAAATAAAATTTAGATTACAAACAAATGAATATAAATTTAAATGATTATTAATATAATTAAAAAAATTTAGAATAAACGATATACTCTATAAAGTAATATTTTAAATATGAACATATATTCTTATTTCACATTTCACAGAATATATGTCATCTGTATTTTTATTTTGTTGCACTTTTTACCGGTACTATTATTAAAAATTTTCAAATCAACATTGTAATCAAACAGCTCAAACAAACATCCTTAAAAACTTGTTATTAGTTCTTCAAACCTAAAAAAAAAAAAATCTATGAGGGGCTACAAATGTGTGTTCTGATTTGAAAATACAACAATATATGTATGTATTATATATATAACTACGAATGCTAATTTTACCCAACCATTTTCACATAAGAATGTGAATAGAATGAACAAAAACAAAAATTATACAACATAAAACATCAATCCATAATATGATTCAAGAGGATAAATAAATTCCAAGCAATACTGATATCTATCATTTATGCTAATAATTTTTACATAAACAGAAATTTTCACATATAGCATCATTTATGAATAACATTCCCATTACCAGTCACAAGACATAAATAATATTCTTCTCTATGGGATCTTTTAAAACAAGGTCGATGGGGAGGGAGGGAGGTGGAGAATATAAGAAAAAAGAAAGGCCCTGTCTTGTAAATAGAACAAAGAACAATTTACGTGACGGTCTTGGGGACTTTAGATTAGCTCTAGAGTTGGCGTCAAACAAGCTTCCAAAGTTAACGAAAAATTTTACCATAGGGTGATCCGTTGTGATCACCAAACATCCCTCAGGTATCGGCCATCCATCTGAAGTTTCTTAACTATAGACTCTGCCTTTGATGAATCGACATTTTCCTAGAGGCCACATACACAAAATAAATATTACTAGAAGCTGAAATGTGCCATAAATACAAATGTGGGCATTCAATAGCTTGTTAGATTATTGGTGGGGGATGTCTACAAACCTGCGTTTGGACGATGGTGTGCAATGTACGATGAACATCTCTCGCCATCCCCTTTGCATCTCCACACACATAGAGATATCCTTTCTGAGAGATCAAACTCCAAACTTGATCTGCCTGCAATGTGAAGAAGGAATTAATCACAACTTTCTATCAGTAAGTTTTAGGCATCCGACTTAAAAATCCTCAAATAAAAACTCTAAGGCATAAAAACTATAGCTTGTACTGCATCCTGTGAGAAAGTTACTTAATACTCATAATTTATGTATCATTCAAATTTTGTTAGGGTCCTGCTCGCCACTTTATTTCGTAGAGCAACTGGCTAAAGTTCTATTTAAGTTTGATAAATACAAAATATAAATTTCCAGGTGCACAATGCCATCACCATTGGAAAGATAAAGTGAGAAATACAAGGGGCTAGCACAGTTACAAGGGGATATCGTGATAATTCACAAGCAAACTAGTAGCCTACCTTTTCCAGCATCTTATGTTGAACATATTCCTTTTGTTGTCCCTCCCTTGAGAATGCAACAATCAGCTCGGATATTACTCCTTGATCCACAAAATCATTCAGCTCATTTTCATAAATAAAATCCTAAAAACAAAGGTGAATATCCAGATAAAGATTATTAACCTCCACGCTTCTAAATGCAATGATTACATAAAGTGAGAACTATTCTAACCTGACGGCGGTTCCTACAACCAAAAAAAAATAGAGCAGGCCCAAGTTGAGCGCCGTCATTTTTCAGAGCCATTCTTTCCTGGAATATACATTCATTACAAGTGCTTCTCTTCACAAATAAAAGTCATCACCATATTTTGAATCGCATTTTAATACCTGTAAAAATCCTCTAAAAGGTGCCAACCCTGTTCCAGGACCCACCATGACAATTGGAATAGAAGAATCAGCAGGCAATTTGAAATTCGATGGCCTGATAAAAATAGGAGCCCAGCTACAGCTACTGCTTTTCTCCAAGGGAACTGCATGCTGAACATATTTTTGAAAAAGGTTAGCTGTGTCAACCACATTATGAAAAACAATAAAAAATTGGGGCGGCCGTAGTAACCATTTTAGGAGGAAACTCTAAAAATCTCAAAGAACTCCCCAGTTGCCTCCCACTATCCTTACCAATAGTTTGATCCCAATTAGAAATAAGAATTATAAAAAGCTATCAAAGCCAAAATTTCCCAGCCAAAAACAATTTGCACTAACCTTGCAACTTTCTAGAGATAATGAGTAATTTAAGATTGTTAATAAAAAAAAATACAGAAAATTCAAATATTGTACAAGCGGGTGGCAAATGATAATGTTGATAATAAAGATCATTTTTGTGAAACGAGCAAAGCTAGATTATGCATTTTCCTTCAAAAAAGAAGAGATATGAGGCGTTACCGCGTTAGTTCGTTCGCACTCATTATTCTATAGCAAGAACTGAGAACTCATGAAAAAAATTAGGGGTTAAGAACTTCAACAAAACAATCTAAATTTCTGTGTATTCCGGAAAAGTAAAGAGCAAGAAAATGACACCCAGATAACAAGAAAATTTCTCTTCACCACACTCCTAGAAACAGCAACAATCTAGCTGATTTCCTAGTCAAGCATGAAGCTACAAACAGAAAGGAACTTCTTTGCATGGCTATAAGGTCTTCCCCTAGTGTTTTTACTTTTACTATGGAACTAAACCAATCGAAATGTTTTGGTTCTTCCGAACCAAGGTTCCATTGTGGTGTTTTATATTCAGTATTCACTCCCTAAATCTTTATAGAAAAAGTTTTTACACATCAAATGCCATTAATTTAACTTCAAAAAAAAAAAAAAAAACACACACACACACACACACAATTAACATGATTATTATTAATCGGGCCCCCAAGAGAAATAGAAATTCAGAGCACTGGGTAGCATCTTGACTTTTTAGACAACCTTTAGAATTCAAATATTAGAGCATGGAAGATATTTACGAGAACAGTATAATTCAAACAACAACCATATACTTTTTTTCTCAATCTTACATATTCAGCTCCATACCTTCATCCAGGTCGAACACACTCCTTTATGAATTCGGCCAGTCGGACTTGGACCATAAACTAGAGCACATGTCACATGAACACGAGTTGGGGCAAACCTAAACCAATCGAATAAGCACTACAGATCAATATGATGGTGAGTTTTCATTAAAATCATTTTGCATTTGGGTAGTTCAAGCACTCTTGAGCCAAAAAAACTAAAATATACCTTGGAGATGAAGATATAGAATAGTAGCGTGGCTGCAGACGTGGAGCAATTGCAGCAAAAAATACCCCAAGTGGAGGTTTTGAAGAAGGAAACTCAGCCATTACCTCAAGGAGACTTCTCTGACTGCCAACAACCCATTGTGCATACTCATCCTAAAATATACATGTATAAGAGATTAATTTAAGACTTTATTAGTTCATCAGGCATAACAAGCCAAAGTGTTTACAGCTCTCGGCCTTCACATTCCAACACCAGAGTAATAAGAACAAACTTGAAAGAGAGAAGATTACTCTACCTTTCCCTGAGGGGATGCCAAGAATTTAAGCTTTTCAGCTTCATTGGTTTCAGAAGCATGTGCGGCTAATGCAGTCAAAGCAGCCTGGAGCCATATTCAAGGGGTTTGACCGGACCAAGAAACCCATATTCACAAATCTCAGATGATGGGCGGAAAAAAAGGTAGACATAAAGAACATGAGGAGGAAAAATTAACACCTTTCGAGGTGGATTCAACAGGTCAGCGTGGTGTGCCAGTGCAGAACGAAGTGTGCAGGGGCCAGGAAATGGAGGTGGTAATGAACCTCCAATTGGAGAGCCATCATCCTTGTCAGAGTGGATGGAAAATAGTAAATCCAAAGGCTGTCCCAATAGTTTAGATGCTTCTTCGACAGTTTCATCGCAATTTTCAGCAAAAACACCAACATGATCTCCAGTCTCATATCTGAGAACAAAGGACAAAAGAAGGATGATCATATTCTATACCACACCTGAAATAGTTAGGGGTATACATAACAAAGATAGTAAAACTAACAAACACAAAAAGTTACATGAAAGTATAAACTTTATTTGAGCAGGTTAAGGATATTATATACATGTAACAAGGGTATTGATTTAGAACACATAATTGAATTATAAATGCAGTGTACAGTCAGTCCAAATGCTTTAGTGAAACATCAATTCTTACATAATACACATTGAGGTTTGGAATTGTAAAGCCACCGAACCTAGTTAATGATGGTGATTGTGTTTCAAGTAACTTTGCAACATATTCATTCATTGAATTTAAGTTAACAGGTTTACTGGTGAGCAGTTCTCAGAGTATGCACAAGAACGGAAGAGAGGCCAAAATAAATGACAACTGTTAGAGAAGACAATGTAATGTAAAAGACTTACACTATACCAGTTCCAGATATGTCAAACTCCAGATGTATACATGAACGGTCAGATTCAGGGGTGTGAAGTTCTCTCTGAACAGCAACATTGACTCTTCATGAGGCAAACAGTAAGCTAGTTAGTGAACAGAGGCAGATACACATGCAAAGAAAACAGAATACCTGCAAGGGTGATGAAGATCATATGAAGCATCCCCATTAGCAACAAATGCATGATTGTCATCATAAGATGGAATAGCAGCATCATGGATCACAACTCTATATTCTGGTATTGCAGCTGTATAAGGGGTAGAGACAGAGTCCAAACTTTCTTCACCCCTCAGAATTTGATCTAATTCAGGCCATAGTTGCTCTTTCCTAAAGACAAACCAGATTCTAGCCATTAGCAGCAAGTATTGTATTCATAGTGTATTCATGAGTGTAAATAAGCATTAAAAAAAAGGCATCGTCTCAGATACTTAAGAATTTATTAGCAGAAGGCAAGTATATACCATACCAGGCAGTGAAATCATCTTCGATGCATTGATCATCATCTCCTAGACCTAGTTGTACCAGACGTTTTGCACCTGAAACAACGTAGCAATCAACAGCTGTTAACCTGCCTGTCAATATTGTGCAGAAATATTAAGCATATGCCTAATGAAATGCTATGATGCCCTCTGACACTAAAGCAGAAACTGTTAAATCAACATGACTAGATTACTTGAATACACTTTTAAAAACAAAAAAAGAACTCAATTACTAGAATACACAGTTCAGCACCAGGCTTAGAAATCCATCACAGGGTTTTCCTTCCTCAGAAATAATGACTAGGCACAAACATAAATAAGTAAACAAAAGCATGGAAAACCATGATATGCAAAGTAATGAAAATAATGACCGAGAAGAGCAGGTTAACTCAAGTCTCAAAAGCATGTGAATTTCATCAATATAGTTTACCAAAACTATAATTTCCTTATAAAAAAGCAGTTTCCTTCCTGCCACCACAATAACTTGATAAGTCCGAGGAATTTGTATATACCTAATGTTTTTTGCATGGCCTTCTAGAACAGATAATATTAAAAAACATAAACTAGAACAATAGGCCATATAATGACCATAGCTTGTTCAATATAATATTTGGTAATACAAATTCAGAAAAGGCTAATATAAACTTTAAAATTAAATGTTAACAATAAATCCATGTAGCCAATTCCTCATAGTTAAATCAGAATTTAATTCATGGATCAACAGGGTTGCGTATTTGGACAACCAAACACACATGAATAGAAAATGAGTTTTAAGTTTAAATATATATATATATATGTTAAGTGCATCTTTCTTTATTTCTCAGAAAAGATATTCATCAAAGGCTGAGACTACTGGTTAAACCCTTGGAATATGCTAGTAGATTCATGAATAAGAGACTGGTGTAGAACTAAAATTTTATAAAAAGTAAAACGTGTGTGTGTGTGCCCGCGCCCACTTGAAAAAATATACCTTGCTCACTAAGCTTCTCATCAATGACCTTTCCAATCTGTTTCACAAAAAAAAAAAAAAAAAAAAAAGGACCATTAGACAAGTAATAAGAATGGTTAATGAAATGAAATAAAAGGATAAGCTCAAGAAAATGTTAAACTAGTACTGATGTACTGATGTTATCCCCAAAATTATCGAACCAAGACTACCACTTTTGAAAGAATATTACTCTTAACAAGATACCTTGTTAAAATGTTCATATTGGCGATTACCCAAACCAAATATTCCATAGGAAAGCTGCTGAAGCCAGGGTTCTCTTTCTTCCCCCTATATTATGTACCACAGATGGTCACAATAAAACTAAACCGAGAATGCAATCAACCAATAAAATCATCTAACTGACCTCAGTGAACCATTTATAAAATCTAGCAGCATTATCAGTTGGCTCACCATCTCCATAACTGTAAAGCATCTCAAGTGATGGAAATAATTTCAGGGAGGAAAATTTTGAAATATATACAATATATATCTTGAGATCAAGTTAATAAGTAATATTATTCATCATCGTTGAGTAAGCTTCAATCCTACTATGAATAATATCATTGACAAGTATAAACGAAAAACAAACTTGTCTTACGTAGCGACCATGAAAAATGCTAGAGTCTCTTTCTTCAGCTTTTCCTCGTATTGGTCGTCATCTTGAGCATAATCATCCTAAAAGAAGAGGAGAAGAAAGACAAGCCATATAACACAATCCGTGATAGACTAAATGGAAAGTATCTTCGTCCAAAACAACATACCATGTCCACAACTTTAACAACCGCCTTATCATATCTTGCCTTGATCTCTTCGGCTAATGCCTATATAAAACACAGCATGTCATGAGCATGTATCAAATATTAACATACCTCATTGCAAGATTAGATGAAACCAAATATAGTAGTGCTATCTGCTCTACCAAAACAAAAGCAACAGAATGCATTTCTTCCCAACTTATACGGTGTCACAAGTGAATTTCATTGTCAAGAAATTACACTAGTGCTACTTGGTACTAATCATTGCCAAATTCATACTTTAAAATCCTATTTTTAATAATATTTCCAGCCTCTTTAAGCAAGTTGGTACTTAATCGGCAATAAGCTCGTGAAACAACCATATTAACCAATGTCACCAAAACCTTCAAGAACCAAAGCATCATCAACTTATTGTCAAAGAAAGAATGATTTTGGAAAACAAAAAATTAAGTTTACAACAATACTGTCATGCTTTGATAAAGAAAGATGAACTCAACAAGCATGCATATTGCATATAGGCTAGAAAGTGTTCTTAAACAAACACTAACCCCGGTCTTGGAAAATAGGGACCAAATCGGTTAAGGGGTTAAATCTTGCTCAAGGGAGTACAAAAAAATAAGGCACAATTCTTCCATTTCAGACACAAGAACCTATCATTTTCCATGCTCGAGAAATAGTTCTGAAATGATATAGAAATCAGCAACTATTTAACGCAACCTTTAATTGATCCAATTCACTTTCTTTGGCTACGAAAGAGGTGCCTAGAGATTATAAGGGGTACTGAAGGCAACATAAGTCCTATTGGTCAATGTGAACCAAATGAAGTAAAATATACTATTCAGTCTTGAGCATAAGTGTGTTTGGTTAAAATCACTACTATTCTACACGTTCAAAATAAAATTATACTGTTATATCTCACAAAATATCACATCAAAAATTCTATCTAAACCAAAAAAATCAAATCAAACCACCAATTTGGAATCAAAACCAAGCAAAGTTCACCATTAACAAGTCAACTAAGAAAACTAAACTCATATACTCATAATAACCCTTCTTGACATTTTTTCAGTATGAAATCAACATGGCAGATAAACAAGCAAACAACAGGTAGCATTTCTCCCAAAGTTCTAACTATCGATTTCACCCAAAAAGGCGAATATATTGCTTCCTGGATACGATCATGGCCGTTTCCCCGACTTTTTTTTTAATCAAAGTCGTGCATTATCCAAAACAGAAAAGTGAAGTAAATTGAATTTCCGGTAAAATCTCTACCAAAATAATACCTTAGCGAATCCCTCGGCGGTGCCGGTCTGCGTCCCGAAGAAGATGGTGAGCTTGGTCTTGTCTGGCCCCACATATTCGTCCTCGTCGTCGTCCTTGAGCGAGACCGGCTTGGGAACGACGACCTGCCTGGCATCCTTGCTTCTATTATCGCCCGATCTCTTCCAAAGAAAGACGAGCAGCCCCAAAATCACGGCTACTGAGGTGGTAAGCACCAACACCACAGTCTCGTCCCCGAGCTTGACCCCAAGGGCTTGCTCGACGGATCTCAACAGCTCCAGCCGCGAATCCATTGGAGATTTCGGATGGTGCCGGCCGGCCGGAGACGGCGCTTGGATGGTGGCGTTGACTGTCGGAAAGTGGGTCGGTGCGGATCAAAAGGGCTCCTCCTTTTTAGTTTTTCCTTTTCCTCCGCAGAAAAATTTTCAATTTAGGCAAAAATTAATTAATTGTCAATTTCGGGTGGATACGTATTTGTATTTGTATTTATATTTATTTTTACTATTTTTTTATTTTTATACGTATGTGCGTTCTAGTGTATGGTGGATTCCAAAACTTCCGTTTTCTTTTGAAAAACTAAGATGGATAATATTATATTATCCGATCCAATTTGTACTTATTGTGTACTTGTGTTCTATATAATTGAAAATTTTAAAAATAAAAAATAAATAAATAAGTATTTCAAATATTTAAAAGTATTAGTTATTTAGCAATAAAGTATAAAAAAAATAAATTCGAAAAGTATAAAATTTTATAATAAAAAGTATGAAAGTTTTTAGATTTTTTTTTTTTTTTATGGTATATGAAATTATGTATTGGTAATATAAAAAATATATATTTTATTGAATATTTAACTTTTTATAAATACAAATTGTATGTTTTTTTTCGTATTTTAATATATTTGGATTTCTGTATAATTAAATGTCCTCTATAATAATATTTATTTTTATAATTATTAATACAATTTAATTTATAATATTATTTAATTATATTTAATAAAATATCTAAATTATATTTTTTTTTTATAGATGCTTGAAAGTATTTTATATAAATGTAATGATATTTTTTTTATATATTTTGATTTTATTTATAGTATATGTTAATTTTTAATCAATACAAATAAATTGATAAGAATAATATAAAATATATTGTTAAAATCTATTTTATAATTTTAAATAAAAAATTAATAATCTTTAATATATTATTACATATTATATTGCTATACTTAAAAAAATTGTATTAGTATAATTTATAATAAAATAATGAAAGGTATTTTAGGTAAATAAAAAATAATATTATATAAACAAAGTAAATATATAATATAATTTTATCGAATATTTAATAATGCAAAATAAGTATTTATCAATCAATTAATTATATAATTCACTAAAATAATTTATTTATTTTTTTTATAAATGTTTTTTTCTTTTACTCAAATTTTTTTAGTATATTTTTTATAAAAAAAGTAAATATTAATTACACTTATTATTTTTATATTATATATACAATTTTTTATACTTCTTAAAAAATATTCTTTCAAATCAAAACACAACTTATGTTTTAAATATATGAAATTTATAAATTAAAATAACTAAAACTAAATCATAAAAAAAACACTATAGACATAAATTAATATGCTGGAAAAATTTGATAATTATAATTTCTTATTATTAGAAAGAAAATTTGTAAAATAAAGAAAATAATTAAAAAATTACTATAATAATATACATCATTTTCTAAATGATTAAGAGAATTATATTGATTTTCAAATTACAAATAAATTATAAAAATTTTGTTTATTTTCTTAAAAAAAAAAAAAAAAAAAAGACACATTCATGTATTACATCACATTAAAAATAAATTATTTTTTGAATTATTATATTTTTTATATTAAATATGAGAATTATATTGATAATCTTTCGTAATTATTATTTAAATGATACAATATATATTTATTTTAAAAAATTGATATTTTTTTATATTTTTAACGCACTTATCATATTTAACATAAAGAATATATTTATATATATATAAAAAAAAACACAAATAAACCAAATTCAATATTTTATTTTAAATTATTGATTTTTATAAATAAATAAAATATATATTTATATATATATATATTGTATTTATGATAAATATACATACAATGATGTGTTTCTTTGGGATTTGAATTTTTTTTGCTAGAATTTTAAAAATAAATATTTAAAATTTAAATAAATATAAATAAATGTTTATGTAATGAATATAAAATTAATTTTTAATGTAATATAAAAAATAGGTAAAATAACAAAAAAACTCCGTGGTTTACTAAATCTGGTGAAAATCCTCGGTAGTCTTAAAATTTCAAAAAACGGTTTGTAAAATGTTACAAAAAAATCCACCTTCTATTAAGATTTAACGGACGCGCCTAAAATGCGATTTTTGTGATATATTTCTGTATAAAATTATTAAAATATTCTTATTGACTATATTTTACAACAATTTTTTCATATTCGTTCTTTTCTTTCTTATTCTTCTTATTTCATCTTCTTCCTCATTCATTTTTTTTTAATTTTAAATCCGCTAAACACAACATAAATTTACCAAATTTATCAATATTAATTGACGGGACATGGAGATGGAGATGGAGATGAGAATGCGTGGATTTCTTTCTTTCTGTTTTATCAAACCCAAAAATACTTTTTCTGTCTAAAAATTCAATTTGACATGAAATCAATTTAAGAAGAAAAAAATTGGGGAAAAAGAGCCGTTTCTATCCGTCATCTTCTTTCTCTTTTTATTCTTTTGCAATTCTTCATTCTTCAATGAAATAAAAAAGAAAAAAAAAATTGGAGGAAAAAGAAGAAAATAAATAAACGGGTGGAACTGTATGGCCTGAAAAAGAATTGAAAAAGAAAAGAGAAAAACTGAGGAAAAAGAAGAAAAGAAAGAAGCTGGGAACTGCTTGACCTAAAAGAATTAGAGAAGAAGAAGAGAAAAATTGAGACAAAAGATGTGTGAAGAAGAATTTGGGGAAGAAAAAAAGATAGAAGAAAGAAGTTGCGGAAAAGAGAAGAAAAATGAACATAAGACAGAAACTATAGGAGCGAAAAAAGAACATAGGACAGAGAAACTACAGGAGCATAACAGTCTAAATTTAACGGCGTCAGTGTGATTTAAAAGGAAGACGAGTGTGCAATGTTTTACAAACCACGTAGATTTTTTGGAATTTTAGGACTACGGGGATTTTTAACAGATTTGATAAATTGTTTTTTGCTGTTTTGCCTAAAAAATATATTTATTTGATATGTTTTGAATGTAATGAATAATAAAAATTTAGTCAAATTTAAAGAGCACCCCAAATTTACTAAAAATGTAAATTTTACCATAAATTTGTACTATTTATTTATTTTTTTCTAAAAAAATGAAATAATTATATTTTTATATTATATTACAAATTTATTTTACATTTAAAATATTATATCAATACTTATTTATACTGAGTCAAACGATCAAATTTAATTTTTTACCATTAAAAATTCAAACCCACAAACAAACCCACCGAAAACTTTTAAAGGTGTGTTTGTTTGGAGTTTGGATTTTGAGTTGGGATTTGAATAGTAAAAATTTTGAATTTAAATAGTGATATAAATAGGTGTTGATACGATATTTTAAATGTAAAATTGATTATTTAGTATAATAAAAAAATAAAAAATAGGTGTTTAATTTGATATTATTTTTAAAAAAATTGAATGAATAAAATAAATCTAATCCAATCAAATCCCCCGAACAAACACACTCTAAAAAAATTCAAGCAAACACATCCTACGCAAAATGGAAGGTTCCTTACTGTGTACCCACGCTCACCGGATTCCAACCCAGCAGCTCAGAACATACCCGACCCTATATATAAACGGGTCGGATTATTCGACTCGCACGCTGTCCCAGATCCCATTCAGTCATTAGTCTCGTCACTGCACGATTTCAGTCCATTATTATACACAAAATATTATATACATTTCTGTCTCTCTCTGTGTATATATATCACAATTACACCCCTTGTACATCTCTCTGACTACCTTTCCGTTCTCTAAATTCTTTCGCAAAATCGAACGCTTGATCTTCCAGTTCTTGAATTTCGGAATTGATTTTTCTATTTTCCGATTGAAGGTCAAGCACCTATATTGATTGATTCAGTTGCCGGGCAGATGAAGGCATGCAGTGGCAATGCGTTCCGGTTGTAGACACAAAATTGGGGTGGATCGGCTGGAGAATTTGATTGGGAAATGGGAGCTTCTCCGGCCAAGTTCTTGTTCGGATTTCTGTTTGTGTCCATCGTCTTATGGATTATGTTCGTGTAAGTCATCCATCGTTCGCGAAATTCTTACTGAATTGTGTTTATTAACTCGACTGAAATGTGTCCGATCAAGTTGACGTTAGCTGTCGTGCTGACCAATTAGTTTGTGCGGATTTGTGTTGCCTTTGGAAGAGGAGGTCTGCGGTTGGGCTTGCTATGGCCACTGCTCTGTTAGTGCTAGTTATAGGAGCATGGGACCTATGCAGACAACGTTTTGCCTGTGTTTTGTTTTGCGTTATTTATGTTAGAGAAGTTTATTTGACTGTTATCTATTTGTTTATTTTTTATCATGTTTACTCTGGATATTAAGTGATCAGATGCCCCTGGGACTCCATTGGGGGCTGGGGTGGGGGTGGGGGTGGGGGGATGTTTGCTTTGTGGTCATGGTATGCCTTCTTGCTTTTTGTAGCCATACTCTCTTCCATGGATTTCTAGAAAATTGGGCTGCGTTGGATCTATTGATGTTGAATAAAGTTGTATGAATCCTGCGTGAGCACAATTATCCAGCTCCATGACATAGTGGAAGGTGAAGATTGAAGCCTTGAAATGAACATAGGAAGTTGGCCAAGCTATAGACCTAAATTAACCTAAGTAATTCCTGACAGGTCACTAAAACAGGGGTATTCACATGTGTTACTGACCTATAAGCTGAAGAAGAAATATGCATTATATGTTTACGGGAAATTGAAACCCACATAATTTTAAGTTTATATTCACCCGTCTGCATGGAAACACCACAGCTAATAAACAATTATAAGTTTACGGGAAATTGAAACCCACATAATTTTTATGTGTACCCTCTTATTCCTCTGCAAGAAATTAGCTTGACTGTTTGGTGATTTCTTCGTTCCCGTTGTTCTGCCATTAAGTGAACTAGGTCATCAAGGTAAGCAGAACACCTATTGAATAGATCATCTAGGGAGTTAGCTGAGCCCTATTAGCAAGGCCTTTTGGACACAATATATCACATTTATATCAGTTGACGAGGATGCTATACAATTTTTTGAATGTTATGTATATGTTGCTGTTAAATTTCAATAAGTTAAATATGATTAGGTTGTTTATTAACTTGATGCACACTGTTTCAGGTTTGCTTCCAGGTTACTGGCATGGATTCTCAGTCGGCTTATGGGGGCCTCAGTTGGATTTCGGGTTGGGGGTTGGAAATGCTTGAGAGACATTGTTCTGAAGTTTAATAAGGTGTCCATTTTTGGTCATGTTTGTGAAATAAACGGAACTAAAGTATCACCATAGTTCATTTAACATTACAAAACATGAATTTAGTCACAACCTACAATAGCTTGAGAAACAAAAAGAAAACAAAGTAACCCACAAAAGATGAAGAGACGGTAAGGGTGTGTTCACTTGTGTTTTTTTAGGCTTTTGTGCCTTTTGGTTTGATGTTTTCGAGGTAAGATAATTGCTGGATGTAATACATTGAATAATAAAACTGGGTGTTGGATGTGAAAAGTGTGTAAAGTAAAGCAGAGTTGAAATCTCTGATATTAAGGGCATAGCTGAATAATGGCATTGTATCTACTTGATGAATTTTGAATCATTTTTTATAGAGCAACTAATCACTGAAATCTTTATTTGCATTTTTGGTTGGCCTCATGATCAGGGTACAATTGAATCCATATCCATTGGAGAAATCAGGCTAAGTTTGCGACAGTCTTTGGTTAAGCTCGGGGTTGGTTTCCTTTCTAGAGATCCAAAATTGCAGGTGTTAATATGTGATTTAGAAGTAGTAATAAGGCCTTCAAAGAAAAGCACTCCGAAAAGTAGGTCAAAAAAGTCCCGCAGCTCAGGCAGAGGAAAATGGATGGTTGTGGCTAACATGGCAAGGTTTTTGTCAATTTCTGTGACCGAGTTCGTGTTAAAGGTAAGAAACGTGTGTTAACAAAATCCTTCTGTTTTGATTATCCAATCTCTGTTTCAGCACATATTGCCAAAACTTTGAGATTTTTTTGCTTACTAGATTTCTATCAGAACATTGTTGGCCTTGTTTGTGACGAATAGCATTAGACTTCTTCGCAATTAGACCAATTGAGGATACCTGTAGCACTCTTTCTGATATCACACATGATTTTATTTATTCTTTTTTTATGGATTCTCTAGGTAGATATGTACGTAGGTCTCTGCATGTGAAGTTCCTTCTCTTCTGTTTATATGTTCTATAGATTTATGTGGGAAAATTTTTGCTGATATATTATGAAGATTCGTGAATGGATATATTGCAAGAACAGCTTCAGAAAGAACCAAAGTTAATGATATTAATGAATGTTGCTTTCTGTTTAATTAGATTGATGTTGGCAGTAAACAATGCTTTTTCAACAGATATGATTATTATTTCAGATGAATGCATGCGGTGTAGAGAATTATGATGGATGTTGCATGCTACACATCAATAAAGTATTTAGCAGTGAAATTTGATATACACCAAGAAGTTGTTACTTCTAAATCACAACTAAGAAAATCCAACATGGTGGTTTAGCAAGAACTCAGGGCTGAATTTATTTGATTTTGTCTTCATATTTAAGGCACAATTGAAGTTGAAAGAAGTGATCAACATCATGGGAAATCTGAATAGAAGATTTGGTAACATTAAGATATATGTTGATGAGGTGTATCTTGGTGTCTTTCACAAACCATGTGTGTTAGTTAATCTCATCTCCTTGGGGATGTAATCTATCACTTTGAAGATTTTCTATAATGCATGTTTTATCGAGCTGAAATTTGCAGTCTTCTGGTGGTTTGATTAGAGTTTCTAGCATTATTCTTGTCGTTGTGTAAAATTTCAGTGTAATTTATTATTCAATAGTTTTTAATATTTCATGTTGCAGTCACCCAAGGCTATTTTGGATATTAAAGAACTGAGAGTAGACATAACCAAAGATGGTGGTTCTGAAGCTGGCTTGTTTGTAAAGCTTCTGATTTTTCCTATTAATGTACACCTTGGTGAATCGCGAGTAACATCTGATCAGCTCATAAATTCTGGTGGATCTTTCACTTTTAACCAGCCCATTGATGGGGCTTGTTCTCCTTTCAGATGTGAAGAATTGTCTCTCTTGTGTGAGTTTGGTCATGATAGGTATGCTTTTCTTGTTTACTTCCACTATCTTAGAAGTTTTTTGGAGGAATTGATATTGCAATTTTGCATGTCTTCCATATATTAGTTCTGTCTAATACCATTGTTGTTTCACAATATAATAATATAAATAAAATATACTACCAATGTCTTATGCTGTGTCGCTTTGTTTTATCCTCACTCTTTTGTTTTGTCGCATTGTTCTATTTGTCACATCCTCCTCTCCATTAATAAATAAAATATCCTTTCTCTCTCTCTCTCTAAAATAAAATAAAATAAAACAGATGAATACATAACTAAGAATGAGGGTTTCTGGGTTTACCATAACTAAGACGTCTACATGGGACAAAAAAACATAAAGGTTTCAAGCGCATAATTGAAGTTCTTGAAGTACTACTGGTTTCTCAAAGTTTTATTTATCTTTCCCTAGTCTTTCTTTATTCATTCATTTATTTATTTATGTATTTTTATTGTTTTGCATCCTTCCTTTACAAGAAAAAAGAGGTGATTATTCTTTGTAAGTACTACTTATTTAGTTTTGGAAGCTCTAGACTGTATAAACCTTGAATTGGAGGGCAGTTCATTGTCTGGTGGTAATTGAACAAACGAGCCTTTCAGTAACAAACTATTTTTTATTAATACGGATGGTGCAGGGAATCAGGTGTAGTTGTTAGGAATTTGGAAGTTTCAATTGGGGAAGTCCACATTAACTTAAATGAAGATTTACTTCTCAAAGAGAAGGATTCGTCAGACCCTTCTTCTCAAACTTCCTCACAAGTGGTACAAGCGGATAAGGAATCTGGTTCTGCTAAAAAACCACAGCGAAAGCAAGCTTTGCCTGCTGTATTCAAGCACACTTCTATATTTCCTGAGAAGGTTGATATTATTTTAGTGCTTGACATTGCTTCTCAGTTTTTCTGTATTTCTTGCCTCATATTCTTCATGAATTCATATATATTCTGGAAAGTAGAGAACTTTTATTCGGTAAGATAGTTTAGAATTTAAAAACTTAGGAAGTGGTAGATGAACATGACTTCGAAAGCTGGACAAAGTGAAACAACAATAAATGAACTTGAGAAAAGTTCATTCCAACCATGCAGACAAGTTGGCCAAAGTATATCCACTTCAGAGGATGTGTTGGAGAATGATAACTTGGTATCTTAGGGGTAAAATGGGCTTCATATTTATTGTGTAATTATGGATGATGATATTACTACAAGATTACAAGCAAGATGTACACACATTCACTTTGATTACTTTACTCTATGTGTTCCATTCTCATGCCTTGTTGAGGCATATATATATATATATTATATCAGTATGAATTTTTTTTTGTTAAGAGAAAGATGTCTTCAAACAGCTAGGGGAACTAACTACCAGAATTACTGGTTTATTTGTTACTTGGGTGGATCCCAAATGAACCTCTATTAGATGCTTGAGTAACTCTGGATGTGGCTAGGATGAGGTTTTTGTAAGAGGTGCAAGCCTAGTAGTGTCTCATTAATTACATCATATATTTCTTTTTTGTGTAAATGGGTTATGCTTTTCCCTGTCTGACCTACTTACCGAGTAACTTTGTCATTATTGCATGCCAAATGCTCGATAAAGCTTTTCTAACCCAACAGTTTTCCAATCTTGGTGTCTCGTTGTCACTTTTCACTGCTCTTGTTGAAGTCTTAAACCATATAATTGTGACAGATATCATCTTTAGATGTTTTGTGTGTTTTTTGTGTTATAGGCCTCCTTCATTCTACCTAAACTTGATGTGAAGATTGTACATCGGAGTTATGGACTTTTGGTTGAGAATGACATTATGGGAATCCAACTAAAATGCACGAAATCTCAAGCTGTTGAAGATGATGAGAACATAAGACTTGATCTTCAGATGGAGTTTAGTGAGATCTATGTAAGGCATATAAATTCAAACTTAAATTATTTATTCAAACTTTTATGTATCTCATATTTTACTAATACAGTCTACATGCTGTAGCTGCTCAGAGAAGCTGGCGTGTCAGTTGTGGAAATACTGAAACTTGATGTTGTTTCCTCCACTTACATTCCACTAGAGGTATGGTTAGCTACAAATCTGGACTCCCTTTTGATCTTTTGTCTTAAAGCAGTGAAGCACTAACTGTTCCAAGCTAGTAGTTGTTCTTCCGAAGCCAAAGCACTAATTTTAGAATATATACTGAATAAAAATTTCAACTTATCTTCTTTTGTTTAGAATATACATATATATATATATCATAAAGTAAAGTGAGAGGAAGAAGTTACTCCATTCATGGTACAATTAATCATGCTTCGGTTGATGAGTTTATTAGGTAACATGACGTGCTGTGGGTGCAATTCGTGTATTGGTAGATTGTTGACGTCTAGATATGCACCATTCACTTCTTTGTATTTCTTCTTGTTTCTTTTCCTGTTCATGTCATGATCATTGATTTGACTATGTTCTTTTTTGCAGCCTAACTTTTCTATCAGATCTGAAATTGATGTTATGCTTGGAGGCACACAATGCAACTTACTTGTGAACAGATTAGAGCCATGGATGCAAATTCGCTTGCCGCGTAAGCAGAAAAAAGAACTGTTGGAAGAAGGTACTGTAAAAGAAAAATCAAAGTCATCTGAACAGAAGATAATCTTGTGGACATGCACTCTTTCAGCCCCTGAGATGACTGCTGTCCTTTATAGTTTGGATGGCATCCCACTTTACCATGTAAGAATCTTCCCGGAATGAATTTCATGATCTTGTATTACTCTCAACTGATTTTTTTTCCCCTGCATCTTTTATATGGTATGTATTGAAGATTTGGATATTTTTCACAGCAAGGATGCTAAGATAAGGGCTTAATAAATGATATAGGGCTTTTTCCTTAAAATATGGGCATTAGAGGTAACTGGTTAAGTAGAAAAGTGGTTATGTTTGGGGTTTATCCTTTGGCAACATTTCCTGAATTTTACTGTAATATTCTATTTCTTGGAAACATGCAACTGTTACGATATTATATAAAATGTGCAGTTGGAGGTGCCAATGTTTTCTGAGGGCATGGGTGATTATACTTTGTTACATTAGCTAGTTATGGTTTTGTTTTTCCATTCTACATCTTATTTTATTTTATTTTGCTCTCCTCTCTATCCTAATTTCTTTTGTCATTTTTTCTTTGAAAACCCTGCAGGGCTGTTCACAATCTTCACACATATATGCTAACAACATATCTGGCACAGGTGCAACACTACACATGGAGCTTGGTGAACTGAACTTACACATGTCTGATGAATATCAGGAATCTCTGAAAGAAAGCTTGTTTGGCGTGGAAACAAATACAGGTTCATTAATGCATGTTGCTAAGGTTAGTTTGGACTTGGGCAAGAAAGATATGGATTCACCTGAAGGTGGTTTGAAAAGTAAGTTGGTGCTTGGTGCTGATGTTACTGGTATGGGTGTGTACTTGACCTTTCGGCGTCTTGAATCACTGATATCAACTGCTTTATCCATGAAGGCCTTGGTGAAAAAGTTATCTGCTTCAAGTAAGAAACCAACACAAATCAAAGAAACAAAGATATCACGGTCGTCCGGCAAAGGGATCCGCCTTTTGCGATTCAATCTTGAAAGGTGCTCTGTGAATTTCCATGGAGATGTGGGCTTGGATAACGTTGTTCTTCCAGATCCGAAACGTGTTAATTATGGATCCCAAGGTGGTAGGGTTTTAATTACCAACTCTGCAGATGGAACCCTCCGCACTGCTCATATATTGCCTACAGTTTCAGAAGAATGCAATACGCTGAAGTATTCTTTATCACTTGATATTTACCACTTCAGCTTTTGCATGAACAAGGAAAAGAGAACCATACAGGTGGAGCTTGAAAGAGCTAGGTCATTTTATGGGGAATTTCCTGAAGACAAGAATTCTGGAGGAAAAATTTCATTACTTGATATGCAGAATGCAAAGCTCGTTAGGCGATCCGGAGGTCTTAAAGAAATTGAGGTCTGCTCTCTCTTCAGTGCCACAGATATATCTTTAAGGTGGGAGCCTGATGTGCACATCGCATTATTTGAACTAGGGTTGTCTCTGAAGTCAATGCTGCATAGTCATAAACCTCAAGCACATGATGATGGGCAGACAATTCACCAGATGAAAGATAATGAGCCAAAGGAGACATCTTTGGGTTCCAAGAAATCTGAAACACCATCAAAGAAAAGAGAAAACATTTTCGCTATCGATGTGGAAATGCTTAGCATTTCTGCCGAGGTTGGAGATGGAGTTGAAGCATTTATCAAGGTTGAATCTATCTTTTCAGAAAATGCTCGCATTGGGGTGCTTCTTGAAGGATTCATGCTCCATCTGAATGGAGCTAAAGTTTTTAGAAGCAGCAGGATGCAAATATCTCGAGTTCCTAATCCAACTGGAAGTTCATCGGATGGAAAATCTGAAACACTTACTATTTGGGACTGGGTAATTCAAGCCCTTGATGTGCATATATGTATGCCATTTAGATTGGAACTCCGTGCAATTGATGACTCGGTGGAAGAAATGCTTCGAGCTTTGAAGCTGGTGATTAATGCTAAAACTAGATGTATTTTTCCTCAGAAAAAAGATCAGGCTAAACCCAAAAAGGCTAGTTCAACAAGACTTGGATGCATAAAGTTTAGCATACGAAAACTAGTTGCTGATATCGAGGAAGAACCAATACAAGGTTGGCTTGATGAGCATTATCAGCTTTTGAAGAAAGAGGCTCGTGAATTAGCTGTTAGGTTAAGTTTTCTTGATGAACTTATTTCTAGGATTAATGGTGATCCTAATGATTCTGTTGAAGGGAAGATTCACCATAATGAGAAGGTTGATTGTAAGGATGCTTCAGCTATTCAGAAATTGCGTGATGAGATATACAAAAGGTCATTCTGGTCATATTACCAGGCATGCCAGAGCCTTATCCCATCACAAGGATCTGGTGCCTGTAAAGATGGTTTTCTGGCCGGTTTCAAGCCTAGTACAGCCAGAACCTCTCTTTTTTCCATTTGTGCTACTGAGTTAGATTGCAGCATCACAAAAATTGAGGGTGGTGATGCTGGGATGATTGAAGTTATACAGAAACTTGATACAGTATGCCGGGCCCATAACATTCCATTTTCAAGATTGTATGGGGGGAACATCAATTTGCGTGCAGGCTCGCTTGTTGCTCAGATTAGAAACTACACTTATCCGCTATTTGCTGCAACTGGTGGTCGGTGTGAAGGTCGTCTTGTGCTAGCTCAACAGGTCTGCCTTTTTCCTTTGTTTCAATGGGGCATGCTTATCAAATTGATTCAACTAAAAAAAGATAAATAAAATCCCTTGGTCTAACTACCGAATAAGATACTCCTCTATTGTTTTCCTTTATGCTGCGTCAAGTAGAAGTATACCTGTGTCAAAAGGGTATGAACTTACATTGTCTCCATATTCATTGTTTGTATGAGAAGTTGGTGAATTGGTTATACTCCTCACCTGTACCCTTCCACATATAATCTTAAATTTCTATATGCCTCTTATTAGAGTGAGAAAGTGTCGATGACGTGTCACCTATTCAACTTAGGTTTTAGATTAGTCTTTTTATAACTAGTTTTTAGAGGTACACACTATTATAAGTTTAGTCTGATCTCGCCATCACCTTGAGACAAAGTACACTCTGGATGTAATATAATCTGTTAAGATCGGTAACTAAATGTAAATGAAAGTATCACACCACTCTTGAATTACCAAGTCTTTTGGATGAGGTTGCTCAATGCATCTACTATTTGTAATTAAACTGTTTGTCTAGGAGATATCTAGGATTTGAGCTTCCCGCTATTATCTGTGGATTGAAGCAACTTGATGTTGGTAATATATAGTTAAATAGTTATAATGTAGTGTATTAGTTTGAGCACTCCTTTTGCTGCTTAATATATTCAGCTGTCTGTTCATGCTCCACAGTACGTACAAGAATGCGGGCTGCATTTATATGAATGTTTGATCGTGTGATGATTGAACATGATGATGATATGTGATATCTATAACCATAAATTGCTATACACTGGGACCAATACTTAGATGATGTTGTGATTGCATTCTAGTCTGTACTTTAACATTCCTGTTACTCTTTGGTTTTTAATATTGCCGTTCATTTTGATGTTCATAAGCCATGGGCTTGACTTATGGCGTTGTTTTGCTTTTATCATTTTGTAATTGCAGGCAACCTGTTTCCAGCCACAAATTCAACAAGAGGTCTACATTGGAAGATGGAGGAAAGTGCAGATCCTTCGCTCAGCTAGTGGCACAACGCCACCAATGAAAACATATTTGGATTTGCCTATACATTTCAAGAAAGGGGAAATTTCATATGGTACTGGTTTTGAACCTTCCTTTGCTGATATCAGCTATGCTTTCACTGTGGCTCTCCGCAGAGCTAATCTGTGTATTAGGAATCCAAATCCTGTGGTTCACCCTCCAAAGAAAGAAAAGAGCTTACCTTGGTGGGATGAAATGAGAAATTACATTCATGGGCATACCACTTTATACTTTTCTGAGACAAAGTGGAATGTTCTTGCAACTACTGATCCCTATGAAAACTCAGATAAACTACATATTGCTACAGGCTATATGGAAATCCAGCAATCTGATGGTCGGGTTTATGCTTCTGCTAAGGATTTCAAAATATTTGTAAGCAGTTTGGAGAGCTTACTGAAAAATTGCATCTCGAAACATCCTACAGGATTTCCTGCGCCTCTTATTGAAGCCCCTGCATTTGCTCTTGAAGTAACAATGGATTGGGATTGTGCATCTGGGAATCCGCTGAATCATTACTTATTTGCACTACCTAATGAGGGTTTACCTCGTGAAAAAGTTTACGATCCGTTTCGATCAACATCTCTTTCCCTGAGATGGAATTTCTCCTTAAGGCCTCTCTCTCCAAATAATTTCCAGTCACCATCATCTTCTCTTGAGAATGGAGTAGTTCTGGATGGAATTTCTTCCAATCCATTATTAACAGGGAATGCATCATATGATTCACCTACTCTGAATCTTGGTCCTCATGATTTAGCATGGCTGCTCAAATTCTGGAGCTTAAATTATATTCCCCCTCATAAATTACGGTCATTTTCCAGGTGGCCACGGTTTGGTATCCCCAGAGTTCCCAGATCAGGTAATCTGTCACTTGATAGAGTAATGACAGAATTTATGTTCCGAATTGATGCTACCCCTGCATGTATAAGGCACATGCCTTTGCATGATGATGATCCAGCAAAGGGACTAACGTTTAAGATGACAAAGTTGAAATATGAATTCTATTATAGTCGGGGTAAGCAAAAGTTTACATTTGAATGCAAGCGTGATCCTCTGGAACTTGTATATCAAGGTCTTGACCTCCACATGCCCAAAGTGTACATAAATAAGGAAGATTGCACAACTGTTGCAAAAGTAATTCAAACAACTAGGAAAAGGTCACTGACCCTTTCAATGGATAGGATACCAAGTGATAAAAACAGAACCACCAGCTCAGAAAGACATCAGGATGATGGGTTTTTGTTATCATCTGATTATTTTACGATACGCAAGCAATCCCCAAAGGCTGATCCTGCAAGGTTATTGGCATGGCAAGAATCTGGTAGAAGAAATCTTGAGATGACGTATGTGAGATCTGAATTTGAAAATGGTAGTGAAAGTGATGACCATGCAAGATCAGATCCCAGTGATGATGATGGATACAATGTTGTAATTGCTGACAATTGTCAACGGATTTTTGTATATGGTCTGAAACTTCTGTGGACTCTTGAAAATAGAGATGCTGTTTGGTCTTGGGTAGGTGGGATATCCAAGGCATTTGAACCTTCAAAGCCTTCTCCCTCTCGCTTACGTGCGCAAAGAAAATTACAGGATGAAAGCAATGCCTCAGATCATGTGAAGACAAAGAAAAATGATAACCAAAAATCTCACATCATTGACGTCGCAAGTTCTTCTTCCCAGTACATCGAAGCTTCAAAATCTCATTCTTCCCCGTCGAATTCAGAGGCAGTGGAAAATCCTTTTCCTAGTGCAATCAGTAAGTTTAGATTTGCTTTGTCACCCTTCACCCTGGCTACAAAGACATGCACATGGAGCATGTGGATTGTCATGGATGCATCTAGCTTATTTATATTTATGTGATTATTAAATTATTTATTAGTATGTAAGGACCAATAAGTAGTTTTCCCCCCAATGTATATTAACCTTAAAACATATGTAAATGTGCATAAATAATCACTTAACTGTGAATTGATGTGATATTCTAATACTTGTCAAGTGAAAACGACCATCCTTTGAAGCATATTATGTTTCAAAATTGTCTTTGGTGTTCCTGCCATGAATTAAATCAAGTGTTTTACATCAGTGCATCTTTTCATATGTAAGTTATTCATTCTGAAGTTACTAAGCTAAATTGTGTCATGCAGTGAAATACAGCAAAATAGATGATCCTGAAGAGGAAGGCACCCGTCATTTCATGGTGAATGTCATTGAGCCACAATTTAATCTTCACTCAGAGGAAGCTAACGTATGTTTTCAATGCCAATATTGTGTATATTTGTTATATTTAAAAGAATTAAGGAAGAATATAGGGTTTGCTTACTCTTGTATGTGTGTGTGGTTTGGTTTTGATGTTTTTGAGGTGAGATAGTTGTTTGATGTGATGTTTTAAACGAAAAATAGGTTTTTGGATGTTATATTTTTGTAGAAAAATTAGGAGATTGAATAGTGAAAAACAGGTAGAAAAAGCACAAATAAACAAACCCATAGATTACAAGAGGGAAGGCCTGCAACCATGAAAGACTCTTGTAAGTAGCACTTGTTGATTTGTATGCACGTCTCTTGTTACCCATACAGACTCCATAAACCACGAACTGATCTCATAACTAGGACAATATATAGGTTGAGTTGTCTTTTAGTTTGAAAACTGAAATGAACCTTATTTTTTTATCACTTGTAAAATGTTAACTTCTAGATTTCTACATTTTGAGCATTGAAATTCTGAATATGAGTAACAAAGCTGCAAGGAATTCTTCTTCAGAATGCTGTGAGAGTCATAGATGAATTTGAGATTGTTTTGTCATTTTGATTTTTGAATGATAGTCATAAGACAAGAATGTTTACTGAGATCCTGGGATAGATGGTGCCTTTATATAGAATTAAAGTAGTCATCTGAAGAAACAAATGAAAAAAAAACAAAAGAAAATTATCTTCTTTCTTTTGTGAGACTATGTGATCGTAAGTTCATGCTTTGTTTATGTGTGGAATAATTTATGTTACTGTAAACTTCAATAGGAATGAATTATAAAAATGTCTATATAAATAAAAAATAACACATTGTGATATTCAATGATGTTCTAAGCATTGGGAAATGGTTAGCTTTTAAGGGTCCAAAAAAGTGAGTAATGATATTTCGGCCATGTTTATGATTAAATCTCATTGACAGGGTAGGTTCTTACTTGCTGCTAAGAGTGGCCGAGTTTTAGCACGATCCTTTCATTCAGTTCTACATGTTGGCTATGAAATGATTGAACAAGCACTTGTTGGGGAAATGATCCAGCTGCCTGATTCTAACCCAGAAATGACATGGAACCGCATGGAGTTCTCTGTAATGTTAGAACATGTGCAGGCTCATGTAGCCCCGACTGATGTGGATCCTGGCGCTGGACTGCAGTGGCTTCCTCGAATTGGCCGGAGCTCGCCCAAAGTAAAGCGTACCGGCGCTCTACTAGAGAGGGTATTTATGCCCTGTGACATGTACTTCCGCTATACAAGACACAAAGGTGGCACTCCTGATTTAAAGGTTTGTACCTAATTGATTAAGATAAGCTTTAGTTTGTTGAATAATATATTTTGTAGAGCTCTTAATCTAATAACTTGCAGAGCATTTGATTACCGAATTTACATTGATTATCATGAAACTAAATCATCTATATATATATATATATTTTTTTTTTTCAATTTTCAGGTTAAACCATTGAAGGAACTTACATTCAACTCTCATAATATAACAGCTGCAATGACCTCAAGACAATTCCAAGTCATGCTTGATGTCTTGACCAATCTTCTTTTTGCTCGACTTCCGAAGTATGAAATTCTTCAAAGCTAGATTATCATTTTTAATTTCATATTGAAATCTTTTCCAACAACTGCAAGTTATTGTTTAATTGGTTTTGTGGGTTCTCTTATTGGATTTATTATTTGATAATAGAAGTCTTCATATTAACACAAGTGATGTCACATGAATATATATAAATAGATACAATTAAAAGTCTATCAATTTGGGTAAGCTCTAATAATCCTACCCTAATCTGGCTCTATCTAAGCTATATAGACAACGGGACCTTAAAAATTTATATCCTAAGGTACTAAGATATTTGATGAAATATGCCAAGCAAATCTTATTTCCAAAATTACTGTTTGAAAGGTGAAATTTGTGCCCTCTGCACCTTGAACATGAAGCATGTATTATTTATTATTAATAATAACATATGTTACTGAGTATGATGTAGTGGGGATGACCATGGCTAATTTTAACAGTACAAACAGTTGAAGAGAGTGACTTCTGTGTAAAAAAGAATTTAGTTACTCATATTCAGAAAGCCCAATGTCTCAATTTCAATTATACTTAAGCATTCCGGTTCCCCATGCTTTCATCAAATAGTTCTTGCTCTATACTTCCTTGCTAGTGCTGAGTAACATTAAAAGGTGGAATGTAAGCTCGAAAGATTGCCTAGGAGTTGGAACCTAGAATTGAATTATACATTATACTCTTGAGATGCATTGTTAACATGGTGAAGGATAGCTTTATGGACTTTGATTGTTGTTTTATTTCACAAAGTTCATCCGCATAAGCAATCAGATCTTGTAGTTATTCCGAAGTTTGTATTGAAGAGTTTGTTTTCTGATTTTGGGTGGGCTGTGTAGACTACCTGCATGTTGGTTTAGTAATTTCATTTCATGGGCTTCATATGATTTAGTTGATGCCTCAGGCCACGGAAAAATAGTCTAACATATTCAACTGAAGATGACGATGATGTTGAAGAGGAGGCAGATGAAATGGTTCCTGACGGTGTTGAAGAGGTAGAATCGGCTAAAATTAACCTTGAAAAGAAAGAGAGGATGCAGAAGTTGATCCTTGATGATATAAGGAAATTGTCAACGCAGTGTGATATCTCTGCAGATCCACATCCAGAGATGGAAATAGAACTGTGGATGGTAACTAGCGGAAGATTCACACTGGTACGCCTGAATCAATCATATATATATATATATTTATATATGCTATTTTAATCTTCTTGATAATATATTATCTTTTGACGACACAAGAAAAGGGGGTGTGGAATGGTTGTTTATGTATCTTTTAAGAAATAGTTATAAGTTGGGCCATAGGTCTGCTCTTAATTCATTTATGGCAGGGTGTTGCTGCCTTGTTTTACTCATGACTGATGTTCTTGTGAATTGTGGAGAAATTTACTAGTTCATTTTATTCTCAGGTGCAAAAATTGAAAAAAGAACTCATGATTGCACATAAGGCAAGACAGGCTGCATCAACATCACTAAGACAGGCTTTGCAGAAAGCTGCACAGCAAAGATTAATGGAGAAAGAAAGAAATAAAAGCCCTTCTTGTGCTATGCGTATTTCTTTGCAGATTAATAAGGTGGTGTGGGCCATGTTTGTTGATGGAAAATCTTTTGCTGAAGCTGAGATAAATGACATGGTGAGACACTTGAAAACATTCATGTTGTGATTTTTTCACAACCATGTTAGGGCAAGTATCAATTTTCTTATGGAAAAATTTAGTTTTGGCAGCAGACAAATATTACGAATTTTGACCCTGATATATTCAGAGTAAAATGAACTCTTTCCGCTACCTGCTGGAAGAATTATTTAGAATGAATATACTATTATTTCATATATCAGCAATCAATGATGTGCAGTATGGTTATGTTTGATTTAAAAGCTTTAGCTGATGCTGAGGTAAACTGCAGTGCATTTAGTTTATATTAGTTTCTCCTACACTTGCTTTATGGTGCAAAACAATTTCCTGTTTACATTGAGGTCCCAATTTCTTGCTGCAGATCTATGATTTTGACAGAGATTACAAGGATGTTGGTGTTGCTAAATTCACTACAAAGTACTTTGTTGTGAGAAACTGCCTTCCTCATGCCAAGTCTGACATGCTCCTGTCTGCATGGAATCCTCCTGCTGAGTGGGGAAAGTATGCTTCTTTGTTATTCTTTTGTGAATGCCATCTTTTTTAAATTCCTATCTTTTTTGAAGAGTGAAATAATTTATTGATATAAAGAAATATTAACCTTAAAAGACAGTACAGAATATTATGAATGTCATCTTGTTTCTCTAATTTCTTGCTAATTTGCTTTCATTTGTGAACTTTACAACTATAATTTTATCATCTTCATGTTTGGATGGGTTTTTTTTTGGGAAGAGAAAACCTAATCTTATTATTACAGAACAATGGAAAACCCACAATATATAGAATATGTTAAGAAGGGATCTGGACATCCAACACATATTTACCAATGTGGGACAATATTCAACACTCCCCCCTTGAGATGATAATCTCAAAAATTCATATAGGATCTAAACCCAATACGGGCACCATGGCTCTAATACCATGTTAAGAAGGGATTTGGACATCCAACCTAAAACCAATTGGTGATAGGTGGAGTGGCCCTTCACCCCTATATAGTAGGGGAGTTCCCACATATTTACCAATGTGGGACAATATTCAATAGAATAACATATGTTTCTTTCTCCCAGAAGGAAGATAGACACAAAACAGTGCTATAGCTATAGCCAGGTGGAGAGGAATTTGCTGCCCTGTGCTTGCATACTGTTTGTATTCCAAGGAATATGTTGAAAGAGTTGAAGTTTTTAAATTAACTATAGATTCCTAGTGCCTTGAAACTAGATCTATAATTTGATTGTGGTTCAGAAGCTGATTATTGGTATTTGTTGCGTCAACTCACTCATCTCAGTCTTTTTTCACCATTCCCTCCAAAGCAAGACAAAATTTTCATGTTCTTATGTAACTCTGTTCTTTCATGCCATCCATGTGAAACTGGTTTTCTCTTTATATATTGGATAGGAAACTTTTAAAGGTTCAACTTTGGTTGCATGGTAGATACAGTAAATACAGATCAACTGGTGGTTCATTGCTTTGAACTAAAGATATCTTGCTGGGATTACCACACACTGTTTGCTCTGCTTATCTGATGAAACAATTATCTTGAGATTTTTTCTTTCTGAAAATAAAAATAAAAATAATAAGTAAATAAATAAACTAGAAATTTTCTTATCTCTTTGTTTTCATCGTAGTTTTTGTTCCTTATCTTAATGCAGAAAAGTTATGCTACGTGTGGATGCAAAACAAGGATTTTCAAAGGATGGTAATTCCCCCCTTGAATTATTTCAGGTCAGTGGTGCTTTTAAATTAATTCTGTGGAAGAAAATATCAGTGCAGTTCACTTGCAGGTCATTGCTTGACAGGCTGCTGTCCTACTTTTCAGGTGGAAATTTTCCCTTTAAAAATACATTTGACCGAGTCCTTGTACAAGTTGATGTGGCAATACTTCTTTCCTGAAGAAGAACAAGATTCCCAAAGGAGGCAGGTTAGTGTAATCACTCTCTTTGGAACAGATTATCTCTAGAGGAAGTTCCTTTTTTTTTTATATCTATCTGTTATGTATAGGAAGTGTGGAAGGTTTCAACTACAGCTGGTTCAAGGCGGGTAAAGAAAGGTTCAACAGTTCATGATGCATCTACATCTGGCATTCATACCACAAAAGATGCGGAAACATCTAAATCTAGCTCCTCTGCCTTTGCGGTGTCGAGCACTGTTATTCAGTCTAGCACTACTGCCAATACTTCCCATGTTAGTATCCTAATCCAATTAAATAGTTGTATTTTTCTACTTTCAAACATTATCTCTGATTCTGAAATATGGATTATACTACACAGGAACCACACAATTGTCTTTATTACATATGTAATATTTGAAGATCAATAGTGAAAAAAATCATCGTTACCCACCTTAACCTATAATGAGTGAAGTTTGAATCTGCTCTATACCATTGGCCATGATCTTACGAATTTGTTTTTCTTTTTCTCTTTATTTTCTTGAAAGTCCTAGGCCTACTTGCACATTTGGGTATCCCCTGTTGAAAAAAAAAATTAGTGAATTTTCATATGAAGCGAAAGTATTTTAGTGTCTAATGAGGATTGCAGAAGGTTTCCCTTTTTATTTCACTGTTTGATTACTCTGACCTGCTCTGTCATTGTTTGTCTTGTTGATGGTTTTCTATGAAGAAAATATATAAAGCTTTTCTACAAGTGAAAATTTAGTCGGGCCTAAGTAGGTCGTCGTAGTTGGATTAATCTTTTGGTAGTTACAAGTGATAATGGAGACTGACTACTCAATCAGCTTAGTGAAATTGTAATGTGCTAATTTTTCCGTTATATTTCTGTAGGCATCCAAATTTCAAAATCCAAACGCATATAGTGTTGGCCGCTCAAAACCAGAACTGCGAAGATCATCCTCCTTTGATAGAACATGGGAAGAAAATGTAGCAGAATCCGTGGCTAATGAGCTTGTATCACAGGCGAACTCCTCCAGCAAAGGCAGTTCCGGCACTGGTGTTGAGCAGCAAGATGAAATCACAAGAAATAAATCAAAAGATAACAAACTAGTAAAACCTGGCCGATCCTCCCATGAAGAGAAAAAGACAGGAAAAGTGCAAGATGAGAAACGATCTCGACCTCGAAAGTTGAGGGAGTTCCACAATATCAAAATTAGTCAGGTTGTTTTTATTGTCAATATTCACATCTCTACTCTATTTTTTTTGAACTACATTATCATCACAGTTGATTGTGCATCTCAATGGAGTAGGTTGAGCTGCTAGTTACATATGAAGGGTCGAGATTTGCAGTAAGCGACTTAAGATTGCTGATGGACACTTTTCATCGTGTTGAGTTCACGGGGACTTGGAGAAGGTTATTCTCTCGAGTAAAGAAGCACATAATTTGGGGGGTGCTAAAATCAGTCACGGGGATGCAGGTACTCATGCGCGCGCAAACACACACGCATATATGTATATATTAGAATATCCGTGTATGTATATAATTGCTTAATCTGTAATATGTGGACCATACATCTGAAATTCTTCTCATAGTAATATGGTATAAGTTTATATCTTCAGAGCCAATCTTGACTAAAAGAAATTGAAATTTGCAGGGAAAGAAGTTCAAAGATAAAGCTCAATCAAGTAGCATCGGTGCCCCGGAGAATGATCTCAATCTCAGCGACAGTGATGGAGGTTCAGCTGAGAAAACTGATCCGAACCCCATGTCCTGGCCCAAGCGCACCAACGATGGAGCAGGCGATGGTTTTGTTACCTCTATACGGGGCCTCTTCAACTCTCAGCGCCGCAAGGCCAAAGCTTTTGTTCTGCGAACCATGAGGGGCGAAGCCGAGAATGAACTCCACGGTGAATGGAGCGAAAGTGATGCCGAGCCATTTGCCAGACAGCTCACCATCACCAAAGCTAAAAGGCTGATCAGACGTCACACTAAGAAGTTTCGTTCTAGAGGACAGAAAAGTTAGTGCACATACCGTCTCCTTTTTCATCTGTTTATTTTTTCCCATGGCATCGACTACTTTAATGAACTAACCATATCTCCCACATCAGATTTATCGATGCAGCAGAAAGAGTCACTCCCTGCATCCCCCCGGGAAAGCACCCCCTATGAAAGCGATTCTTCAAGCGGATCCTCACCCTATGAGGATTTCCACGAATAATATCTCCAGATATCTTATAGAAATCATATTCTTCCCAAGTTCCTAGATGGAGCTTCTGGAACAGCCTTTTTCGCCCGATCAAGTTTGATGATCTCCAATCAGTCTGTGGGGCAAAGAAATCTGGAGTTCTTTTTCATGCTAAAAATAAGGTTTGATCACCCCGACTGACGACAAAATTCATGCAACAATTCAAGGACGAAAACTCCTATTTCACGTGGAAGTTGTGCTATCTGATCCGGCTGTTCTGATTGTGCTGAAATATTCTCGTCCTCTTTCGTGGAGCTGGTAAGCTTTACATACTCAATAAGTCTTGGTTGTCGTGTGCTGAATGTCGAAAAAAAAAAAGGGTGCTAGCTATTGTATCACATATAATAGATACTATATATGCATATATATATATATCGATGTGCTTACCTTTGTTATATCTGTATATGCTTATGCTGCCTGGTTTGAGTGAATTTTTTTAACGTGTATTCCTTGTGTCTTCTGTGTTCTGTTTTCGTATGGATTGCTCTACTTCCATCGATGCTTTGCAGCTCTAATTTTGTTTACTTTGAAAACATTTTAAGTTTGCCGGGATTGGGGTTAGGAATATACGATGACATGAAAATTGTGGCGAAGGGATTGGAGGTTGAAACCTACACATATTGAAACATTGCTTGCTTTTATTTTTCTCAAAATTAGATGTAGTTGAATAACATGCTGGTGGTGTGGTTTTATCATGCTTCGGACGGGTGCTGATTGGAGATTTATCAGCATCGTGACGATTGTCCAAATCGAACATAAGAAAACACTACAAATAGCATAAGAAAATGTAGTTTACATATGGGTGTGTTTGTTCGGGGCTTTGGATTTTGAGTTGAGATTTGAATTAAAACGAATTTTGAATTTAAATAGTTGTATGATGTGATATAAATAGGTGTTGATGTGATATTTTGAATGTAAAATTGATTTTTAGTATAATATAAAAAATAAAAAATATGTGCTTGATTTGATATTTTTGGGGGGAAAAAATGGGATGAACAGTAGATTTAAAATTCAATTTCCCAAACAAACACTATGTATTTTTATGTGTTTTTATGTGTGGTATAGAGTTATATATAATTTGTTTATGTTGAATATATTTAACGAGCATTGGAACTATCTCCTTTATTTTGGTATTCTCAGATAATATTATCTGTATTTTATTTTGAGTGTGAAATGGGTATTGCAGTTTTGTTTTACCTTTTTAAGAAAGTTTTATAAGCTTTGTTTACTTTATCAGCTTTTACTCATACGGTCACTATTTATTTTTTAAAAAATCAATACATTAAATACATTTGTTCTCTAATAAAACATCACATCAAATATTAATTTTGTATTTTTATTTTTTTCAAACTTTCAAAAACTTCTAAACACTCTTTATCTAAACAAAGAAGGTTCTTTCCCTTAAGGATGGTCTGGTGGGGTAGGAGTTGAACTTATGATCGTGAGCTTATGGGTTCAAAATTTTGACGGATTTACCCGTGAGCATAAAGAAAAAAAGAAGGTTAATGTAAAAATCAATTGAAAAATGTACAGGGTGTGTTGGATTTGTGTTTTTGTAATTTTTTTTCCTAAGTGAAAGAACACTTGGATGTGGGCATTGTAAATAGAAAATATAAATACTTTTAAGTATCTGTTTTTTTTTTTTCTTTTTTTTTTGGAGGGGGTGAATTCCAAAAAAATTGATTTATGTTTACTATTAAAATAATATTTGATGAGATGTTTTAAAAAATAAAAAATATATATATTTTAAAAAAATACATAATTCAAATAATAAATTTAAAGAAAAAAATACACACACCAAAAAACAAATAAAAAGAATTTCTAAAAAATCTTTGAAAAATTTGATATGTATTTAAGTGTAGTTTGGTTTTTCTTTGAGTATATAAGAATGTAAGTGATCTAGGAATTGCTCACTCAATTTACAATAATTAGTAACTCTTCACAGATCAAGTAACATATCATATTATTTTAAACAATTAGTATTTCATCAATAAACATACATCATATTGTTATATATTATATTCATATTTAATATTTTGTTTATAAATATTTATTAATTAAATCAAATCAACATCATATTAATTTAATTCATAATTTATTTACTTAAAAAAAAAAGAATAATTTAATATAAAATAATAATTTTTATATTAACTATACACCTAATAATAATATTATCCATTCATTATCCATCATATATGATTTTTAATAAAAATATATTATTACATTTTCATAATGGTTCATCAAATATTAAATTAAAATTTGTTATTATTGTTAAAACAGTAATAAAATTATAAATAAATTAATTATTAATATAATATATTTATAATGTGTGTAAAAATTAAAGATATTAATATATGAAAATAACAAAAAATACATATAAAAACTATACACACACATTTTAATAGGACTTGCTCGTCAGCTTACGCACGTATGAAGGTGCATTTTAGTATTATACACCTTCACCAATTGGGTAAATATTATGCACACAGCAATGAAATAATTCCCAACTCATCTATCTGCTGTTTGCTTCGCTATGATTCTTCGGGTCGGGATTTCTTCAATTCTTCTCTCAACCATTTTTCCGATCCTAATTCTCCAAACCCTTGCTATAAATCCACCGCGCGATTCACACGACTCCTCTTGATCCGATCAGGTTCGCCCCTTTCCTTATTCTATTCTAATCACTATATATATATATATATATCTTGAATCCCGCGGCGTTGCATCGTAGTTCTTTGACCTTGAATGTCAATTTGTTGACGACGAAGTTAGTCTGCGCCAAGTTTGGGTTATTTTAATTTTTGTTTAATAGCTTGTGGGTACCTCTGGCTTTCAATTTGTGTTTGTGTTGTTTTTTCTTGATGAATTGATGCAAAAGACCAAATTGGTAACTCGTTAAAGCTGCGAATCTCACACAGTTCTTTTTTTTTTTTCTGATTATATGTTGTCCAGAGAAAGCAATGTTGTATTGCCACTACTTCTTGGGTATGCATAACTGGCTGCTGCTTGGTAGTTGACGCGAGAAGCTATGAACATAGTTAGAGGTGTAACTGACTTTATCTTGAGGTCTTCTGGTAGCCAAAGTAGAGAACATGGTTCAACCTCGCAATCAGGAAGGTTCATTTTGCCGGCAGCAGTTGTTACTTTCAGGTATCGGCTATTCATCTTCATTTATTGTTGGTAGAGAATATGGACAAAACATGTTGAAAAGTATCCTCATTGATTTGTTGGGGGTATTCTACAGTTATATAACACACATATCCCATTGTGGTGAGATTGAGGTGTGGCATGTATCATAATATGCTATATGCTCTATACATACATTGGTTCATAACTTTGTATTGAAAGGGAAAACTTGGAAGGAATTGGAAGAAAATTAGTATGAGAGAGACTTGCTATTTTAACGTTAAGAGTAGAGTATGCTTCTTAATTGGATCCAATAATGGAATATAAGATGCATTTCTACTTTTATTGTCTTAGAAAAGTAGAAATCTGATTGAGTAATAGTAGGAAAAACAAAAAAACTGCTTTTGAGGAACATCAAACTCGAGGCTGGGCAGGGAGACATTTGTGGAATCTCACGCAAATAGGAGCTTAGGGAGGGCCCCACTTGATCTTTCAGAATTTTCTCCAATGTATGGATTATGGCCATGATTTCAGCAACATTTGATTCCGCTTTTGCAATATGCTTGCACAGGATTAATAGAATTTGCCCAAGCTGATAAGGCCTTCTTTGGTTGGATAATAAATTTACAGGATAATGACTTAGACCATGATGAAGGTTGCAATGATTTAGCATATCCTCATTGCATTCGCATCTTCATTTTAATGTATGGTGTTAACTCACAAAGGACATTTTTATGTGTTAATTGAACTAATGCCTCCTATGTTGTCTTCTATAGTAACGTTGGAGATGAGGCAATATTGAAGGTACTTTGGGAAAGATACCTGAATGCTGTTAATGAGGTAAGCATGTGTAAATTCTCTTAATAGTGTTGATTCTGCTGTAAGTATTGCAACACCCTCCTGTGTTATTTGCAATGTTTGTGCTCCTATGTGTTCATCTATGTATTTTTACTAGTATGCACGTCTGACAATATCTTGTGATTTTCAGGTGGAAAAGAGGAAGCCCTTCAATATATTTTTGAAGCAATTTTTGACAGTATTTGGGAATTGGAAACCCCTTAATCTGGGTCAGATTCCTGAAGAACCTCTCTCCACATCAACAGAGGAATATACACAAAATATTGGTGATGTGGTGGTTGGTTGTAGTTTTGGGCACCCCCCGGATATAATACTAGCCTTGATCGAAGAAGTTTCACAAATAGCAAGTTTGTTTATTGACAGTAAGTGTTAATGCCTATTTCTGCAGCCATTGAAAATAGATGTACTGTTAAAAGAGTTTCCATTTTTTTTTTTTCACACTTCTTATGTTTTGAGCTGCCACTTTCTGCCTTTGGATCAAACCTTTCCAACCAGTCTTTCTGGCTGCACAAAGAGCATGATCTCTTATACTTTTGTCCTACCATATCTTACAGTACTAAATTTGTTCTTTCATATACCCATATAAATCAAAGTTACAAACATAGTAAGATATGTGCCGTTTTGTGTATAAATCATTTCAAAATAGCAGTCAGTTTTTGCATTTAGTATGTTATGTATCCAGAAAACCTCCAGAGGACATGAAATATTTGTTTTGGCGATCTTTTAGGTGTGTTGTTTTCTTGTTTGTACATGTTCATTCCCCCTCTACATAGAATTCGGGCATAAATAACATAGAATGAACATATTGAGAGATTTCATTTTCTTTGTAGTAGTTTGGTTTCATCTGTTTGTATACCCATCTTATTACTTATTGTGTTGCTCAATCATCTTGGCCTTTTCATTTCTCTAGAATTTTACTTGATGGAGATTATTTAAATCGGATTCATTTATATATACACTTCTTATTTTTCCCTGTATGTATGCATGTTTATTGATTATTCCATTTATTATATAAAGTTTTTAATTTTTGGAATAACTATTTGCAGATCAAATGGGTGTTATGGAAAGCCTGGACATATCTTCTGAAACATGGATGCTGTTAGATGCATTGACTATTGTGACCCAATCCATTTATAACTGTAAAGTTTTTGGTTACTATGGTGGCATTCAAAAGCTTACAGCATTAATGAAAGGTATAGTCACCACATTTGTTCTAATAAATGCAGTCTGCCAAATCTAAATTTATTTAGCATTTTCTTTTATCTTTGTTACATATCCTTTTTTGCACTGAGTGTTCCATTCTATCTCATTCTTATATTTAAGTCTGTCAGCATAGGCATGTTGATGGGAGGATGGGGATATGAATGAAGAAGATTGTAGATTATTCCTTGAACATCATTTTTTTTTGTTTGGGGGGGGGTTGGCGAGTTCATTCGAAGTCAGCAGCTGACATTTGGTCTTACATCATAATATTGAGTTTGGATGTATATTTCATGTTCATATATATGGTACAAGTTCATTGATATTCTTACATTGTTTAGTAATTTAATCTAAAACTTCGGATACACTTGGGTTGTTCTCTGTTGGTGACGAAGGTATGATGTCTCCTGTATGACATGCTTAATACTTATTCCTGACTCATGTTTCTCCAGCTGTTGTGGTCCAACTAAAGACTATTACTAGCGCCATTCCTTCTGATGAAACTTCATTGAATACAATGGTACAAAATGCTGGAGTTTTGCAAAAGACACTTGTCCACGTGGTGTCCATCATATGTAACTTCATTGATATACCTTCAACTATTGATGAAAATGTTCAAGTTGAGAGTAGCAAGGCAGAGTCTTCAGCAGCAATGACCGATGAAAAGTTAATCAACCCTTCAACTTATTTAAAATATCCAGTTTCTGAGGCAATCTTGTTGTGGCATCAAACAACAGTTGTATCAGTTTTGGAAGCCGGCGGTCTTAATTGGTTATTAGGTAAGGTATGCAGCTTCAGCTTCTGTACACAATTTATCCTGTTCAGCTTTTGTTCACAATGTATACTGGAGTCAATGTTTCTGAGTTTGCTCTCTGGTCATGAAAGTTATGCTTCTAGACTTTGTGGACTCTTCAGATTTCTTCTGTAGTTTTATGAGAATGTGTATTTTGTTTTTCACAGATTTATCCCTCTATGAGGTTATCCTGCTGACTTAATTGTTGTACTGGATGCTATAAGAATGCTCATCATGATATTAAATGTATTTCAGATATTTTGCGTTTGATCAGGAGATTGGTTATGAAAGAACAGTGGGTTGATATGTCTCTTCAACACTTAACTCTAAGGGCTCTCCGAGCAGCTTTGGCTGACAATCCACGTGGGCAAAACCATTTTAGAAGTATTGGTGGCTTGGAAGTTCTTTTGGATGGTCTTGGTATTCCTACAATTGATAGCTTAATTGCAAATGATATTTCAAGCCATGAGAAGAGGTGTCTTCTTTGTACTTGCTAAATTATGTGGCCTTTTTTTTCCTCATGAATTTAATATTTGTGGGTTCTTATTCTGAATAGCAATATTGTGCTTGTTCTAGCTTGGTGTTATATTTGATCTTTGCTTCTTGAGTTTTTTCAACTTAGTATGAGTGCGCTATTTTCATCTTGAACTGGTGATGGTTGGCATACTAGGCATAACAGCAAACAGTCTTTACATTTTTTGGGGGGGTTTCCCATGGGGCTACTTGATAGATTTTGAGATCTAAATGCAAGTGCATTTAGTTATTCATGCATTATATATATATATATATACATTTGGGTAAGAAGATTCCATGTACTAAACTAATCTTGATATTCAACTAAAGGTCAATTGGATGGACATATATATAACAAGTATCAAGATGCCCTTCTGCTTGGTTGAAGAAACAAGGGGAGGAGAATCTTTTACTGCTTGCCACCACCATTATTAACAATGAACCTTCAGAATTGTAACTTCACTGAAATGAAGAATAATTGGCAGTAGAAATTCTAAAATTCACTGTTACCTGTACTTGGTATTATTTGTGGAACTGATCTGCTTGACATGTAAACTTCCCTTGCTTTGCTAGATTGCTCATAAATGTATCCATCAAACTGGCATTTGTGTGTGTTCTTACATTTATTTATAACCGTATCTTTTTTTCTTTGCAGAAGCAAAAATCCCTTGCATGGTATTTTTGATCTCCATGTTTTATCATTGGAAGTTCTTAGGGAAGCAATGTATCCTTTGAGAATTTATTTTTATCTGTCACCAGTTATTACTTGTTTGTTAAGATATATTTGGAATAGAATATATATTGTATCTATGATAGTTGTCTTATTTAAGAGATTTGTTGGCTATGGGGCCACATCCTTTATCAGTCAAGGTGTTTTATGTGATTGGTGCTGCATCTTCTTATTTATGTTCAAGCATCTCTGAACATACTGTTTTGGTTGTTTGGCCAAATCCCTTTTATTCATATGGAGGCATGTTGTGTGAATCTAGTTGTCCATGAAGTGTTGTATTTATTTCTCTAAACTAAGTTCTTTACTATCTATGGTATATGCATGGGGATATTCACAAGTTTCTTTAACAAGTTTGTAGCTTTGGAAATACCAACAACTTACAGTTTCTGTGCGAGAATGGAAGGGTACACAAATTTGCAAATAGCTTCTGTTCAGTTGCATTCATGCTTCAAGACTACTTGCACGTGAAGTCTAATACAAGTCATTATTTGGATGAGCTTGAAGGAAGGGAAGCTAAGACTTCAGAATATATAAAAGCAGAGATGTCCCATCCTGTTCAATCTAATCTATCTATTCTACAAGATTGGAGTGATTATGTTTCCAAGTTGAGTGGAGCTCTTTGCCATTTTCTTCTTGAAACCAAAGATTGCTACTTAGGTTGCATTCATCACTCCATCAGGAAACATGCAGTGGTTTCTGCAGTCTATGAGGAACTTTCTATAAAGTGGTTCACACGGATGCTTCTCACAGTTTTCCTGTGCATCAAGGCTTGTTCAGACCAAAATGAAATTCCTTGCCACTTAAGGTGGAGCAATCTAGATCCTGTTGTTTCTGTCTTTTCTTATATATATGGTACCTTTATTGTGAATATATTAGTTTTTGTTACCATTATCTTCTTTAATTTTTTTTAACCAATTTTTGCTTTGCAGGGTCTTTGCCAATGTGATGCAGCAGTATGTTATTTTTGCATTTAAGAAGGTTCTTTTGTCATCACCATCATTACTTGATATCTTCCGTAAAGAGCATATGTGGGACTTCATCTTCTCGGAGAATTTTTTTTACTTTGGCCCGGCTCCTGCAATAGATACTTGTAGCATGAGTAAATTTTTGTTAATGGATGAATATAGAGGTCCAAGTTTGGTTGAGGATGAAGTGAACACAAGTGAAGTTGGAATTCTCCAGGCTCAAGTTATCTCATTCATGGAATTTGCAGCAACTTTACCTGGAAGTTCCCACAACTTGGTTGGTCCTTTTTCTTTTTTATTTTGATGTTTCCTGGTTTGACATCCACTCTCCTGTTACTCATATAGAGTACTAGCAGAACAATCTGCATAACCTTCAGCTGCTAACGTGCATGTTTTAAAGAATTTATTGAAGGAACATATAGGACGAGATGAGTTTTAAAGGTCAACAACATTATAAGTGTATTTTTTCATCTACTTACAAGCACTTGATAATTCCAAGGCACTGGATTAGTGTTGGGATTATTATTTGATGCGTCAGGTGTACAGGATCAGTGTTCTTTTTTCACTGGAGTTGTCTGAAGACGAATTTTTCCATATTTTCTTGAATATGCTAAAAAACAATGAGTTCCAAAGAAAATATGACATACTTCGGTTGATGAATCACCTCCACTAGTCTTGATAGGTAGATAATTTAACTAATTATTTTTTATGCATACTAATAACTGAGTAGCAATGGCCTATCATATCACTTATTCATTGACTGATCAGAGATTCAACATACTTCAGATAACACATGCAATGAGATTGTTAGGTTCTAATAGTTTTAAGTTTTACTGTACACATACCTTAATTTGCCAAATGCTAGCACAACCTTTTGTTCTAAAACAATGATTTTAACTGCATCCATGTTGTTGTTGTTGTTTTTTTTGCCCCTGTGAACTTTGTCAATATCTATTAATTAAGGCATGGAGAGCTCTATTTATTCATTTTCCCTCATGATACTTGAATGGATGATACATTGTTGCATGCTTTAGTAAATATTCGACAATTGAAGTCAATATTCATTAGTTAAATGCAATTTAAGGAATACTGTTTTCTTTTTCTTAAATTTTGTTCTCTGTGATTTGCATGCTTTTTTTGGTATTACATCACGTTGTTCTTTCTAGTGATCACTTCATCTAATGATCCATGTTTGACAGCCTGAATGTACTGTTTTGTTGGATGCCCTTGAACAATCTGCCTGTAATCCTGGCCTTGCAACTGTTCTTTCCAGAAGCCTCCTTCATATATTGCAGTGTTCACTTGAGAAAACTGCTTCCTCATTTAAGTCCCTCGATGCAATTCCTCGGGTGCTCAAGGTTGCCTGGATTCAGGTCCAGGAGTCTAAAAGAAGTGAAAATGATTTTTCAGATGCCTCTATGATTGGCACAGTGTCTAATCAAAGCCATGAAGTGTCTTACTCACCTGAGGACTGTCAGAGTTGGGAGAAATGCATAAACATACTTATGGATCTATTTGCAATGTATTTCTCAATATCTGATGATGCAAAAAATTCGATTATTTCTAGTTCTCTCTGTATCAACTGTATGTTTGATTTATTTTGGGAAGATGGTCTAAGGAATCTTATGCTCAAGTATGTTCTTGATCTCATGAAGGTATCCACATTCCACTCCATGTTTTGGTGGCCCTTTTCAAATAATTATTGTATTTTCTGGGGGGAGGGGACTGAAGTTTCTTTCATTTGGCAGTTTGTTCCACGTAATGAAGAGGACCAGAAAGCAAAAGTCTTTCTGTGCTCCAAATACTTGGAGACATTCACACATGTGAAGGAACGAGTTATGAATTTTTCAGACTTGGCAATTGAGTTGCTGGCTGGAATGAGAGAGATGTTATTAGTAGATCAAGTGGTATGCAAATAAATTCTCTTTTTAATTTGTATATCCTCGCAGTAATAGAATTTGTTTTAAGTTGACTTGTGCAATTGTTATCTTCTGTAACCAGCATTATCAAGCATTATTCCGTGAGGGTGAATGCTTTTTGCATGTTGTGTCTCTGTTGAACGGGAATTTGGATGCTAAAAATGGCGAGAGATTGGTTTTGAATGTCATCCAAACACTGACTTGTTTGCTGTCACAAAATGATGCTTCAAAGGTACCTTCTTTTGATGATTATTTCTTTGGCAGAGCTCTGTATTTTGCTCAATGCTGATATTTTAAATATCTTCATGTAATTTCGAAAGATTCCCACAAAAAATAAACCACTAAAGTACAATAACCGTGATGAAGCTCCTTAATTTTCTTGGCTGAAATATTAGCTATAAATAAGAAATTCAAGTTAATTTGCTTTTATTGCTCAATAAGATGTTTAGATTCATGTGTACATCAATGCTAAATAGATTGACCTATGCTAGAGTTGGAGAAATTATTTGTCAATTAGACAATTAGGTGAATATTTGACGATGCAAATCTACCAAATATGTTAACTCTCAAATTACAAACACGCGGGGAGGGATAATTTTGGATCATGTGTCATTGACTTGAACCTTTGTTTTCCTTGCTAACACCTGAAAGGATATTTTAGGGTTTGTATCATTTTCATTAAGTTAGGTGGGTCCCATTACCCCTTGCACATCACTCCATTATAAATTTTGACCGGTAATGTTATGAAATGTTTTTGGAAAGAAAATAATATATATATATATGGAGATGAGTTAGCTTACATTATGAGGATAGAGTCATAAGGAGAAACATAGGTGGGCAGTGGGCTAATAAATAGAGCTCTGAGACCTAAGGAGAGAATTGCCCTTAAAACAGTTGAACAAAACAGAGAAAAAACTGAGGTTAAGGCCAAATTGCTAGATTGTTAGATCCTGTTGCTCCACATTTTGCAAAGTTAACCAATTCATTTGTTGAGCGAGAGATAGTGGTGAAAAGTGATGCTGGGACATTGCAGATGTAAAGGTGCAGCAATTGATGAATTTACTTATGTGCTTTGGGTTTGACTGTTTGAGGCAAATGCGTGGGCCACTGCTTGTGATATGTGGTAGTTTCCATTTGCCTATGTTTCCTATGATTTGATTGGAGCATGTTGGAATCTTTTGTAAGCCGAGTGGTTCCTTAGTTTCAAGGTCCTACTATCGAAATTTATTTTTTAGAAGGCTTTCTATTTTGTAGGAGACTGACTCCATATATTGATGTATATGATTTAAGTGATCCTAAGGCTAAGATGAATGGAGCCTAGGCCAACTGCGAGGAGTTCTCAATATCTTTTCTTTTGCTTGACAAGAGTATACTCTAATGGAATCTTTATTGGCTAGTGTTGTACTTAGGGTTGTATATGAATCAGATCGAAACACTGATATGCTTTCTGTGCGGCTCCTCACTTCAGAATCCCATGTAGAATAAGAAATTGGAACCTCAATTGGTCAAGAAATGCTGGTAGTGAAGAAAAGCGTGATGATGTAGCTTAAACTTTGAGTCTTCTTTTTTATAAGATAAGATAATTTAAACTAATAAAGTGCCACTATCTTTTTTTTTATTTTTTTATTTTTTTATACGTGTATCACTGCTGTAGATTTGAAAATGTCATTAAAACCATAACATATAGAAAGATAAAATCCTAACTGTTAAAAACTAGTAGGAACTTAATGTTTAACCATGATTAACAAATAATGTTCTAACCAAGAAAACTTGCAATAAATAGATTGTAGCATTCTTTTATTTTACCCTATGCGCAAATATTTGATCATTGTTCTATACTGAACTGGTTAACCTTTGTTGTTTAATATTATGGTTAACAGTCAATTTTATTTTATGTGTTGAATGATGACATAGGAGCAGTGCATGGATGGGTGCAGAAGTGTTCTTGTTTTTATAAGTAGACTAATTTTACCTTTCAATTTTAAAGGCTGCTTTCAGGGCGCTTGTCGGAAAAGATTATCAGACTTTACAGAGTTTGCTGCTGGATTTCTGTCAATGGCAGCCGAGTGAAGCGTTATTATGTGCCCTGCTTGACATGCTGGTTGATGGGAAATTTGATCTCATAGTAAATTCTGCCATAAAGGTAATGTTTTCAAGCATGGACTCTTAATGGCTTTTGATTTGCATCCTAAACATATTTCTTCTTCATTTCTTCCTCAGAATGAAGATGCGATCTTGCTGTATCTCAGTGTTCTTCAAAAGGTAATTGATTGGCTTGCACTTTTTCTTTCTCTTTTCTTTGTTTATTCCAGAGTACAGCACTTCGTCAGTGGCTTCCTTTCAGTGTTATGCAAAAGTTTGAATCTTTTCTAAGTAATCTACTTTGTTTATGAATTGGGCAGAGCAGTGACTCATTGCAGAACCATGGGCTCGAGATATTTCTTCATCTGCTGAGGGATTCCCTTTCTAATCGAGCTTCGTGTGTTCAAGCAGGAATGCTCAACTTTCTTCTGAATTGGTTTTCACAAGAAAATGATGAAACTAGGGTTTGTAAAATTTCCCAGTTAATTCAGGTAATTGGTGGGCATAGCATATCTGGGAAGGATATACGTAAAATATTTGTTCTTCTCCGTAGTGAAACTGGTTCTCGGAAGCAGTCAAGCTCATTACTCCTAAATAGCATGTTAGCAATGCTAAATGAAAAGGGGCCCTCTGCATTCTTTGATCTCAATGGGATTGATTCTGTAAGTTAGTTCTTTCCAGAAATATTTTCAACTCTTTGTCCCAACCTCTAAATAATTTTTTGTGATTATTGAATAGGGTGTAACACCTGGATGAGTTGTAGTCCTTTTTAGTTAAAATGAAAAAACCCTAATCCATAATAAAAAGTCATTATATTTCCTTATTTATTATTGATTAATTATTTTATTTTATTGTTTTGGAGGAGATAAGTTTGTCAAATTCAGCCAAAAACGTTTCCTGCACTAAATCTATTGCTTCAGTAATTCAAACAGAAATTTCACACAATCCTGGTTCTTTTTGTTATTTATTTATATTTATATTTATATTTTATTATTATTGTTGTTATTTGGAGTGTGATGGCTGAATTTTATATTAACAAGCCTCCTGGGCTGTTGAATTTTGTCTCTTACCTTAGCAATGGTGTTGCTGCCATTCTTACATAGAGTTATTTTGTGATATACTTATTTACATTATATGCAGGGAATTGTATTAAAAACACCTCTTCAGTGGCCCCTGAGCCGAGGATTCTCATTTACTTGTTGGCTGAGAGTAGAAAGTTTTCCCCGAAATGGATCGATGGGACTCTTCAGTTTTCTGACAGAAAATGGACGAGGGTGCTATGCTGTTCTTTCACAGGACAAGTTACTTTATGAGGTAAAGCTAAGCACCTTATATCTTTCCAATTTGAGAGTCACGATTACAATCTTTCACATAAGCTTACAAAGTTCATTGATATATGTATGCATGAAGCTATATAAATTTGTGTTACGGATTGAACTATGGTTTAAGAATCTTTTTCTTTATTTCAGTCAATTAATTTGAAACGGCAACGACTATTGATAAATGTCAACCTTGTAAGAAAGAAGTGGCACTTTTTGTGTTTAGTACATTCTGTTGGTAGAGCATTTTCAGGGGGGAGCCAGCTGAAATGTTATCTGGATGGTTCTCTTGTATCTTCCGAAAAGTGCAGGTAATTTCAATTGAGAGATATATTGAAGGAGAATACTTTATATCCGCACCTTTATAGAGGAATTGTCAATCTGATCTTTGTAAATTCAGGTATCCAAAAATTAACGAACCATTGACCAGTTGCAGCATTGGCACTAAGCCCAATATCCTGATGCATGAGGAAGAGAACCTCATGCATGCTCACGCAGATTCTAGTCCTTTTCTTGGTCAGATTGGTCCCATCTACTTGTTCAATGATGCTCTCTCTTCTGAAGCTGTGCAGAATATCTCTTCTTTTGGGCCAAGTTATATGTACTACTTTCTTGACAACGAAATTTATGTGGACAACTTATTGTCTGGTGGGGTTCTTGATGGGAAAGATGGACTTGCATCAAAAATGATCTTTGGACTTAATGCACAGGTTCTTTTAATTTTGTTAGGAAACATTTTATGCTGTATAACAAATGAAACTCTACTCATAATTAAACTTCTGCTTTCAGGCAAGTAAGGGTAGAACCTTGTTCAATGTTTTACCAAATGTTGATCTTACTCCCGATAAGAAGCTTTATGAAGCAATTGTATTGGGTGGATCACAGCTATGCTCACGAAGGCTTCTGCAGCAGATCATATACTGTGTTGGGGGGGTGTCTGTATTTTTCCCTCTTTTAACACAGTCCAATATGATTGAAAACAGACGAAGTCATCATGTTGGGGAGTTGCCCACTCCTGTTACTAAGGAGAGTTTGGCTGCTGAAACAATAAATCTTATAGCATCAATTTTAGATGATAATCTAGCAAATCAGCAGCAAATGCTCCTACTTTCAGGATTTTCAGTATTGGGATTTTTATTGCAATCAGTTCCAGCCCAACAGCTGAATTTGGGATCTCTTTCAGCATTGAAGCATCTTTTTAGTGTTGTCTCTAATGGTGGTAAAGACCTTCAATATATAGATAGTTGTTAGTTGATTATGAAAATGTTCTTCAATTTGTTGTCTTGGTGGTGGTATTTTTTCTCTTGAGCAATTTCCATTTCTGATTGTAATGCAATGTTCTTTTCCAGGCTTGTCAGAGTTGCTGCTGAATGATGCTGTATCTTACATATTTCTAAACCCTCATATATGGGTCCATACTGTATACGAAGTGCAACGAGAAATGTATATGTTTCTTCTCCAACAATTTGATAGTGATCCAAGGTTTCTAAAGAGCCTGTGTAGACTTCCTCGTGTTCTGGATATTATTAGACAATTTTATTGTGACGATACCCACAGCAAATCTACTTCTGATGGAAGAACTATTATGCATTCCATGGATGACCTAATTGTCGGAGAGAAGCCTGATAGGGAAGAAATACGTAAAATTCGTCTTTTGTTGTTAAGCCTTGGTGAGATGAGCCTCAGGTATGAGATACTTTTAGCACATTTTTGAACTAATGTATTTGTTGCTCCTGATCTAAGAAGTTTTATTTATTTTATTCCTGATATATCTCTTTTAAAATTATATTGTTTTATTTGGATCTGCAGGGTGCAGATAACAGCATCTGATATAAAAGCACTTGTTTCGTATTGTGAAACCTGTGAGGATATGGCTTGCATTGAAGATGTTTTAAACATGATCATACGTGCTGTTTCCCAGAAGCAACTTCTTTCTTCCTTTCTTGAACAATTGCACTTAATGGGAGGCTGTTTGATCTTTATCAATCTTCTATGCAGGTATTATCCTGGTTTTTTATGTTTCAAGTTTTATTTCTTCATTAACATATATTCCTCATGCTACTTTGAGAGTGTAAACACAATAAATCCTCGGATGAAGAATTTATATGATACACATTGTAGAGCCAGGAGCAGAACTTTCGGTATTTTGGTTCTTTTCCTTGTTTCTATTACTGCCTCTGTGGATTCGCCATTCCTTTTTCAATTTTGATAAGATGAGTGAATTGCAATGGTGACAGAATGCCCTAAACAACAAAAACATGGTTTCAGCTATTGGTCACTGCCTATCAAAGAACCGTGCATTAATTTATATCATTTCTTGATTCAATTCATGAAACTATGTTCTCTCCAAAAAAGGTTGTATAATAGTCAATTATGTTTATGCTTATTTTCTGTGAGTATTTTCTATTTTTCTATTGTATATGAATTTTTAAATATACGTTCTTTCTGAGAAAATATGATCTCTCAAGGGTCTTAGGATTGCTCGCACATTTTTTCCCAATCAACCAGATTCTTTTTCCTTTTAATTGTTTTATGGATATTCGGCATTTCATGTGCTGTTTTTCATTTGATTTATTGGCACAAAATGCTTGTAGGGATTTTGAGCCGGTTAGGTTACTTGGCTTACAGTTCATTGGAAAAATTCTTGGTGGATTTCCAACAGAAAAGAAAGGATTGAAGCTGTTTACCATTCCAGTTGGACGATCCAAGCCTCTGCCTGAAGCTTCTAAAAAGGCACCCCTACATATGCAACCTATTTTCTCCATAATATCTGATAGGATCTTCAGATTTCCACAGACAGATCATCTGTGTGCTACTCTGTTTGATGTTCTTCTAGGTGGTGCTAGCCCAAAACAGGTTGTGGATCATATTCATTTTTATATTGGTTTTGGTATATATTTTGCACGGTTTCATTGAAGTTTACATGCTGCTGATTTTCTTACTAATCTGTTGTGGTCCACAGGTGCTTCGGACGAACGCACAATCTGAAAGACAGAAGAGCAGCACAAATAATTCTCATTTCTTCCTTCCGCAGGTTTTATGCCTCATTTTCAGATTTTTATCAGGTTGTGAGGATCGCACTTCAAGAATTAAGATAATGGGAGATCTCCTTGATCTTCTAGATTCAAATCCTTCGAACATTGAGGCTTTAATGGTATTACAGTTGTAACTTGCTAGTATCTATGCCAATAAGATCATTCCTAATGAGCAGTAAATGTTCCATGCAGGAAAATGGATGGAACGCTTGGTTGGAGGCCTCTGTGAAGCTTGATGTGTTAAGAAATTACAAGTTCAACAAGCAAACCCATGATGACTCTGAGATGGACGAGCAATATTTTATCAGAAACATATATAGTCTTGTTCTTTGTCACTATATTCTTTCTGTAAAAGGTGGCTGGCAAAACTTAGAAGAGACTCTGAACTTCCTACTAATTCAAAGTGAACAAGTATGCAGAACTTTAGCTCCATCATGGGACAACACAGTTTAAATATTACTGAAAGATGAATCTCAACTAATGTCTTCTTTTGCAGGTTGGCTCCTTTCTTCGTGATTTATACGAAGATATGACACATAAGCTGATAACTTTATCTACAGATGAAAATGTATTTGTTTGCCAGCCATGTCGCGACAACACATTGTACTTTGTGAAATTAGTTGATGAAATGCTCATTTCAGAAATGAGCCAACAGCTTCCGGTATGTGATGTTCCCAACAGTTTTAATTGCTTTGTTCATCTTTCTGCATTTCCGTCTCAAAATCTTGGTGGATCTGATAGCATTAGTTTCCATAAGATGCTCATGGAGGCAATGCGTTAGTTGAGAGCTGAAGTGAATCAAACCATAATTAAACTAAGATGCTGGAGACTATTGCAAATGAGGATATTGTAACCTAAATTGGAATGAATGCGCAGTTAAAGGCACATTTATCATTTGCTAAAACAGCTATCAGCTATTGGAACAATAAGTTCTCTACTGCACTACTATGCTTCAAATACTAGAAAAAAAAAAGAAGGAAAATGAAAGTGAAAACTCAGCCTTTTATGCTCCCTTCTCTTGTATATTTTATAAATAAATTGGCAATCACTGTACACTTTCCGTGGTGTATAATCTAGCATTTTTTATGTATGCATGGCATGGCAGTCCCATGTTCGTGGAGCCATTTAGAATTGTCACAATAAATTTTCATTTCTTGACTTACTATTTGTTAGCTTGCTTCTTTGCATGTAGAATTGTTTAATGGTTGTTGCATTCCTTTTTCCTTTTTGTTACAGTACCCTGGACGCAGCTCCAAGGTTCCCCAGGCTTTGGAATTAGATAATTGTCCTGACATCAATGCTGCACTGTGTGAAGCCCTGCAGGGAGGAAGTCCAGAAAACTTATCAGGGTAACTCACTTGATTTTGAGTTTCAGTTATTAAAAAGCTATCTTATACATGTCCTTACTTGAGTTGGTACTTCATTTTTTGACTTTGACCTTGGTTTTTTTTTTTTTTTAATAGAACTTCTGGGTCACATAACCAGAATGACTTAAATGAGGACAGACTAATTTCTGACCAGTGGTGGAATATATACGACAATCTTTGGGTTATTATTAGTGAAATGAATGGGAAAGGTCCAAGCAAAGTGTTACCTAGAGGAGCTTCATCATCGACGTCACCATCTTTAGGCCAGAGAGCTCGTGGATTGGTAGAGTCATTGAATATCCCTGCTGCTGAGATGGCTGCTGTTGTTTCTGGGGGCATTAGCAGTGCTCTGGTTGGAAAGTCGAATAAAACTGTTGATAAGGCTATGTTGTTGAGAGGGGAGAAGTGCTCAAGATTTGTAAACCGCTTGATAGTACTTTATCTTTGTAGATCATCTCTTGAGAGAGCATCACGCTGCGTGCAACTGGTTATCCCTATCTTGCCTCTCCTTCTCTCTGCTGATGATGAGCAAAGCAAGAGTAGGCTGCAGCTTTTTATCTGGTAATATCTTTCTCACAGTTCATTGATAAACTGCTATATGCATTGTGATTCCTAATGAAATGCTGTTCGACTAATTATTTACTTTATTTTTGTGTAGGGCCTTACTTGCTGTTAGGTCTCAGTACGGGATCCTAGATGGTGGTGCTCGCTTTCATGTTATTTCTAGCTTGATAAGAGAAACTATTAGCTGTGGAAAGTCTATGCTTGCTTCAAGTGTTATGGATGGTGATGATTTGCCTGATTTAAGTTGTAGTTCCAAAGAAGGAAACTCTATATTTAATTTCATCCAAAAGGATCGACTTCTTTCTGCGGTATATTTTATAATTTTTTGTTTTTATTTAGTAAACCATGTTTAATCATACTGGATACTTTCTGTAGACTTTGGAATTGCTGCCAGGTTCATAGTTTTCTGAAATGCATTATTAGATTTACATGAATTAAAAAACATAAAATTAGGCAACATGGCGGCCAACTTTATTTTGTTTGTCTTTGGAAAAAGAAAAGAGTGATAACTGTTCTTCAGATTATTTTCAGCTGACCCTTTGATTCTGACAACCATAGTCTATGGCTGTGAAATTAGTTTCAATTGGAAAAAGTAATAGTGATAGATGTCCGTAACTTTGCTATTGGAAAAATATGTACATATTGTATTATAACCTCTTCCAAAACATGGTCAAATCTTTACCTGAAGATATCATAAAATTACCACATATCTTCGATTCCGATAGTAATATTAATCAGATAATAGTTTACAGTAATTATCGTCTATAACGTTCACTTTGGATTGCCTGTTGAGGTTCAACACTACATTATGCAGGTAACTGATGAAATCAAGTATATTAAAAGTCTGACAGCTGACCGAGTTTTACAATTAAATGAGCTGCGAAGTAGACAGGAAGAAAATACAGTTTTAGACTGTAATCAAAGGAAAGATTTCGAGGTTCAGATAGAAAATAATTTAAATGCCATTCTGGCATCTGATGACAGCAGAAGGTCTTTGTTCCAGCTCTCCTTGGATGAGGAACAGCAAATTGTCGCTGTAATATAATCATCCCTAGCATGTACATTATTATATCTCTTATTTTTATCCTTCATTTCCATGCTTAAAATTTCAACTGCTACTTCAACAGGAAAAATGGATTCATACATTTCGTTTGCTGATTGATGAGAGGGGTCCATGGTCTGCCAATCCCTTCCCAAATAGCATAGTTACACATTGGAAACTCGATAAAACAGAGGATGCATGGCGCTGTAGGCAGAAGCTGAGGCGAAATTATCATTTTGATGATAAGCTTTGTCGTCCCTCTGCAATTCCTAACAATGGGGCAGTTTCTTCTGAGAGTGATGGCAAACATGGTTTAGGAGCTCTCTCATTGGAGAAAATGAAGCAATTTTCAGTAAAGGGCATCCATAGAATTACGGATGAAGGGACTTCAGAACCAAGTGAAAGTGAGTCTCAATCTAGCCAGCAAAAAACCTCAGAGATTGTGGGTACTTCTTCAGAAAAGGAATTTTCTGAGGTGGAGAAGGAGCGCAGTGGACCGGATATTGTGCAAGACAGAGAAGACTATCCCTCAACCGGTGACTCGAAGAAGAGCGAGGTACGATTTTGAAGATTGGTAGGTATAACAACTTATGTATTAGTTCTGTAATTTGTTTGATGCATTTTCAGGTTCTCACGACAATACCCTGTATCCTGGTCACACCAAAGAGGAAAATAGCTGGGCGATTAGAAGTTATGAGACAATACTTGCATTTCTTTGGTGAGTTTTTGGTGGAAGGTACAGGTGGGTCATCTATTCTTAAAAACGCATACACCTCAACTACTTCTGATCCCAGCAAACCTGAACATTTTGGAGGACCACAGAGGCAGAAGCTGCTAAAATTCCCTGTGAATTCACATTTAGATTTGGAAAGAGTTAATGCAAGTGAGAATGCTAGCTCTATTGACCGAAAACAGAATAAATGTATTAAGCGCCATCGCTGGTGGAGTTTATCTAAGGTAATGTTGTTTTCTTTGAATTTTAAATTTTCATATTATTTAATGTGATATGGACAACAAACATTTTAGAAAGAAATAAGAGGCATTGAACGAAAGATAAGGTAAACAAAACAGCATTAATCATAATAAGTTATAGAGAAGCACCCTCCAACGACTGATGTTACATTAAAGGATCTTAACCTGAAAGCCTAAGCTGTTAGGGATATTCATCATTTATTTATTTATATACAAGGGAGTCAACCAACAGTTTCTTGGTTTGGAATAACTCAAAAAGGCTTGAAGGGTCACCTTATTTTTTTACTTAAAATTCATCTTTAAACTATTGAGCACACTGCCCTAAACTCATCTGGTTGTTTTGTGACCATCACAAAGATTTCAAAAACAGCTTAAATTTGTTTTGTAGCATTGCTCTTCGGAATTTCAAGTTCACAAAACATTGTCAGATGGTTACATTTACATAACAATAATCACAATTCTTTTTCTCTATTAGTGTATTGTGTCAGTATAATCTGACTGGACTTTATACATTCTACTTGCAGATTAAGGCTGTTCATTTGACTCGATATCTCCTGAAGTATACTGCAATTGAAATTTTCTTTACAACCTCTGTGCCTCCAATATTTTTTAATTTTGCATCCCAAAAAGATGCAAAGGATATTGGAAACTTCATAGTAGCAACCAGGAATGAAACTGTACTGCTCAAGGGCCTCAAGGACAAGGCTGGAGTTATTTCATTTGTTGACAGACGCATAGCTCAAGAAATGGCTGAAACTGCTAGAGAAAGCTGGAGGAGAAGAGAGATTACTAACTTTGAATACCTAATGATTCTCAACACCCTTGCTGGAAGGACATACAATGATTTAACCCAGTATCCTGTGTTTCCTTGGATATTGGCAGACTACACATCTGAGACTCTTGATTTGAAGAAGTCATCAACATTCAGAGACTTATCTAAACCTGTGGGAGCTCTTGATCCAAAACGATTTGAGGTTAGAAGATATTATTTTTCCTGTTGCAAATCATTATCCTTGTGCAAATACTATTGCTTTTCTGTGTAATAGTTAAGTGACTATTTCATCTCTAAGCGTAAACAATGGGGATTTTATTCTTTTATTTTAGTAGTTTGATCAACCCACTGTGGGCTGTATACTTTTCTTTTATTACCTTGGATATAAATTCTTTTATTTTTATCGTAGGCAGAACATGGGGTTAGATATAAATGTGAATGTGACTGTATATAGCAGAGTGGATACAATACTGAATTTAACCACAGCCCTTAATGAATAAATTATCAATTTATTTAAATAATTAAATTCCAAATGAAAGGTTTGGATTAAATTCAACATATGCTGAATTAATTTAAAAATTAGCATATGACCAACCCCCTTTATACAGTAAAGCTTTAATAGTGAGAAATTGTAATACACTAATACTTGACTTTGTTTGTGTGTTCTTTTTCGATGTTATATCATTAAAAACTTTAACCAAATATAGCTTACATCTCATTTTTTGGCCATTGACTCAGGTTTTTGAGGATAGGTACCGCAACTTTGTCGACCCTGACATTCCCAGGTAAAAAAGTGGTTCCCTTTCATGATGATATATATTATAATTTTGATTTCTGAGATCCAATCTAGTTTGTCTGATACCATGGGCTTCCCTAACAGCTTCTATTATGGTTCTCATTACTCGAGCATGGGAATTGTTCTCTATTACCTACTTAGATTGGAGCCATTTACCTCTCTCCACCGTACTTTGCAGGTAAGTTTTGGTTGTTCGCTGCCAATGTATATTTCTACTTACGGTCCTTTCTAGAGTGCTAAATAGATGCTTTTATTTGTTTCATATTTTAGTTTTCTCTTTTCCGCTTAGCTTCCCTGATTTATCAATCACGCATGCATGTGCTCAAAAATGTTCAACTGTCCTATCTTCAACAGGGTGGTAAATTTGATCATGCAGACAGACTTTTCCAAAGTATTGAAGCCACTTACCGAAATTGCCTTTCCAACACCAGTGATGTAAAGGAGTTGATTCCTGAATTTTTTTACATGCCGGAATTTCTATTAAACTCCAATTCATATCATTTTGGTGTAAAGCAAGATGGTGAACCAATTGGTGATGTTTGCCTTCCACGGTGGGCCAAGGTATACCAATTTATCCAAAAAACTTCTTACATTTCTTGTTTACTGTTATATTGTTGTTGAAGCTCGGGCCTCCACATTTTTTGATATACTGGATAAGCTTGAAAGCATTTTTTATGGCCCAATCATGGGTTTGGTAGATGGTGGAGATGGTCACAGTATGATGATTATTAGAGTTTGCACAACCATATCATGTTATCATTCTCTCCGTCTTGCTAGTTTCTTCTTTTAGGTGATTGTCTTTCATTTGATCCTCATGAGAGATGTTACTAGGTCATTCATCCTGAACAAATTTGTAATTGTAATTGGTTATATGGTTGATTTAGATTGGGTTTCTCACTCATTCGCTTGTGATATTATTAGCACACAGATCCTGTCTGGACATGTTATACCTCTGTAAATTGTTTAGTTGCTAATTTTCACAATGTTTACAGGGCTCACCAGATGAATTCATCAGTAAGAATCGGGAGGCCCTCGAAAGTGAGTATGTCAGTTCAAACCTTCACCACTGGATTGATTTGGTGTTCGGTTACAAACAGCGAGGAAAGCCCGCTGTTGAGGTAAATAAAAGGATATGTTACCTTGTCTCAATACCGATGTTAATACACTCAATTAGCCTGATCCTTGAAATATTGTTGCACAGGCTGCAAATGTTTTCTATTATTTAACTTATGAAGGTGCGGTTAACTTGGATGAGATAGAAGATGATTTGCAAAGATCAGCCATAGAAGATCAGATTCTTAATTTCGGTCAGACTCCAATTCAAGTTTTCCGGAAGAAACATCCAAGGAGAGGGCAACCTGTCCCAATAGCTCATCCTCTGCGATATGCTCCTAGCTCTATTACTCTAACTTCTGTTGTTTCAAGTGTAACACCTTCTCCAGTTCTGTATATCAATGTGCTGGATTCATACATCATCAGCGTGCACGAAAACCTCAGAGTTTCTGTTAAGTTGTGGTTGACAACCCAATTGCAATTTGGTGGAAACTTTACATTCTCTGGTTCTCAGGTGTGTTGTTACTCGATGTTACCTGTACTTTATATAAGTTTTTTCCACTAGAGTTCCCAATTAACTGTAGATTTCTCATATAGGATCCCTATTTTGGAATTGGTCCCGATGTATTCTCGCCAAATAAAATTGGGAGCCCTCTGGCTGACAACTTTGAACTTGGACCACAATGTTTTGCAACCTTGCAAACACCGTCTGAGAACTTTCTCATTTCCTGTGGCAACTGGGAAAATAGTTTTCAGGTCTTATCTCTGAGTGATGGGAGAATGATGCAGAGCATTAGACATCACAAGGATGTCGTCAGCTGTGTTGCAGGTAAATGTTTTGTTGAATGGAAAGATGTTGCATTTTCCTAACTTAGCTTCTTTCCTTACAATTTGTTTCTGCCATTATTTTGAGGGTGAATTTCAAATGTGAATTTCTACATTTGGCTTGGTTTCATGCTACTAGATATTCTGACTTACATGTGATTCAGAGAAAACTATTTCAAAAAGGATTTTTTCCTGTCAATAAATAAAAAAATGAACTCACTGCTTTACTTTCTATTTAATTGAATTCTTTCCGGATTTGTGAAGTCAAAAAGATTTATCGAAATTAGACCAACTTGACTTCTTCGTGCAATAGCTGCCCTAGAGATCTCTGTAATATGTCTTTTGACTATATTGGAAGCTACACATGGCTTGTCTTATCTATTGTTTATTGTTAAATATCAACTCATCTAAAAGTTTTGATAAGTGCATCAATATGATGAATTTTTTTTTTCGTTTATTTGTTTATTTATTTGCTCTACCACGTCATCTCATGTAGAGCAGTGCTCTTTTTCAGTAAGAATTGTTACCTAATTGCTGTTCCCATCGCAATTATTTTGCAGTAACTTCCGATGGAAGTATTCTGGCTACTGGAAGCTACGACACAACTGTTATGCTGTGGGAAGTTGTTCGAGCCAGAGCCCCAGAAAAGAGATCTCGAAATCCACGGACTGAAATGAATTGGAAGGATTATGTTGTTGCCGATTCTCCTTTCCATATTCTCTGCGGACATGATGACATTATCACATGCTTATATGCTAGCGCCGAGCTCGATCTAGTGATAAGTGGTTCAAAAGATGGAACATGCATTTTTCATACCTTGCAGGAAGGTACGTATGTGAGGTCTCTTCTGCATCCTGGCGGCAGACCATTGTCCAAGCTTGTTGCTTCTCGTCATGGTCGTATTGTGTTTTGTGGAGACGATCTTAGTTTACACCTGTACTCTATCAATGGGAGACACATTTCAACAGCTGAATCCCATGGGCGTCTCAGCTGCCTTGAACTGAGTTGTTGTGGTAACTTTCTAGTTTGTGGCGGAGAACAAGGACAGATTATTGTCCGGTCCATGCAGTCCCTTGAAGTATTGGCAAAATATAATGGGATGGGAAGGTCGATTAGTTCTTTGACTGTGACTCCAGAAGAATGCTTCATAGCTGGGACGAAAGATGGAAGCCTTTTAGTGTATTCCATTGAAAATCCCCACCTACAAAAATCTAGCCACCAGAGAAATTTGAAAACAAAAGCGTCTGTAACTTGAAGGAGTACTTATTCGCCAACCTTTTGATGTTGAAGACACATAATCTTCAGGGTTTCAGGTGCGTAGACCGACTTCCTTACAAGTTGTTTCTGTTCTTTGCTTGTTTGCAAATTTAGTCCTATATTTATGGTAAACAATCATTTTTATCTTGTATATTTCATCAGTTGTGTTTTAGTTCTTAGACATTGAAAGAAAATCATCTGTTTTTTGTCCTTCAAAGAACAAAGAAAATATACTTCCCCTGTCATAGAAAATATGCTCACTTTCTTTATTTGTCTGTCGTAAAAAAATGTTTTTTATTTAGTAAAAAATCATATACTACTTTTTATCTATTTTTTTATTATAAAAAGTAAAAAGTGCACACCATATTAAAACTCGTGAGTGGAACTGGAATTGCCGTCTTTATCCACTGGTACTCTTCCTTCAGACCAAAGTAAATATGTTATATTTGAATAAATATATAGAGTGATATTAATCATAGATACATGATTAAATTTGCAACCTTCCATATATATAAATGATAACCAGGTAAACACCGTCTTTCATGGAACCAATGGATTTAATTATCAGTAGAATGCGGAAATGAAATGACTCAACTGAATCATTATTGAAGATATTGCAGCACTAAATGATGCCGATGTTGGTTTTGATTGTGTCTCGACTCTCATCTCAGAATGAAATTAGATTTTTCAATGTCTACTTTTTTTTTTTTTTTTATTGGATAGATTTTTCAATGTTTTGGTACAACATGATGGTTCATGCTGTACCAACTTACCTCATCCTTCAATTTTCCTTTTCAGATGCAACATGTCATCCATGAACAGTCTCTGAATCGTCTCCTTCGTCTGGAGAACCCCAAGTGCAGGATCTTCAAGGCTCTGTTTCATTGACTATACATCAACACAGAACAACACACTCATTGGTTGTCTTAAAATCCTGCACCGGCTACAAAAACTGAGCTCCCTAATCATCATAGCTATAAATGCTAATCTAACCTGAGGCGGTGAAAGGTATAGATTTTTACTTTTTTTTTTTTTTTTGTTTTTTTGTTTTTTTGCATCAAAGTTTGATCATATATGATGGATATAAAAGTAGAATTTTGGTAAATTCTGGGGTTGAATGCATATACATATTTACATGTGTCTTCTTGCTTTAGTGGCTGCTGCTATTTTTTCCCAAGATCTCTTGTTGGAATGGTATTTGATTGATTGTATAGAGATACATATATATATATATATAAGCACTGTCTAAGTGGTATTATACCAACACATTAATATAAAAGTAGTTTGCAGAGTGTTAGGTTGGACCGGGATTTATCAAAGTACACTTTCGAGTAGCTATTGTCCGCTACTGTTTTACCTAAATTATTTGTACATATAATAATATGTTTATAATTTATATAAAAATTTAAAAATATTTTAATATTAGAATATATGATTATTTTACTATAATAAAAAATTGATACATGTAATAACAAAGTAATAATAATAATAATAATAATAATAATAATAATAATAATAATAATAATACTTTAAATTGAAATGAATAAAATATAATAAATTCATAATTAATAATAAAAAAATACATATCATATTTAAACTAAGGAAAATGACAAAATATAAAAAAAAAAGTTGAATATTTATATAATGAGTTGTAATAAAATTAAAATGTTTTTTATAATATAAAAAATAAAAAGTTAATATTTAAATTAATATTTTTTAAAAAATAATGAATAATAAAATTTTGGCAAATTTCTTCATCAAAAGCAACTAATAATAAAAAAATATTTACTCATAATTTTACTATTTCAATTTTTATGTTATATTATATTAAACAACTATTTTAATTTAAAATTTTAGAGTAAAAATTATTTTTGGTATCATTCAATATTAAAATTATCAATTTTGGTTTTAGTCAAATTCAAATGAAAATTTATCAATTTTAGTCCCAAAATGGTTGACTGACACTAAACACGGCCGTGTGTTACGGCCGTGTTGGAGGACTCAGAAGGTGACTGGGCGTCCCAAGCAGTCAACACGGCTTTCACGACCATGTTTTCAATATAATCATATTGTAGGTTATATTTATTATTATTTTCGCTTTTTGGTTAAAATTATTTGATATATATATTTATAATTTAACAAAAATATTTTTTACAATTATTTTATAATATAAAAAATAATCAATTTTTAATATTTTTAAAATATATAAAAATAATAATATATTAATATATTTTTTTTAAATAATACTCTCCCCTTCCACTTACCATGTCCACATTGCCGTTTATATCTGTCACACATCCCATATCACTTTTCTTTTTTTAAAAAAATAATAATTACACACTATTTTTTAATTTAATTTTAATTTTAATTAAACTAACGAGTTATTTTAATCTTAATTTATAATTATTTATATTATATGATAATTATTTTTATTAATACATTCTTAATTATCTACTAATTATACTTATCTTAAATTCTCGATCCTAAATTCTCGTGTCTACATTGACTAGATATCCAACTAAAGGAAAACATGGCCTAAAACATGGTTGTGTTGAGAATATGGGCAGGAATATGGGTGTGTTCAGAACACCGATAGGAACACGGGCGTGTTCAAGCCAACATGGTCGTGTTCAGTCCCAGTCAACCAGTTTGAGACTAAAATTGATAAATTTTCATTTGAGTGGGACTAAAATTGATAAAAAAATTTTAATGTGACCAAAATTGATAATTTTGATATCGAATGAGACCAAAAATAATTTTTATTCCAAATTTTACCATTAAAATAAAAATTCAAAATCAAATTCTCACAAATAAACACACTCAATTCAAACAATTATTTTAATTCAAAATTTTATTATTCAAACACTCAATTTTTTTATTTTTTATTTATTTTTTTTTTATGTTCGTCTTTTTCTATAAAACAATTATTTAAAGTATAGGTTTGAACACGATTATACGAATCATCTTGTGTTATTTATCTAAATTTTCATAATTATTTAAATGTTAAGATGGTGACTCATGGCATTAATGCTATTTTCTAATTAATTAAACAAAACAATTTTAATATGAGCAGTTGCCAGTTGAAGAAAATATCTTTATTTATTTATGAATGAATCATTATTATTCGCTCTAAACAATTTCCCTATTGGAGAATCCGATCATGAATCCGTCGCCGTCGCCGACGCCGGAGCCAAATCCATCGAAAGATAACCAAAATCCGCCACAAACCTCCAAATCGGGAGGCGCCGGAGAGCCTGGCTACGCTCCATACCCGAAGCTCCAGCCAGACGACGTCGCTCCCGTTGCCGATACGTGGAGCTCAAGCGCTTCCGGAGAGGCGCCGCGCGCCGCTCCTGGTGCCACCACCATGCCGCCGGAGTCCAATCCTTACATCTACGCCGGTTCTGCTCCTCCTTCTGCGGCCAAGAGTACGATTTTTGTGCTCCTTCTTCGCTTTACTGATCGTCGATTTTGGAGTCTCTGGCTGTATTATTTCACTGTTGATTCGATGAAATTGTGGTTTTATGCTGTAGAAAACACGGATAAGTTTAAGGATGCTTTGGGTAAATTCGGTAAAAAGGCTGCGGAGGCCACTAAGAGGGCTGAAGACTTGGCAGGAAACATGTGGCAGCACTGTGAGTTTTCCTTGGTTTCCATTGAATTTTAGGGCTTGGCCAATTTTGTGAATGGTTTAATTTAATTTTCTTACTATGATTCATTCATAGCTTCAGAAAGTTATCAGATCAGTAAATATTTTGGCGTTCAACTTTTAATGTGATGATATCTTGCTAATACAATAAGTTTTAATCTGTGCATTGCTTCAACTTTCAATATACTCTTCTTGTACAAATCAAAGTGATTGGCAGGACACACATTTGTTATAGTTTTATCGGAGCTTGGATCTTCCAATGAATTTAGGATTAAATCTTAGAAATCTCATTTCTACATGTTTGTTTTGTGTGGCCAAAGAAATGGGATCTTTTATATTTTGCTTTTCAATAGCTGATGGGCCGAATGTCCGTGTCTAAACTCAAGTACGGTGGCTCTTACAGTTGAGATTTCGCCAGTTTACAATAGCACTTAAACAAATTAAATTTTGTTGTAAATTTTAAGGGTTATTTACTTGGGATATGGTTTTGTGTTTCGTATTTGGTTTTTGTTTGAATAGTGGTTTAGATGGAATGTTACGTGAGATATGAAATACTAATATATTTTTATAGAAAATCATAAGAGTTGCATAAGAGAAAAAATTGAAACCAAACTCTAAGTAAACAAAACCTTAGGGTGTGTTTGTTTGTGGGTTTGGATTTTTGAATGGTAAAAATGTTGAATTTAAATAGTTGTTTGATGTGATATAAATATATATTGATTTGACGTTTTGAATGTAAAATAAATTTGTAGTATAATATAAAAAAGAAAAATAATTATTTGATTTGATACTTTTTAAGAGAAAAAAGAATTTGAATAGTAAAACTTGCCCTAAAACTCACAAAAGAATACAATCTTAGACTTCAGAGTTAGTACGTGCCACTTAGACAGCAAGTTCTAATACTTTGATTGGATCAGTGAAAACTGGCCCGAGCATAACGGATGTTGCAGTCAGTAGAACAGCACACATTAGCAAGGTTTTGGCCGAAGGGGGGTATGAAAAGATCTTCCATAATACCTTTGAGAGTGTTCCTGAGGAGAAACTCCAGAAGTATTATGCATGCTATTTGTCTACTTCTGCCGGCCCTGTTGTGGGAGTTTTGTATCTATCGACTGTAAAAATAGCCTTTTGCAGCGATAGTCCTCTTTCCCACCAAGTTAATGGCGAAACCCACATGAGTTACTACAAGGTATGCTATTGATCTTGCGTTATACTTATTTCGCTTTGAAGTTGTGTGGCCGTCTATTTGTTATTCTCAGTAGCTTCTGTCTCGGATTATTCTTGCATTTCACATCAGATGAATCGTCGTTGTGTATATATTGTTCAAGTTAATTAAGTCTTGTAAGAATTACCCAATGTTTTGTTCAAGTATAAAATAGTGGAGTTTTTAGTCACTACCCTTTAGGCATATCCATTAAATTCATTTTGAGCTTTGCCCTTTGGATTGACTTGCATTTAATCGGTGACTTGCTAAATGTACAGCTATTAGGGTTTGTTTGTTTGGCAGGTTTTTTCGAATTTTTATTCATCAAATTTTGTTTTTTTCAAAAAATATCAAATCAAATACTTATTTTTTATTTTTTATATTATGCTAAATATTAATTTTATATTCAAAATATGGCATCAATACTTATTTATATCACATTATACAACTATTCCAATTCAAATTTTTTACTATTCAAATTTCAACTCAAAATTCAAACCCCCAAACAAACACACCTTTTTTTCGAGTGGAAGAAAATGAGAGTAAGAAAAAGGAAGTGTGTTTACTTGGTGATTCTTTTTTGTTCTACTTTTGTTTTTGCCGTTTTGGTTTTTAATTTAAATAGTGTATTCGAAAGAAAATAGTGTATTCTTACTAGGATTGCAAAGTAAAAAAATTGAAGAGAAAAAACATAGCCAAAATTGATATATATATATATATATTTTTGAATTCCTTTGCTTGGAAGATACCATAGAAAGTGACTGAAAGATCATTTTTACCGTTCTTTGCCATTTTGGTATTCGAAACTCACTGTAAGCCTTAGAAGTTAGAACCTGCAAAGTTAGATGTACCTGATACATGCTTAAATATCGACAATATGACATCTTATTTCTTTAATTTGCATAAATATATTTCAACATCTTTGTCGAATACAACTGAACAGCATCCACATTTACGAACAAGTGCAGGTTGTCATTCCATTAAATCAGGTGAAAGCCATTAACCCGACTGCCAGCAAAACCAATCCGGCCGAGAAGTACATCCAGATCATTTCTGTCGACCATCACGAGTTCTGGTTCATGGGATTCGTCGCGTACGACGGTGCCGTAAAATCACTACTGAATGCAGTACAAGGTCATCATCAGTCTTGATCTTTATTTCAAAATATGGCTTTTCCATCTGTGTGTTTATATATATCTATATATATGTTTGGGTTTTGTATATGGAAACATAATTTGCATTTGGGTGATGAATACATATCTGATTCTCTTGTAATAAAAGTTACCTCTCATGCTTGTATGATTTTTTATTTTTCATTTTAATTGTACCATTTTTGCGATTTGTATGGATATGTGAAATGTAATTTGGATCTTGATTTTTAAATTTTCTTGTCTGTCTGTTATCAACATTTGTTCATCTGTATAGAGGTTTGTTTGGCATTTGATTTATGTGTTGTGTATCTTTAATATATCTTTATAATTTATATATATATATATATAATTGTGTATAAAGGTTTTTGAAACTCTGCACTATCATTTAGAAATTGTACGAAATTATTAGTTGTTTGAACTCAACTCAAAATTGGAGTAAAATAAAATATCCATTATTTATCAAAGTTAAAGGGTTTGTTTGCTAAATAAATTTTTACGATTCTTAAAATGTATAATATATATGTTATAACATTCAATGACAAAATTTCACATATCTGATATTAAAAGAATGCCTCTAACTAAAATCTAAACAAACACCTCAATTATAATTTGTTTGTTTTACCGTACAAAATGTTAGTTTAGGGAGTTTTTGTATGTAGTTGCTTATAAATTTGTAGGGTGTGTTTTTTTTTGACAAAAAGTTCAACGTAGAAAAAATAATAATATAGATATATATTACAAATATTACCGTAACTATTATTTAACGGTACAAATATTTTTTCAATTTACAATATGTTATGAATATATAGATATAGGACAAATGGAATATTATATACCTATCCTTTTTATATTATTTAAATCAAAACACAAAACAAACAAGCTCATTGTTTTTTAAATAATTGTAAAAAAGAAAATTACATTTTTTAATAAATATTAATAGAAAATATATAATATATACTTATGTACTTTATGTAAAAAAATATATTTCAAATTAAATAATCTTAGCGGTTTATCTGCCTATAATATAATTCTATTATATTTGATATAGTATTTGTTTATACAATATTTTTAAATTATTATTAATGTTTATAAAAATATTATATCAATTTTTTTTTCCATAAATATTATATCAAATAGTAATATTTTTGTTATTAGTTAAAAATCTTTTTGTCTAAACTAAAATTTTTTATACCATTTATTATTGGTTTTTTTATTACGAATATGAAAAAATTTCACAATCAATAATATGAATCCATAAAATTATATAAAGTTATTCTATAATTATTCTATAATAATAATAATAAGAAGAAGAAGAATAAACGCCTCTGCACATACATAGCCTATGAATCGCAGTTTACAAAACAAAAGGATTGAATAAGGTGTGTCCCCGTCTCTGTTTGTCTTCTTTCATCGTCGCTTTCCTCAAACGAACGAATGTTTCTCCCGTATTGCCTCCAATTCAATGCCTTCGGATTTTCCCAATGCCCCCAACACACAGTAACCATCATTCCGCCACCGTAATCCGCCATTATTGATTTATAAATTTAATTTAATTGAATTGTTCCATGATGTGCGTTGGGGAATATGTGTGCATGCATTTCTTCTAGGTTCCCTTTAATGGAGGCAATCCATTAATATTTGAGAAATGACCAACATGAATGCGGGTGCGGCGCCAGACTCCACGCAGGTGAGCGTTTAATTTATCACAAGGCATGATTGTACCGTAATCATGGCCGGATCTTAGCTCTGATTTCGTGTGTTTGTTTCCAATTTTTTTCGTTTTTCGAATGTCTATCTGTTTCAGGCGGAGGGCAACGCCGGGGTAAATGACTCGTCTCCGACAGCTGGCCCCGCCGTTCATGGCGGGAGCAAGGTACTTTTGGATCCAATCATTATTTTTTTAGGGTTGATGTACTCTGGTTCAATTAAGGGCGTTGTATGAGATAAATATGGAAACGTATAGTAATTAGTATGTTTGACAAAATTCCATGTTATCATGCTTGCATTCGAATAGTGAAGTTCCATTATCATGGAAACAGCAAAGCTGTGGAATCTATTCATTAGGAAGGATAGTTAAAATGTGAAAAGAGGTTTGTGGAACTCTCTATGCTACATATATATATGTATGTGTTTGTGTGTGTGTGTGTTAGGTTGATTCCTTAATAAATAAATAAGCGATGGTATCCTTTTTACGCTGCAACAGTCATTTAATATTGTACTAGAGCCGGGGTCTTGTATGTGGCGAATATCCACCTTCCCTAATAAATAAATAAGTTTGATGCTTTAAGTTTAAACTTTTAGGTGAGACAGTTATTAACAATTCATATATATATATATATATATGTATCTCTCGCATCTTGACATTTAGCAATCTCTCGCATCTTGACATTTAGCAATCGAGACAAATTGAAGTTCGGGGAAGAGTTTGTCAGAAATGCGGATATGATGTTCTACACTTTAAGTATCAAAGGCTTTTGAAGTAGGTTCTTAACGCTTGAGTTTCAGGTGTCAGCTAAGATGACTGTAATTTATTGTTTTTAAGCTGTGATTTGCTGTGAAGTTTGAAGTGGATGTGAACAACGAATTCCTGGATAGACTTAGGCCTGTTAAGCCAAAAAAGAGATGTGTTCGGCTACTTCATTTCATGGAGTGGATTTCGAATATGCTTACTGATAATTTATCCCACGGATGTTTTATATGAAATTATTATCAATCTACTCAACTTTTTCAGTTTTTTTGTCATTTTATTCTAGAAATTCTGATTTCGGCAATGCAATAAACAGCTTATACAGATTTTTGTAATTTTTATCACATTGCAGGTTTATATGAGTGGCCCGCTATTTTTGTCATCTAAAGGTCTGTTTTTGACCTTTCCTCTGGTCATTACAAAAATAAATGAATACATGTCTGTGTGTATGTCCATCTTTACTCTGTTGTGCATCTTCGAATATGCATTCTTACTTGCTGAAGCTGAGGTAATAACATTTACAAAAATATATAGCAAACTCATTTCACCAATACCGTTCTTTTTGCTATAATGAGCTCCATATTGCTATCTACTTTTTTGACAGCTCATCCGCCATCATAATAAATTATGAGGATGGCTTTGTTCTTGTGAAACTGGATAGAGTGTATCTAATTGCTGTTGCGTACACACAATTTGCATTTATGTTCTCGTAATTCAATGTATTTACTGTTACTGATACAATCTGTATTATCCAATAAAATTCTGATATTTAGCATTTAGGGTTTATCTTCACAAGGCACGCTTATTGTATTTGTATGAAAATTTTCTTTCATGTACCCAAAAAATCTACTTGCTAAATAAGGTAGAGCAAAGTAAGCAAAAGTGTGGTTTGCTTCCATTCTAAATTGTTAATATTCACTATTATGGGCCATTCTCGTCCTATTTCCTCTTTAATACCCATTAAACTTCTTTTTATTCGCTTTATATGCAGGGATTGGATGGACATCATGGAAGAAAAGGTGGTTTATTTTAACTCAAACCTCCTTGGTGTTCTACAGAAGTGATCCAGTAAGTTGCTTGTTTTCTAAGTTTCACTCTTGCTCTAGCTTTGGTACTAATATTCGTCTATTACTTTTTGCATTCTAAACTATATTAACAAGTAAAATTTCATACCTTCCAAAAAAATAAAAGGGACTGTTGCTAGTTTCTGATTTTTCTCTATGAACTAGATATAACTTTACTGATTTGTTACACGTCTTGCCTTTTTCGTCCGTGTTTGAATGTACTATAAGATGGATATTTGAAGTGTTTCACTATCATATACTTGAGATTATACTATAATGTTGGCACATTCTGTGTATGGTTACTGGTTCCTGTATCCATATAGGCAGCTGTGAGCTGTGAAATTTGCTGGCACTCTTAATCTGTTTGTATACAGTTATGTAAACTATCACCCAAATTTTTGGAATTCTTCTATTGTACTGAAATATTGATATCTAATTTACATTGGTCAGTTCATTCTTAAAGCCAAGAATGTGAAATTTATTCCTTCACAAGTAAAACTATATTCTTTGAAAAGTTTTCTCTTCTTATGAAGTATCTTCTATTCTTGGCCTTCTATTTTGTTCTCAGAATGCGGCTCCTCAAAAAGGCGGTGAAGTCAATTTAACCCTTGGAGGCATTGATCTCAACAGTTCAGGCAGGTTGTCCTTTTTCCAAAATATATCATCTGCAAGTGTTATTGATATATATGTATCTTTACTGCTTGGTTAGAAATTTCATAGATAACCATAGAGTGTCTTAACATCTTGGTTGTTTCTAGTGTGGTAGTAAAAGAAGATAAGAAATTGCTCACGGTGGCTTTCTCCGATGGTCGTGATGGACGGTCTTTCACCCTCAAGGTTCAGTACTGATCACTTTTTTATTTTTTTATTTTTTTATTTTTTAAGTTGTAAAGCATCCTATTGCTATTTATTCTCTTAAATCTGCATCTTCTTCTAGTCTTCAAGCTCACTTTTTCATTACCATGTTTCATGCATCTTGGAAGAACAGAAAAGTGTGAATGGTAGGTAGACCTGAATTTAGATTAAGAGGAAATGGATGGGGTTTATTATTGTTGTTTAGCCTATAGAGTTTATATTTCTCAAAGGAGTTTTAATCAAACATAGATGAATTGAGATGGTTGTTGTCTTTAGCTTTGTTTTGTCTCAAGGCTTAGACAGATCATAAGCTTATGCTCCCCCGGGAATTATTGCTGGATTTTGTTTAGTGCAGGCAGAAACACTGGAGGATTTGTACAAGTGGAAGACTGCATTGGAGGAAGCCCTTGCAAATGCCCCTAGTGCTAGTCCTGTTGCGGGTCAAAATGGTGCATCAAAGAATGAAAATTTCAATTCAGATGATGTTTCTTCTGAACAATGTAAGCTTCTCATTAACTGAATATGTAGCTGCTTGTCATGTTGCTTAAACATTGTTTCTCTAGAGTACTGATTTTTGTGTAAAGATTGCTGACAGCCGCAATATTCAAATTCAAGTGACCTTAGAGTCTCATTAATACTGAAAACATATAGACTGATTATGTCTCATATACGTTTCAATTTTGCAAATTTGTAGACTGAACTTATCATAATAATTTGAGAGTATGCTTTCACTGTTTTTAATGGATGAAAAACTATCAATACAATAATGTCACTTTTAGACGACTATATTTTAGTTACTAATCCAAATCTTATTCGTTGTATTTTATAGCCAAAGACAAAGAACCAGCTAAGTCCTTGGTACTTGGCCGACCAATTTTGCTTGCTTTAGAAGATACAGATGGCACACCATCCTTTTTGGAAAAAGCTCTTAGATTTGTGGAAGAACATGGTGAGCCTTTTTCTAGTGAACTTAAATGGGGTGGCTGAATCTGTTCAGTGCTTTGCATTCTGAACTTGTTCTTCCCAATTCAACCTCAGGAAGACTGAATAAAACAAAAATTTAGCTTATCAAATATCCTAATAGTGAAGAGAGACCAAACTGTTCTATGCGTTGTATGAGATGCACTAACAGTACCCCAGAAGTATGCTTTTCTGTTCTATATTTATTTGCTAATACGAATGATCTTTGATAGTCATAGATTACAAAGACTGGATAGGTGCCGTGGTGATTTTACTGGATAAAAGAACTTAATAATTAGATTATGATGGGTTTACTCATGGAACTAAGCATTATACTCTAATTTAAAAGTGATGTTCTGATTTGAGTTTATTATCTTTCTCATGAATGAATCGACAGTGTAGAAAAGGAAATGGCTACATCCAACAATAAGTCACCCATCTGCATTAATCCACCCCACGCTAAGTGGGTTCAAAAGATGACAAACTTGTTTGACATTATTGATTCTATTTGAGTTTTAACGCTTACATCTTTGACACAATACATGAGTGTATGCTAGCTTCATAACACAATAGTATTATACCCAAATTTCTTGACTCCTTTGTTACAACTTGAAAATTTTCATCTTGCATGTTTGTGTTTTGGGTTTAGTCAAGATGGAGTTCCATACATTTATGGTGAGCATTGGACTCCATGGTTCTCATTTAAATCAGAATGAAATCTCTTCATCTTCCGTGTGTGAGTAGTCTGCATTTTCATATTTCTTGTGCTGTCTTGAAAACTTAATCCTTAAAAGATCACAATACATTCTTCTCCTGTGCTTATAGAATGAGGAAGAATTTGGTTATTTTCTTCCTAAGTTCGATTAATTTGTTTAACTCTTGTTTTAGGAGTCAAAACTGAAGGCATCTTGAGGCAAGCTGCAGATGTAGAACTAGTAGAGCGTCGAATATTAGAATATGAGAAAGGTTTGTTTATTTAATGCCACATTCCTTGACCTATTTGTTCTTCTTTGCAGTTTAATTTTAAAACAGTTGATTCCTTCTTTGACTCTTTGTTTCAGAATATTAAGCAAGAACCTATTTCATTTCGTGAAATGTCTTTAAAATACTCCTATATTGTTAATGATACCTCAGAATTATCACAAAGGTTTGTTCTAATTCCTCCAATGTTCTAACCCACACTGCTATTCCGTTATTCTTCCAAAATATTTTTCAAAGGATGCTGTGTGTGTTCCTGAAAGTTTCGAGAGCTAATCATCCTTTGAGAAAGAGAGAATCCCACTTTTCACACACGCCAATGTCTATGCTTTGTAACAATGCCATTATTTAGTGCTACTCTATGTCCTTATGTTCCTGGTTTTCGTTGATTAGTTTGTGTACCTCTTTTCTTTCTATGTTGAGGGGTGCGTCCAAGCAAAAAGACTAGAAATTTAGGATGGAAAAATATCTATGTGCAGAGGTTTTTTGGGCAATAAAGCATGCCTGTGTTTCATACTGTCAATCTGATAAGATGTATCCAAGTACAAATCATCATAATCCACTCATCCCTACTTCAATCATATCCAGGGAAAAATGATTTTTCACCAAATGAAGATGCCCATGTTATTGGTGACTGTATAAAGGTATATTCTTTATTTCTAGAAACACACCATGTTGTCATTTTCCTATATTGTGATTGAATTGAATGCTTTCTTTTTACCGATCCTGACCAGTATATTCTTCGGGAGTTACCTTCATCACCTGTTCCTGCTTCTTGCTGCAAGGCTCTTGTTGAAGCCTATCGTAAGTTTTCATATTTCCTACAAAATAAAAGTGCCCTCCTGGAAGGCAGACTAAAAGTCCAGATATAATGAAAGAAGTTCACCAATTTAAACTATAATATACACATCACTAGAAATCCTTTGGAGTAGAGCTTTAAACATTAAGGTACTCATTTCCAACATGAGTTTGTGGATATAGGGAAAGACTTTCCATGTTAAATTTGAATCTCCAACCCCACCCAAACCTCACCGGCCCTTTTTTTTGTTCTAATCAGATTTCTATCATTATATATTATTTCCCATCCTCGGTGCTTGAATCTGTTCATGTCATTATAGTAGTTTGTGAAGTATTGTCATTCTCCCAATTTCCTTAATGATTGTATAACTAAGAGTCCTTTTTTTTTTTTTTTTTTTTTTTGCAATTACTTATACATTTTTGTAATGGCTATATGGATAAGATTGTCATGGTCCAAGAGTTAAAAGTATTGTGGCATTTGAAATCTGTTGTAATTAACTATATCAGGGTTTTTCTTTCCTTTCCTTTCCGTTTTCCTTTAGGTTAAGCAATTAACTCAATATAATAATTAGGAACTGAACGAAGCAAGAGAGTAGATGCAATGCAATCAGCAATATGTGAAACATTTCCAGAGCCAAATCGCCGTTTATTACAAAGGTAATTTGAAATCTTTGTTTAGAAAATGCAATTTCTATTGATAAATTTAGGGTGTGTTCGTTTGATGGATTTGGATTAAATTCCACTATTCATCCAAAATTTTCCCCCCAAAAACATCAAATCAAACACCTATTTTTCATTTTTTATATTATACTAAAAATCAATTTTACATTCAAAACATCACATCATCACCTATTTATATCACATCATACAACTATTCAAATTCAAAATTTTTACTATTCAAATCCCAACTCAAAATTCAAACCCCCAAACAAACACACCCTTAGTATTCCTTGTTTTGAAGTTGGTAGAGAAAAAGGTCTATCTAGAATCAGGGCCATGCTTGACCTTTCATATCCAAGACTACAAAATCCACTAGATAAACAAATTCATCAACTTGCTAGTTGTAAAGGCATTCTTGTTAGCTTGAGTTACCTGGAGCCAACTTCCCCAAAATGAGGAAAATGGTGTAAGGTTAATGTTTGATCTCAAATTACATAAAACTTGATTGGTTCTCATGTCTTCGACAAAGCATGGAATTGAAAATTTCCAAAGAGAACAACTTTTGAGGTAGCTTGCTTTGTAAACTAAAATAGTGAGATGTGAATCTCCTCGACCAAATTGGCATGAGAAAAAAATAAAGGTGTGGTTATTACGACAAATAGGGATGCATATATATACACACAGAAAAGAGGAGAATCATATCTTTTGAGAAATAAATCTCATCAATCACCCTAATTACTGCATTTTTTGGGTATCTACAAATCAAATATGTGATACTTGATAACTAACTCTAAAAGAGGCGATGGTTTTGGATATTTTTACTTGATATTCATACTCAATTCATATCAAAATTTTCAGTCAACAAAAGTCATTTGGTGTCTTGTTGGATGTCTTTAAGTTCTGGAAAAGCTTTCATTTCCGATTTCTAGCCTTGAACTTACTATAATGCCCTGTGTTTTCCTCATACCCTTTTTTCTGTTTCTCTATATCAGAATTCTTGAAATGTGCATAGTAGTGGCATCAAACAAGGCTGTGAACAGAATGAGTGTATCAGCTGTGGCAGCGTGCATGGCGCCATTGCTTCTTCGCCCCCTTCTTGCGGGTGAATGTGATATCGATAATCATATTGATATGGGAGGTGATAGCTCTGCTCAACTTTTGCAGGCTGCTGCAGCAGCTAATCATGCGCAAGCAATTGTTATTACACTGATTGATGAATATGACAACATATTTGGGGTAGGCTTCAAGTTTGTGACTCTTTTGTCATTATCGATTGCCTCCTTATGTGAACCGACTTATCAACATTGATAGATTGTGTCGATGTTTCATGTTGATTTTCTATATGCATGTGAATCTTATTTTGGTTATATATATGTGTGTGTATGTGTTTGGTCTTAGTTTGGTTTTTAATTGATATTTAAGTCAGTGTTGGTAATGGTGGAAATATTGTAGTCAATTCTTTGGGATTTGGCTATGTCTTTTGCAAAGAAGTGATGAATATCTCCTTTGGATGTGATTTACCCTCTTTTCTGTTAGGATGGTGCTGAGACCCATGAACCATATACTGACTCAGATGAGAGTGATATGGAGAGTGACGAAATTACAGACGATGAAAGCTATGAGGATGAGGATGAGGATGAGGATGATTATGTGACAGAAGGCTCTGATTATGAGGATGAAGACGATGAAGAAGATGAAGAAGAAGAATCAAGGGCAACTAAAACTACCACTTTAGATTACTTTGGCTAATGCCTATTCAATTTTCTTCTAAGTTCGTTGAGTTTTGACCTATATCCATTAATAAATGCAGGCCTCCGAAAGTGCTAGATCTAATTGCAACTCTCCCAACCAAAATTCTTCAAGTCCAGATAGAGCAAAGCTCCAATCAAATAACTCCTCTGACCTAACTGAGGATGATCCCTCTGAAGCATCCTTGGTACAAGTATCTTCTGAATTATCACATGGATCGTCCCGCAGTGCCAGACAACGCCAGGTTCTAGGGCGTGCTACGGTGAGTGTATAATCTGTTCTTTTTTCTTTTCTTTTCTTTTCCAGAAAGGAAATTTGATGCCAGACAGTGCCAAGAAAACTTTTTATAATTTCCCGTTCTAATTGTACTAATATATCAGCAGCCGTGCCTTTTTTCATTAAATGACAACTGAATTTGATATTCTATTATTTGAGACAATTGAGAACACTCACATGACACATTTGAGTCCATCCAGGGGAAGAAGAACCTTTCTGGGGAATCCGGTGAAGTATCCCATGATGATGAGTGAGTGATGCTTTCACATTCTATCATAAATCTAACACCAAGTATAAGTGTTCTCTTTTTCTCTTTTTTTCAATCTTCCTTTCATTATTGATGTATCAATCAAACTCACAACATAGCATTATTTACCATCTAATGTTAGGTGACTTCACCAAAGCAATATGGTCAGTTTATGCTCTACCGCTTTACATAGGAGAGCTTGAATTCCTTCTACTTGATAAGACAGACACATTCTCAAATTAAAAGTTTTATATCAAACTATGCATCGTAGTATATACTTGGGTGCCCTGAACTAGAAAAAAATCACTAATGTGCGAAAACTATTTTCAATCCATCTGGGAGGACCTAGGTGTTTTCACATTTAAAATTGCTTACATCCGTGTGATGTGCACAAACAGCTTATATTTTCCTCGCCTTCACTTTTTGTTCTTACATATTTTTTCCTCACAATCACATTAACTTTGCCCCTTACCTAGTAGGGCTGAGTGGCATGCTAAAATGGATTTGCATATCGGAACCCCCAATGAGGTGGACCTTTAAGCCCTTATTTCTCTCATTATTTACCAGTTCATAGGTTTGGATTAAGCAATAATGAAACTATATCTTTGTTTGTGTTCCTTTATGTAGGCTACGGTGAAAGCTCTTCTGCAAGATATTGTAGATAAGCGGAAAAATGATTTGCATGAACGCCGTCTATATCTTGAGAAAGATGTAAGGATCTATAGAGAACTGATCTTAATTTCTTTTTCCTTTTTTCATTATTTGTCTACTCCCACTCACCTACCTACATGGCAACTATCGACATATATCAGCCATGACATATCTGTCTAGACTGGTTTTTGCATATACTTTCCACACATATTGCATATAGTTTTCACATGTTACACTGCTTCCATAGGATTCTCTGATTGCCATAAAACAGGGAAATCTCATGTTTTGGGTATTGTAAAATCATCACGACGTATTTGCACACTAGTTGGGCTCAAAGTGATAATCAAGAATTTTAAATTTGACATACGGGATTAGCAGCAAATAAAGTACTTATACATCAACATGGATTTGGTTTTTAACACTCGAACAAACTCAAAGGAAATTGCAACGTAGGTGGTGAGGCTACAAGAGCTATTACGCAAGGAGATGGAGTTGAGGGCAACAATCGACGCTGGACTGAAAAGTTCACAACTACCTTCATCTGTTTCATCACTTATCAGTGAGAAGGTTCGGTTCTTGCAATGTATCTGGAAGTTTATTTATTACGCCTGCTAATAACCAATTTCTAGTTGTCTATAGATGAAAGCGGAGCTGGAGGACATTACTCGAGCAGAGGCAGATGTTATGATTTTAAAGAGAAAAGCTGACGATCTTGAATCACAGCTTTATGAACAACGAGAACAAAACTCTAGGGTGTGGCACGACCAACAAAAGTTGTAAGCACATACATATATTCTCCCTTCAATTCTGCTTGTAGCGTACGTAGCCTTTGCATGACTTTTGCGTAGGACAAGAACACGAATACAACCATATAGGGGATTCCAAAGCATTATTGAATAGTATTAATTATTAAACCATGAGAAGTTTTAGAAAATTAGTATTATAAATTCTATCTCCCCCTTGGATTTTGGCAGCAACTTCAGATCTTTTGCACGATTCACCTTTAAGTTTCTGTATATCTGAACCCATAGGTGATGAATTAAAGTATGCTTTAGATTTTAGAAACTGGAATTTATTGGAATTCTGCAAACTGAATTTGGTAGGCATGTTTCAAAACAATTTATCGAATGATCATTTATGCATACTATCTATGTCCTTTTTAGCTGTAGGAAGATTTGGCACACGTAACGACTAATTTTATTCTCTCTCTCTCTCTCTGCGTATGCAGGAAGGTGAAACACAGGGATGGTGCTTCGAAGATTTCTACTAGTAAGGTATGCATCTTCCTCAGTATTCCAGGATTCAGTCGATTGTTCTCACCTTTTTAGTATATGTCGATGGATGGCAAATAACAGATATGAGTTACCTTTTAAAAAATTAACTAAGTTCGATTCTGCCATCCAATTAGTGTGTTTCGCTTTCTTAACCTTCATCTAGAATGGCAAATTTATTGCATATAGAAATGCTGCGAATTGTTACTCTCCAGGGGGTTAATAGCGGTGTCGGATATTTGACTACTTAAAATTATCGTCTAGCAATGCTGAATTCATGACCATGTATGAACAGGATGATTCTCCATCCTCGTCGAATATGGCATTAGTGCCACAAACAGACAATCCAAAGCTCCTTTCAGTCATCTCCATGGCAACCTCCATGGACTCTGGAGCTAATAAATTTGGTCCCACAGCATCAAGAAAGCCCGGCATGCCTCCGGTACTAATATATACATATATATATACAAAAGAATCGAAAATCTAAATTACACACTTAGGGTGTGTTTGGTTTGTGTTTTTTGTTATTTCCACTGATATGTAATCCTACTTTGTTCAACAGGGAGCCAGTGCCAATTCTGCTCTATCGAAGCTCACAAACCGGCTCAACTTCTTAAAGGAACGGCGCGCACAAATTGCGAATGAGCTTCAGAACTTAAACATAGGTCGAAGCTTAAGCCGGTCTGGTGAGAGCCGTAAAATAAGCACATCATTTGAGAATCCTCAGTCACCTGACAAAAATCAAGAATCCAAAGGCTGGCCATCCGAAAAAGGACAGGAACCGGAGAACCGGGAAGCGCAGACGAATCCGAACAGCCAGGCTGGAAAGAAATCTAAGAAACCTCAGAGTTTGGACAAAGGAAACTCTGAAAGCCTCCCTTATGGAGGGGATAAAGGCACCTCCAAAAACACTTCAAGAACATTTTCCAGGTGATCATGATCATGCATTCTTCTTCTGCTCTCTTCAAATTTAAATTTTGGATTTTATTATTATTATTATTATTATTATTATTATTATTATTGTTATGGTTTGTTTTAATATTTTATAGTTAGAATTGAGACAATTACAAGTTTTTGTTAATGCCACTGTGTAAAAAGAAGTTTATGATTTGGTATTTTTATGTGTATGGTGATCATTTTGTAATTTTTGAATTTATATATATTATCGCTGTCCGAATATGTATCTAAGTGTTTATTTTTTTCACATAAATTTTAAAATATTAATATTTTATATGTATACGTATTTAGGAGAATGGATGAATGAATAATGGTATTTCTAAAATTTGAACTCTATCCATTGTTTATTTATTCATTTGTTTTTTTCTACTAGTAATAGAAAGATAGAAAATTATTAATCTTACAAATCCATTCTCTCTTTTTGAAAAAATTTGAACTTCCTCTATCCATGGTTTATTTGGAATACATATAAATATATTTATTTATTAAAAAAGTAAAAATTGAATATTTTAAATGACTTAAATTTGTTTGTCCAAATATTTTTTTTAAATATAATTGTCAATATACATATTTTATTTTTTCACAAAAATCACACTTAACATAAATAATTATAGTTTATACTCATCCTTCTAAAAAACATTTTTTTAAGTCTGTGTATCACTTTCCTGTTTTGCACTAATATCAACAAAATACTCTTTTTAACTTTTAATTTAATTACATTCTATATGTATCATTACATATATATATATATACTTTTATATATATACCTTTTACATAAATCAAAGGCAAAAATATTAAATTTTTTTACATAGTTTATTAATTAATAAAATATTAATATCTTTTTAATTTACTAAAAACCAAATAAAAATAATAATCAAAATAAAATACTAAACACACAAATTCATATATTCTGACAAAATTAGTAACATAATCGTGTCAACAGGTGTTGAAACGTAATTTTATTATATAATATTGCTGGGGGCATGGGCGAGCCGTTACGGTTAATTGGGCCGCGCCGCGATGTGTGCGCCCACCGCCATACACTCTGCATTGCATCTACGCGTCTCTCTCTCAATCGTACCCATCACATACATATACACACATATATATATATATATATTGGTGCGTGCTTGCGTCGGAAAGGTTGAGAAATTACGAGAAGAAAAAACCCTGTTCCAGAAATCGGAGGGCACCTGACCTGACGGACGGACGATCGATTGAGTTGGATTCGGGGGGGTTTAGCTCAATGGACTTCTCCGCCGGCTTTCACGACGGCAACATCACGGACTTGATAGACAGACGAACTCTGCGCGGTGCTCATCATGTCTGTTCGTGTTCTTTTTTCCCTTTCAAAAAGTGCGGTTACTTTAATTTGTTTATTCATTTTGCTTTTGTGTGTGTGTGTTCATGGCGGTGGGTTGATCAGCCTCGATCGTTAGTTGATTTGGATTTGCTGCTTTTTGTGGTTCGGTTATGGTGCGGCTGTTGTGTTTTAGTGTGATTGTGGAGTTGCGAGCCCTTTTTGGTGTTGCTGGAAGTGTTTTTTTTTTTAGTTTTTACCCTTAGAGAATGTGTGTGGTAATTGAATTAGTGAGGTTAATTGTGAGAAAATGGGAGTATTTTGGTGACAATAAATCAAGTGTGGAAAAGAAGAGGGTTTGGCTTTGTGATGGTTAAGTTCTTGCAGTTATTGTAGACTCTACCGACTTTACATTCTCAAATCCTTAAAAATGGGCAGATCAACCTGTTTTGGGGACATTTCTGATGAGTCGAATCTTTGTATTCAAGTATTCTTGGGGTGTTCTTAAGTGGTTCTTGTTGGTGACTTCATTTTCAGGAATTCAATAGCAGTGTGCAAATGCACTCCTCACTCGTACAAAGGCTCTCCCTAGAGAGAGAGCTAGAGGTATGCATTCCTTTATTGCTATCCACCTGGCATTGCTTGCAAAATTTGAGGATTGGTAAGGACACAAGGTTATTGTTCATTTTGTTTTAAACTTTCACAGGGTCACCGTGGATGTGTAAATGCAATCTCTTGGAATTCACAAGGATCAATGTTGATATCAGGATCAGATGATACACAGGTGTTATTCTGCCATATACGTGTTTCAGTGATGGTTGTAAGCTCATATTCAATATATATGGGCTAATATGTGTGGTTGTGTAGCTACCTCTCATTGCTAGTTCTTTCATGAATGAGAAATGCATTTGATCAGTAATTACAATGGAAATAAGAAGTAATATAGAAACATATTGTTGAATTGCTATAACTTTAGAATCTTTAATCACAAAGGGTACTTTTGGCGGTCTTTCTGTTTTCTCTATGCTTCTGTGGTAAAATTTTCTTGCTCCATTTATTAGCTTTGAAGAGTAAATGGATTTCAGGTCACAATTAAAACATAGTTTGTCTTCTTGGTTGTATTTGTTGCAGCTTAATATCTGGTCCTATTCAAGCCGAAAACTCATGCACTCCATTGAGACAGGCCACTCTTCTAACATTTTCTGTACAAAATTTATTCCCGAAACTTCAGATGAATTAGTTGTTTCTGGGGCAGGTGACGCTGAGGTAATGCTCTATAGCTTTTCATGTCATTTGGGGTTCTGCTTTCTCATTTGGTGGCGTTATTGGTTGTGGATTCTAGGTCCGGCTCTTCAATTTATCCCGTTTGAAGAGAAGTGGACCAGAGGAGAGTGGTTTTGCCCCATCAGCAGTTTTTCAGTGTCACACCAGGAGGGTTAAAAAATTAGCTGTAAATCTCTCTTTTCTCGCAGAACCATCTATATGATGACAATATTTCTTGCGCTTCCAATAATTGCTTCTTGTAATAGGTGGAAGTTGGAAACCCTAATGTAGTTTGGAGTGCCAGTGAAGATGGGACACTGCGGCAGCATGATTTTCGCGAGGGTACTTCTTGTCCGCCTGCTGGGGCCTCCCAACAAGAATGCCGCAATATACTCGTCAGTTCTGAGTCCTCTACATTTCTTTCCCCCTTGCAGTTATTTTTTTCATCCCTGCTTCATCTCATGCCCCCTTTCTTGATCAACTTCATAGGCTTGTATGTGTTTATTATTGTTATTTGGTGTTCTCTATAGAAGCTATTCATTTAGTTGAAGTTTTATCTACCACAAATCAGCTAATTAAGGAAATAGGGTGCAACTCCTGGAAAAGAAACATACTCATACACTCGGATATGCAAATAAAAGATATATTGATGTGATGTCAACTGTATTCCTTATACCTACTTTCTATAAAAGTTGAGTGACTTGTGTAATACATGACTGCAGCTTGATTTGCGGAGTGGATCTAAAAAATCATTGGCAGATCCTCCAAAGCAGACCCTTGCCCTGAAGTCTTGTGATATTAGTACAACCAGGCCTCATTTACTACTTGTTGGAGGAAGGTACTCTATGTTAATTCATTTGTGTTACATTTTGTTAAAGTGTATCTGCTAATCATCAGCCATGATGCTTGCAGTGATACATTTGCGCGCTTGTATGATAGACGAATGTTGCCGCCACTATCATCTAGTCAGAAAAATCTACCACCTCCTCCTTGTGTCAACTACTTTTGTCCACTGCATCTCTCTGATCTTGTTAGTCCCTTATTAATCACAAATTGAAGTTCTGTTTGATACAAAATGCAAACTCAGTCCCCTGCTTTTCTGTTATTTTCTATGTTGTTATTGTTCTTTTCCTCTGCCAATAGATACTTAGATTATTTACTTTTTATGATTTTATCTTTTGTTAGCATTAGCTTCAGGCGTGCTCTCAACGAATGCTTTATACACAATGTTAATATGTCTTGCATCAAATTGAAATGGTGTACAAATCATTAGTTGCTCATGTATTTTTAACAATAAATCCTTTTTGGCCTTTTTTGGATGCAATTTGATTTTAAACCATGTGATGAGAGGTGGATGATGCACTTCCATGTGGAGTGGCATATTGGATTTTTAGAAAAATGCCAGTCCCTCGTTATTCTGCTGTTTGAAATTTGATGCACTTACTCTAGTTGCAGAAGTGAACTTGAAAGAATTTATCAACAAATTTGGACTATTTATTGCTTGATTAATGTAACATTAGCAAGACATTGTATGTTTATTCATACATATGTGCAGGTTCAAGGTTGAATTAACACTATCTGATGAAAGCCCACATTAATTGCCTTATGCCAATTATATGGTCCGATTTTTCTTTGCAGGGTCGTACTAGCCTTCATCTTACCCATGTTACCTTTAGTCCTAATGGAGAGGAAGTTCTTCTTAGTTACAGTGGGGAGCATGTGTACCTCATGGACATCCATCATGGTATGATTTTTGTTCCATTATTAGCTCTAGTAGATCATAACCCAATAAAACAATAGCCTCCTTCAATCATCCATAGACATATTTAAAGAATTGATCATTTAATTCTGTAGTACAAAGGTGGGTTACTCATAAAATATAATAATCAAAACAAGTAGATATAGTCATGTTTTGATCAGGTGTTCTCAAATCTTAGATATGGTTTCACATAAACAATTCCAATCTACATTTGGAGAAGTTGATGCAAGCTAGAATATTGTTTGCAAGATTCTAATTATAAGCAGATGAATTATCCAAAGTGATACCCAAGACCCGAGTATAATAGTTCATGAATTTTTACCTTTGTAATGCAATCTTGTGTGGCTTGGGAATTTTATTTTAAGCTAATTGGATGTCTTGGCAAACCCCTACACCAAGTGTATTTTTATGTGCAACTTTGGACTTCTTGATAAAGTCTTCATATTTCTTGAAATTTTGTCTTCCGCTCTCCCATTTCTCTCTCTTTGGCTTCCTAAAAACTTGTTTCATTCTTTATTTCCTTCATCTCGGATTCTTTCATCCTTTCTGTTCATCCTAGCATCGGTCTTTGTTGCTCTTGTTTTTCTTTCATTTTGCAGCCAAAAGATTCCAATTCTCAAAGCAGAGACAGATAGCACCTGCTGGCACTAAAAGTTCTCAGAATTTCTCTTAATCCAAATGAGCCTATGAAAGTTCATGATTTCTCCACATATGTTCCACTAAAGTCTTCTAAGATGCTCATAGTAGATGTGGTAATAATAGCCACCAAAAAATCACTATTCAATGTCTACAAACCATTTGACATCTGTTTGAATTTAACATTGCAATGATTATCTATGCTTAATACATATGAAAAACTTGGGTGGGATTGCTAATGCTTATGCTTACATGTAAGAAATTGACAGAGGCAAACTAAAATTCACACACTGTCATTATGCTTATTATGAGCAGCTTCTTCAAGTTCAATGAGATATACACCAGGAGACCTTGCAAAGCTTGTGAGCTTGAGCCCCGTGCTTGATGGTGGAGCAGGGCATTCATCTTGTCCTGGTGCATCACTAAATGGTTTCACCATGAGAAACAAATCTGCTTCAGAAGTATGCATTGTTCTCTACTTAACATTGAGTTATGAGTGTAAAGTTTGCTTGGCTGATGTTGATAGTGTATCTGCTCTTTAAAGCTTGATAAATGCAGGAAGCTGATCCAGATTGCTGAAAAATCATTAAAGGGAGAAACAGATTATTATCATGGAATTGAGGCTTGTAATGAAATTTTGGATGGTCGTGGTCATGAAATTGGGCCAGCACTGATGCATGAATGTCTGTGCATACGTGCATCCTTATTACTTAAGGTCTCCAAAGAACTATATTTTTACAGTTCATCAGCCAACAGCATAACTTGAACCCATTTCTCTTGTTCGGTTACTTTATTCTGCTCAATTAATTTGTTTTATTCTTGTTACAGAGGAAGTGGAAAAATGATGCACATATGGCTATCAGGGACTGTCGTCGAGCTCGAAAAATAAATCATTCATCTACTTGGGCACTCATTTGCATGGCAGAAGCACTATTGATGGTAAATGAATGATATACACAAATGATATGTACTATTCATTGGATAATCCAATAGTTCTGCCAAACTTCTTTGGATGTTGAATCTCATATTTAATTAGGAAACTTCTCGTTTATATAAGATGCTCCTGGAGAGAGAACCCAATCACTTATATCTCTCACAATAGTAGATAATATTGTATAAATTAATTGGTGGGAACTGATTTGAGGTCATGTTAATCAGATGTTTTAAGATGGTGGCACTTAGTCCTTTTACGTGTAAAAGGTTCTCGATTGCTAGATAAATAGCCTCATCTATAACTGCATAATTTATATGCTGCTTTTAACATTAGATATGCGGTTAGTGTATCTAAACTTTTCTTCTTGTTATGGTTGATTCTTTTAGTTGGAAAAGCATAAGGAAGCCTTGGAATTTGCTACAGCTGCTCAAGATCTGTCCCCATCTGATCTTGCAATTGCAGAGAGGGTCGGTAATATTAAGACGGCCATTGCTGCAGGTTAGGAACACTGCTCTGTTGAGAGGGTATTTTTCGCAAGTTATCTATAAGATCAGTTATTTCTATTTCTTCTTGCAAGCCTTAATGAAGGCTGAATTTTAGTATGAATGTTTTTTCTTCATTTATTCTTCGCATTCCTTTTCCAATCTCTGAGGTAGACATTGTTTTTAAATATAATTTGGAAGTGTTTTGGAATTTTGGGTTGGCTTTGGATTGGTAAAAAATTAAACAGAAAATAGGTGTTGAATATGATAGGTTGAATAGAAAATAAGTTTTTGATGGAATATTTTAAATAAAAATTAGGTTTTGAGTGTGAGTTTTTTCTTTTTTTTTTTTTTAAGTGAGATAATGTTTGGTAAATACTGAAAAGAAAGTTTGAAAACATAAGTAAACAGAGTGGCCATCAAGGCTGAATTATAGCCTGAATATTATTTCTTCATTCAGCTTAGCGTTCTATCTCCAATCTCCTAGTTTTCTCAGTTTGATCAGCTATTTCAGGGGCAGTCCATTCCTTAGTTCCCTGGTTTCTTAGCTCTAAAGGCTCTATTTTATTACTCTTCATATGTTTCCCTCTGATATTGTAATCCAACTCATCTCCTACTCCTATCATACATATACTACTTGATTTCCAAACGTAGTTACCATCAAGGCCATCCGTACATTATATTATGTCATTCAAAAAATAGACAAAATATAGTTCAGGAGTTAAGTTGAGGAATCTTGTGCAATAATTTACCTGAGTTAGTAGAACTTCAGCTTGACCTTGTAAAGATTAGGAGCTTTTTGCTTTCAATAAAAGTGTGAATTTTCTTTGCGCATTCTGTTTAAATAATACTAGGCATTCTAAGCATCTATTTAAGTTTTGCAGTCTGTTATTTTTATGTTACAAAAGGTTTTATTTTTATAGATTGTGTGTTTGTTTTGGAAGTGTTTTAAGGGTTTTTTAAGTTCAAATTAACATCTAAACTTACTGAATATTTTCCGGATGTTTCTGTAATGTTGAAGATAATGATAATTATCTGGCCCAAAAGACCCTTCATTTAATATTCGCATACCTTGAGCAGGCCTTAATGCAGTTGTCCTTTTTACCCACACATGTCACCACTTGGCACATCTGGATGATCTTGATCTTGATCTTCCTCTATGCATGAATTGCAATGCTGATTTTCAGATGTTACTAGTTTTTATTGGCAATTTCACGTGATTTGCAATTCATTAATGGTAGTATCTTTATTTGAATTGTGCATTACTATCCATATCTGGTAGTTCTATATCAGGTTAAGTCCTAATTTTCAATTTGACAAATATCATGCGCTTGAGTTAATAGCTGAAGTCAACAAGGCTGACACAGAAAGTGGTAAACGATCAAAGGCAAATCCCTATGGAGGGAGAGTAATTTCTCTGAGTGACATAATTTACGAAGGACACAATGAGGCTTTACTCGATGGGCCTGACAGAGAAGACTCAGATTATGACGAAGAGCTGGAATTGGATTTTGAAACTTCAATGCCTGATGAAATGCATGATGTTGACTCCAATGTTCTTCCCAGGAACTTAAATTTGAGGATTCACAGGAAAGCTGATTCAGCAAGGGAAAGTGAGAGGCCCAATGGCTCTTCTGACCAGGCTGTTTCATCACTGGAAAGTGATAAAGTGCCTTACAAGGTTCTGACTCTTTTGTTTGCTGCAGAAGTATTTAGTATATATTCTCTTGTTGTGTGTTGTGTTTCATTTACCAATATTTTTTAAACTTTAATATCTATTTAATTTTAAGCCCCTTGGAACTTTCCTCTCTATTGCACAATTTTGTAATGGTTTATTTATCGCTTCATTTTGCATTATTACTTTTCAGTTTTTCATGATAGACTGACCTCTTTAGATTTCCTTGCTCGGTGCTTGTCAGAATTTTTTTGGAACTTATGTTTTTTATTTTCCTTAGCATTTAAAACTTGTAAAAGGTAAACAGTTTCCATCTCTCCATATGATCTTTAACTGTAAATTTATGTCATTTTACCACTCAAGCATAAATCTCTTTGATATTAAACTTTACTATTCACCAATGTTTTAGATTGTAATAGCATTCAAAATCTTGGCTCATATGAATGTACCTGGCACTTGTTAAAAAAAAAAAAAAAAGGAATGAATCTCTCTGGCTGTTTTCACTGCTGACTCATGTTTAAGTTGTGTATTAGAGCCTTGTTATCGTAAATGTGTTTCTTTTCATGTTGCAGCCAGAGGTAGCAATAGATATGAAGCAGAGATATGTTGGCCATTGTAACGTAGGGACTGATATAAAACAAGCTAGTTTCATTGGCCAAAGAGGTATGTTTCAAGATTTTACTTTCTACCATTCGGTAACATAGTTTTGCAAGATAACTTTTTCTTTTAATAGTATGTACATTACACGGGATCAAATAGGATTCCGAGTTAAGGAAATAAGCATAATGCAATGATCGTGAACTGCTGAAACCAAGTACCTGTGAAGTTTGGAGATAATTACCCCGCAATCATTCTTATAATTGTTGAATTTGTATGCAAAAAGCTGAATTGTAGTTGAGGCCTCTCAGTGCAACGTAGTGTAATATAACAGGAGGTAAATTTGTTAAACTCCAAGAGGCAATTGCATTTGGACTGACCAGAATGAATTATGTCTCTCAATTGCTTCAACATATTGACTAAGATCACTAAGCTAGGTTCATTTGTGAACAATATCTTATATGTTGAAATATATTTTAGATAGATATTTTAGTTGATAATTTGATATTATTTAGATTTGTTAGTCATCATATAATCATATCTCCTTGATTAGGTTCTTATCTAGATATATTACTAGATTAGGTTGTTCCTGTATGAGCATACTCAATCATTTACTTTGGCATATCCATTATTCCTCAATGAAAGATTTTTTAGTCTATTCAGTGAGAATGTGTGGCTATCCTGTCTCTTTATTGTACCAGGTGAATATATTGCCAGTGGAAGTGATGATGGTAGATGGTTTATCTGGGAAAAAAGTACTGGAAGGCTATTAAAGATGCTGCACGGGGATGATGCTGGTAAACATACATACACCACCCACTAAAAATAAAAATAGGCAAATGAGTTAGCTTGCCTGTATTTATTGCATTCAGAATTTTCAATGTTTGGACTTTTGATCGCCATTTTGGAATTCTGAGTTTGATTCTTTAAGCGACGGTATATGTAAACGGTCTTGTATCTCATTCATCGTCGTTCTAATGATCATGTATCTATGTGTGACACTCAAGCATTTCAAAAAGTAATTCTTGAAGGTCTACAATACATATGTGAGTAATGAGTATCATGCACGGATATAGCACATTAGGGCAACATATGAGTGAGATACATGACAATCTCTGTACGGTCAATTATCAAAGTGGTACGGATGCTATTTATAGAACCAAAATTACATTCTTGTATTTTTCCTTGTTAGCCTTTACTCTCTGACAATAGTACGTAAATGCTTAAGATTATCAAACCTTATGAAACCCTAGATTTTGTATGAGTTGGGCTTACATCAGTGTATACATGATTGCATATGTTGGGTGCTCTCTACACTACATGTTCGTTTGAGTTCAACTTGGCACCTTTTGCATGAAATGCCATTATTCTGCTCCCTGAGTGGATCGCCTAATATATATATATATATATATATATATACATATATTATGTCTAATATATTTTTTGCTACACTGTGCAGTTGTCAACTGTGTACAGTCCCACCCACACGACAGTGTTATTGCAACTAGTGGAATCGATAGCACCATTAAGGTAGGAGGAGTTACATATGTGTGTGTGTGTGTGTATATATATATATATGAGTTGGTTAAATCTCTGAGATGAGTGATAGCTTATTAACTTATTAACAAGTTAATGGTTGTAGATCTGGAGTCCAACTTCTCCTGCCCCATCCATTGTGGCTGGGGGAGCAGCAGGACCCGAAACTTCAAATATATTGGATGCCATGGAAGCAAATCAGCGCAGACTGTGTCGCACCCGCGAAGCATTTCTGTATATCCTATGAATCTTTCGATTACTCATGGAATCAGTTCAAGAATTTTATTTTGTCTTATTTATTGCTATGATTTCCAAGCTCAGTTGCTGAAGCATCCTTTGTCTTCTTTACTTTGAACCATTATATAAACAATTCATTTTTGTTTCAGGCCCTTTGAAATTCTGGAGCGGTTCCGGATGCACGAGTTTGCTGAGGGAAGCTTTCATCCATTTGAGTGCACACAGAGCTGATCTGATGGTATTCCATTTGCAGTCTTTTCTGGTAGGTGCAGTTCTTGGCTTCATAACTGAAATTGTCTTAATTCTCAACTTATACAATCCCCAATGATTCGATATTGACGTAAATACATCAAGATATTTGCAAGCAGTGATGTTGCGGTATTAGATATTTGCTGTAGTCGATTACGGAAAACGTATATAAGCTCATACCACCTCATTCCATTTTCGCTAACATAACATTTACCTCATTCTATCGATTTTGGCATTCAAATTGTATATTTCTTATATTGGCAGGATCGAGGGGTTCCAGCCAAGGCCAGTGGACTTGCTGAGTTTTGTGAATCTGGAGCAGTCATCATGTAAAGAAAGCCCTTTTATTATCTGAAAAAATAAGTACAGAGAAATAAACAAAGACAGCTCTTGCAGCAGTAGTGGCCATAGGCAAAAGGTTCTCTCTCTCTCACTCACTCACACACTCACTCTCACTCCTAACTCTCGCTTTGATCCAACATTTTTAATGACCATCAAAGAGAGAGATGATGAAAGATTTGTGTATAAATGTCATCATCTAATATGACCCTTTCTTTAGTTTTGTTTCACAGTGATTGATTTGGCTTGATATATTATGTTTTGAGATTGGTTTCACCTATATCCTACCCTGCCCTACTCTACCCTATCCATCCATGTGTGTGCTGTGGATACAATGCAATACAACACAATTCTTTTAATACTGTATAGTGTGTGAACTATCCTTAGGTCATGAAGTGGATTGCATTTATTTGTGTATTTAGTCAAAAGTGTAGTGCAGTATGACGGTGCCTGCTGTTCTGCTCTGTTTGTCAAATAAATTGGCTGCAGATCTCATTTATTTCTCTATATTGATCACTTTTGCTTAGTATTGTTATTGTCTGTATTTTGTATCGACATTGATAGATTATATATATATATATATATTTGAGTTGATTTTTTTTGTTGGCAAAATAGCAAAACAATTCTATGTGGTTTCCGAATTCGTGGTTTAAAAAATGTTGCATATTCTCTCCTCGAACGTTAAATTTTATCAGATTTGGCTGTTATACTCTTATTTATATATTTTAATTTGAAAAAAGAGAAAAGGAATAAAGGTTGGATCAGGTTTTCTCTTTTTTTTTTTTTCTCCAATTTTCTTTCTCTGTGTTTTTTCCCCCCAATTTTCATTCTTCTTGGTTTTTTTTCCTTTTTTTTCCTCTTTCTTTTTCTCCAATTTTTTTCTTTATTTTTCCTTTCTAATTTTCTTTATTCCTCAATTTTTCTTTTGCAACGAGGAGCACCTAGTTCTTTCCCTTACTTAAATTGATTTTAAATTTGGATGTCGAATTGATTTATTAAATTTTTTAGTTTGGTAAAATAGAAGAAGAAATTGATAGTACGGAGAAGAATAAAAGAAGAAGAAAGAATGAGGAAGAAGAAAGAAATATGAAATTGCTGTAAAAAATAATTATTAGGTATTTTAGTAATTTTATACGGAAATATATCATTTTATAGACTATTTTTGGAGTTTCAGAATGAGAGGGTTTTCAGCAAATTTGGAAAACCAAATGGGAATTTTTTTATTATTTTGCCTTTTTTATTTAATTTAAGTGTTATCATTTTATGAAGAATGGATGGGTGTGTTTGTTCTACGAGTGGTTTGAAAAAATATATTTTTTACGTGAGATATAAGAAATTATATAGACAATATAAAAATAATATAAATATATAATATATTAATTTTTTTGAAAAAGCTCTATTGAAAATTTGAGTAAAAGAACAAAGTTGTAGTTTAATAGATTTTCTTTTCCAACATCAATTCCCTATAAAAGTAAAATTTATTTGGTAATATATTTCTAAATGATAGTATGTTTGTTATATTTTTATTAGATTTTTTTATTTAATATAAGTGTCCACACTTTTGTGTTAAGTATTTAATAATTTCTTTAATTAAATATCTTAGATTATAGTTAAAATAATTTTTTTTATTATATTTTAGTATATAAAGAATATATTTGCATTCAATAGTTATTGTGATAATATTTTGTGAAACTTCGGTATGTTTTACTTACTAAATTATTTAAAGTTCAATAAATTTAATAATATAATTTTATAATAAATTTGCTATATGGTATCTCTGTTATTCTAACATTTCTGTAATTACAATTTTCACATTTCTTATTCATACTAATTATTTAAAAAGTCAGATAATAGGTAAGAACTAATTTGAATTTTATATTATATGTATATATATACAAATAAATAAAATGAATTGAGTCGAGGCTAGTATATCTATTTTAATAAGATAAGGTTGTGCAATTCAACCTATGCCAAATTGATTTACTAATTAGAGAGAAATATGTCCCCATCCTTTTCAACTACACTCTGCTGTCCTTTTCCTCACCTACAGTTCCCTACAATTACTTCTTGTGTATATCTATTTACTTTTTATATTATTATATTATTATTATTATTATATTCACACCAACCAACCCCATCCATATCTTCTTCACAGTTAACACCCTCTCTCCATAAATGCCCATTATATACATATACATATATATATATATAATACGTATAAATCGAATACAAAATATATATATTCAATATAATAATAATATTTGAAAGGAAAAGAAAAAAAAAATGAAAAGGGAGGTGCTAGAAGCACAGCACAAAGAGCACTCCAATGGCGTGTTCCCCAATCTCCACCGCCTTTCTCCCCAGCGGCGCGTAGGCCACGCCTCCACCGATAAGGCGGACGCGCTGCCTCCGCCGCCGCGTGGAACCGACGGCGCAAGCATTGAAGTCGCGCGTCGCCCCCGGGGGCGACCGCCGGGTTCGAGGAACAAGCCTAAGGCGGCGGTGCCGATAGTAGTCGCGCCGGCCGTATCGGAGCCTTCCATGTGTCCCTACGTCCTCGAGATCCCCGCCGGCGGCGATGTGATCGAATCTGCGGTGAACTTCTGCCGGAGGAGGAACATCGGTCTTTGCGTCCTGAACGGAAACGGCGTCGTCTCGAGCGTCACGCTCCGGCAGCCGTCCGCCGCATCCGCACTCGCGTTTCAAGGTCGATTCGACATCCTGTCGATTTCGGCCACTATTTTGCCGGCGGGAGGACCGTCGCCGGCGGATGGATCGTTCGCGATTTTTTTGGCCGGACCGCAGGGGCAGGTGGTCGGAGGTAACGCCGTCGGGCCTCTGGTCGCGGCGGGGACAGTCTATCTAATCGCTGCGACGTTCGAAAGTCCGTCGGTTTTCAGGCTTCCGACGGCCGACGGTGAGGATCCGGCGGCGAGAGACGACCGCCATGAGTCTCCGAAGGCGGTGTCCGGTGGAGACGGCGGTGGTGTTCCTGCGTACAGCTATCATCCACCTGACGTTATCTGGCCGCCGACCGGTAGACAGCCGCCGCCCTACTGACGATTCAATTTTCCGGTGAGCTAAAAATTATCTGTGCTTAGTCATTTGCTTAATTGTTTGTTATTCGCTTTATAATAGTTTTTGTTTGATAATATATACTTTAAAAAGAGTATTTATGGTGTGCTTGCTTTTGATTTGTACACTATTTTTATTCCGATTTATCTCACAATATTTGTCTTTCCATTTTTTTTTAAAAAAAATATATATTATTATTATTTATAATTTATTATACCATAAATATAATTTTTAATGATTTATTAATTATAATTTTTTAAAATTCTCATATCTGTCTTTTTCTAAAACTGTATAAATTAAAATATAATATATAAAACAAAAAAAGTGCATAGTACATTACAGCACATTTCCAATAATAATACTAATAATAATTTCAATCAATTTTTTATCACAATATTCAAAATCTTAATGAAAATTAGTGACGTTGATGTAATAAATTGGCAGAGAAAAGGAAAATAGTAACAAACAAACAGAATAATATATGCATGATTTGAGGAGTTCTTTTAAGAGGAATTTGGGAAACATGTTGGATTAAAGGTATCTTTAAATTCTAACCTAAATCGATTAAAAGTTGTCTTTAAGACAATTAGAAAAGGAGATCAATGAGGCAGACAACATTAGTTAATTATTTGAATTCGGACAAATTAAATATATATTGATCTTGTACAAAGAAATGATTAAAAATATAATATTAATTATATTTGGCTAATTCACACCCGCTGGTTAACTTACTTGTAATTTACAGCTGGTTGGCCAATTAGCAGTCCCACGAATCCGCTCATTTAAACTTGTATTTTACTATATCTGAAAAATTAAAATTTTAATGAACTCAATCTATTTCAACAGCTCTGCTCTGCTCTACTGGTCATTAACACATCCAAATTGGAGAAAAAAAGTTAAAAACACTAACTAGATAGATACAAGAGAAGAAGAAGAAGACATAGCTTGCCTTGCTACATAAAATCCAATGCTATGTTTCTTTGACTTTTTCTTTTCAGCTTTTATTATTTTGAATACTATATTATATTTGTATATTCTTATTTTATGAAATATCACACTAAATATATATAATTCTTAAATCAGTTATTTCCAAAATTCAAACCAAGCAAAGAAGCACACACAAAAAACACTAATAAGATATAAATAGTACTTTTATTTTCATTTATTTGTCTTTCTTGCTCATGTCTTATATACTATACTATAATATCAAGGGAGGGGGGACTACATATATATATATATATATAAAATATTAGGTCAGTAAAGTCTATTTTTTGACAAAATGAGGGGTTAATATGGATGGAGGCAACTTAGCATATAAATAAATCCACACCCCCTTCTCAACTCCCTCTTCTTCTTCTTAATCTTCCCCCTTTTCAAAGAGTTCTAATCCTCTCTCTCTAAAACTCTCTCTCTCTTAAGTATATACACCTCTGGATATGGAGCTATGGCTCCCTACTCTATTCTTACAACTCAGCTTCTCATTATTCTTACACTCGCCGCCCCCGCTCCCCGCCGCGGCCCCCGCCATCCCAGCCGCCGCCCCGCCCCAAAAACCGCCCTTGTCAGTAACAGAACAACTCACATTGGTGTCGGAAGAGTATCGGTCCATGTTCGCCAGCGGCGAGTGGCGAGGATGCAACGACGACCACGTCGAGGACGGGGATGAGGCCGACGACGACGAAGAAGAAGACGTTGCGTCGGAATCCGAAACGCTCCGACTCCGAGTGTTCCAGCAGCGGTTGTTACCGGCAGTCGTTGCGTCTCCCAGCAGCATTTGATCGAAGTGGTCGGTCGTGCTCGTCGACTCCCCATTGCTGCTGTCTGTGCTGTAGGATCCTATCTCCGAGAACAACGAGGAGACGTCGCTGTCCGCCTCCGATTTAGCTCGCCCGGGATTACGGGACGAGCGGCTCCGGCACGCACAGGTGCGGCATCCGGATCCGCCCACGTTCCATGGCCCGTCCGGGCACGATCCCGGTTTACACGGCGGGTGGTCTCTCGGTTTCTTGTCCCGGATCATCGAGCTTCGGATTGGTCGGGGGGCTCGGGGCGAGCACCTGATCGAAAAAATCAATGTAATTTAAGATAGATTAAATCAGAGGCGGTACAGTCGAAATGAACAAAGAAAATTTATATTTCACATATTTGCAAAAATAGCTATTTTTATCCTTTGGCCGTGCATGGTGTAAACATCATGCCAAATGACAGAAATTGCGACTTTTGCAAACTTATAGGATATATTTTGCCAAAAAAAGATAAAATAACAAAATTGATAATGGATATACATGAGAGAGTTTTTGCAATTTTTTTTTCAAATGAACACGACGCTTTCAAACCTATCTTACCTCGAATAGAAAAGCATATACGCATCTTGGGACACTACCTTTTCGAGCTCCGCTGTTTGCACCTATAGCCATTATAGTAAACACAAATAGATCAAAAACAATCTGATTAAAGCCAGTTGAGTTATCAACATTTGATTCTTCAGACCGACTCGGAGTTATCAAAAGAATTTAGTGAATGTTCGATGAATTTAGTGACACATAAAGATATAGATACACACACATATATATTGCAGGGAAGTCGACCGGAAAGAACATACCGTACTGTCATCGGCTTTGTACCACTTTCCCTGATTATTCTTCACATAACACACGTAGTGGCCAGAAAACGTTGCGTTCATAACATCCAGGTGAACCACTACCCCATAAAGCTGGTAAATCGGGGATTTGTCGCTTGTTTCGCTCATGTACTTGGCTAAATTCAAAATCTCCGGAAACTTGACTGCCTTGTTAAGCTTTCCATATTTTCCGGACTGTAAAAGCGACGACGTCAGATATAATGTAGAGAAGAGGACATAAATCGAAAGACAAAAAATACTCAATTGCCGAATGAGGTCACCTGAAATCTTTTAAGAGCAATGGTGAGGACATTAGGAGCTTCGAACACTCTCAACTTCTTTTTGGCCTTCTGATAGGAACAGCATCTGCAAGAAAAGTATAATTCATTGGGGATACTATCATCTACAACAACGAAGGAATGAACGGATTAGAAATCCAACACAAATTATTTCTTAAGCATCGAAGTCACAGATCACTCCGAAAGAGAACAAGTTTTCTAAGTATCAAGTCTATAATTATATACAGCAATTTCGATGAGATGTGGTTTGGATTTGATTCTACACTTACATATGGTAGAAAAGTGCATTGTTAGGATACTACTCGGATCGTCAGAATTTTCCCTCATTTAATACATCAATATTATCGTGTGGCATAAAAAGTCAAGATTATAACCCTGAAGAATCTCGAAAATGAAAAGCAAACAGCCGGACCTTTATGATTATGGGAACAAATAACGTGAGCAACAGTGCAATTTGAATAGTATCACAAATCGAATTGGAAAGCTTGATGCGGCTAAAATACGAACCTGCTACAATTGTACTTATTTTCACCATCCAAAATCTCCGACCGAGTGAACTGGCGTAAAGCATCTTCCAGACTGCCTATGTCTCCACCTATCTCAACAGTGAGATCCATTATTCGTTCGTGCTGCTTGGATCTGCCTCCACATCCTAAGCACTCGATCTGTGTTTGAATTCACATATAAAAAGCAACATAATTTAATAGCATGTCCAATGACATTAATTTCTCGATAATATGAATTTAAGATTCCCACCTTTGACTGGAGGTAGCCACCAAATGTAAGCCCCAGCAGAGTCGTTTCTTCATTCAAAGAGCTCGGCATCTTGACTCCACTTTCTTTCAGGCAAGCTGATTGCATGGTTTCAATTGCATATCTGTTAATTTAAACATACGTTAAACATATATGCAGCTGATAAATGTATAGATCCAGAAAGCATACAGTTCATTTAAAAACATATTCCAGGTATGCAAATGCCTAACCACCTGAGAAATTCATGAGCATCTTCTTCCCTGCCATTAGCCAGGTTGCGCCCTATATTCTGCATTTGAGACATCACCCGCTCGGGTGACAGAAGTGTTTTGCCCTCCTTAGCCTTCTTAACCAGTGCTTCTAACTCACAGGTGAAGCACCACTCTTTCGTCTTACCTAATTTAAGATTAAAAGGTATGGGAGTTCAAAATTTCAGAAATACGAGTAAATGGAGGGATTCACAAAATGACTGCAAAGCAACAAAGTTCAAAATCAATTTGAGCGGTAGGGAATGACGGTGACGCACAATCTTTGGTATGAAGTCCTTGGAGAAAATAAGCTGTAAGCGGAGGAGTAAATGCCAGACACTGGAGCACGGCATTTGCGAAACAGCTGCAAGATATTTGGGCATCAAAATCTTTTATCAGGCATTCATAATTTTTGGATTATGACAAATCAGGTCACAAAAACATGTCAGGACCATCGAACTTATGTTTTACTATATTAACATATATCAATTAAGCCATAAAAATGCAGACTGCTGATGAAGCTAACAGATACTCGTACTTGGGCAATCATTTTCGTAGCTAGAGCACAGCCATCAACCATATGATAAAAAATCACTACAGTCTAGAGAGAGAAACTATCTATCCTCCAGTTATGGATGTCACTACGGCACTATGCAAATGCCCAAATTGAAAATAAGTACTTCTGCCATCAATATCATGATAATAAACTCACATATAGAAAGAAGTTAACACAGATCACAAGATTATCAGGTTCTCATTTTAGCTATAACGCAATCAAAGAGAGCTTGTAGTGTTTTACCTATTCCCGCAATTTATAAGTCCACGGGGGATTAATTCAATCTTGTTCCAATTGTAAAGCTTCACAAAAAGCTCATATGAAAATGACCCGCCCTGTAAAACATTACCATGTTAGTACTTAGTAGTTCTTGCTTTCATCAATGAACGGACAGGTAAAGAAGACAGGTAAAAAAAAAAGAAATAAAATATTTGCGTACCTCAGGTTGTCCCTTAGTCCCAACTTCACCACCTAAAGAACCATTCCTACTAAAGCTTGAAGCTCTGTTCTGACCTACAGCTTTCCTTGTCAATGCATTGGTCCCAATTTTCGCGCCTTGTGTATAACAATTGCTGCATGAAGCAAAAGGTGCATCCATAGGGGCAAATTCATTTTGCGCATCCGGAATAGTGTTTCCAGCATAGTTATTTGACGTTAAACTAGTTTTGGAGACTCCTGGCGCTGAAGATCCATTTTCTTTCACAGCATCTAAGTTACCATTTGTTCTAGAAACTCCTTGCACCAAGTCATCTGGTGGTGTTGAAGATTGCAGATTAGCCGAATGTCTGAGACTAGCACTAGAGGAGGACATTTTAGCTTCCTCTTTCGACTTACATCCCATCACAGAATTGCCAACACTGTCCTGGCCAGGCAATTTGAGGCTTGAAAGTACAGGTCCTCGGGACTTCAAAACATCTTCACTCAATTTTGATGATTGTGTAGACTTACTGGCCACTGATGTAGATGTATAAGGATCATCTCTAGAGACAGTGTTTGTGTCAGAAGCTAACACATCAGCACGGACATTAACCCTATCAGGAAATTGAAGACTCGAGGAATCCTTTTCCTTCAGTTGTGATAATTCTCTTGACTTGTCGAGATATGATGTGGATGGACAAGAATTGTCTCTAGTGACTCTGTCTGTTTCAGAAGCTACTGTTTCGACGTTGACTTTAAGTCTTCTGGAAGACTGAAGATTGGCAGCTTGAAGATTCAATGTGCCAAAATTTGCAGATACATCAAATGCATCAACCTTGGGTCGAATGGATTTGACTGCTCCACCCCAAAAATCAGAGGATGGTGTTGCAGAAGGTGTTGCAAACAAATGGTCATCAGAAGCTGATGAGGTTGAGGAGTCAGACATATCATCTATATCAATGCAACCAGACTTGAGAGGATTCGAGTCACTAGAAACGGCCACTCCTTGTTTAGGATTGATCAAATTAGGTTGTAATGGCTTCATTGATTCCACATGTACATTTGAACTCTTCCCGCCATCTCTGTCACAAACTTTTGAGTTGCGATCCAAAGCTATCAAAACATCAGCTGAACTGGCGGACAAGGAAGAATCAACAGGAAGTGACTGGAAAGATTCCTTCACATCTATATCAGTTTTTTCCCAACCATTGCTGCTTTGAGTTTCAGTGCCATTCTTCTCGTAAAGAACATGAGATATGGTATCGGAAAACAAGTCTTCTTCAGAATGCGATCCACCTCTTTTAGTAGCATTCATTACACCATTCTCAAAAACGTTTTGACTGCTCTGAACTTCTTGCTTAAACTCCTTGATAAGGGGATGCGAGACCCCATCAATATTCTGATGTGAAACAAGGGAGAGACATTCATCCTTGTGGCCATCTCGCCAATGGATTAATTGACATTTCCTTGAGCTGCAGCAATTATGATGTGAAATTAAAAACTCAACATCAAACACAACTCTTTCCCAGAGAAAGGAAAAGAGCCTAATTTCTAACAGAAACTTCACTTTCCGAACACGACTATTCTGAAGGAAAGGCAGAACCAGAATCATTATGAAAAAAAAAAAAATGAAGCTCAGCAATATAAACAGATCCAGATAACACATAAAGACCAACATCTCCTGAAACATGTACTTTCCAAGTATATACCTCAGCAAAAGAAAAGTTTACTACTGTGAATTGAGAATGACACTGTTAAATATTCCTAAAGAGACCAAGTGTTCCATACGTCGTAATTTAGCAGCTTGTGATTGTAATGTTACTTTCGTTTACCATATGATGGTTCATAAGTATATACGCACAACATGCTAGGGTAGTATTTGGAATATAAGCCATAGTATCAATTACTTCTCAACGACGAATTTGACCAATTAGATACTGATATTGCGCTAGACAAATAATATGACAAAGAATCGTACTCCTAAAATTTCTTGTATGTCTGTATTAATAAAAATAACTTCACCAACACCAAAATGACTAATAGTATTTTGTTAGCAACAAGTACATGCATCATATATAAATCCAAAAATTACTCTAAACAAAAAGGTTCTATCAATTTGTCGTGACCCACAAAATCAGAACGTGTGAACTATATGTACGCACATACCAAAATCAATATCTTCCAATATATTAACTTACATGCATAATCATGTGCTTTTTCCAAATAAGTATTACCAAATTATTTTTGTGCATAAATTCAAAATCTATAAGATATCACTACCTTATAGACTCCCTGAGTCTTAAAGATATAGATACTATTTGACTAGAAAAAAGATATTTTACGTCTGAATTACCTCGGCTGTAATTATTTAGATTTAATATACAAACACAATCCAGCTATGCTAGAGGATATTACTTTTATGAAATTAATCCTAACCGGGATTCCTGATATAGAGGCAGAACAATAAATTTGACAATCATCTCATGGCATTCTAAAAATGTATAGATTGTTATATGTTTACTATTGAAGCCAAATTCGATTCTGAAATCTTCAAAAGTTGAATTCGCCTATCAGTGCTTTATCTACGAGATTCTGGGAGAAAGAACAAGTTCATGTAATCTCTACAGCAGCTTCCAACATAACCAAAATCCTCATAACAAGATAGCCAAATCTATAAATTCTATACAGTTCCCGTACATGCATTTCAGGACAAAAAGCACAGTTTTCTAATAATAAATTGCATCCATTGACCTGTTATATAAGAAACTGTCGAACTGGAAGATTCATTCCAAAAGTAAAGGTCATACTTTGACGAATCACAAACAAGATCACACTTTAACAGATCCCAAGAGTCCTAAATCCTTGTCGCGACTTCTACTTTAAATTAATTACGTTACTGTTCGTCGGATGGCGGCTGGTGCAAACAGATTACATGAACACGATACAAAAATATGCTTTAGCAACTCATCTTCATTAATCAAGACATCTAGAATCCAGTGTCGACGAAGATCATTCTACTGTTATAACATAAAATTCGATTCCTATCTCCTGATATAGCCACATATCATGTTAGTTAGATCTTAGTTCCCATCATTCCTGCAAATCAACATTCCTCTTCTCAACTTTCCAGCCCTCGGCTTCGTGGCACTTGGCTACTATTCAGAAAGCTACTAACTTACAACCAATTGCAAATGGAAAAAGGAACAAAAAGCAACACACACGCACAGAATCCAACAGACAAGAACCAAATCAACCTTCAATCAAGGGATAACTTTGTACACAAGGCTAAAGCTAAAGATTAAAATTTTCCAATTATCCATGGGGGATAGAAATCACAATTACCAGTATCGAACAGCTTTACACTGCTTGCAGCGCGTTGTGGTTGGACTAAAGCACACCTCGCAACGATACGGGCCACACGACACCGGCCGAGCAGGAGGCGATCCCGTTCCTAAAACCGGCGGAACAACCGGTTCCTCCGCCGCCGATAAAACCACCGGCGCCTGAACCGCGCCATAGCCGCCGTACCCCACGGTCGCTTCTAGCTCAGCCCTAGCCGTTTCCTCCGACGCCAGCATCATCAGCCGCCTGATCTCCTCCCTCCGCGCAGCCACGCGCCGCCATTTCCAGCGCGCCACGAACCACCCAACCAACACCACCACCACGCTGCACAGAAACCCTAGATCCCCGACCAGGATCATTTACACTCCCAATCAACTGTGGATCAAACACCCCCTCTAACACTCCACTCCACTCCACTCCACCACCACCGCCACAACTCTCCGACGACAATCTCCAGCTCCAATCACCTCCCGCCCCAACCAAAAACCCTACCCCCAATCAATTCCGCCCCTTTTCCGACGAACGCCAAACTGACCAGACTCCCAAACCTTGCCGAGCCGAGCCGAACCTCCCTACAAATCCGCCTCGTACAATCGAGCCCAATCTGCAAACAGAGGAGCGGAAATTGGGTGAGATCGAGAATTGAGAGGCATCCGCGTCGCGTCGAGACGGAGACAGAGATAGAGACAGAGACAGACAGAAAGATTGTTGGATGGGAAAGTAATCAAACCACAGCCAAAAAGGGATTCATACTCATACATACATCCAATACATACCCACACATACATAAAACTGACTGTAAATAAATTTTCACGCCAATGATAAAGATTTACCTTTTTTTACTCTTGGCGAAGAATCACAATCGCTTCTCCCGTTTGCCTTCGCTTTTTCAGCTCTCTCTCTCTCTCTCTCTCTTATTTTTCTCTCTCTTGTTCTTCGTCTCCTTCTTCCGCCCACTGCTTCTCTCTTTTTAACTTTTCAACATTTTTGACCGACTGTAAATTATCAAAACCAAAACAACGTGGTTGGTGGGTGTTTGTTTCGTGTGTTTCAATTTTACTATTTACTTTTAGTAATCCAAATTAATGTAATCTCATCCTAAATTAATGTATTTATTTTTACGTGATTTTAAAATATTAATATTTTATATTTGTGTAATAATACAAATACACTGATGAATAAGGGTTTGTTCTTTGTTACTTTTTTTCCTATTTATTTATTCAAAAAAAATTAATATATTATACGTTTATTATTTTATATTCACCACACAATTTCATAAAACTATTTATTTAAATTACTTTTACAAAACAAATACACCATAAACAATTTAATTTTAAAAATTATGAATATTATAATAAAATTTTATATAATATAAATAAATAAATATTTATAGTATTACTATCAATTAGTTTTATAAAAAAATTAAGAATTTTAAAAATAAATACAAATATTTGTTAATTAAGAAAAATATAAATAAAAGTGTGTTTTGAATTAATAATGTCGTACCGAAAGGTTAAAAAATTTAACTAAATGAATTATATTTGTTAAATCGGTTCAAAATTAATAAACTAAAAAATAGAAAAAAAAATATAGGTATTATATTTTTTATTAATATTAATTGAAAATAGTGTCAGCAAAAAGTATTTGGTGAATAAACGGTTGTATTTACATAATATAAATTTTTTTAGAAATATAATACTATTAAATATTTTTTCTCATTAAACATCATATTAAATATTACAATTTTTACTATTTTCAATAATCTTTTGTCTAAAAACCTTCAATAATATATTTTATTAATTCAAAATAAAAAGGGTCAAAACACAACTATATACACACAACATTACATAATATATTTTCAGTCTTATTGTTATTTTTGTAATATTGTCGTAGAATTACAAATATATATTATCTGTTGTATTTTGATTTTAGATATTTTTTAAATGAAATATAGAAAATTATGCAAGTAATATAATAAATAATATTTTATATTAAATATTTTATTATTATTATTTTATTTTTTTTGCAAGATAATAGAAAATATATATTTGTCCTACCCACATACCCGTATATGATTACTGTATATATAAAAATTTAAGTCAGTTAATGTAGACATAGAATTTAAGAGGGGTATGTTTGTTTGGGGATTGGATTTTAAATCCGTTATTTATCTCTTTTTTTTAAAAAAAATATATTAAATCAAACAATTATTTTTTATTTTTTATATTATACTAAAAATCAATTTTACATTCAAAACATTACATCAACACCTATTTATATCACATTATATAACTATTCAAATTCAAAATTTTTACTATTAAATACCAATTCAAAATCCAAACTCCAAACTAACACCCTCGAGATGTATTATTAGTAAATAATTAAAATATAAATAATCATATATTAAGATTAAAATTTTGTGAATGATATTACTAGTAAATTATTAACAATCAGTAAGAATAAAAAAAAAAAACTTAAAGAGTGTGATTGGTACAGATAAATAAAACCAGATAAATAGAAGTCGTCTCACTTCTCTTGTTTATTTGAGTCAGATAAATGGAATTTAATAAATAAAATTTTTTTATTTTTTTATTTTCATTTTTCGCCTATAGGCAGAGAAATTGAAAGAAATAATATTGCAGTATATATATTTTTTTAATTTTTTTATCTTTTGTGTACTATTTAATTTTTATATTTTTAAAAATTATATTATTTTAATTTTACAAAAATCAAATTTAATTTATTCTTAAAATATTTAATTTTTACGATTTTTTAAGAAATTATACTAAAATATAATCTTAAAAAAATTGTATATAATTTATAAGTTTTTTAAAAAAAAATTACCAAAAATATTTTTCATAAATTTTTATTCGTTAAAACTTTTTTTTTATCCGATTAATCATTTATTGTTGTTTTGATTTATTCATATAGCTGCATTTTTTAAAATTTCTCAACTTAATTTTCTCTGTATCACCGAACAAGAGAATTAATTTTCATTCTCACTTAATTCCATTTCTCTTAAAATTTCATTCTTTATACCAAACGTCACCTAAATGAATAGACTAACTGTGGACGAAGATATATATATATTTGTTATGTTCTTCAAACATAGTTTTTTAATTGCGATTTCTACAAATAATAATAATAAAATATTAAATAATTTATACAAAAGTCAATCAAAAAGAATCACATATTTTTAAAAAATCAAAATAAATTTTAAACACTCGTCTTTAAAAGAAAAACTTAAAAAAATCAAATATACGATTTAAAATAATATATTTTATATTTTTAATACAAAAAATAATTTTATTTTAAAAATATTAAGTGAACGGATTCATTATTATATTTTCTAAAAAATATTATATACAAATAAGTATTATAAAATATCGGAAGCTAAATGCAGTAAAATCTTATATTTTCTTACAAATGAAATTGTATATGAAAAAAAAAAAAAAAAAAAAAAAAAAAAAAAAAAATCAAAGAAAATTGAGTAACTAGCCCTAGTTGTTTATGGATATACTCTTAAATTATTATTTTTTCTATTAATATTATAAAAAAAACATAATATCTATGTATATACTTATACAATATATATTACATACAGATACAAAATTATTGTCATTTATTTTAAATTAGTATTGATTTGAGAACAATATTTAAATATTAGATTTGTTAGACTTTATCAAATATTATAATAAGATAAATTAATGGGTGGACAAAAATAAAAAATGACATGATTAGTCAGTTTCAACTTAATGTATTTTTTTTTTTTTATCATTTTCGTCATCCTTTATTTTTAACTCAAGTACTATTTTTATAATTTTCATTTGTTTTACTCTAAAGTATTTATTTTTTATTTTAGAAAAAATAATAATATATTAATACAAAACTATCATACCTAAATTATAAATATATAATTACATATATAATTATCTTAGTAAAATTAAATTATAAAAATGTAATAACTTATTACATATTTATATTGATTAATAAAATATTATCATTTTTTAATTTATTATAAATTTAAAAAAACTATTTTTCGGATGGGACGAAGAGAGTAACATTTAATATTTAAGTAAGTTAAATAAAAAGTAAGGAGAATATACAATTTTATTTTATTTTATTTATTTATTTTTGCTTAGCCTTTGTGGTTTTGATGTTTACATTGATTGTGTAAATATAACATTACCTAGTTTATTATTATTATTATTATTATTATTATTATTATTATTTTCTTATCGGAACATTACCTAGTTATTTTATTGCACGATATTTAACACATGAGTATACGGGTGATTCATATTTATTATGTAAATATATATATACATATATAAAAATTTTAAATTTGAATAGTTGTATGATGTGATATAAATAGGTGTTGATGTGATGTTTTAAATATAAAATTAATTTTTAGTATAATATAAAAAATAAAAATTAAGTATTTAATTTGATCTATTTGAAAAAATAAAATAAAATAAATAATATATTTAAAATTCAATCCCCAAACAAACACCCCCTAATCCTCTAGGATTGCTTTCACTTTGTATATTTTTTAAACACATTTTCTACAACATAAACATATTGGTGCTATTGAAACAATATTTTTATTTTGGCTACACCAAAAAATAAAAAAAATAAAAAAATGAAATCAGATATTTTAATGAGAAAATACTATTTTGCGAATAAAAATTACAAATAAACATAGAAAAAAACAGCTTTGGTCACGATAATGATTAACATATAATATATTAACAACATCATATAATATTACCATAAATAACATATTATATATTATAATATAATACAAATAAATCATATAAATTAACAATTTCGTTGAGTACTATATAACTGTTTTATATGTGATAATTTAACTATTTTTTTGGAATTTATACAGTAACTATTTTCGGAAAAAAAAAAAAAAACAGAAAAATCTTCTTAATTGGGAATTTTCTCAATCTAATAAGTGTTTGTTTGGAAAATTTGAGAAGACTATCACTATTAACACAAAAAATTTTCTTTACAAATATTAAATTAAGCATTTATTTTTTATTTTTTTATATTATATTAAAAATTAATTTTATATTCAAAATATAACATCAATACTTATTTATATCATATTATACAATTATTTAAATTTAAATTTTTTATTATTCAAATCTCAACTCTAAATTCAAACATTCCAACAAACACACTAGTAAGTGGATCAATGTACATACTATATGGTCCGCGATGCACCGGATTACTACCCAATAGTGCGTAATTTATTATTTATTTATATTTATATTTATATTTATTTGGAGACCAATTACTGTATTGTTCAAACGGCTAGAAGCCCCACCAACGAATTCAAATTATCACTGTCGACGTACGGTGCATTTCCGGTGACTTCCGACGCAACTCTTTGACAGAATCTCTCGGACTTTCAACTTGACGCCGGAAATCTGCTTCTGATCCACGATTGTGATGGAAATTACTCAAGAAACCGAAGATTACATTCGAGGAACGATTGATCACACAGTCGGACTCCAGGTGCCGACCGGTACTCTACTTCAGAAGCTCCGTGCCGTCGGAGAGTCACGCGACGTTCTGCAGCATCAGAATCTCTGTCTTCAATCGAAGCTCAAAGAAAAGGACAAGACTATTGAGCGATCTAGGGTTTGTGCTGTGTTACCGTCTCTTTTTTTTGGTTGTTCTCGTTGAGTTTTTCCCCTTTTTAATGCATCTGAGTTTGGAATTGTTTGACCAGGCTGAAGCGAGTATGAGTGCCGCCGCTTTGAAGAAATTCGTGGAGGAAAATCAGAAACTTGCTGTGGAGTGTTCAAATTTGTTGGAGGCGTGCAAAAATTGGGAGAGGGAGTGCGCGCTCTATGACAAGGATCGCGAGGCGATATTGGATTTTGCTAACGAGGCAGATGAAAGGGCTAGAGAGGCTGAGGCTAGGAACTTGAACTTGGAGGAGCAGAAGAAGAAGCTGGAGGAAGACCTCCAATACTATAAGATTCGATCAGATGGACTCATGGTGAATGACCTGAATCCCTTTTCTTGCTGTTGCTTTTTGATTTCTTGGATTCTTGAACAAGATAATGATATGTGTTCCTATGAATTATGATTGACATTATAGATTTCAGCCTCATTAAACAAGTTCATTGGATGGTTTAGTGAATTAAGTCCACATTCAGTTTGTGTTTCTCCTTCACTAACTACATCTTGCAATATATGTGTTGGTTGGTATATCCATATGTTCAATATTAGGCTGCACAGTATTTAGGATATTATTTCACTGTCTTAGAGTGAACTTAACTTGATCAGAGCATCCTGTTGAATGTTGTCTTTCCCTTTTCTGCTATGCAAACTTTGTTAGGAGTTGGTTTATGTTTGGCATCTTTGGATTGCTAGTTACTTTACAACCAAATGGTGTGTTGGGAAGCCATACTAAGTTGAATGACATGACATTTATATTTGGAATCTTTTTTTTTTTTTTTTTTATACCATTATGTACCTTTTTGGAGGTCAAAACGGCAGGATTTCATAGGCCATACATGTTTTTGAGTTTACTTATGTTTTGAGATGTCGGACATTTTCATTTTTTATGCTTGGCGAAAAATAATAGTTAGATTTAATGCTTTTGTCTAGAGTTTAGGTGTTGAAACCAAACTTCTTGAGCTGGAGACTAAACTTTTATTCTAGTTTACATAGTGCACAAAGAGTTGAAAACATGGTGAATAAAGTGTTGCATTTTAGATACCTGAATTTAGAATATTTGAGGTGGCCAAGAATGTGTTTTGCACCGCTCATATTATCAAGGTTGCCGATGAGTACAGAGCACATGATTTCTAGTTTTAATATCAGTACTATTTTCTGGATGTAGACTACAAAATTTCCTCTTCGAAGACTCAGATTATTCTAATGTGATGGCTGCAGGTTGATGTGGTGTCTGGAGAAGATCCTGATGAGGAAAACAATTTGCTTAATTCATTGTTGGCTACGGTATGTGGCAACGATGAAATTACATCAACTGCACATCGATTCTTAGAGTCACACAGTGGAGTTGAAGCTTGTCAAGAGCTACTAAGAAAATGGCCAATGTAAGAATGATACTGCTCGACAAAAAGCTCCATATTTGTTACTACATTAGTTGAATTTACCTCTGACATTATCGTTTCATCCCAGCTTGAGCCCTCTAACCCAGAAGATCATCGCGCTAACAGCAAACGCAAAAAGTTTTCAGAAAGACAGGGATCTTCTAACAATGAATCTACGTAGATCTGAAGAGGAGGTACGATGATTAGTATCCGAACACCAAGTAGACCATGTTCTTATTTATTCTCAAATCTTTCGGTGAGTACTAACAAACTATTCATTCAGGTGAATGCATTGGTTCTGCAGAACAACGTTCTGAATGAGGAGAATAAAAGACTTATACGAAAGTACTATAGAGACAAGCATGTTGGTGCATCTGGTGGAGGCAGCTCTTCCGGAAAGGTCTGCAGTGTCGACTGGCATATCCTTTTTTTTTTCTTATAATCTTTTTATCGACTCCTGCAAATTCTTCTTACAGGGGAAGCGAAAATCGAGCCACGATTTGAGGAGCCCATCGGAGAAGAAAATGAACACGAGCAATGCTGACTCACAAAGACAGCCTCTTTCGCCGTTAAAGTGCAACTCTCCGGAGTTAAGAGTGTGTAAGAAGTAGGAAGATCGACGCAGGTGTGCATGCTCGTTGGTAACTTGTGTGGTATAACTTCTTCTGTTTAGTTAAATTCGATTTTACTTTTTTTTTGTTTGGTTGAAATCTTGATGATCATTTGATGTGATTTCATATCCATATCTCTCTTAACATAGGTAGAAGTTTCAATCTGTTGAAACATGTTTTTTGATTCTAGAGATTGTCTTTGAATTTTAATTGCAGGAGAAGTTTGATGCTATTTGATGTGTTGTGCTGTGTTTCCCTCCATTGATTTTCTTCAAAAATTTAAGGGTGTGTGTTCATTTCTTATTTGTATATAGTTATTTTTTTAGATTGAATATAGAAAAATTGTAATATGAAAATAATATTTTGAATTGAAATATTTTAATCTTCCCGGATGTAAACCTTATTTGTTGATATTATTATATTGAATACTAAAATTATTAATATATACACCACATACTTCTTATAACTTCTCATTTCTATTATAATTTCATGTGATAGTATTTTGAATAATTAGTTATATAATGAGTGTATGTGTAATAATAATAATAATAATCTTTTGCTGTGTATAATATATGTTCTAAAAGAATATTAATTATAAATTTAATTTAAAAGTAATTTAAATAAATAATAATACATGTATCGCAAACAGAAGGATTTAATTTTTTAAATCAACACATATAACCCCAATGCTATTTGTCTAATTATATATATATATATTATTAAATTCATAATTTTTAAAAGAATAGTACTCTTTCTCTGTTTCAAATAACATTTTCTTTTTGTATGTCCCAAACATCCTACAACATTAATATCATTAATATCTACTGTGATATAAATAGGTGGTGCTGTATGTTTTGAATATAAAATTGATTTTTAATATAATATAAAAAAAATAAGTGTTTAATTTGACATTATTGTTGGAGAAAAAAATATAGAAAAAAATATGATCAATAATATATTACATTATAGTATAATGTAGATATGGATTTATACAAATTAAAATAACAAAATTAATAAATTAATAAAAAGAATTCTAATCAAATATTAACTCAAATAATAATAATTTTTTTCACAAAATATGATATTTAATATATATAATTTTCTTGCTAGTCTCAAAATTAAAATTTTTCCAAAATTTTCGTCTAAATAAAACTTGAATATAAAAAATAAATTAAAACAAAAATAAACAAACCGTTAAAAAAAACGTATATATGGATATATTCATAGTCCGTACTGCCTTATCCTTGGTGAGCTTTTCCAAACAGCAGCAATGGCGGCATTCCGTCTCGTGTATTTACCTCCGGCGGCCTCTCGTATCGCCCGCGCCCATCATTTACTTCTCCCTTCTTCCCCGCTGTCCAATCCTTCTATTCTTTCCTTCTCCAGCGGCAAGCGTCAGAGGTCCAATTTACAGTTAGTGCTCGCTACGGCACAACCGCAAGCTCAGGCATCGATTGAATCCCCCTCGGAGGAAGACGAATCTTCTAATGCCAGGGTGCTCGTCCAGAATGTTCCGTGGACGTCCACTGTGGACGACCTTCGCCCCTTGTTCGAGAAATACGGCACAGTTGTTGAGATTGAGGTATATTTCTCCTCCTACTTGTTTCTATCGATTTCATTTACGTATTTCTCATTTTGTGCTGTTTTTCGATTGCTTCCATGTTTCTGTTCCTTCGTTCGATTAAGTTTTCGATGTACAACAAAACGAGAAATAGAGGTCTCGCCTTTGTGTCAATGAGCTCGCACGAAGAAGCTCTGGCCGTTCTCAACAATCTGGAATCCACAGTAAGGTTTATCATCCAATTGTGCGTTTGAATAAAGCTTCGTTGTTTCAAATTTAGTGATTACTTTGCATCATCATCGCCCATGGTTTTCGAATTTCCACAATAGGAATTTCAGGGTAGGGTTTTGAAGCTCAATTGGGCAAAACCTAAGAAGGAAAAGCCACAGCCGCCACAGGCCAAGCCATTGCCAGTTCACAATTTGTTCGTGGCAAATTTGCCGTTTCAGGCTAGGGCAAAAGACCTCAAGGAATTCTTCAACACCAACAATGGCAATGTCGTTTCTGCCGAGATCATATACAACCAGAACAGGCAATCCGCCGGATATGGCTTCGTTTCCTTTAACACTAAGGCCGAAGCAGATGCAGCACTTGCTGCTTTCCCAGGAAAGGTAGTGCATAGGTGATTTAAATGGCTTGGCTTCATTATATGGTGTAGTCGTAGATGGAATCGAGCTAACATTACATATGCGAAAACATCTAAGCAGGAGTTCATGGGAAGATCACTTCGTGTAGCACGGAGTAGAAGGTTTTTGAGAGAGGAGACGAAATCTACAATTCAATCAGAGAGTGATAAACCAACTTGAATTCTTGTAAGCTGCTAAAGAGGGAATTCTGTTCGGCTCCGAGTAGATCACTATAGCTTGGTGAGTTGACATATATCTGCATTTTGTGAAGATGTGTTGATTCTTTCCCTATTTAAATGCAAATCTTCGATATAGTTAAATAGAAGCTGTTTACTAGTGCTAATATTTTTTGCCATGTTCTCTCTGTTTACCTTCTTTTGTGGGCACTTATAGAGCTATTAAATCCTCTTTAAGTTATGGTTCTATACTGTGAGCTCTCACCATCAGCATAATAGCCCAGTTTTACCTTCTTTGCTGTGTTTTTCTGTCTTAGAATTCTAATCTGAGGGATTAGTTTAGGCAAATATTCAATCTTTAATAGAAAAAATGAAATTGTAGAGAAATAATAATAGAGAATAAAATTGCAAAGAAAGAGAATCAATTCTTTTATTTGGTAAAATAGAGGATTCGGCTGAAAATTTTAATATAGAAATGTAGGAGTATGGATGAATTGATCTTGCAGTGATATATTGTGTTCTAGTGGAGCGAAAAAGAGAAAATGAATCAATTAGTAGGAGACGATGATTGGGTGAGTTTTATTAGAGTGGAAATCCGCAGAGAAATATGATTTGTTTAGTTGGTGATTTTTATTGTTTATATTTTGGTTTCGATTTGAATAGTTTGGATATGATGTGTGTTAGATATTTTGGGAAAAAATAATGAGATTGTGTTATTGATCATCAAAATAAGAAGCCTATATATAGGCAATATAAAACAGACTCGATAGACTCAAATCTAAGTAATCTAATCTAATGGATATGACCAAATCTAAATCTAAATCTAACAAATCTAAAACTAAATATCTAAAATATCTCAACAACATTATAACTCATCAATTCTTTGACACTCCCCCTCAAGCTGAGGAATAGATGTCTTCCGTTCCCAGCTTGGATACAAGATCATGGAAACTCGAACTGTTCAGCCCCTTTGTTAGAACATCGGCTAATTGTCTCTCTGATGGAACATAGGACATACATACTAACCCTTCCTCCAGTTTTTCTTTGATGAAATGTCTATCAATTTCAATATGCTTTGTCCTATCATGTTGTATAGGATTATGAGCTATATTAATAGCTGACTTATTGTCACAGTAAAGCTTCATAGGACCCTCCCATTTGACTCTCAAATCATCTAAAATGATCCTCAGCCAAAGTAATTCTGCTGATGACCTTGCCACTACATTCTGCTTCTTGCTCCTCCATGTCACTAGGTTACCTCCAAGGAAAGTACAATACCCTGCAGTTGATCTTCTATCCACTAGGGAGCCAGCATAGTCAGCATCGGTGTAGGCTTCCAAAGTAAGAGTGTCATTCCTTTTGAACAAGATTCCTTTCCCTGGATTGCCTTTTAAGTAGTGCAGTACCCTGCATGAATTGGCTGATCAGACTTACAGAATATGCTATGTTTGGTCGAGTGTGAGCAAGGTATATAAGTCTGCCAACCAACCTCTGGTACATTCTTTTATCCACAGCTGGTTCTTCTTTAGCTTCTCCCAATTTATAGTTTGGATCTATTGGAGTAGAAATCGGCTTACACCCAATCTTCCCTGTTTCTGCCAATAAATCAAGCACGTACTTCTGTTGAGATATGAAGATCCCTTGTCTGGAATATGCCACCTCAATACCGAGGAAATACTTCAATTTCCTTAGTTCTTTTATTTCAAATTCTTTCATTAGTTTCAGCTTTAATTCGTGCTTCTCTTTCTCATCATTTCCAGTTATTATGATGTCGTCCACATAGACTAAAAGAGCAGTCACTCCCCCTACAGCTGAATGCTTAATGAAAAGCGTGTGGTCACCTTGGCTTTGTTTGTACCCAAATTCCTTCATGACTTTTGCAAATCTACCCAACCATGCTCTAGGAGATTGTTTTAACCCATAAAGGGCTTTTTTTAGTTGCACACCTTGTTACCAGTGTCCCCTTCAAATCCTGGTGGAATGTTCACGTAGATTTCCTCGTTTAAGTCACCATGGAGGAATGCGTTCTTAACATCATATTGTAGCAGTTGCCAATTAAAGTGAGCAGCCAATGATAACAAAATTCTTACTGTGTTCATTTTTGCAACTGGAGCAAATGTTTCTTGATAATCCACCCCATAAGTTTGAGTGTATCCTTTGGCTACTAACCTTTGCTTTATATCTTTCAAGGGATCCATCAGCCTTGTACTTCAATGTAAATATCCATTTGCAATCAACAATGTTTTCTCCCTTTGGTTTATCAACGATCTCCCATGTTTTATTCTTCTCTAATGCATTCATCTCTTCTCTCATAGCATCCCTCCATTCCCTTTTTGACAATGCCTCAGACACATTGTGAGGAATGGCAATGGTGTTCAAACTCATAATGAATCCCTTTTGGGCTGGCGATAGACGCTTAAAAGAGACATAGTGAGATAGAGGATAGAGTGGTCGTTTAGTGCATTCTCTCGTTTCTTTTCTAACAGCAATGGGAAGATCTAGAACAGTAGTTGAATCAATGGACTGTTCAACAGATTGTGTGTGTAAAGGTGGATATGATCTTACCATGATTTTTTTCTCAGAATTTGGATTGGATTCTTGGACTTGTGTCAGTTCAGGAACGGTCTTTCTCCTTGAATACACCTGAGGAAACTTTGGAAAATTGTGAGTGATGCTGGTTGGAGAAGGAGATGATATGGGTTCAGCGACAGGATTGGGTGACTCAGATGTGACTGGTTCATAGGACTCAGGTTCAACCGGAACATAAGGAGGGTTTTGTTCTGAGTGATTGCGGGGTGGCACATGCGGAAGGTCAAGGGTTTTAAGTGGTTCGAAAGACTCACAAGACTCAAAGGTACTATCTTCCATCATTGAAATCTCCCCCTGAAGAGAGGACTTGAAAAAAGATCTATTTTCTGTGAAAGTGACATCCGCAGAGATGTAAAATTTTTTGGTCAAGGGGTTGTAACATTTGTATCCCTTTTGAGTGGATGAGTAACCGAGGAAAACACATTTGATGGCTCTAGGGTCTAGCTTCCCTCTATGTTGTTTGTGGACATGAACAAAGGCGGTACACCCAAATACCCTAGGAGTGAGGCCATTTGAGGTTCTGAAGTGAGGGTAAAAGCTATGAAGGGCCTCTACGGGGCTTTTGTTTTCTAACACATGCGAGGGAAGTCTATTTATCATATATGTGGCAGTAAGAACGGCTTCTCCCCGATAGGACTTAGGAACATTCCCTTGAAACAGTAAGGCTCGGGTGGTGTTGAGTAAATGCCTATTCTTTCTTTCAGCTACCCCATTTTGTTGGGGTGTCTCCACACATGATGAATCATGGATAATCCCCTGTGATTGAAAGTAAGGTGACAGAATCTGATTGAAATAATCTCTAGCATTGTCTGTCCTAAAGCTTTTTATTTTGACCCCAAATTGATTTTGAACCATTGAATGAAAATTGGGTATAACAGTGCTAACATCAGATTTTTGTTTAACAAGAAAGAGCCATGTAACCCGAGTGCAATCATCAATTAAGGACATAAACCAACGAGCCCCAGAAACATTAGGTATAGTGGAAGGACCCCATATGTCACTATGAATCAACTGAAAAGGATGAGAACTTCTCTTATTGCTAATAGGAAAAGGTGCACGGATATGTTTTGCCAATTCACAGATGTCACAATGAAATTCAGAAATATCTAATCCTTGGAACAAATGAGGAAACATTATTTTTAAAATCCTAAACGAAGGATGACCAAGACGTAGGTGATATAGCCAAATGGCATCTTTATTCGGGGAACTAAGGAAAGAAGAAGGCAAGTTACTCTTAGGTTTTTTAGATGGTTTAAGGTGGTAAAGACCGTTCCTTTCCTTAGCAAGTCCAATCCTCCTCCCCGAGTCCTGGTCTTGAAAAACACAATAAGAAGAGCAAAAAACAGCATAGCATTTAAGATCATGAGTCAACTTTTGAATGGAAACAAGGCTTGTTGACAGTTTGGGCACATGGAGGACATTTTTAAGGATAAGGCTAGGTGTGATATGTATATCTCCAATTCCTGCAACAGTGGCTAAGGAACCATTGGCCACAATAATTTTTCTATTACTTGGACATGGGGTATAGGTGTGGAAGAGTTGAGATGTGGGGGTCATATGGTTTGTAGCACCGGAGTCCATGATCCAAGAGTTGGTACATAATTTGTCTAAGACATTCGTGCACACAGATTTACCTGAAAGAGCCATTGAACATGTTCCAGAAGGCTTCTCAAGAGCCCCCAACAAACTTCTCAATCTCTCAATTTCTTCACTATTGAACCCCTCTATTGCTGGATTTTCCTCAATATTGGGCTGCTCTACCATATGTGCTTGAGGCCTTTGCTACTGCCCCCCACGGTAACCCCACTCTCGGCTTGGAGGTTTACCATTCAGCTTCCAACACTTATCCCTTGTATGCCTAGGTTTCTTGCAATAAGTACACCAAAGATTGTCTTTATTTTCTTTCCCATGGTTATCTCTACCAAAGTGTTTAGGCATATCATTCTTTCCCTTAAAGATGGTTTCAGACATGACTTAGTGAAGAAAAATTCACAGCAATTAAGGCCAGAACAAAACACAGCGATAAAGGCTGCTTGAAGAAGACTACAAAACCCTAGAAAAATTCCTAGAGCTCTGATACCATGTTAGATATTTTGGGAAAAAATAATGAGATTGTGTTATTGATCATCAAAATAAGAAGCCTATATATAGGCAATATAAAACAAACTCGATAGACTCAAATCTAAGTAATCTAATCTAATGGATATGACCAAATCTAAATCTAAATCTAACAAATCTAAAACTAAATATCTAAAATATCTCAACAACATTATAACTCATCTATTCTTTGACAATGTGTGAGATAAAAAATAGGGTGTGTTTGTTTTATGTTTTTAGTTTGAGGTGATTTTTTTTATATTAGTTATGGAAAATATATCTGTAATATAAAAATAATATTATGTTGAACTATTGATTTTATTGAATGGGTATAGTATATATTGTATTTTTTATAACATTAATTAGGAAACATGTCGAAAATATTTTGATGGATGAATTAACTCATAATAGGCATATTTTTTACAGGGAATTATTAAAGTTGAATAGTAAAAAAAAAAGAACAAAGAAAATCCAAATGAACACCACCTGTATTTCTTACATTTATCTATGCAGAAGAGGGATGAATATAGAAAATGAAAAATAATTTATTTCTATTTCTCTAAACACACCCAAGTTAAAAGTTCGACATATATATCTAAAACTAGTTTTCTTTTTTCTTATTGGGTGAATACAACTGGGCTCTATAGACGGACCAGTTGCACCATTGCATGCTTAAATGTTCAAATGTATTGATGGGCCATCAGGCCAGTCAGAATTGGCGATTGTATTGGAATGTTGGGCAGTTCTTGAGCCTATTTCGATGATCTTGTTAACCGGGGAGTTTTTTGGCCTGAAAGGACCCATTTTTTGCTGTCCCCACATATGACTAAGCACAATAGGTGATCTGTTTCTGGTGATGATGTTGTTGAAAATGAACACAAACTAGTGTGATATAGGAAGCCATAAAATGAAGATAGCATAATATCTATCAGATCTTGATTCTTAGCACATGGTTAGATGCAATGTCACTATCTTGCAACTAAATTTGGTCTGTGTGTTTTTGTTTGTTTTCAATGTTATGATCATGCATGGATTGAAATAGCACCCCATTCTTAGTTTGCAAGTTATTTGATTGATTTTATTTGATAAATGCATGAGATAATTGCTTTTGTTTTCTTGAATCTTATTTTTCAGTATGTAATAATTGATAGGTGTGTGAGAATGGTTCAATTCAAAGAGAACTCCTTTCCACCTAACCCACAAAAGTCTTTTACACACAATGGATGGATATATGTTTTTTGCCCCTAAATAACACCACCTCTACCCTACCCCCTTCTGTTAATGTTCTTAAGGTGAACATATATATATGTGTGTATATATATTTGTGTGTGTGAATTAAATTCTTGGAAGTTTTAGCAATCTCATCACTCTGTCTTACAGCAGCCAAAAGAAAATTATGAGTGCACTTGACTTATATTAATGAATGTTAGGTTTAATGTTCTGAATAAAAATTAAGACGATAAAGACATGAGCTTTCTGAGTTTTGGAAAATAAAATATTATCTCCGCTCCATAAGAAGGGTACTATTTTTCTTTTGCGTCATTGTATTTAATTTTAAAAATATTTTTATATTTGTATAATTTGTTCTACAAATGTTATTGTATTTGTATTATAAGAGACAATAGAGTTATTTTTGTCATTTTCTCTTGATTTGTACTACGTATTGATATAATAATTAATATTCAAATATCAACATGCAAAAAGTTCATAATACCCTTCTTATAAGATGAATGGAGTAGTAAAATTAGCATTTGATATGATATTTTGTGAGATAAAAGAATTATTTGATATGATATTTTCGAAAAAAGTTACCATTAATTAATAGCTCTAAAATCGTAAAAAAATGTCTATATCAACTAAGTTTTACCTATAATGAAAATAGAAATAAAAACACAAGAAACTATAGCAAGATAGAAGTACAAAATTAAGGGTACTTATTAGGATATTTTATGTTTGTTTGGATTTGGATTTGGATTTAAAAAATTTGATTTAAATTTTATATTTAAATAATGATATCATATTTTGTGAACAAAACATATATATATATATATATATTGAGAAGTAAAAAATTTGAAAAGAAGAGTTAAGAAACACACCCTGAGAATGTTCAACCACCAAAGAAAACAAAAACAGGTGTCACTTTCAATTTCAATTTGCTTTCTGTAATAAATTACACCCTAAGCAATAGATAATTCCCTCTTCACCACAACACTAGTTTCAACTTTATATTTATTTTGTTACTGTTTTCTTTAATTTAATTTACTTTCACCTGATTACATTATGCATTACCTTTTCTACTCTATGCATATATATATATATATAAGATTGCATGCATTTTGAAGAAGATCCAGGTTGAGCTGAGATCCCTAGTCCTAAGTGAAACCAAATTATAGAAACTAAGCAGAAAGAAAAGAGTTCAGATATATATACATCTATATATATATACATACATACAAAAAGTTAAGAAAGAAGCATGGGGAAGATGTTGATGGTGAGGTTAGGATTTTTCTTTGCAGTTGTAGTGCTGATGGTTGCTGTACCTTCGCCGGCTGCTGCCACTATCTACACTGTTGGCGACACCTCCGGCTGGGCCATTGGTGCCGACTACTCCACCTGGGCTTCCGCCAAGACCTTCCTAGTCGGCGACACCCTCGGTAATTTGCTAATCTTTATCCTTGTCTCTTCTCTTTATGATTTGAAGCTTTTATGAGATGAGTACTTTTTTTAAAAAAAAAAAGTTACATTTTTTGGATAATTATAATCTGCAGCTTTTGATTTTGGTTGCATTTTGGTTGCTGTTAATTTAAATCTTTAAAGGGAAATGTGAATTCTTATTTGTTTGAAAGAGACCCTCAGAAATTCTAATAAAATCCAACTTTGAATTTAAGGTTTTGGAAGTTTGGAATTTTTGGACTTGGTATAAAATTGAGTATTTTAATTTATAGTGTAATATTTTGTATGGAGGAAAAAGTAAAAATTAATTAATGTAATCATTTTTATTGATACAAAAGTTTCAACATGTAAAATTTTGTTTATGCAAACATTTTAATGGAGTTTTTAACATTATTTATAAACGATAATAATAAAAATTCCATCAAATATCTATTACCTTTCACAGGGCATGACATTAGGATTTGTTTGGTTAGATTTAAAATTTGTTAGATTTGTTTTGAGTTTTTTATTTGTTTTTTTATTGAAATAATTAATATTAAACTTTATTTGTCCGGCAAGAAAGTTGTCATTGGTTTTTTTTATTATATCACTACGTGATACAAATCAACAAGAAAAAAGACAAAAATATATTTATTAGTTTCTTATAATACAAGTAAATTATTCAAATATAAAAATATTTTATTGTCAAGACTAAAAAATCAAATGAAAATCTTGCACCGGAAGTACTTTATATACTTTTGAATTTAAAATGCAAAATAAACACACTAATTTTTATTTTCTAATAGACATTAAAAATTTTGAATTAAAATAATTGTATATTACTATATAAATAAAAAATTAAATATTGATTTAATATTTTAAAAAGTAAATTAATCAATAATTAAAAATCTAATAAATTCGCAAAAGTACACACCATTCCATCATAAAAATTCTCTCTAATAAATAATGGCGTTAAAAAGAAGTGAGTAAATAAGCCCTTATGCAGTATTTAATTATCCCGGCGGCCACACGGTGGACGAAGTCAGCGCCGGCGACTACAAATCGTGCACCACCGGCAACTCCATCTCCTCCGACAGCAGCGGCGCCACCTCCATTGCTCTCAAGACCGCCGGTCCTCACTACTTCATCTGCGGTGTCCCCGGCCACTGCACCGGCGGTATGAAGCTCGCCGTCACCGTCTCCGCCGCGGCCAGCCCCGGCGCCGGTCCTTCACCGGCGTCCGGAGCCCCGCTCCCGCCCTCTGCAGGAACCAGTACCACCTCCCCCATGGTCCCGACCATGACGAACCCTAGCGCCGCCGGAGCCGTCAATCACGAGCCGTTTTATTCGTCGGCGGCGGCTATGGTGCCACGTGGCGTGGCCGCCGCTCTGGTGGCGGCGGCGGTGACGTGGGGTCTGTGATGAGGTGTACACGTGTACGGGCAGGATAGAGGCAGTGCTTTTTTTTATTTTTTTTCCTATCTTGTTTACTTTGGCTATGTTTTATCACATGCTTTTCTATTAGCTTTAATTTACCCGTACTCTTGTTATTATTTTTGTTATTATTATAGGAAACACTTAATAAATTAAATAAATAAAATGCGATATAAAAAAAAAAAAAAAATCAATGGTACAAAGATCATATATCAAGCTTATGTTTTTTTTTTAATACATTTTAATTATATTTTAAATGTTATAATTTATAATTTATAATTAAATTAATTAATTATTTTAATTTTAATATATAATTATTATATCATATTATATAATTACTATTTTTTTTAACTATTTACTAATTATATCATTTTCTAAAATTTAAAATCTACAGTGTATCAAACAAGATAAGTGGGTCAAAGTGTTGAAATATTATTTGTTTTTTTAATTTTAAACATTTTAATGTTTATACTATTTAAACTCTTGCATTTAAAAAAAAAAAAACAGTATGTTTTTTGCTCTCACAAAATATTCCATCATACATTATTTTAATATCAAACTAAAACAAAAAAATTTCAAACTACATCAAAAGAAACATACCCATAGATTTTACATGACATTGCCTCCATGGTTCACTTCTTGTCCAGGAACTATATGTTGTTTTCATTGTTCTTTTTATGGATTAAAGTGGGTCATACGATATTGGTTTTTCAAATTATCATATGCTATTCTCAAATATGGTTTTTACCGGTCTCACTATTCTTTATTTGTTTCATAATAATGAGATTCGTCTTCATGTACTAGTTTATGTTAATGACTTGATCATATGGGAAAATGATAGTCCTTCCATTGCTTCATTCAAAGCATATCTTCATCAATATTTTTAAATAAAAGATCTAGAAAGCTTATTTTATAGTCAATGGAAATACTCGTAGGATATTATTCTGAAGCTGGTCTTTTAGATGCTAAATTCATTAAATTTTCTATGGAACAAAATCACCAATTGGTATTGGCCAAATTAAAAGACCGCCATTTTTTGACCCATTGCCTTATTGTCGCTTGAACAATGGTTTCATCTATCTCACCATTACTATATTTGAATTATCTTACTCTATTCATGCAGTCTCAACTTCAAATTTATTTGGATGCGGCTCTACATGTCATATGGTATATGAAAACTATCTTGGTCGGGGCTTGTTCTTGGATGATACTTTTGATCTCATATTGTCAACATGGTGTGACTATGATTGGGTTGGTTGTGTGTTCATCCGTCGTTCTTTGTCTGAATGGTTTGTTTCGTTTGAATGTTCTCCAATGACTTAGAGGACTAAAAAACAAGTTGTTGTGTCTCGATCTTATGCTGAAGCTGAATATCGGTCTATGATTTTTCTTATTTGTGAATTAAAATAAATTTAAAAACTTTTGTTATGTTTTAGTGTTTAGCACATTTCATCTATCTTTTTGTTTTGTGATAGTAAATATATTGAAGTTGGACATTCGAGATCATGTAGGGATTTGCAATAGCTATTCGATAAGGTAAATCATATTAGACGAGCCATATGTGACAAGTGAGATCTGAACTCCCACACCACCAGGTAATTTTTACGGGATTTCTCTAAATTTTGATATTGTAATTAGTTGATAAACTGTAATAATTGGATTATATTTTATTATAGTTGTAATTAGGGAATTTAGTTTTGTAAAATAGATTGTATTAATTTAAATAGAAGTGGTTGCAGACTGTCTGAACCAGTGGAAAAATTCAAATCAATTTTTTTTTTTTTTTTTTTGTGTGTCTTTTCTTTTCAAAAGCAAAGCAAAGGGAAGCAGTGATTGATGGGCTTCCTAGATTAATTGGAGCAAAACCAGCTAGCTAATTGGATAGATTTCTTATTGGTGAACTAAATTAAATTAGGGTTGAAATATGACATGAATTAAACCAATCGATGAGAATTGGTGTTCCATAATACCTCTTAAATTTATAATTGCCCCAAAAGCATTGAGAAAATAAAATAAAATAAAAATTCCTAATTAAAATGTAGAACAATAGTACTACGTAATGGGAATGATGGAAAGTAGATAGTACTATATTTTACATCTCAGATATGCTAGAATGTTTCCACAATTTTTTATTATATATATATATATATATATTTGAAAATTAAATTACTACTACATATGCAACACAATCAAATTAATATTATTATTTCATTATGTTCTTTAATTATCTTGCAATATGATAATATATAAATAAAAAATGGTTGAAAGTTTAGACAAGATTGCTGGTTGAGTTAAAATGAGTGGATTCAGAATAATCAATAAATAGAAATAATGAAATGGTAAGTGAATAAAATTGTTTATTACTTATAAGTTAATTATACTTAACACTAAAAAAAAATTGTGGTATAATTGTCCCGAACACAAATAATATTTTAAAGAGACTATGGGTTTGTTTACCCAAAGTTTTTCTTTCGACACGATTTCCAAAAATATTATTTTTTATACCTTAAATCAAAATACTAAATAAACAAACTTTATACTTTCTCCGTCCCAAAACTATAGCGACAACTGTATAATAAAAAAAAAAATAAGAGTATTTTATGATGATATGATTATTTATAAAAATAATACTGAGACAAACAAAAACAACGGAGGGATTAATTGTTTACTATTTTATTATAATAATAATAATAATAATTCATTAAGAAGTGAAGAGGTAGGCACATGGATGGTTTTGTAAATGAAGAATGGATGGATGGAAGGAAGGAACACAGAGAGGTGGGGAAAGAGGCATGTGAATTTGTAAATCTCATATCATCCCATCATCCATCCACAAAAGCACAATACTCAACAGCTGTCAATTGGTTTACATGCCCTACCTCTGTCCCCAATTCTCTTTACTTTTTCAATGTTCATTCAGCCCAAAGAAAAAAACATATAGATGAAAAACATGATGATACTCTCACCATATGAATTCTCTAAGTCAATCATTGTGTCCATGTGAACTTTCTTTCTGAATTGAAACAGAAAAAGGAGTACAGAATACTTACTCATGAAGATCTTCGAGTTTTTCCAGCGGATCCAATGAAATCTGGACCGGTCACAATACCACCACACACTGTTCAGAGACACAATAAAGTTGCACGTTGTTTCAATGCAGCGATTTAGTAGTGACCAGTGACAGTAAGTACTTTTTCCTAGAAGTAAAAGAGAGATTACTGCCTAATATGCATAATTATGCATACAGTTAAGTGTTCTTCCTAAAAGTAAAATGTAAAGCAGAAAAGTAAAAGAGAGATTACTGCATAATATGCATAATTTTACATAATACTGTGCGTAACGACAATACATCAGAGAGAAGGTCGAGTAGAGAAGTAGATCAAAGAATCCGTACGTCGTGTAAATCAAATCATACAAATCAAATCACTCTCAAAAATCAAAATAATTTAACAAACCGATACAAAAAAGTTTCCAAAAAAAAAAAGCGCTAAATCATCACGAGATCTACGCAAACAGAGCGGCGGAGAGCAGCACTACGGCGGCGACAGATCCGGAGACGATCACGTTGTTCGAAGCAGCAGCGCTCGGCGCAAGAGCAGAACCACCAGGTGTAGGCGCGGCTGCAATCGATGGCTGAGGAGAACCAACCGGTGGACTACCAGCAGGAGCGTTCGAAGTCGGAGGAGCAGGCGGAGAAGAAGAAGGAGCCTCGGAGGACGGCGGCGTCGCCGCCGGAGGCGTCGAGGCTGGCGGTGTAGCCAAAGGCGGAGCGGCCACCGGAACTCCTGTCGGAGCAGGCTTCGGAGTAGCCGACGGAGCCTGCGCGAACGCAGATCCAGCCACCAATGCCAACACGAGGAAGTAAATCACCGAAGATTTGGCCGCCATTGCTGAATCCTCGAGAAATCGTTTTTCCTCTCAATTTGGGGGAAACTGCTCTTAACCTGGAATTCAATTTAGCAACTGCTGCTGCTGTTTCTCAACACTACACAGAGCGGTATTTATATATAAAGCTGCCAGCCAGACAGAAAGGCATATTAAAACGCGCTTTAATTCAATTTTACTAAAGTCGTGTTTCCAAAATTCATGTGAAATAAAGAAAAGCGTTACAAAAGAAAGGAACCTCAGGTGATGATAATCATTGACTGACAACTCATCACCAGAGAATTAGGGTTTGGGGTGTCTGTTGGTTCTTAGTACAGAGTGATCTACACCGTCGATGCTGTCGAGTATTTCATCCAACGGGTGAGATTTCTCCAGGTGTGAGAGATTCCTCGGCTGACCGTTGGAGCATTAAGTGATTATTTTTTAAAAATAATTATATTATTTCAGGCTTTACCGTTGGCTTCAAGGCGGGCTCCACTGACATCGTTATATTTCAAGGTCGTGGCCCCTTGTCATGTCCGAGATGTCTCCAGTTCAATAAATAATAGTCATGATAATGATCACGCTAACATGTTACACTCAAAGGGTGTATTTGAAGAATTTGTACTATTTTATACAATTTCTTACTTTTTTAAAACATTAAATTAAATATATAAATTTGATTTTTTATATTTAATTTATCTTAGTTAATTTGTCTCATTTAATTTAAATACAAAATTTTAGGTATTTGTCATTTATATTTGTGTATGTATTCGCTCAATAAGTTATAATACAAATGGAACTCGGAGCCTTTTCATACTATTAATATGATTATGCTTTGTTATCAGATCAAAAGCCCCGCCTCTACATTATCCTCATTTGTAGCATCACCTATTGAGTGTATAGATACCTACACTCAATAGGTGATGATTCAAATAAGGTTGGAGTGGGAACGAGGCCATTGATATGATCCAATTTTGTGATCATATCACCAACATCAAAAGGCTCTTAACTCTATTTTTAGATGTATGAATTAATACATAGGTTCAGTTATCTTACCTCAATGTGTTGTATCCCTCTTATATCGATCAATTATCATCTGCCATATGCTTTTTTAAAATAAAAAAATAATAATAAAATAAAAAATTGTAATATACATGGCTGATAGTGATTAATTAGTATATGAAAGACACAATACATTGGGAGTAGGGTAACTGAACCAATACATACGTGTGCGTGTATACATCCAATGAATGTTGATGCATATGAGGCTAGGTGGGGGCGCGGGTAACGAGATGAAATGAGCAGCATTAGAAAGCTCACAACTATATTTGCATCATCATCCATTAAGGGCGTGTTTGTTTGGGGATTGGATTTTAAATATATTATTCATCTCATTTTTTTTTTCAAAAAATATCAAATCAAACACTTATTTTTCATTTTTTATATCATACTAAAAATCAATTTTACATTCAAAACATCACATCAATACTTATTTATATTACATATCATACTACTATTTTAATTCAAATATTTTACTATTTAAATTCCAACTTAAAATTCAAACCCCCAAATAGTGTATATATATACCCAATCTATGAGTTTTTCAGTTGCAAATTATATCCAACATCACTGGCGAATTGTCCGTTTCAAAAGTAAATAGTATTTCTTGTGCCTACTTACTAAATTGTATTAATAATATATATAAAAAAAGATATTTTATATCAAATTATTCATTTTTTTAAAGATAAAATATATATTATTTCCTATGTCATTCAATTCTATTATCATTTTTTTTTTGTTATTATCTAAATTTATTATCGTTTTTTAGTAAAAAAAAAATACTATTTTTTCTATTTTTCTTTTACTAAAAAAAGTAAAAAAGTTTATTTCTAATTTTTCTTAAAATTTGTGCTCAGTCAAATGGACACACAATTGGACGACGGAGAGAATATGTTTTTTAAGGATGTGTTTGTTTGGGGGTTTGGGTTTTGAGTTGAGATTTATATTGTAAAAAATTTGAATTAGAATAGTAGTACTGTGTGATATAAATAAGTATTGATGAATGTAAAATTGATTTTTAGTATAATATAAAAAATAAAAAATAAATGTTTAATTTGATATTTTTTTTAAAAAAAAATCGTATTATTAATAATATAAATCATTCCCAAATCCTCCGAACAAACACAGCCTCGTTATATTTATAAAGAATTATTACACTTAAAAAAACTCTTGGATAATATTGATTTATTTACAATTTAAAATTAATTAATTTTAAATGGAATAAAATTCAAATTGTCACTTCAATTTCAATTAAAAAAGAAGCCAAACAAACTCATAATAAGGGCCACTATTTTGATTTCGGACCATAAAAATCATGAACGACCAGATGGGTGAACCCAGTCCAAATATATTTAAGTAAAATTTTCAAAATATTGCTATATTTAGAACGTGTAGTCAACGTCCTTCGTTTTAAGCCCAACCAAAACCCTTATTCAGCTCCCGCGCCGCCCAGAAAACAATCCACCGGCGCCCGCTGCAATCCCCCTTCCGCCGCCTTGTCACAAGGAACGCGCCGCGTTTATACAGTCGTAAGTGTTGTGGATTATTGCGCCTTTTTATTTTACCGCATTCAATTCGTGCATGTACGCGTATTGTATGTATTTGCAATGTTCGGGTGCCATGGATTGTAGAAGTTTGCACGGTTTTAGCTTTTATTTGAAATTTTCTTTTGGAATGTTTTAATAGGAGCGTCGTTGGTGGTATTTTTGATGTTGTTGAATCTTTGAACGAGCGTTTTGATGCAATATTTCGAAGATGCCTTCCGTGTTTGTTTCGCAGTTTGCAGTGGAGGAAGGCTGACTGATTGTTAATTGGATGGCGCTTCGTTTCGAGGTACGCGTTATATAGTTCCCTTTGTATTCGATTGGATTGCATTGGTCACTCTTAGAATGTAGAGATTAAATTTCCATTGCTTTGATTTGTCACATGAAAGGATGTGCATATTGTCACTATATTAAATCTCAGAGGATATTGTAGTGTTAAAATTTGATAGTTGAATCAAGAAGAGGTAGAAAACTGAAAAGGTTTATGTACATATTTGATTTAATTTGTTTTATTCATTCTAAATTCAAATGCAATTGGAGTAGAGTCCCCGGTGTTGCCAAAAAATGCAGAATGGTAGCTTTTGGTGATCTACTTTGTCGCTCTGGTGCTGTAGTTTTGTTGTTTCTTTTAGCCGATGCCTCAGTGATCGAAGATTTTTGGAGATATTTAAAAATATCTTTTTAAGATACAAAGAAAATGATATATGTATAAAATGAAAATAGTTTCGTGCATGTTCGTGTAGTAACTCAAAAAACTTCGTAAAAAATAAAAAATCTCTTTAACCGGTGAGTGTCCGGGTCGAACTCAGGGAATATGCGAATATCCTATATTTAATTAGAAAAGAAGTGCAATGAGTTAATGCTATCGAAGAACTGAAAAAATAAATTGCAAAAAATAAATCTAACTAAAAAACAATAAAATATACATATCTCGAAAAGGATGAAGCGAGGCGTTTGTGTCTGACTTTTGCGTTCCTTAATGGCTAGATTTCCATGGATGAAATGAGCGGGATGACGATGGCGTAATAGCGAAAAATACATGTATAATTGCGGGGCGGCTCGGAGGAATGAACTTGATCGCATTTGCTCGCTTAAGTCGATTCTCGACTCGGTTGGTACTTGACCTTAGGGGATTTACAAGAGGCTTCAGCGACACCCGGCGAAGAACATTATAAGCAAGAAACTCTATTGTTACTAGAAATTTCTGTGATCCAATAGGCCACTGCCTATACCCCATGAATTATTCTTCCAACAGTTCCGCTAGTGGCTCTACCCCTCTAATACATCTCTTTAATCATAATCGAATTCAGAACAGCAACTAAGCAGGTCGATAAGGCTCCCGCATACTTAGCTACGTTGAACTACTCGGAATCTATTTGTGACACGAAACATGGCTGAAATAGTCGATTCTTCTATCGCCTTTCCGCAACCTTGTCGAAATCCAACTTGAACAATTCAAATCGAACATGAAATTTTTGGGTGAAAGTAAGACGGAGAAATATGATAGGAATTTTACTAGCTAAAGTAATATGCAGGAATTAAAAGAAAAGGGGGAGAAAATCAGTTTGCTCGCGACATAAAACCGAAAATCTTGTATTATTAAACAAAATAAAAATATTGGAGAAAAGAAATGAAGAAAATGAAGTGTATGAAATGTATATTACTGTGTATACATGGGTGTGTATGACTGTAATTAGAGGGGATATTTATAGGGGGGAAAAGCTTCTAGAAGCTTCGCGGTTACAACCGCCCATAAATAACTACTTCTAAAAATAACTACCAACTACCTCTAAAAATAAGCATAAATAACTATCTTTAAAATAGCAACTAATATAACTACTAATACTTTACTAAAAACTATCCATTTTCTAGAAAGTTTTAGAATAAATATTACACAAAAATAACAAAAAATTGGCTAAGTGATGATGCACGAATTAAATATGAGAGTTGGGAGAGTGCAGGAATAAATGCAGGTGACTGGAATAAATGCAGGAGCTGAGGGAGGTTGGGCGGATTTAATGCAGGTGGCTGGAGTAAATGCACCGCTGACCCAGCGGCAATAATGCAGCCGCTGCTTGTTTTCCGCATAGCCGCTATCGCTCACTCATGCAGAGATTTCCGCTCCGCTCACATTTCCGTGCAACCGTGCTCACGGAGTCCGCGCCAGCAGCCATCGCTTTCTGCATTCATAAATGCAGCCGCCGCTTGCCTTCTGCGCTCGCGCATTCCTATGTAGCCGCCGCTAACTTTTCGCGCCAGCCACCGCTAACTTTTCGCGCCAGCCACCGCTTGCCTTCCGCGCTCATAAATACAGCTACCGTTTGCCTTCCGCGCTCGCGCACTCTTATGCAACCGCCGCTTGCCTTCCGCGCTCATGCATTCTTATGCAGCCGCCACTCACTTTCCGCGCAACGGTTGACTTTGACTTTCGCACGTTGACTTTTCTGCGTTGGGTGATTTTTTTTCGCTTTTGAAGCCATTTTTTAGCTTTTTAAAACCATAGCACATAAATAATTATTAAAAATATAATTTAAGAAACACATCAATTAATTTAAATTATACACCAAGTTAATTATAAATTACACATAAAAACTAATAAATTAATATTATTAGAGTAAATTAACATAAATAATACCAAAATTCGATATAAATAAATATAAGTTATAAAATATGACAAAATTAAGAGTGATAACTCTGCATATAGACATTTGACATAGTTTTTCGAGTTTGCAATAACATTTGCCAATTATTGAACTTGTTTGGTTATTGGGTCGCTCTGGGTCGCTCTAATGCGTCTTTCTTGTTTTTCTTTTTAATTTATAATATTAGATACTTGGGCGGTTCAATCGTGCTCGGGCAGCTCGACTTACACTGCCCCATTTCGTGTGCCAGACGCCTTTGTTTATGCCTGTGGGGACACAAGGTTAGGAATTTCTTTAGTTAGTGTTGCGTTGCTTACGAATATACTTCCTCCGCTCATATCTTTATATTCATTTGCGTTTTAGAAATATTAGTATCATATTGGGATAAAATAGAAATAAAGGTAAAAAGATCAAATTAACTCTATTAGGATTGTATGATATAAAGGTAATCATATTTGTGTAATATATTGTAAATAAAATGGAAAAATGGATAGATTGTTAAGGGACGGAGGGAGAGTATCTCAAATAAGTACATTTATTTCTTTATGTTTAGTAAAGGTTGTGAGGAAACACTCTTTTATTTAGTGATAAAAGATGCTATTCAGTGTTTCCATTTCCATTACACGCCGTTAAGGGATACAATTCATTTATAGCATGGGGTCAATGTCTGTTTCTGTTACCTTAATATTTATTAACAACAGTAATAATTCTATTGATTCAGTGAAGTTATAATGTGTATGGTAGTCATTCAACAAGCATATGTAGTTTGTCTTCAATCTATTTTGGCTTACAGTGCACTCTAGTGTCCATCCTTTTCTATTCTCAAACAACTTGATTTAAAATTACTGCCACAGGCACAATAAAAGGTTTAACGACTAGTCAGCTTGAGGAAATTGGATGCCAAATTATTCTTGGAAACACATACCACTTGGCTCTCCGTCCCACCTCTGAGCTAATTGATGAGTTGGGGGGTCTCCATAAATTTATGAATTGGCCTCGTGCATTGCTTACAGACTCTGGTGGCTTTCAAATGGTAGTCTGATTTTACATTTTCTTTTTTTTTGGGGGGGGGGGGGGGTGGGGGGTGAATGACCTAAGATACAGTGAACCCCATCATAAATTTGTCATGAGGAGGTGTACATGGAAATGACTTCTTTATGCTGGCAGGTTTCCTTGTTGCATTTGGCTGACATTACAGAGGAGGGTGTAAATTTCCAGGTGCAATTTTTTTTACTCCATATACAAGTATACAATATTTGGTAATTATGTTATATATCATGTCCTACCACCTCAAAAAAATTGTATTAGAATTTAGAAGAAAGCAGAGGAAGTAAAACTCAGAAAGTAGAAGCCTTTAAATATTGCACAGTAGTCAGTACCAATGCTCTTTGCTTGGGCCATTATCCTGATTGTTATAAGTTGTAAGTATCAAAAGCAGAGTGTCTATGTTGGGGCTCTGAATATTTTTTGTAGCTTTTATATATTCACATATTCCTATGCAGTCACCTGTTGATGGGAAGCCCATGATGCTCACTCCGGAAGAGTCAATACAAATACAAGTAATATTCTTTCTTTCATTTCGCTAATTTCAACTTGTAATGTTGGATGGCAAGGTATAGTGCACAGTGACTAACTTTTTGGTCATCAGCTAATCTTTCTTAAGAATCATTTATTTTTGCTATGCAACTGGATTAGTTTACATATTAATTGCAATTTTTTCTTACTTCATTTCATGCAGTGCTGTTAACCTAATTAGTAGTTACTTAAAATGTTTATATCATGGTTGATTGCATAACCAGCAATGTCTTCTCTGTTCAAACAGTTTTTTCTTCCATTGTTGCAGAATCGAATAGGAGCAGATATTATTATGGCTCTTGATGATGTTGTCAAGACCACTATCACAGGCCCCCGGATTGAGGAAGCTATGTATCGTACGCTTCGTTGGATAGATAGGTGCATTGCAGGTAGTTTAAATAACATTGTGTATGCACACTTGATAATTAATGTGTCAATTGAGACAATTTCAGATAGAGATCAGATCAACAGATTATAACTGCCTGATGTTTATTTGTTCAAGCAGTTAGCACTTATATGCTTTCTATCAATTAGTTTGATCAATTGGATTTTGTAGTTTGATATTTGTAATTGTATAATCTTAATTGATAATGAAAATTTGCTACTTTGATCTACTGCTATACTTGCATCTACTGTTAAAGGAATAAGAAAGAAAATACTAAAACAAAAAGGGATAAATTAAATCAACAAGTATAAATTTGATTTATACTTTTATCATTAAGCCATTCATCATTACCCCTTACTGGAATATTGATGACTACATATCAGCTCACAAGAGACCACATGACCAGAATTTATTTGGAATTGTGCAAGGTGGTTTGGATCCAGTCTTGAGGTTAGTTATAATTTACTAGTCTATCTAATTTTTGCATGCTCAAATATGATATATATATATGTATATATGTATATCTGACTTTTTGTTAAGTTAATCATTTACAGGGATAGATGTGTGAAAGGTTTGGTGGATCGTGATTTGCCAGGGTATGTTAACTATTCTTCCGGAATGATGTTATGCCTTTTGCTAGCCTCAAATGGCATAAATGTTAACAAGCATCTACCAGGCGGTGTAGTAAATAGAACTATTAATGAAGAGAATAAAAAAACTTTTATTTGCTGAAACTTATGAAGCACACGACGCCCTTTTAGAATGTTTGCTCCGCTGTATTTGTTGATAATTGTATTTGGTTCAAGTTTTCAGTGCAATGTGTCTGAAAAGTGACTGCTCAATGTGTTTCTCCAACAATCTGATACGACTCAATTTATTCTTGTGACAGCTATGCTATTGGTGGTCTTGCAGGAGGTGAAGATAAGGACTCATTCTGGCGAGTTGTTGCCCAGTGCACAGCTGCCCTACCCGAGAATAAACCTCGATATGTTATGGTACATTTTTTAAAACTTTTCGATAAGTATAATCTCATATCCACAATATTTCCTCCTGTGCCAAATTTAGTCTGGACTCCATAAAACTCCACCTAAAAATTTCAGGGTGTTGGCTATCCTCTGGATATTGTTGTTTGCAGTGCATTGGGTGCTGATATGTACGATTGTGTGTACCCTACACGTACTGCTCGCTTTGGAACTGCCCTTGTACCTGAGGTCTCTTTCCCATCCAATTTCATGCCCCATTAAATAGTTGCGTGATTTGTGTTGATTTGAATTTGAAATATCTTTCAGATTTACAATTGAAACAATAGACCTGACAATTACTTCTGTTATTAGGGGTGAGCATTGGTATGTCCGAACCGGAAAAACTAATTTTATTATTATTATTATTATTATTTTCGGTTTGGATAGGTCAGTTTGGTCTGTTCAGTTAATTGGTTCAGTTCGGTCTAAAGTCAAATTTATAAATTTGGGTTTCGGTTCGATTATAATTTTCAACTTTCAAACCAAAAATTGTATTTCGGTATTTGATCTTTTTAAAAATTTGTATTTCAGTATTTGATCTATTTGTAAGTTGTTGGAAACATGTAATTGGAGATAAATGAATGTGCATTTATGATGGAAAATTAATTGAACGAACGAGTTCGAGCATCATCATAAGAATTTCAAAACATTCGATTTGTTAGGTTTTAAACTGAACCGAACTGAATTAGTTTGGTTCGATAGTTTGGTTTTGAAAATTTTGGTTCGGTTTCGGTTGTGATTTTTACAAACCGAAAACCGATCAAAATTCAAAGGTCGGTACCAAATGCTCACCCGTGTCTGTTATGATACATATATATGTATAAATTGAAGTTCAGAGATCTGTAGCAAGATGAAAAATGTAACATATGGGCGAAGGTGACAATGTTATTGACAATGGATTTCCATATTCTAACCAGGGAGTTCTAAAACTCAAACACCAGGCAATGGCGCAGGATACTCGTCCGATTGATCCTACGTGCGAGTGCATGGTATTATCTTTATTATTGTTCGACACACTATTTCTTTTGTGATAATGAAGAGCATTTTTGCAGGTGTGCAAAAATTACTCGAGGGCGTACATTCACTGCCTTGTCACTAAAGATGCAATGGGGTCTCAACTTCTGTCTTACCACAATTTGTTTTACATGATGAAGGTACTTCTCAACTTCTTTTCGAGTCGATAGCTCATCTTTAAGAATTGTTCACAAAACTCGTCTTCCCTGCTCGGTTAATTTGCTGATTTACATGCACTTAAATCATTGTTGCAGCTCAGCAGGGATTTACACTCATCTATTGTCGAAGGCCGCTTTCCTCAGTATGTTTATTTTAACTATGCACATATTTGGTGTCGGAGTAGTTTCTTAGTTTTCACATAGATCGGTAACCATTTCAGTTTTGTTATCGAATTATTTTGACTAGCTTTTGACCGGATCATCGTATACTATATATTATATTATAATTCAACATATACTTTCTCCGTCCCTTAAAAGTCTATCCATTTTTCTATTTTGGTCTGTCCTATAACAAGTATTCATTTCCTTGTTTTTTTAGTAATTGTAATATTTACCTAACATTATATATTACACAAATGCCATTACCTTTTATATCATACAATACCTAATATGGTTAATTTAGTCTTTTTACCTTTATCTCTACTTTATTTCAATATAATACTAATATTTCTAAACTTCAGTGCAAAAAACAAATGAATATAGAGATATGAAATGGAAGGAGTATTATATTATAACTCATGTGTAAATATATATTGGTTATATATATATATATATGACATATGTTGATCCTTGATTTGACGGGATCAGCACGGGATCCCCGGCCCCTTCTCAATACATAGAAGATGGGCAGACAATATTAACATGTCTCATGTGTTAGTTAAAAGAATGTGCAGAGAATTATATTTTATAAGTGTGCTATATTCATATATCTCATGAGCTGCTGAGATCAATAATATATTATATGCTGCATTTGTATTATATTATTATAAAAGTATATGTCTACACATATTGAGTGTGCTGTAGCCATTATGACAACAATCTATTGATTGAAGCAACACCTAATCATTTTTCTCTTTTTTTTTAGGTATGTCTGCAATTTTTTGCAAAATATGGTACGTCCCTCGAATATTCTATGTTTCTGCAATTTTATCCATTGGGTTTTTCTGCCTTCGAGGTTCATAGGAACAACTTCGCAACTAATTTTGGTCTTGGTGTAATTGGTTTTGATGTGATGTCCAAAGTCAGAAATCACCTTTTATATATATATATATATATAACGTGAAAACTGCATCTGCTACTTAATTTAATTTTAGTTGATTATTAATAGGCTAAATTATATAAAATTTACCTGTGATTTCATCAAATTGAGCCAAATCTCTTATACTTCTAAAATTGCATCAAAATTCTTTCGTAGTTTTATAAACTCTGTGTCTAACCCTCTCGACGACCCTTAGTATGTGACCTAAATGTGCCAAAATTGCAATAAATTTTAGAATTTCAAATACTGTTAAATAAAGACCGTCGAGGGAATTAGACGCAGTGTTTACGAAACCACTGTGAATTTGAAGCAGTTTTAAAAATACAGAGGATTTGACATAATTTTATAAAATTACAAGTGAATTTTGTGCAATTTAGATGCTAATTTTTTATTATTATTATTATTATTATTATTATTATTATTATATGAGATGCTAATTTCTTAGTGATGATGATTTTGTAGTTCCCGAAAGGCAACGTCCCTCAATGGGTCTGCAACGCTATGGAGGTTGCCGGGATCGATATATCTTCTTGTTGTCCTACTTTCGAAGGCTTAAATCTCTCCCAAAAGTAATGTACACTAATAGTTAGAAATTGTATTGGATAAATATTTATATTGATATATCATTTATTTCTTATATGCAGGAGATAAATATCAAAAAGCAGTGGAAATTAGAGAAAAAGAGAAGAGCTAAACTACGTCACATTATTAGTCCTGGTCATGACTATTCTTGTCCTATAGAATAGGATAAATTAATTAATTGACCAAAAACCCATGAGTTATAAAAATAGAAAGAAATCAACAAAAGATGAAGTCGTCGTTTTTTTTTTCTTTTTTTTTAAGAGAACGGCGGCATAGACATACAGTTTTGATACAATTTTGGATAGACAAGAGACTTATATGAACTCAGATGTGTTCAAGTTTTGTTAGAATGATTTATAGTTTGCAGGCTATTAAATTTGTTCGGAGTGTACTCAGAACATATCATATCATCTGAAGGGTATCACTGATTTTCATTCACTAATATTTTGGCTTTTTTTTTTTTTTTTTAATTTGAGGAATGATTGGTACTTAGTATTTTGAAATTTTTTAATTATTCTATAGAAAAAATTGTGGATTATCAATGTTTATTTAATTCTTGAATTATTGTTTGTAACTATTGGATTAAGTGGATATATATTGATAGTGATATTTATTTTAGTTTGATAATCGACAATTGATTTAAATAGGACATGCATAACTGTATTTTCATTTAAATAAGCTATAATAATAATAATAATAATAATATTTATTATTACTTAAGTTTTACTTAAATTGTTTGCTCCTTTTATTTTTATTTTTATCTGTTTTACGTATTTTTTTAAAATATAATTATATATTTTAATTATTTTTACTAATAATATATTTTTTAATTATTTATTAATTATCTAATATCTAAAAGTAAGTGACTAAACTAAAGGAGACGTATTTGGCCTTTAACATGTGCCGGGCATCTCTTTTTCTGCGACTGCGAGCGAGCCTTCTTAATAATAATAATAATATAAATAGGGCGAGCAGCACTGTAGGATGTGTTTGTTTGAAGGATTTGTTTGGATTTCCACTGTTCTTCTTATTTTTTTCCTCTAAAAATATCAAATCAAAACACCTATTTTTTATTTTTTATATTATATTAAAAATCAATTTTATATTCAAAACATCACACCAACACCGATCATACAATTATTCAAATTCAAAATTTTTACTATTCAAATCCCAATCCAAAATCCAAACCCCCAAACAAACACACCCTCACCCTGTATTTTCCGATTTCTTCCCCTACACTTTAATTTGCAGTAATTGGGATTTAGGGCATTGCCGCTCCACCCATATTCCTTGTGTTCTTCTCCAATTATAATCGGATTCCGCCAAATTGACAGAGCGCGAAGTTAATGATTGACGAAATTTGAACGGATTTGAGCGATTTTTTCAATATGTGCACGTGCTGTGGATGTATGTACGTGTTTGTGCTTTGAAGAAGGAAATGGCGAAGTTGGGGATGCCGAGATGGGGGACGGTGCTGATCCTGAGACGTTTGCTGCTTTGCGCCATTGTTATGATTGCCATAACTGCGCTCCTTTCGGTACATGTTCAAGAGGTTTCCAAACTGCCTGCCAACGCTGCGCGCAAACTGCCCATGGTTTGCTATTTATGTTTTCATTTTAATTCTGTTACAGTCGGTTTGGGGGTTAACTTTTAGTTCGTTAGTGAATTACTGTTGTTTTCACGAGATTTTCCCCTTAGTTGTTTCCGGTATTGTTTATTTGAATCATGAGTTTTGGTTGGAATTCAGCTGTATGTGTTATGTATGTACCTGATCTGATTTGAGGTTTTTGATTCCTGTAGCAACATGAATCTGAGTACCAAAAACTGAGCACAGAGAGAAGCTATCCACACGAGCTCGCTGCTCGTTCTCATTTGCTTAAAGCTCCTTTCATTCGTCAAAAGGTTTAACATCTTCCATAACCTTTCTACATCGTTGTCGAAGTTGTCATCTGTTAATCAAAGAAAAAAGTAATAAAATATTAATCGTTTAATACATGTATGTGTTTATTTTGGTGCAAGAGAGTTGGTGCAGACTGCAGACTTATCTATAAATTAAAAAAAATGGTAGTCATGCACCTTTCATGTTTTCACTCATTTAGATTTGACAGTTAGATGGTGCAAGAAGAAAATTAGATTTGGATCTGTGGAAGCCGCCCCCTAATAGAGGCTATGTTCCGTGCACTAAACCAGGTTCGCCATACAAAGGTACATGATCTGTAATTGTTAATTTTCTGTGAATGCTATTGTATTTCTTCGAAGTTATGATATCTGTGTTCCATAGGTGCTTACTGTTGTTAATGTTATGTTCTTCTCAGCTCCTTCAGAATCTCGGGGTTACTTGCTGGTGCATACAAATGGTGGCCTTAATCAGATGAGAGCAGGGGTAAGCCCACGCATATTTGTTACACCATAAGTTACATCATTCTGATTAGGTTACGTAAGCTTAAATTATTCTATGATTCAATCTATACTTCAAATCCTGCTCATAAATGTAGAAATTTTACCTCATCTAAGAATTTTAAGTTATTTAACTCAAATCCTGTTATAGAAGATATAATTGATTAGATGATAAACTAGCATAATGTGAGGCGACGTGAAAGCATAATGTCCGAAAAACTGTGATTCAATCAACATGTTAATGGATAAGAATGCAGGTTTTTACTAAATAGTAGCTGATGTCATAAAACAAGTTGCATTCTTTACTTCCCTAAGGCACTTTTTATGTACCTGCCTGGGGGCATGCATATTGTAGTTGCTGAGTTTGTATATTAGAACGCCTGTCGCCTGCATAAATATATTATTATTTCTTGCAGATATGTGATATGGTTGCTGTTGCACGCATTATCAATGGTACGTTAGTGATTCCAGAGTTGGATAAACGATCTTTTTGGCATGATTCCAGGTATAATATGAACTTTCTGGTCTTCTGGGTTTCTTTTAGGGAATTTGTGTACGCCAGTAATAAGTTTCATTTTAATCTAATCCATTCACTTAAAAATTGCAGCAACTTCTCTGACGTCTTTGACGAAAATCATTTTATCAATTCTTTGAAGGATGATATAAATATTGTTAAAAAACTTCCCAAGGAACTGTCGTCTGTTCCAAAGGCAGTAAAGCATTTCACAAGCTGGTCGGGTATGGATTACTATGAGAAAGAGATAGCGGCTATGTGGGAAGAATTTCAGGTTCTTGGATATAGTGAAGCTTTAATTCGTGTTTTACAATATTGTTGCAAATAATTCATTGGAAAAAAATAAACCTTCTAGGTGATTCGAGCAGCAAAATCTGATTCTCGGTTAGCAAACAATAACCTGCCTCTCGATATTCAGAAGTTGCGATGCCGTGCTTGCTATGAAGCCCTTCGATTTGCACCTCAAATTGAGAAAATGGGAAAGGTAGCAACACTATGCATAATCTATAATATGGGCCACAATTTTATATACCTTTTTCCATAACTACGTGTCTTTTTGCACAGTTTGTCATATTAAACAGTTCCTTTGTAGTTGTTGGTGGATCGAATGAGGTCACACGGCCATTACATTGCATTGCATTTACGGTTCGAAAAGGACATGCTTGCCTTCAGTGGTTGTACCCAAGATTTATCTCCAGAAGAAGCTGACGAGCTAAAAGCAATCAGGCAAGATATCTCGATTGAATTGGCATGATGCCTGATGTCTGTACACTGACGATGATTATTTTTATTTTTATTTTTTTATTACTTAGAGAGAACACAATATGGTGGAAAGTGAAAGACATTGACCCTTTAGAACAGAGAGCTCGCGGATATTGTCCGCTCACACCAAAGGAGGTCGGAATATTCCTTCAGGCTCTTGGTTTTCCATCAAGTACCCCAATTTATATTGCTGCCGGAGAGATCTATGGGGGTGAATCGCATATGGCTGATTTGCAGATGCGGTATCCAATATTAATGAACAAGGTATATATGTAGTACAATCCTTTTTAGTGAACTTGATTTTTCTTGTCGATTACTTTTATGATGATTAATGATATAAATTGTCAATATGCAAATGATGCCCCTGGTTACACTATTTGTGAGTCAAAGTTGAAACATATGAAGGATCTCAGGCTACAAGGAATAAGTCTTTGATCTGACACATACTAGAATTTGACAGTTTAGAGGCTTACTCATTGGGTGTGTTTGTTTGGCAGTTTGGATTTTTTGTTGGAATTTAAATAGTAAAGATTTTGAATTGGAATAATTGTATGATGTGATATAAATAGTTGATTTGATGTTTTGAAATTTTGATTTATGTTTTAGTATAATATAGAAAAAAAAATTATAAATGTTTGATTTGACGTTTGGAGTGAAAATTTTTGATGAATAGTAGAAATTTGATAAAGAAACACACCCATAGTTTCTTTTGCCATCTTACAAGCATTGTTCCCACATATATGATTCATATCGGTGCTTATCTTCCCAGAAATGCCACTAGTTACCTTGTTTTTCGTTTTTTTTAAATTTCTTTAGGGCTCAATCGGATTGGTTTTAATGTTCAATCTTTTCGTTTAAATGTTCGAGAATAATGCAGTTCACCTCACACTTTAGGCTGATTTCACAGGAAAAGTTGGCATCGACCGAGGAACTCGCACCTTTCGTCAGTCATGCATCACAAATGGCTGCACTTGACTATATCGTTTCAGTTGAAAGCGATATATTCATCCCAACATACTCTGGCAACATGGCAATGGCAGTCGAGGGCCATCGTCGTTTTCTTGGGCATAGGAAGACCATTTCGCCAGACAGGCAAGACACTTTTACTTTGAAAGTTTGTCGCTTATTACCCTTACTGAATATTATTAAAGCTTCTTATTATCAAAGAAATGAAATTATTATTCACTAGGAAAGGCCTCGTCCGATTGTTTGATAAAATTGCAATCGGGACATTGAAAGAAGGAAAAAATCTCTCCCTCAGAGTCGTCGCCATGCATAAAAGAAGGTACAAAACGGAGAAAGCTCTCCTTTCATAACTTATGATAGTCGAATTTTATTAGATTGATTGATTGATTGTGCGGATGTTATTAGGCAAGGATCCCCGAGGAAAAGAAAAGGTCCAGTCCCAGGTACAAAGGGAAAGGACAGATTCCGATCAGAAGAGGCGTTTTATGTTAATCCTTTACCCGAGTGTTTATGTCAAAACAACGGATCTGCACTCAGCAACAACAACAGAAGCTCTGTTGCAGTGTCTGTATAGCTGAAATGTGTTTGAGCCGAGTGGTCGACAATCGGGTGCATATTGGCAACAACTTCTTTTACGACGAGGGGTGCTCTGACCGAGCGATGAAATTCAATGGAGCAAAAGCTAACTTGCCGGTGGAATTGGATTCGATATGAACCTGAACTGATTTGTTTTGTTTTGTTTGGTAGAAACTGGAGGAGAGAAAGGAAGCCTATCCGACTCTGGAATGACTGATGCTATTGCTGGGGAAAGGTTTTTTGAGTCTCCTTGGCTGAAGAAAACAGGCACTCTGTTTTTGGGGTGATCCGAACTCATTTGGGATCTCAGTCTGTACCTAATGCAATGTGAGTATCCTTTCTTCTGAGGAGTAAAAAGATTAATTTTTTTAATTTTTAATTTTTAATTTTTCAATTTTTAATTTTTTTTATATATATGATATTGGGATCCGTAGTCAATGGAGATTAGCGTTTAATTAGAATAAGTAAAAGCTCTGAAGTTTGGTAAAAAGATGAAAGTACAATAAATTGATAGATCAGTAAAATAAATAAACAGTTTGCAATCTCAGTTCGGTTTGGCTCGTTTGTTAAGCTAAATGAGTCGAATACAAATATAAATTTTAGCTAGTTATGTTCACAAATGAGTTTGAGTTTGTTTGCGAACGTTCGACAATATTTATTTAAAAAATTTGTATTAGTAATTTTATACTTCTTTCGTCCCAATACAGTTGTCTTGTTTTTCTATTTTTGTTCGTTCTAAAACAATTGTCTTTTTTTTTTCTTTTATTAGTAATTGTGGTTATTTTATAACAAAATTATTCTTATTTTTCCAAATTATCCTCAATTACTTACTTGTTAAAATCATTAAAAAAAACGAAGGTATTTTAGTTTTTTATTTTCTATTTTATACCTATTTTCAATTAAATATTATTATTCATTTATTTTTGTGTCTTATTTTAATAAGACATCTATTTTTTTTGAGACTGATGGAGTATTTAATAAGTAAATATGTTTTTAATTTATTTTTTTCAAATAAATAAATAAAATTAAAAAATCTCTTAACAAATAGTACACGAACAAAAGAATTAGAATTGCTAAACGAATTTAAACAAAAATTTCAGTTTAATCTTTTAATAATCGAACACAAGTTGGGTTCGAGGCTTTAACGAGTTAACTCAAACATGATAAACTCATTCGAGTTAATGTTTTTAAAGGGCTGAACCACTCCAATTAATTCAACCTGACCCAATTTAACTAGGCTAATTTCAGCAGAACGGTTAGTCCAATTCAGTACAACCCGGTTCAGCCAGAGAGCCCAGCTAATTTAGATAGGCCCACTTCAATTCGTTATTAATAGCCCAGCTCATTAGGCCCATTTAATTTAGTACGGCCCATACAATATATTTCAGCCCAATTTAGGCTGACCGACTACAATAAATATTGCCCAGCCCAATTCAGCTCGGACTTTGGAATGGTTGACTCATTAATTAAAAATAATTACATATTTTTACTATCAAATAAAATACATTATTTTAAATCTATTATAGAATAGAAATAATATTTTAAAATAAGATAGAGAAAATACATATTATTTTAATTGAAATGATAAGTTTTACATATTTTTATTATCAAATAAAATACTATTCCCTCCGTCTCACTTCTCATATTCACTTTTTTATTTTGTCACTTTCATTTTTTGAAAAATAATTATACATTTTAATCTTATTTTTAAGGCAAAATTGTCCATAACTCCCTTGTGGTTTATAAACTCAGCGTAAATCTTCTTTCTACTTTAAAAATTGCATGACGCCGCCTTATACTTTAAAAATGTTGCATGAAACCACTCTGTGGTTTCGAAACTTAGCATAAATCCCCACCTTACTTTAAAAAATTGCATGATGTTCCCTTATGCTTTCAAAAATATTGTATGAAACCCCTGCCATGCAAAACATATAGTTAGGAAATAATTTTATGGTGGTGGGGTTTCATGCAACGTTTTTTAAAGTATAAGAGGATACCATACAATTTTTAAAGTATAGAGATATTACGCTGAATTTCGAAACCACAGGGGAGTTATATGCAATTTTACCTATTTTTAAAATTTTAATTTTTAATTTTTTAATTTTAATTATACTAATCAATTATTTTAATTTTAATATATAATTATTTTTATAATACGATAATTATTTTCACTAATACATTTTTAATTATTTATTAATTATACCCCTTTTAAATTTTCGTATTTATAGTAACGTGGTCAAATTATCCGGGACGGAGAGAGTATTATTTTTACATTTTTTAAAAACATAATATTTTAAGGCGCAAATAAATGCGCTCACTCAATAAATATTTATACCCATTCCCATCACATACAATCACAAAAATAAAATTCCCAAAAAGAACGTTACAAATAAACTACAGTGAAAAAATAAATAAACAAGAAAAATTCGAATATATATATATATAAATAAAAATTTTAAAAGGTAAATAGTTATATAGTGACAGCTTTACCCAGTTGCCAATATTAAAATACCATACCTAAAACAGTACTGACAATAAAAGAAATATTATAATATTTAATGCACATTCTTTATTGACCATATTCATATTCACATTCACATTCACATAAATATATGTAGCGATGGTCACTATTCCTTATTATTATTTACTATAAACTTGCAATAAAACACTCAATACTCGCCTTTATCTCGAAATTATTCTAATTTAATTTTAAGTTGGATTCTATTTTAATTAAAATAACAAATATATATATTCCAATACTAATCCATTACGATAAGCACAGTTTTCAATCTTGATATTTTGAATTTTAATGAAATTATTATACTATATATATATATATACAAGGTATCGAACAATGTTTTTTAAAATGAAGCCGTTAAAGTTACCTAAGATATCAATTAAATTAAATTATATCCCAACAATTCAATACATATATTTTTAACAATTTTTTTTTACTACATAATTAATAAATAATTAAAAATATATTAATAAAATTAATTATAATAGTATAATATAAATTATTATAGATTTAATATTAAAATAATTAAATAATTTAATAAAAAAATTTAAATTTTAAAATTTGATTAATATATAGAATATTTTTTCATAAAAAGAAAAGTGATATAATATGTAAGACGGATAAAAATAAAAAATATATGTAGTACCTGCTAAGTAATATTTTTAATTATAAAAATGGATAATTAACTAAACCTTAATGTCTGACGTCTGACATTTTAAAACACAGTTTTTAGTGATGAAGGGAAAATGGAACGTCACCGTTACTCGTTAATGATTATCAATGAATAAACACAGGGTACCTCTTACGCAGCACACCGTACAATTATTCTCTGCAGACGTCCTTCACTCTATCAACCTGCATTTCCCTGTTTCGTATGGCTGCTCGGTCCCGGATCAATCCACACCGTTGATTAAAATGGCCCCACGTCCATCAACGGTTCAACGTATACATGGACCTGAGGTCCTGGGAGCTCTAGCTTTTTGCCTTTCCTTTGTATTCTGGAGACTGTCCACAGTACATTTTTTGTCCTCTTCTTTCATACATCGTTTTCAAATACACATTATATATATATGTTTTGTATCTATAGGTAGAGAGAGAGTGGATAGAGAGAGAGATAACCACGATAGAGCTCAACTGTAGAGAGAGAAAGGAAGAGATCTAGAGAGAGAGACGGTGGTGCGAGTTTTGCGAAGATGGATAAAGCCTTGAGCAACGATTCCTCATCGATTTCATCTTCGTCTTCCTCCACAGGAGCTAACAGAGAAATGTTCCTCAAAAATGTTCACCGGAATTCGCACAAGATTTCGAAGCCGATTCGGAAGCCTCTCCTGCCGCCGGCGGCCGGAGCTTCATCGGCGATACCGATTCCGGAGCCTAATCCGATGAATTCGACTCAATCTCAGCCACAATCGCAGCAACCGCCGGTGTACAACATCAACAAAAACGATTTCCGCGATGTCGTGCAGAAGCTCACTGGCTCGCCGGCTCACGAGCGCAATCCGACGCCGCCGCCGCCGGCGGTTACTCACCCTAGACCGCCGAGCTCTCGCCTCCAGAGGATCCGCCCGCCGCCGCTGGCTCAGATTGGTAACCGACCTACGCAGCTGACGCAGCTCATTCCTCGCCCCCAAAACGACGCCGGTCAACGATTTTCAGCGCCGCCGCTGCCGCCGCCGCAGGTGCAACCGTTTCAGCCGCTTCCGCCGCTTCCGTCTGTGCACCCTGCGGCGGAGTCCCCGATCTCCGCTTATATGCGGTTTCTGCAGAGCTCTGCCTCCTCCCCTGCTCCGCCGCCTATGTGGAACGCAGTCGCGCCTGTCGCACCTCGTCCTGACTCTCTTATTCCTCAGACCGATTTCAGCCACCGTCCGCCATATCCGCCGCCGACTCAGCCTGAATCTCCAATTTCCGCTTATATGCGGTACATCCAGAGCTCCGCCTTATCTTCATCAGCTGTTTCACCTCGGGGGAGCGGCGTACCACCGCTACCACCGCCGCCGACGCCGCTTCACCCCCATCCTCCACCTGCCCCACCGCAGCAGCAGCAGCAGCAGCAACACCACCAACCGCCGCCTCCGTCCAATACCTTACCGCCGTCCCCTTTTCCGGTGCTTCCGCTGTCTCCTCTGCCATTTGGATGCGCTCCGTCGCCTAAATCCTCGTTTGGTTTGCTTTCACCGAGCTTCCTGTTTTCGCCGACTGGCCAGTTAGGGTTTCCGCAGCTGCCATTGTCGCCGACTCTCCCTGTTCCAAGCCCTAGGTGGAAGGGCATTTAAGGAATTTCACTATACAAAGAGGTATGTATGTTCCATCATATCCTAGGCCATTTTCATTCCTTTTTTTTTTTTTTTTTCTAAAATCAATTTGTTATTATTTCGTGAATACAGTGATGAATTTCAATATGCATATGTACATGGTTTGGGAAGATTATAGGGAAATATGAGCACAGTGTAATGTAGTGGAACAACAGATTTAGGCAAGAATGGTTAATCAGTGTTTGTTCTGTATATGAATGATGAACAAAGTGTAGGAAATGCAATGCAACTCTTTTCTTCCCTACTTTACCAAATTAAACTCTTTTTTTTTATCAAATTTTGTGGGGCAATTAGGCTTCAAATTATTGGGATCTTGATTCTTTAGTGTTCTTTTTTTATCATATGTTAGCTCAATTTGTGTTTTACACTATCTGAATATTGTGTTGCTTTTTAGGGCTTGATGAACACAATCAATTTTAGTTATATGGTGTTTTTATTCTATGTCTATTGTATTCCTGATTCTATATTTTCCATTATTGGGAAGCTCACAATGGGGTTTGTTTTTACATAATAATTCTGTTTTAGAATAGAAAATTCTTTTGGGATGGTGGGTTTTCTTGGTATTGCCAAAACTAGAAGTTGGGGATGGCTTGAGGATGAACAAACACTATTTATGGCTATTGTGGTAATAATGATAGTTCAAGAAAGTGTGGAAATAATGTCTTTTACATTTGAGCCTACATATGATGAATTGATTTGAATTGAATTTAGGAGATGTTTTCAATTTTTTTTGTAAATGACACTCCCCTTTACAATGGAAAGTAGAATTGAAATTTGTCCTAAGTAAATATTTAATGTATAGAAGAGGAGTGTTATTAGGCCTTGAGATGGTGACGGCGAACTTTGAACAAATTCTCACGGGTGAAAACACGTGTAAGTATGATTATTAAATTCGAACCAATTTTGGTGCTACTTTTTAATAGGAAGTTACTTACTATGATGTGAGATTAGTGTAGCACGGCCGAACCATGTGTAACATGATTGTTAAAAGTCCTTACACGCTTGTTATGTTTAAGGAGTCGTGGAAGGCTGAAGATGTATATATTTGATAGTTTTAAATAAGGTAATGGGTTGGGACTAAATCCCGAATGCTCGATTCTTGTAATTTCCTTTGTTCGCTCGTAGTTTACGTGTATCTTTTAAAATAGTATATGCCCTGTTGGGATTACACTCCCTATCACTTAGTTATTAGAATTTGGGATTCAAGAAGTTGAGGTCCTAATGAATTATAATGTAAAAATTAAAATGAGAGATATTTTGAAAATAATAAGAAGTTATATGTTATATTTTGTGAGATGAAATAAGTATTTGATATGATCCTGGGACAAGTATTTTACAAAATTTTATAGGTACAACATTCTTATTTAATTTGTATCAACCATTTTAATTAACTGTTTGCTGTTGAGGTAAATTATACTTAAAAAAAAAACTATTGCAAGATATTTATTTTTTATATGTTTGTTTTTAAAGTACAGGCATGATGTATATAATTCAATTTGCCCTTGCTTTGTTATGATCAAATTATACAGATTTTTGAAGACTTACTTCCCTTTAATTAATTGCCTTAAGGAAGATGCTTTGTAATAATGCATACTAACCTCAAATGAGAAAACTAAAGCCTGAAATTATTTTCAATATCAAAATTTTAATAATATATAATTATTATATATAGAAAATATCTTTTGCACTCATACAACCAAACAAATTAGTTCCTTTTTTTTTTTTTTTTTTTATTTTATAACATGAGAACCCGCAAATGTAATACTCTTGAATAACAAGTCTAACTTTTACACCACTTAGACCATAACATGAGAACCAAACGTAATACTCTTGAATAACAAATCTAACTTTCACACCACTTAGACCATCCGTTATGGGACAAACTAATCTCATTTTGTTGATAGAAATAGATCGTATGGCAATGGTATGCAAATCAAAATTAAATATAATGGAGTATTTTATATAAAGAATACATTATATATATAATTTTTAAATAAATATAGATAGTTAATAATATAATATTAAAAATTTATTTTAATTTTATAAATGCAAAAACTTAAAAAAAAAAAATGATTATATACATTCTATAAAAAAAATTCAAAGAAAAAAAATATACTATATAATTTTGTCTGATAGCATAATCATTTTACTAAGTTAAATATTACAGCATATCCTTTTTCCGGGTCGCAGGAGCTCTTCAAGTCAAGAGTCAAGAAGACCCACCAACAGATAAAAAAAGTTCAAAAAAAGAGTAGTATACGTGTAGGCAAAGGGTTTGTTTGATTAGAATTTCATACACAAATCAATTTAAAAGTAGATATTTATTTATAAAATTAAAAAAATAATAATGCCTCCGTCCCATTTAGCCACGAACATATCACTTTCCTTTTTCTTTAAAAGGATTACATATTTTAATCTCATAATTTTAATTAAACTAATTACTTATTTTAATTTTAATTTTAATTTTATAATTTTAATTAAACTAATTACTTATCTTAATCTTAATTTATAATTATTTATATTATAAAATAATTATTTTCATTGTACTAATCACACCCCCTCTTAAAATACCGTATCTTCTACATGTATCTGGGACGGATGGAGTAATATTTTACTTTTAATATCAGTTTAAACAATGCAAACCCTTTGCTATATATATATATATATATTTATTGAGTTAAAAATCAATAATATATTATAGCGTATGTTGAGTGATATTTTAGACGTATATATTTTACTATAATTAAAATCATATCCATTGTAGTGAAACAAAATAAACTACAATAGGATAGTATTAAGAACAATAATGTAATTAGATGATAGAAAAACAGTAACACAGATAAAGCATTGGCCAAATTCTTAGTTAACAACGTACTATAATACCCCTGGAATTCCCAACCCTTCTATTTTTCATTTTTTATTTATTTTTTATGTGGTGAGAAGTAAAGTTTACCATAATAATTTCAAAAAGAACGGTCAGCAGAAGCCTGCATAGTTGTTTAGTTCACCCCAAACCTTCTCCTCAACTTCTTCCCATGACGTTGCTGTCCTCAGCTCTCTCCAGAGTCCGAAAACGGCTCCGAGAACGTTGTCGTCATGCAAAATACAGTAGCACCTGAAAATCCGATAATTCAATTCCGATGGATATATGATGTGCGAATTTGGAGTCGAATGAATATGTACAATTGATTGGAAAGTTCTAAACTTACATGGCGCGGTAGGAGAGTTTTTTGAACCTGCTGTCCTCGACCGACTGTTTGAGCAATTCCCTTTTCAAGAGCGGAAGTTTGTAGCTGCCGAGAAACTGTTTCAGGAGAGTAGGATCTCCCCGGAATACGTCAAGATGTACGGGAATCAGATCGAATATTGGTTCTCCTGCAAAATCGAGATTATGATGATCACAACACTTTCAAAATGACCAATATTCAGCTCAACAACACCGGCCAATTCATTTAGATACACACGTGTGTGTGTGTGTATATTTCCGCATGAATAGGCTATATATAAAATGGATAAAAAGATATTCACATTCCGCTATGGATAAAAATAAAGTGAAGGTATAATGAAAAATTTACTGATAAATTGATAAAAAAAATTAGTAAGTAAAAAAACGATAGTGTCAAAATTGTTGTTCTTTGTTAAAGCAGAGCTGGTAAAATTATAGGTGGACTAAGTGTTTTTACTATAAGTAGAATATGCATAATTTTAAGAGATGTCTCGTCACTTGATCTATAAGGATTTGACTTGATAGTAACATAAGTTGTGAGAACTATATTATATGTTGTCAATTTATGGCAGTATTTTTATCATGTTAGCATAAATCGTGTGTTGTCTGTCGTTATATCATGTTGTACTGATTCAACACCAGAACCGCAGCCATAATGTTCTCATGTTAAGGAAAAGAACTTACCTATGGACAAATCACTGAAATCAAGAATGTGGCTTGGACACCATGACTGCGTCTGGCTGCAGTTAGATTTGCTAAACAATGCATTATCGGGTAGCCGAGGAAAGGGGGCGCTTTCTGCCAATCGAGAAGCCGGGCGGCATGGAGTCATGTATATATTATCATCCATTACATCCGAGTGTATCCAGGTGCACGATCTTCGGAATCCTGTCTCGTCCTTCAAGCGACACAAGTGAATTTAGGATTTTTACAAATATTGAGATGATGATAAAATGCAGACTTGTAAACTTCTTTGAGTTAAAAAAAAAAAAAAAAAAAAGAATTGGTGATCACCTCAAAAATATCTAAAAACCCTGTCAAGTCGAGAGGGATGTAGTCGTCAATTTTCTCAATCAGGTTGCTAGGAATTGGATGGCCCCTGCCGAGATAAAAAGAATTGAAACAAAATCGTTGACGACAAAAAGAGGAAGGCCAAAGAACCAGAAAATATGCAAAGCTTAGTAATCAACATATCAAATTATAGAAAAAGCTGGTACCAATCAACCAATCGCTTTGTGATGTTCTTCCTCCGCTTGTTCAGAATGCTGACAAATAATCTCCGGTCGAATGAGTGAGCCGCACCATGCCCATTAGCGAGGGCCATTTTCAAATGATCTTCTCCGACTGAAAGAGTCGAGTCATCGGGAGATGGCCAGTGCACAGGCAAAAGGTGAATATCACGCAGCTGCTCACCAAGGAAGGAGGCCAAATTAAGTGTATCTGCCGAGGAGAGGGCATCTCTTCTGCAGATTAAACAACGCGAAACGTGATGAGATAATGTCGTGAAATTTATTTCCATCATATTAAAGAATCTGGTTGTATTGAAGTAGGACAACTCACAGTTCAGTAAATATTTTTCCCTCGCATTTTTCTGTCACAATATACGGCCACACCGAGGAGCTCTTCTCACTATTGGTTAATTCGTGTAGTGGCAGCTTCCCAGCTATTTCATGTTCGAAGAGTTTTTTCCCCCAGACTCCAAATGCGTAGTCCACTTCATTATATCTTATTGAGACGGAATTGCTTGTGGTGACTACGTCCAATATGCCTCTACCATCCCAGGGCAAGGCTCTGCGTGATCCATTTTCGTAAATGAGAATCCCACTTGCTAATACGGTAGGGATGTGATTCTTCAGAGAGGAGTTCAGTTTATTCAGTAGATTATGGAACTCGAGCTGCAAAAAATCGAAATATAGATAATCCCACACCATGAAACTGAAGAACAAGAAAGCATTGTATCTACACTACAAGGGAGTAGAGTAATACCTCAGTGCCTAAACAATAAAGCGAAGTTTCCAAGCCTCCTTCGGCAAATATTTTTATCACATAATCATCAACGACATAGACCTGTCAAAATATCATAGAACCTTCTTATCAGTTGATAGTGGAACTCAAAGCTGTCACTTCAAAACATTCTGTATGCCACAGGGGAGCATCAAATTTAGGGAAAAACTTACAGGATTGCTGCCTGTGCCAACAGGAAGTTTCTCATCAAGCCGAGGGGCAGGTAATTTGTGAAATGCACAAATTTCTCCCGCACGTTCAAACCATTTTTCAGCATTGAGCGCTAGACAGGCCCCCTGTGACATAAAGCAGAAGTGGTGGAAATTCAGTCAATATTATTATTGAAACCTCAAAATTATTATATGTGGTGACATCTGGATGCGTCTATTCATCAATTAATAAGAAAGAAGAAATTTAATCATGAGAGACATAAATCACAAGCCTAATCCGTGGGCAATATTTGATCTTTGAGCTACACAGAAATCAACCGTAAGAAATTAAAAATCACAACAAATTTTGCACATTAGATGTTACTATCCTTCTTCCAAATGAATTTTAATATCAATGTGTTACTGGAAACCATGTGTTGTACAAAGACATTTCAATTATAAGTTTTAACCTAATAAAGTTCACATAGCTTTCCAGCATCTAGATCCCAAGCTGTCTCCCACCAGGTTATAAATTTAATTAGTAATTCAGTTCAACTAAATTGAAACTTCCAACCACATCTAACAACAAAAAAATGAAAAAGAAATTATATACCTTCCATACTAGGTCTCTAAGTTCTGGTCTTCCAACCCAGAGTTTCCATAACCAATCTCGCATTTCTCGCTGTCCCATGGAGTTTCCAGAGCTCCACAATGAAGTATAGTGGTCCTTCTCTTTATCCAGAAACATGGATAGGAAATTAATATCATAAGAATATTCTAAATCCTTCAAATCATCACGTGTATCCATATTTGTTACATTCTCAGAGACTGCATCCTCTAGGGACTGGCACATCCGGACCCTCTTCTCTTTCCTAGTTAAATCAGAGTCATGCTTAACAATATCATTATAGGAAACCTCATCAAGAGCAAGAAACCCTGCACGGCAGACGCCTTTATGAAGGTGCCCAGGAGCCATGTCCAAGCATACATATTCAAAGTTTTTGGAGTTGACAAAATTTTGTGTGACTGCAATAGTGGTCTCCAAATTCAACACACAATGCCACCACCCAGTTGGAACATATATCGTTTCTCCTGGCATTTGGGTACACTCTATTGGTTTGTCTTCGGGGCCCAAAAGGGGATAAAAATCCAGCCACCACTGAGAGATATCATGGCTATGGAGTTACAACAATGAAGTGTGGGGGAAAAAACAAGGGAGCAGAAAATGAAACTTTCATACAAAGCAATACCTGCAAAGATGATGGACTATCCACATTGACATCACCATCATCTTCATTTACATGCACCGTCACTCCTAAAGGAACACGTCCTGGAGGATACAAAGCCCACCTAGATAAAAACATTACATTACATAAATATATAGCACAAACATAATAATAAAACATACAAAGGAATATCTGCACAAACAAAAAGTTGCATAGACCAGGAAAAAAACATGATTTGTTAATAAATTTGTGAAGAAATCTGCATGACACTTTAATACAGGATATCTCAATTATATTTGGCACTCAATTATTTTTTTAATATATAACTAAACTAGCATAGGACAGGGCACACGAGACTAGAGGAACAAAGAAAATCATAGCATATTATACAACAATGTATGTTACTTATTTGCAAGCACTACTTAGTAACCACACATGCTGTTATTGGCTAGATGCAAGTTTCAAGCAAAGTTTGCCAGTTTTACCTTTTACGGCCGGAGAGAAGCGTGTTCCATGCACTGGTTAGACCTGGATCAACATGCCACGAGGCCCCAGATCTCTCTGGTCCAATTATAAGCCACCTAAAAGGAGGTCGATGATCAATATCCAGTACATCAAAATAGTCTTCTTGAAATAGTTGGGGCACACTGTAATCCTTCAACAAGTCTGGTGCTGCTTCCCCAAACTGCATTAGTATAATTCCATAGGTGTACAATTCAACACACAAACCAAAACTTCATTTTGATAACAGGAAAACAGGCACACCTTATCGTCAAAAATGTATAGAGGATCTTCATCACGTTGAAGTTGTATGTATGAATTATAATCCTTAAACTTCATGTTTATTTTCTTTGAACTCCTTTGTGATATACCAAACTTTGTATCTGCATACTTCAGCAAGAACTCTTCACATGTCCATGATTTCCTTGCAGACCAATTATCTGCTAATCCATCAATCATAACCTGACATATAAGTAGCATTTGTCAAATAATAGATCACATTGTTATCAAAACCTCTAAGCTCACAAATCACCAGTCCAGATCTAAAGAATTGTCATGTGAATTTTTCATCAGTTATCCTTGTAGATGAAAACCTAAAACTTAATATCATAATCTGAAGCTTCTAAAAAAAATCTTTTCTTTTTGTGTGTGTGTGGATCAAATCAGAAAAGGCACCGCCATATTTGAATTCAGGAGCACTAATTATCAAGAAGCAAAGGTATAGCCATTTGAAGATGAAGTTAAACCATGTTGAGCATGCATTATAAATAACCTTGGGAAAATAACAATAGTAACTACATAAACAAGTAAAAATAAGTTTCTCAGCATAGTTGACAATTAAAAATGTGTTTCCCAACATAGTTGTTGCGTATATTGCTAACATACTGGTTTTTGACCATCATAATCCTTATGGAACTCTTCCAATGAGATGTTCTCCCTTCTCTCGACATTTCCATCATCAAAGTAAAATTCCTTTAATGTCGTATTACATCTATAGAACCTTCTGTAGAGAAACAATGAATTGAATCCTGCATAAGTGTATCAAGTATTGGCATCAGACCAATGATGATATAATCCTCGAACAAAATATCAAAACAGAGATTCTTTAAATAAATACCATCAAAGTACAGAGTTTGTTTTGGCGGAGCTTCGGTATATTTGTGTAGCAAATCTAATCTGAAATCATTTGAATACAATGAAAGCAATCAAATTCTCTGTATATTAATATAAAAACTTTATATTATTAATTATTCGAGAGAGAGAGGGATCAAGAATTTACTGGTGCAAGGCAGATTTCTTCCACGATCCTTTGTACTCCAGATCACGAATCACAACACTAAGGCACAGAGTCATCCACAGTGGCTCCTCGTTGCACAATATATACATCACACTATACCCAAAAAAAAATAAGGAGAAGAAGAAACAGATGCGTCAAGGCATATAAAAATGAACTAGGATAGACCACCATTAGAGTGATATTTGGTTGAAATTAGAAGAAGACAATGGGTGTGTTTGATTGTACTTTGATCTTCCTTTTACAGAATTATATTTTTTTTCGAGCTAAAACACATCACATAACAAATCAAAACTTTCCACTCAAATCCAAATCAATGTTTACCTATATGAAATGTGGATAGCTCATGTTATGATTTATAATATCAATTAGATGAGAGCTAAACATCAAAGATTCATAATACTACAGCTTATAGCTAACTTTCCCATGCTGCAGTTCTTTTCTTCACTATGCAACAAATGAGTCCCCCAAAATTTACACGATTTAGATGTGAAAACAGTGCTAAAAATCTCTCCTGATGGAACTAAAAAAAAAAAAAAAAACACTAAATCAACTTCCACTTGGTAAAACCATAATATAATCAAGCTCAGTTAGCAAATGCTAATTCTAAGATCACAAATCACCCTTCATTCACATCGCCATCCATGATTGAATTGCAGTCAAAAGATGGAAAGCACAAACTAAATAAGGAAAACAAACAATTGACCAACGATATGCCGAGAATTGCACCTGCTAACACAAGAGAGGCGCGCGACATCGAGAGGCGTGAGATTCGCCAATATAATACACAAAACTTCATCCGGAAGAACACGGAGGTCACCTAGAGCCTCCGACCGGCGATCTCCGGCCAATACCTCCGGACGCAATTCACCGAAGCAGGAATCCATCTATCCAATACAAACCCCGTTCGAAACTCAATTGAGAGCACCCTCCCAACGTAAAAACCACGCTTAGAATTTATGTTGCTTCGGAGTCGGAACGGGAGCGATGCAATTTCGAATCTCCAGGAAACGCGACTTTAGAATCTGACACGTCGATGATAACGATTTTAGGTTTATTTGGTTTCTTAAGCGTGTCAATAAAGCGTGGCGAATGTGTCACGTTTTAATGGTAGTACCTCCTTCTCGTTATATATTTAATTTTATTTTAAATTTTTTAAATTTAATTAGATTAATTAATTATTTTAATCCTATTTTTAATTTTTTTTATACTATAATTATTTTTATTAATATATTTTAAATTATTTACTAATTATATAATTTAGTGTTAACTGTAAAATTGACATAATAGTCCGGGAGGTGTGCTTATTTTGTGGGATTTTTGGAAAATAAATTTTTTATATGATATATAGAGAATTGTATATGAAATATAAAAATAATGAATTTATGTAGTGTATTATTCCTTCCGTCCTCACATAATTTGTCTCTATTTTCTATTTTCGTTTGTCTCCTTTCTATTTTTTGAAATATAATTATACACTTTAATCGCATTTTAAATTTTAAATTTTATAATTTTCTTAATTTTAATTAAACTATTTACTTATTTTAATCTTAATCTAGAATTATTTTTACTAAATAATAATTATTTTTACTAATACACTTCTTAATTACTTACTAATTATATTTTACCTCAATTCTCGTATCTACGGTAATACACCCATATTACATACATTGGACGGAGGGATTAATATTTTTTTTTAGGAAAACGTGTGGAAACAAACTTTGAAAGAACAAAGCTATGGTCATAATAAAATTTAAATTATTGGGTTTGTTTATTTGTGGTGGTTTGAGAGTTTGGATTTTAAATTGAGATTTGAATATTAAAAATTTTAAATTTAAATAGTTATACGATGGGATATAAATAAGTATTGATATAATATTTTGAACGTAAAATTCGTTTTAAATATAATATATAAAAAAATATTTTATTTAATATTTTTTAATATATAAAAAATATAATTAGTAAGTAATTTTTAAAAAAATTAATTATATATTAAGATTAAAATAACTAAATAATTAAATTAAAATTTAAAAAATTATAAATTATGAAATTTAAAATGCGATTAAAATATATAATTATATTTAAAAATAAAAAAATTATGTAAAATAGACCAAAAAAAAAAATATATGAACAATTTATGTGAAACCCATGATTTATTTATATGTTAAAAGATAATGTAAATGCATATAACACTAAACATTTTATATTCCTTCAAAGTTATGTGTTGACAAGCTATATTTTATGTAGGGATGTCAAATGGGGCGGGTTAGCTCCGGATCGCCCCGGATCCGCTCTGCTGGTTCAGGTCTAAATAATATGTTTCGGAGTGGATTGTGGATTTAAAAATTTAAATTCGGCCGAGTTCGGGGTGGGTTACAGATTTTACTAAAAATCTGCCCCAACCCGGACCCAAACCCGGATATTTTTTAAATTATTATAACTAATATATATGTACATTTATATAATAAAAATATATTATTTATTTACTTAAATAATTTTAAATATAAAATTCAATTAGTCACCTGCTCCAAATAATTTTTTAAAATTATTATACCTAATATATGTATATTTATATAATAAAAATATATTATTTATTTATTTATCTTATTTTTATGGATCAATATTTGATTGTCTTTAGAATTTTATTTTTTTTTGTGTGTTTTTAATGCTATTTATTTTAGTATTCGATTGTTAAAAAAATATTTATTATTATATATTTACAAAAAAAAAAAACGGATTTGCCGGGTTGGCCCCGAACCCGAATGTTTCGGGGCGAGGCGGGTCCTGGGCCGGGTGGAAGCGGGGCGGGCGGGTCTCGGAACCTAATATTTTCTAACGGGACGGATCTCGAAGCCTAATATTTTCTAGCGGGGCGGGTCTCGGAGCCTGCAAAACCCGTCCCAAACCCGCCCCGTTGACATCCTTAATTTTATGTGGTATACACAACGCTCATTAATTTAAATCAATATTCTAACTAAACAATAAAATCAAACAAAGACAAAACATTTGGTAGTTGAAAGATAAAACATGATGGGAAGTAAGTACTAGTAGTTGTGCACATTATAGTTGACACTTAGAGATATTTCGGTACAATATATCGAAAAAGATTGAGTTATATTTTATATCATATCAAATTTTTTGGTACTTTCAAACAATATGTCACACAAATACGAGTTTCGATCGACGTTTGTTCAGTGCGCACTTTTAATATCGGTTTGTAATTTATGGTAGCTGACGTAATTTATGGTCATAATGACATTAATAAATATTATTTTTAATGGTGGTTATAATTAATATATTTAATAATAATTTTAATTATAGTTAATTACACTAAAAAAGGATAAAATTTTATCTAATAGTCTTCACCTACGATTTGAGCCATTACAATTCGGACTTTACTTTGGATTTCGAATCGTATTCATCTCGAGACTGAATAAATATCTTTTGGATGACTATAAGGCTTTTTATTGATTGAATAATAAATTAAAAAAAAATAATTTTCCATAATAAATTTCATTAATTATTTTAACTAATTTATCAATAGATATTCTACTATATCTTACATGTATATATTGATTTTTTATTACTCTCTCTTGTCAACTTTAATACTTATATATATTTTTTGTAAGTAGGTTAAGAAATATTAATATTTTATTATTAACAGAACATATATATAGTAGTATAAAAATTAAGTTGTTTTTATTTTTAAATGTAAATGAATAATAAAGTGTAGTAACACGATAAATATATATATATAAATTAATAGTTAGTGATAGAATCTACCTTTATTAAAAAGAGAAATGTAAATATTTAATTGGATGGAGAAAAATAAAAATATGTAAACCTTTGAAGTAGACAAAAATTATTTTTTATTTTTTTTACTATTTGTAAATGATGATATGGTGGTATCAATATTTTTGGTTTAAATTTTGACGTTTTTCAGATCTTATCTGCCACATATGATTTTCAGTGACAAAACTAACATCTAAATTATGGGGGTAAAATATTATAATTTATTTAATATTTAACTAATAAATTTAAATAATTAATAATGACAAAATTATATATGAATTTAAATAATTTTGAGAGGTAATTTATATATAAATATATAAAAATTAATATTTTTAATATTAAAAAAATTATAAAAAATTTGATTTTGGATCAATTGACCCTCAAACCCTAGTATAGTTTTGTCCCTCGTGGTTCTCCTTCCATGATTTGTCTAACCAAACTTAATTTTTTAGACTATTAAATTCGATCGATCTGAATCACAGCCGAAAAATAGCGCCAGGCAAACTCTCAAATTATTTATTTTTTAAAAAAAAACACGCATCTATTCCTATTATTATTAATTATTATTATTATTATTATTATTCGCTGGAATGAATGTACTGTCAGCGTGGGTAGCGCTAAAGCGACGCAGCTGTCACAAAAATCACACAAAAAAGCCACAAATCCAAAACATTATACAGCAAATCAAATCAGCCTGTTTCCCTTCCAACTGTAGGTTCGCTGTCACTCTACCCGATCCTTCTTAAATTTCTTCACCCTCGCTCACGCACTCCACACCAAATCGCAACTTCCCAACCGCCGCCGGCCGCTGAACTCAGATTCCAAGTTCCAATGGACGCGCCGGAAGACTTACCTAACAACTTTCCAACAATATTTTGATTTGACGATCAAACTCCGATCCAATCAACGATGTCTCAACACCATTACCGATCGCCGTTCGGAGACACGACGCTTACCAAGGTCTTCGTCGGAGGTCTCGCCTGGGAAACTCCGACCGCCGTCATGCGCGGTTATTTCGAGCAGTTTGGAGAGATTCTAGAAGCAGTCATCATCAACGATAAGGATACAGAGAAATCCAAAGGATACGGATTCGTAAGCTTCTATCGTTTCCACCGCCATTAATTCTTCCGCAAAACATAAACATCCATATCTATGTATATATGTAATTCGATCAATACTTCTTCGATTTCTAATTCAATAACCAAATTAATCGACGCAGGTAACGTTTGGCGATCCTGAATCCGCTCGGAGAGCTTGCGCCGATCCGAATCCGGTGATCGACGGTAGAAGAGCCAATTGTAACATTGCTTCGTTGGGAAGAAGACGACGTCGTTTGTCTTCACCTAGAGGTTCCTTTCTCATTCCTAATTTCTAATGCATCATTACCATATAATTAATTAATCAATTCATTGTGAAAGCATATAATTAAACTAAATTACAGGAAGAAATCACGCCGGAAGCTTACATCAAGGAGGCCTAACGGTGGCGCCGCCGCAGGCTGGATCACCGTCTTCATACTCGTATCCGGTGCTATCTCCACCTCCGGCATCGCCGGCGGTTATTTATCCACAGTACGGGTAAGTATATATATATATATATTTATATATATCGCAGCCTGCTGTTAAATTAACAATCAGAGGGAACGTTTCTTAGCAAGTCCATGGACCATTGGTCCTGAAGCAAAATTACCGTTAGCATGATTATAGCAAGAACCTACATCCCCGGACTTGCTTAGATTCAGTACAGCCGTATGTTTGTTTTGTGTTTTGATATATATATATATATATATATATTTATGTAAATTCCGAAAATTTGTATAAATAATATAAAAATAAAAAATGTATTTAATATATTTATTTTTTTGAACAAACATATTAGAAAAATTTTATCTAAAAGAACAAACAGGATTTTTACTGATTTTGTATGACAATTCAGGATAATAAAAATATGAATGCATGTTACATAGTGAATTTTGAAAATCAGCACACTGTAAAATACAAAAATAATACATGCATTTATTACATACAACACATATTATATAATAAATAAATATATGTGTTGTTTGTTTATAATTAGAGTATATCACGTGCTAAAATCAATTATATATAGTATGTGTTATGTGATACTATATTATGTAATGTTAGGTCATGTATTGTATTTGTATTATAGTAATATATATTGTGTGTTGTCTGTAGTAATACCGTGTGTGTCCGATAGCACGCTGTGACCTATTTAGTACAGTGCTTTTTATATTCAGTAGTTTAGCCGCCTATATATATATATATATTTGTATATTAATGAATCTTGGTTTTCAGGTACTCAGCATACCCATCTGATTACACTTACCATCAGGTTTAATTTGTTCAATTTTTTTTTTTAATCAACAAAGTAAAATGATACAATAATTATTTTCTTCATAAATTCATATTTAACAATATTACATATAATTCTTGTGCAGGCAATATATTATAATCAGGTGTATGGCGGTTCACCTGCACCATCATCTTCATCATCACCATCATCATCCATGGCAACTCCATATCTCCATGGCTATTCCACACCTCCGGCGCAGCATATCCAAGGAACTCCTTATCTTTACTATCCTGCGCAGATGGGGTCTTCCTCCTTAACCTACGCCCCTCACCCTAATTTCATATTACAACCAATGAGGATTCCTCCATTCACTTCACCCTCAACAGGTAATTATTTAAATACTCTCTCAATAAAGTTGGAATAAAGTCTTTAAAAAAAAAAATTAAATTTGGGTTTTTATAAGCATTAATTTTTTATTATTATTTTGCTTCTTGAGTAAATTTATTTGAAAATAATTTGAATTATCTTATATTTACAGGTGATACATATTCATGCATTATATATAAAATTTTATGTAACATTTTTTTTTAATGAATATGTGAGTGTTACTCAAAGATGTATGACTACTAAAATGCTGACAAATAAGAGAAAATCAACCTAAAATAACAAGAAATATTTTTTACAATACTAAAATTACATTTTCTCTTAAATTAGTTCGTTGCTTTTTATTATTACTATTATTCTCGAGATTGATAACTATAGTTATTTGTCTTTAATTGAATTGTGCTTGTTTGAAGTTCCACCTGAATTTGTATGAAATTTTTTAGTATTTGTTATTTCCTCCGTCCCTTTAATAATTTATCTATTTTTTCATTTTGTCCGTCCCATAACAAAATATCTATTTTTTTTTTAATAATTGTACTATTTATCTAACGTTACAAATACCCTTCCAATTTACAATATATTACACAAATGTCATTATATTTATATTATACAATATTAACAGGGTTAATTTAGTCTTTTTACCTTTATTTTTATTTTATCCTAATATAATACTAATATTTCTAAAACTCCGTGCAAAAAAACAAATTGATATATATAGATATAGAACGGATAGAGTATTATAGAAAAATTATATGTGATCAACATGCGTTCAAGTGTGATATAGAAAATTTTGAAAATTTTAAAATATAGTATAGAATTATAAATTTGATGTGAAATTTTATGAGATGAAATTAATATTTTATGTGTGTTTCTTTTATTTTTTGTTTCTTTTATTTTTTATTTTTATTTCTTTTACTGTTGATGGATATATAGTGTCAAAACTTATAAAAATATGTATTTAATTATAACCTTAAATAAAAACTGGACATTGAATATTATAATGTTTTGAATAAAAAAGTCAAGTTGAAAAACATGAGTAATGAAGGCCTTCATTTTTTTTTTGGTTGTTATGTCTAAGATTTGGACATGTAAAAACGATGTTTAGATTGAGAGTTTTGAAGTTTTAAAAACAATAAAAAGTTTGATGTCTGATATAATAATTGTTTTAAATAAAAAAAAAATTATGATTAATAAATAGCTTTAAAAAATATAAATAAACAAAGTCTAAAATTTATTTACGGTTGGTGCAATAGGGGCATTTTTCTTTAGGATTGGTTTGATAAAATTTGTTTTAAATTTGATATTAAAATACTATTTGATATAATATTTTGTAAAAAAAAATATACTTACTTTTAAAAACTATAAAATTCAAATAATAAAAGTAGAGAGATTTATGTTAAAAAAAAAAAAAAAAACACTTTTTTGTAAAATTTGTTAGAGCATATAAATTAATGTGGGGTGTGGAGAGGTGAGAATATTAATTGTAGAGTGCATTGTAATGAAGTCAGCAGGTGAGATGAGCTGTAGAAATTATTATACGAGAATGGTCCACCCTGGCCTGCCAATTGCCATAATATATATATATAGATACATGGATGGGGATAGGAATTTATGCATGCCAGAAAGACATGTGCTTTACAGACACATATATATATATATACACACACTCTCGGTCCTATATATATCCATTTGTTTTTTTTTTTTTTTTTTTTTTTTTACGGAGTTTTAAAAATATTAGGATAAAGTAAAAATAAATGTAAAAAGACTAAATTATTCTTATTAATACTATACTCTCTCCGTCCACAAACTAATGTCCTAGTTTCTTATTTGGAACGTCCAACAACTATTGTCATATTTTCTTTTTTAAACACAAATTTTACATTTTTACCCTTCATTCATTTATTACTTTTAATCTCTACCATACACTTAAGGGCAAATTTGTCCATTCATAACAAAAAGACAATCACCTAAAAAACCGTGTAAATATACTTTAAGACAATAGAAAATAGACGGAGGAAATATGATATAAAGATAATGACATTTGTGTAATATATTATAAATTAGAAGAGTATTTGTAATGTTAGGTAGGTGGTACAATTACTAAAATATGAAATGTATACTTTGTTATGGGACAAACCAAAATGAAAAAAATAGATAAATTGTTAAGGGACGAATGGAGTATTAATTTGACGAAATTAGCAAATTATTACATGATAAATAACATATTATTAAGTTAGCACATCAAAGTAAAATAATTAGTAAATTGTTACAAAACAGATAGCGTATATTGTATTATATAATATATTATATATTATAGTATTATTTGTTACTTTCTTTATAAATATTTTGTGATTAGATCAAATTACTATTGTGCTGAATTTAAAATATATTTTGTTATATATAATTATATGATATATTATTTACATATATGTTTAATATTATATCAATATGTGTTATTTTTTAATAAACATTTGCTAATTGAGTCAAATAAATACATACTAGTTTTACTCAATCGAAATGTATATTTGCTAAACCGAAACGTATATTTGGATTAATATATGTTTCTTTTGATAAGTTTGGTAAAATTATGGTTTGAGTTTGGTATTAAAATAATGTTTGATGAGATGTTTTGTGAGAAAAAAAAGTGTATACTTCCCTCCGTCTTTCATAGTTTGTCCCTATTTTCTATTTTCGTCCGTCCCACATAATTTGTCCATTCATTCTTTAGAAATATAATTATACAATTTAATCTCATTTTAAATTTTAAATTTTATAATTTTTTTTAATCTTATTTAAACTATTAAGTTATCTTAATCTTAATCCACAATTATTTTGATTATACGATAATTATTTTTACTAATACACTTCTTAATTACTTAATAATCACATTTTACCTAAATTCTCGTATCTACAGTAATAGGCCCATAATACATGGGACGAATGGAGTATTTTTTTTTTAAATGCAGAGTTCAAATAGTAAAATTTGAGAAATTTTGGGTAAAGAAACATATATGTCTATAATATATTTTATGTCTGGGTGAAGATAGTCTTTATTAACAGCTTTATTTGAGAATAGACTGGTGATGGAAACCGAAAAATTATATATATATATATATGGGAGAAGTATAATTCGACTTCGTTATTGTGTTGATTTGAAGAATATTTTTAAAAAATTCGGATTAAATGTATATATTTTTAGTACAAATAACAGTGTGCTCCGATAATTAAAAATATTCGTTATTTGTTTATTTTCTAAACTAATGCACTATAAGTCTATAACATTATGTCTAGTACTCTATAGAAGTATAATCAGTGTTATACTTCCTCCGTCCACGGATAAAGTATACATTTACTTTTGGCGCGATGTTTAAGAAATAATAGTATTTTAATTATAGTGGGTAGTTAAAAGTAGTGTAATGACATTTTTGCCCTTGCTTTTTGATACAAAAGTGATGATGTGATGTAAAGTAAGGGTATTTGTGGAAAAAAATGAGGTATTTAATGAAATGTTTACTTTATAATTGGACATCCCAAAATAGAAATGTGTATACTTTCTAACTGGACAAAGAAAGTATATAATAAAAATATATCTGGTATTTTATAGAAGTATATTTGATGTTTTATCTAGTATATTATTGTTAGTTCCCCGAATAACATTGATTCCAAAATCCATAAAACACCGATCAAGATTTTAGAATACATATGTTTCAAATATCGTACATAGCTAGAGTTTTGTTGAACTAACTAGTAAAATAAATAGAAAAGAACAATTTATTAAACAAATAATATTAGAGGTCCTTTTCTTGTATTATTATTATTATTATTAAAAGAATTTATTTATATTTAAAATATTCAGTTGGTTTTGCAGGTGAAACATTGATAGAAACAGAGGCTGGACCTGGTACAACTTCATCGACAAATTCTTCTACTAATTGAGACAGACTAGACACGATTTATTCATGCAAATTATATATATATATATGTAAAATAATTAGTAGATATTTATTTGCATTTGTTCTGTCCAAAAACTTGTACCTTATTTAACCATTCTTTTGTCTTCTCTTAAATATTGGAGGCTTATTTTTTAATAAGTATTATATTCAATCTTCGTATATTAATTAATATGAATATATATATATATATATCTCAGTATTTGTAGGATTTTTTATTTTCTATTTAAACTGCCCATTATGATCCAGGTCGAAGTGTCTAAAAGCTCTAACAATATTGATTATTTTGAACCGAAATTAAAATATTTGTCCAATAAAATTATAAATTTAACTCGAAGATCCATCAAAATCCAAGAAAAAACTTTGACACGCCAAGAACCATGTAATCGGATTCAAACAAGACATCTTACAATTCATAACTCGCCACAAATCCAAAACATTCATCGATGGAACAAAAAGAAAACACACGAACAAACGGTTTGTGATAAATCTTATCGAAAAAAAACTTACATTGCGATTGGAATAAGCTCGTTGGGATTGGTTTAGCTTCAAGTGACGGAGACACGTCGGAAAAACCCAAGAGGATCGATCAAACTTTCAAGTGTGTTTTGATTCAACCCACAAACATATATGTATATATATATATATATCAATGGCTAAATATTAATCCTTATTTGAATCAATTGGAGGATCGTATCTTGAGTTAAATGGGTTGTGGATCAAGTTACACGGGTTTGGATTGTGGGTTTCAGATATAGGTATTTAAACCCACCAAATCTTTTACATGTTTAATATGTTGAGGTGCAAATCCAAATCTTATATTGAAACATGTAAAGAAAATATAATATTTTATAAGTTTTACATAAATTCTACTAGTAGGAAGCTTTTTGGAGGAAGTCCAAAAATAAATTTGTACAAGTTCAACTCAAAGCGAACAATATCATGCTAATGTTTAGTAGATCTAGTCCCAACAGGGGTATCAGAGGTCGGTTCGATGGTGAGGTGGACTGAATAGTATTGGATATTGATTGTAGTTGTGGAAAGCCCTCGTGACCTGCGGATGTGTCTTGTGTCGAAAGTCTCATAGCATTGGATCAGTCCTGAGAGTTGTAGTAGGTCAGGAAGCGGGTTCATTTATGATAGGCGGTGCAAGATGGGTAGGAAAAACCCATAGGTTAGTCCTTGGATTGCAAGTGTCATATTGGAAGATGTGAAGAAAATATAACACTTTATAAGTCCCACATAAACTCCACTAATATAATGCCTTTTTGAGAAGTACAAAAATAAATTCGTGCGAATTCAACCCAAAGCATACAATATTATACTAGTGTTGAATTGACCTAGTCCCAACAGTGGTATCAAAGTCTAGTTCATTGGTAGAGTGGGGTGAGTAGCATCGGGCATTGATGAGAAGCCTTCGTGATTCGCAGAGGTGTCTTGCGTCGAAAGTCTTCTGGCATTGGTCAATTAGACGGTCAAGGAGAGGCCTCTCATAGGTTGATCTTGGGTTTGAAAGGAAAATTGTTGGGGTGCAAATCAACATTCCACATTGGAATATTTGAAGAAAAATTCACACTTTAAAGTTTCAAATAAACTCTACTAGTATGAGGTCTTTTTTATGAAATTAAAAAACAAATCCGTGCAGGCTCAGCCCAAACCGAACAATACCATACTAATGTTGAGTTGGCCCAGTCCCAAAATGGTATGAGAGTTCGGTTCGTTGGTAGAGTAGACTGGGTAATATCCCATATTGATTGTGGTTGTGGGAAGCCCTCTTAATCTGCAGATGTGTCTTGAGTCGAAAGTCTCCTTCCATTAGTCGGATGGACGGTCGGTCCCGACAGTGGTGGTCAGACAGCAGGTCCCTTTGATAGGGGATGCAAGGTAGGCATAGGAGACCCATATCTACGATGCAAGGTAGGCATAGGATGCCCATATCTACCTATATATATATATATATATAATTCATTGCCTATTTTGTGGGTGGCTGCTTCGTGTTTGTTTATGATCTGATTTATTTCTTTGGCAAATCTCACATTTTGTATTAGAGTCTGGCATAACTTGGTACAAACGGTACATGCCCAAATATCCTAGGTTCAATAGGATGTCGACTGTTTCGCAAGGTGCGGGGGTGAAAGATAGCGTCGGAGTATCGTTTACTATCCCTAGTTAACGTCGACAAATTAGACAAGTTAGTCGATCAAAGTTGAGGCAATCATGGAAACCCAAGGAGTTTGGGAGCTATTGAACTGACAGAAGGACATCCGGTGGATGCAAAAAAGGATAAGGCGGCGAGGACATTCCTTTTCCGCTCCCGGAAGACCTATTATTGCATGTCCCACCGAAGAAGACTGCAATGGAGGTTTGGGAGAGTTTGAAAACCAGGTTCATCAGAGCGGATCGCATCGAGAAAATTAAAATAGTGATCTCCGAATAATTTTCCGTAAAATTATTTTTGATTGAAGATGCCTTGGATTTTCATAGAGATCGGGTACTTATAACCAACATTTTATGACAATTTGGACTCTTGCACTTTGTAAGAAAAACTGTAACAATAGATTTGACAATTTGAATTAGTCGATGTTAAAGCATGAAAAATTCGACCATTTGGGCCAAAAATGAGGATATATGATTCCTAAGGTTAATTAAAATTCTCTTTTTTTTTTTATCATTTTTTTGTTGTGATGGTGGAATATTATACATTAACAGATATATTTACTTTAATTAGAAATAATTTATTTATCATTAGGGACGGAACTACACTAGGGCTTAGGGTCAATTTGACCCTCCCAAGCCAATTTTTTTATAATTTTTTTAGTATTAAAAATATTAATTTTTATGTATTTATATATAATTTGCCCCCAAAAACTATCTAAGTTCATATATAATTATATCATTATTATTTATTTAAATTTATTAGCTAAATATTAAATACATTATAATGCCCCCGATATTTAGATGCTAGTTTCGTCACTGTTTATGATGAATTATATTTTCATAAAAACCACCGTTGAAGAAACCGTGTCTTCTGAAAATACAACAACTTAATTGATTTTGAATTTGTAATTACAAATTTAAAATAGTTTATAATAGTTTTTTTTTTTTTTTCAATCCAAAATCAAGATAATCTCAATTACTCATAAAGCAATCTTATTAGCCTATTAAATATATAATTAAAAAAATGCATTTTAATTATATATATATATATAATTTTACCATTTTATTTTGTGTCTGACATAATTTTCTAAATTATACTCCTTCCGTCCCATTTTAAGGCGTCTTTTGGGTTTGGTAAGTAGATTAAGAAATAATATTATTATTTTATTGCTTAGTAGACAACATATTTTAATATTTTTGTCATTTGATTTTATATATAAAATAATTTATACCTCGAATGATATATTTATAATTTATAAAAAAAAATAAAAAATATTTTGGCATTAGTATATAAAAATAGTATTTTGAGTTGGCACGAGAGGAGGGAAAAGTATTTAAACTATAAAACAGTCCAAAATGATGCATAAATAAAGAAAAATTACAAAAAAAATAAATATTCAAATTAAAAATAATAGTAGAAGATTTGAGACAAAATGTAATAATATAGTATTATTTTATATTATTTTATTGTTACGGTGGAGAGTGACATGTAAATATAAGATAAAAATGCCAACCATTGAAGAATAAATGTTAGTGAAAAATAGAAGGCCTTATTAAACACCAAGTAACTGAATTTTCATCAAAATTTAGAAGCACTGAAAAGGGCTCATATTAGTAATTTCCTATATATAATTTAATTATTATTTTATTTATTTATTTATTTATGCAATATATAAAATCTGTTGAGCAATTGTTATTTTATACAATTTGCATAGCTGGCTGGTAATCACTTCAACACATTTATGTTTTTATCTAAAATAAAATAAATGACAAATTTCAAAATATTTCATATATATATATATATAAATATATTATTATTCTCTAAAATTAAATTAAAATAAAAATTGCATTTATCATTTTTGTACAAATCCCAATTCCTCAAGAAAACATTAATTTCCATTAAAGGGAATAATTGGCTACATCAAAATTGCTACACATACATAAACATTTATGTATTATTAATTGCTTTTATGTTTTCCTTTTGTTTTAATGAGAAATATTCACTGAATAAAAATTATTATAATTTTAACTAATTTTAGTTTTGCTCATACGCCAAGACTTGACTTAGAAGTTATTATTTAAGAGTCAAATTAATTTTCAACCACTTTCTATATTTAATAAAACCACTTATCACTTATATCTGATATGATAAATACACACTTGATTAATTCAATCAAATTTGTGTTATAGCAATATATGTACACATTACTCTTAATAATAATAATAATAATAATAATAATAATGGAAAATAATCATTTTTAGTCTCAATATAACCAAATTTCATCAATTTTGGTTCCAATATAAAAATCTTATCAATTTTGGTCTCAATATAACTAAAACTCATCATTTTTAGTCTCAATATAAAATTTTTATCAATTTTAGTCTCAATATAACAAAAATTCATCATTTTTTGTCACAGTATAACCAAACCTTATCTTTTTTAATCCCACCGTCAACAAACCGACGAAAAATATTGACGTGAAAAGAAATCAAACCTTATATTTATATTTGAAGAAATTGCACAAACTTGCAAGTCCACGTCAGCATTTTCCATCGGTTTGTTGACGGTTGGTCCAAAAAAGATAAGGTTTGATTATATTTGGACAAAAAAAATGATGAGTTTTGGTTATATTTGAACTAAAATTGATAAAAATTTTATATTGGGACCAAGAAGGATGAGTTTTGGTTATATTGGGACCAAAAATGATGAGTTTTGGTTATATTGAGACCAAAATTGATAAAAAATTTATATTGGGACCAATCGATGAATTTTGATTATATTGGAACCAAAAATAATTTTTTCCCTACAAATAATAATAATAATAATAATAATAATAATAAGGGCATGTACTAATATTATTTAATTTTCATGTCTTCAAGTATTTTTTGTTAGAAAATAATGATTATATGGTTCATAGTATGAAAATGGTGTTGAACATAAATAAAATTGAATATATATATATATATATAGCTAATTCTCTCAATTTCGGGAATGGTTAAGGTGCTTCGAATTAATCTTCATCAACACATAAAATATAAGTATCGAGTACGATTTTAATTAAGACATCATGTAGGTGCAAGTGGAGGTATGCGAAACTTGCACGTGCATATGTGCACAAATGGGAGCGAGCTCTGATACCATGTCGGATATTGAATGACCGTCTTACCTAAAAGTTCGAACTGTTGGGGAAACTTAGTCATTAATCATATATCCGCAAACATAAGTCCCAACAGTTATTAATGGTTTGTTAATTTTGTGAAGAATTTTAATATATTTTGAAAAAAATAATTAATATATTACACGTATTTATTATTTTTATATTATCTACACAATTTCTTATATTTTACATTATAAAAAAAAATAAAAATCATTCAAATCAAGACACAAAACAAACCCTAAAACAATCTATATGCAGAAGTATAACATTACTTGCTATGTTCCACTTGAATTATGTCAAAAGATTTTTTTTATAGTAAATTAAAAAAAAATAAAAAATTCATCCACTTATAGAGTAAATATTTATTTTTTATACGAGATTTAATAAATATTACTCCCTCCGTTCCAATACAATAGTTTTGTTTACCATTTTTATCCGTCCCAAAATAATAGTCTCATTTCCATAAATAATTATATCACTATAAAACTACCCTTAATTTTTTATTATTATTACACAATTGCCACTACTTTTTACACTACTACACTCACAAGGGCAAAAAAGTCTTTTACCCGTACTTTTTACTCACTACCAATGTCATATCAATATTCATTAAATCTCGTGTCAAATACAACCCAGACTGTAGTTCTGAGACGGAGGGAGTATATTTTAATGATAGTTGATGATAGTTTGCATATATAAATACTACTTCCTCCGTCCACCTCTTCTAAGGGTTATATTTATCTTTTGCGTCATTTTATTTAACATTAAAAATATCTCTATATTTGTATAATTTTTTATAAAAATATTCTTTTATTAATATTATAGTAATGAGAGTATTTTTGTAATTTTTTCTTAATTTGTACTATGTTTTGATATAATAGTTAATATTCAAAAGTCAATACGCAAAAAGTAAATGAGACCCTTAGAGCCGGACGAATGTAGTATTTTACTTATATAATGTGTAAAATTAATGTGATGAAATTTATCAAATATATAAAGATATAATTTGCTATAAAATAATTTAAATAAAAAAAACATGTTCTTTGTTTAATATTTTAACAAATGTACATAAATCATATATATACATAAGTGTGTATATATAGAGTCTAGAGAGAGGAGCCAAAATTGCAAATTATTTTTGTATTTAAAAGTAATAAATAAATAAATATAGATATATTACAACTATCGTTCTCACGACCAAAATGACAAATTAGGGGAACCTGCAAATCTACGAAACCCTAATCCAAAACCAGCAAAAACTTCGCACTCATTCCTTCTTATTCTGCCCTACCCCTACCCCCTACCCTACCCTACCCCTACCCTCGTACTCAATACTAAAAAAATTAAATTAAATAAATAAATAAAAATTGAAAGCAACCGATCTTGCACTGAATTTGAGATAAAATCCAGCGCACCATTAATGACCACTCCCGCCACGAATTTGCCGCGAAAAGCAACCCGTGCAATTTCAATAATAATAATAATAAATGAAAAAATCCTTTTTTTTGTCTCAATATAATCAAAATTCATCAATTTTGGTCTTAATATAAAAATTTTATTAATTTTGTTTCAATATAACCAAAACTCATCAATTTTGTCCCAATATAACCAAAACTCATAATTTTTTATCCTAATATAATCAAATCTTATCTTTTTTTATCTCACCGTCAACAAATCGACGGAAAATGCTGAGTGAAAAAAAAAATCAAATCTTATATTTATATTTGAAGAAATTGCATAATATTGCAAGTCCACGTCAGTATTTTATGTCGGTTTGTTGACGGTGAGACAAAAAAATATAAGGTTTAATTATATTGAGACAAAAAATTATGAGTTTTGGTTATATTGGGACTAAAATTAATAAAAAAAATAAATTATATTATGACCAAAAATGATTAGTTTTGATTATATTTGGACAAAAATGATGAGTTTTGGTTATATTAGAACCAAAATTGATAAATTTTTTATATTTGGACCAAAATTAATGAATTTTGGTTATATTGGGACCAAAAATAATTTTTTTTCTAATAATAATAATAATAATTTTTTAAAACAAAATATTTTAAATTCTGTTTGTTTGATGAGTAATTTGTGATTTCTAAATTCTGGCAAAACAATGAATTGGTTTCAAACTGGCCACTGATTCATGGCTCATGCACTAAATGGAAATTAATTAAATAGTCCTCTAAATTTAAAATTACTTTAATTAAATTAGTATATATACAATATCAATATCCACACATATATATATATATATATGATGTCTCCTCCTGATGATGATTTCAATAAATAAATAAATAAATAAAAATTAAAGATTTCAATAAATAAATAAAAATTAAAGAAATAAAGCTAGGCTTCTTGTGTACTTAACTAAGGTTGTTTTCACTCAACAATATTCTTAATTCATCAAACCTGCTGTGTCTGTGTTTGTCTGGTTTATTTTAGAATTTATTTTTTTTTAATGGATTATAAATTAATATGGGAAGCTCATATATGAGAATTAAGTTTTTAATGTTTTAATATATGTATATATATAATTATATATATTGTTCACTAAGAATGCATTATTACAGTGATTATTTAATTTAGAATAATATTCTAAGGGTGTGTTTGTTCATAGAATTCTACTCAATTTTTACTATTTATCAAAAAAAATAATAATAAAAAATATCAAATCAAACACTTATTTTTTATTTTTATATTATACTAAAAATTAATTTTATATTCAAAATATCACATCAATACTTATTTATATCACATTATACAACTACTCAAATTAAAAAAATTATACTGTTCAAATCTCAAACCAAAATCCAAACCCCCAAATCACTGATTGAACAAATTAATGTAATAAGTTTGAACAAGAAAATATGAAAAATTATGCAAATTTGGACTTTTTCAAGAAATCATTATTAATTTGGTGATTTTTTTCGTGTAAATGATAGATTTAAAATGTTCTGTGAGATGAAATTATTATTATTATTTTGCATAAAGAGTTGTGAATGGAAAAATAATAATAATAATAATAATAATAATAATAAAGTAAACAAACCCTTACATACATTCAGATTTTTTTTTAAAAAAAAAAAAGCATTCGATTTATTTTATGATTTGACTGTGTTTCTGTTTAAATAGTAATTAGATATGATATTTAATTAAAAAAAAATATTAATGTGTTCTTTTTGTATACTTCCTTCGTACTCCATATTTTTGTATTTTGTACTTTATATATATATATAATGATATATTTATATTTAGTAAAATTTAAAAGTATTTTTGCATTGATATATGATTATTTTTATAATAACAAACGAAAATACTAAAAATGATATTTTTAACTGAGACAAAAATAATAGTTTTTTTTTTATCTTTGTTATTTGTTTAGGTATAGATGTGATATTTTTATGAAATATAGATACTCCTATATTTTATTGAAAAAGACAATAATATACATTTAAAATAATATTCCCTCCGTCCCAAACACCGTAATTTGGATATTAAGTGATGTGATTGGAGAGAGAAATAATTATTTGTTTTTTTATTTGAGTGATGTGATGGGATAAAGTGAAATGTATATTAATATATGTATAAAAATATTATTAATTTTGGAAATGTTCCAATGAGTTTGGGACAAACAAAAAAGGAAATATTGCAGGGTGTTTGAGACGGAGGGAGTAATATAATAAAATAAAATAAAATAAAATAAAAAACTAAAAGACCTCAAAAAGAGAATATAGCTGTAAACTCGCTCAAGACATAGTGAAATCGTGTGGAAAGACAAGCGGGCAAACGAAACAAATTTACTAAATGAATACAAAATGCATCCCATAATTCATTGACATATTTAATCGGAAATAACTTAGAATGTAAAAACAAACAAATTAAAGACATCCTACTACCCTAACCAACCCTAATTAATTAATTAACTTGTTCACACCACTAATGATGATTCTCTTTTAAAATATTTTTTTTTAAAAAAAAAAAAACAAATATTTAATTAAATTTTCAATATGATATTTTATAAGAGAAAATAAATACTTCATCCGTCTTATATCTATATATTCATTTTCTATATTAGGATGCAGTAGAAATAAAGGTAAAAATGATTAAAATAATTTTATTAGTATTGTGTGATATAAAGATAATGACATTTGTGTAATATATTGTAAATTGAAAAGATATTTGTAATGTTAGGTAGATTGTACCATTATTAAAAAAAAATGAAATTGATACTTTGTTATGGGATAGACCAAAATGAAAAAATTGATATATTGTTAAGCGACAGCGAGTATTTAATGTGATTTTTTACATAAATAGTGTCAAAAAGTTTTTAAAGTGTGTATATGTCAATGGTAGTCAATATAATTCGATTATATATTACCATAAATTAATTAGCTCCGTATAAATATCAATTAATTTAAGCAAAATTGTTAATAATCTACTTATAGTTTAAAAATTAAATTATTTAGAAATTATATGAAACTCGCCTACGTAATTTTTAGTGCAATATTTTTTAATAGACTAGAGATTATGTAATTTTTAAATTACAAAAAAAAAAAAATAAATAGTACAAAAATTTTCAAATTACAAGTAAATTATAAATAATTCTGTCTTAAATTTATGTATATATAAGATGAGGCTTGAACACCAAAGTGGCGACGCCAATTACAGCATGGAGAAGGAGAAGCTGATTACTACACCCCTGCTGACGTCATCTTCCGAAACTCATGTCCGAAATGATGACGACAACAATAACGACGATGACGACGACCGTCTCGTGGCCTTTGATTTCTTTACCGACGAGAGATTAACGGCGGACAGCAAGAAGAAGAAGCCGTTGCGCGAATATTCCGGCAAGGAATTTGGATATTCCGGCGAGGAGGAGGAGGAGGAGGAGGGGGGCGTCGATTTGCGCATAGGTCTCCCCGATTACGAGAGAAGGTCGAAGGAGGATGGAGATGAGAGATCATTAATGTTGCAGCCGTATTGGATTCCGACGCCGGCGCAGATTCTGGTCGGATTCACAAATTTTTCTTGCCATATCTGCAAGAAGACCTTCAACCGTTACAACAATCTCCAGGTCATCTCCCAATCCATTCTCTTGCTTTTATTTTTTCTTAATTATTTTTTTCATTATTATTATCTGTTTTTTTGTGTTTACTTCTCACATTTTACAATTGATTTTACTATTTCAATTTTTTTTCCCTTAAAAAACATCAAATCAAACACCTAATTTTTATTTATTTTATTACACTAAAATTTAATTTTACATTCAAAACATCACATCAACACATATTTATATCACATCAAACAATTATTTCAATTCAAAATTTTACTGTTCAAAATCAAAATCCAAAACTAAAACATTACAAGTAAACACACCCGAATTCAATTAATTTTTAGTGTGTTGTATGAGATATATAAAAAATTTAAATTTTGATTTTTTTTTAAATAAGTATTTGAATTTTATTTTTTTATTTTTATAAAAAGTATAATATTATTTTTTAGCGAAAAAGGAGGGAAGTTATTGCTTAAATAATAAACTATGGGTGTGTATGTAATAAATTTTGAATATAGTATTTTATAAGGAAAAAAGTTATAGAAATCACATAATAGATATAAGTGGTGCATGTATTATCATTCCGGAGTTGAATTGAATTAACCATTTTCAATTTGTTTTTTATTTTAAATTTTAATGAGTTTTACTGATTTTGATTTCAATTTAAGGATTTTTTATTTATAATTTATGTTATGAAGTCCATCAGAAATTGTTTTAATAATATAAAGAAAAAAACAAAATTGCATTGAATTTCTTTTTTTTTTTTTTGTAAATTGGTAAAATATATATTATATAATGTTAATATCTGTATATTATAAAGTATTTTTTAATAATATTTATAAAGTATCAAAAAATATTAAGTGAACTAACCCTAAATTTTTTATCTGAATTTTTTTTTATATAGTTTTTTCAGTTTACAATAATTATTTAAATAAATATTTCATTAAAACTAATGTGAATTAAATAATGATAATTTTAATTTAAAACAAAAACTAAACAAGTGCTACGTTAAGAAACATAGGTTTGTTCGTCTTTGTTTGGGTTTGGTTTGAAATTGATTTAAAATAAAGTATTGATTTTAAAGTTTGTTTGGTTGTTATTTAAAATTAATTTAAAGTGAAATATGAATTTGAATTGTTATTTAAATAGTATTTTGATATTTTATAAAAAAAAAAAAAAAATATCTTTTTATTGAATATAATGTTGATTTGATTTGCAATGATAAAAAAAAAAAAAATGAATAGTTTAGTACTCTATTTTAATTTTTAATTGTTTTTTAAAGGTATATAAGTATTATGTTGATACTATAAAAAATATTATATTGGAACATTAAATTTTTTAAGATAACAAAATATATATTATTTGTATTATATGAATATATATTTTTTCTGTTTCAATCAAAAATACAATTTTTACCATTTATTTCATTCTAAAGTATTTTTTTAATAAGAAATCATATATTGATACCACAATTACTAAGGTTAAGAAAAAAAATATTAAAAATTTTTAGACACTTTTATTAATCAATAAAATATTACTCCCTTTGTCCATTATCTATGTATCTATTTATTTTTTACACTGAATTTTAGGAATATTAATATTATATTAGAGCATGGTATGAATAAAGTAAAAAAGACTAAAATAACATTACTATTAGTAGTCAATAATATTTGTGTAATATATTGTTAGTTTATAAGAATATTTTTATTATTAATAGAAACTACAATTAGTATAAAAGAAAATTAATATTTTATTATGAATCAGACCAAATAAAAAAAATAGGTAAATTGTTAATAGACAAATAAAATTACTTTTTAGGTTTTAAAAAACTCTAAAGCCACACGGATGGAGTATGTTTTATTTTATTTTTATTAATATTAATCGAAAATATAATTTGAAATTCCCTTAAAAAAAAAAAAAACCTAATTTGTATTGAATTTGGGGGGTGGGTGGGGCGGCAGATGCACATGTGGGGCCACGGCTCAGAGTTCCGGCGAGGCCCGGAGTCGCTGAAAGGGTCCCAGCCGCGGGCGATGGTGGGAGTCCCCTGCTACTGCTGCGAGGAAGGCTGCAAAAACAACATCAATTTCCCCAAGTCCCGTCCCCTCAAGGACTTCCGCACCCTCCAGACCCACTACCGCCGCAAGCACGGCACCAAGCGCTACTCCTGCCGCCGCTGCGGCAAGTGCCTCGCCGTCAAGGGCGACTGGCGCACCCACGAGAAGAACTGCGGCCGCCGCTGGCTCTGCCTCTGCGGCTCCGACTTCAAGCACAAACGCTCCCTCAAGGACCACGTCGCCTCCTTCGGCTCCGGCCACGCCCCCTCCTCCCCCCCCACCGTCGATCGGGACCCAAATGGACGGCTCTGATTGAATCCCAATGGACGGCTCTGATTGGTTGGTTATTTTTAATGTATAGTGTAGTTTGGGCTTATTGGGCTTTTATTGTTGGGCTTCAGGGGGCTGTTAAATAAATACTACTTTATAGGGATATGATACGGTTGTTAGGAAATTGAGGCGATTTGTATTTTCATATTTATTTTAATATTTAATAATAATTAAAAAGATATATAAAGGGGAGTGGCAAGGCCTAATGAAATGAAAATATCAAAATCAAAATTGAATGGAGTGGAGAGTGACAATTAATCGGCATGTGGTTGGTTCTTGATACTATCATACTGTCTCTTTCATTCCATATATTATATATTATATATATATATATATGTGATTGATCAAGTCATATAATATTTCAAATCATCACATAAATTAAATAAAAAAAATAAATGATATCTATAGATGTATTTAGTTTCGTAGTTAAAAGTATTATTATTATTATTATTATTATTATTATTATTATTATTATTGTTATTATATTAAATTGTGTGTTGTGTGTAGACTAGAAACAAATTTTAATTATTATTATTATCAGATGCAGAATTATCGTCTCACCTAAAAGTTCAAACTATTAGGAATACGCAGTCATTAATCATATATATATATATATGTAAGTACCCAACAATTATTATTATTATTATTATTATTATTATTTTGGAGATTGAAGAAGCAAATGGGGACTTGGCCCATGATTGGCATTGAATTTCAATGCACACTCTAAAACACACCACATGTATGCATCATGCATATATATATATATATATATAAATAGAGCGTTTATTTGTTGCATTTTGCAAGAGTAGATAAATATCCTGTACAATACGAATTTTTTGTTTCATTTGATAATATTAAAAAAATTAATATTTAATAGTATAATATTTTACTAAATAAAATAATTGTTTAATTTTATATTTATATATATATATATATGAACATAAGAAACACCACTTTCAAAAAAGTATAAATTGCATTTTCATGAAATAGTATCAAAATATCATATTCAAGATTTCAAGTCCATTGAAAAAAAAAAAAAATTAAACAAAGACCAATGAGATTGACAACTTATTTTAATTATTTTTAATTATTAATAGCATTATATTGCGTGGCTCTGTCATATTGATGACGTGTCATGTCAAAATGGCCCCATACGGTTATCTAGTTGGCAGTAGTTCCCTGTCTAATCTTATCTAATAATTATAGTATTTAGATAATACATATCCATCAATCACCATTTGTTTAATTTTGATTTTGAAAATTTTTAACAATTATTTTTTAAAAAAATATTTTGTTCATCGTTCAATTGTATATTTATTTAATCCCACATAAATTTTAATAAAAATAAATAATTATTATTACTTTACATAGTAAAAAAAATACTAAAATATAATAATTCTTTACTTTTAAAAAAAATAATAACGACGATGGAATAATATTTATATATATATTTGTCATTTTTGTCATCTAGCCAAATTAATCTACAGATTTTCTATTACAGAAAATACATTATTATCAAAATTAGTTCTGCTAATTGGGCCAATAAGGTAAATTACGCAAATTATGTATCACAAGCAAAATGAAATAGGATTAAAAATTTTGTAACAAAAAAAAAAAAAAAGATTTTAAATCTACGATTTAAGTTAATTTATAATTTTTTTTAATTTTAATTTATAATTAGTTATATTATATAATAATTATTTTTATTAATACACAGTTTTATTATTTATTATTTATACTCTTGCGTAAAGTCTTATATTAACATAAAATCGGATAACTAAGGTGAAACAGAAGGAATATATGTATATATAGATAATCTTTTAAAATATTATCTAAAAAAATATAATATATAAAAATACAAAATGCAAAATAAACACACAAAAAAAAGTATAATTTCCAATAATACTTTTACTCTGGCAACAAAAACATTTAAAATTATAAATACTAAATATAAACATTAAATATTGATGCACCATTTGATCTTATATACACTACTAAATATTTATATTAATTTAATAAAAAAATATGTATAAGTACAATTACATCGATATAAAATTGCAAATATAAATTTTATTATATTATTTTACATTAATATATATGTATACATGTACAAGGTTGTTGGTAATCTTTCATACTTATCAGTACAATTGATATTTTTCAACATTAATTTATATAAAGACAAAAAAATTTAAAAAAATAATAATATTAACATTTGTTTTTACTCAGAAATAAAATAAAATAAAATAAAATAAAATAATAATAATAATAATAGTAGCATTTTCGTATAATAATATTATACGTGGACAAATAATTGTGAAATAAAGAATGAAACTACATTCCAAAGTGAAGGCGCTTAAAAAACGCGTTGACAGCAACTTTTCGGAAACACGTCTTTGTTATCTCAATCGACGTCATGAAACACGCTTTTACCTTCATTCTCCCTTTTTCATATATAGTTTATTAATTATTAATAAATAAATAAATAATAAAATTAAACATGAGAGAAAAGATCGATTCGATGATTGCAACCTTTTAAGGTGTAAAGAATATTAAAGCTATTTTTATTTTATTTTGACAAAATATTTGTAACTTTTGTAAAGCTAAGTTCATTTTTGTTTGAATTTTTTTCCTCAACTTGACACATACTCCCTCCGTCCATAAATTAATGTCCTACTTTTCTATTTAGAACGTCCAATAACTATTGTCCTATTTTCTTTTTAAAACACAAATTTTACATTTTTACTTTTTATTCATATATTACTTTTAATCTCTACCATAAAATTAAGGGCAAATTTGTCAAATCATAACAAAAAGACAATCACCTTAAAAAATCGTGCAAATATACTTTAGGACAATAAAAATTGGAGGGAGGGAGTATAATTTTAAAAAAATTTTAATGCAAATAAAAATAAAATTAAAAATTATTAATTTTGTAGATTGTGTCAATTTTTGTTATGGCTTAAACATGGAGGTTTAATTAATTGTTTTAAATTTTTTATTTTTAAATTAAAACTTCACGTACAAAAATATTAAAATAAAATTGAGCTCTTGTTTATGTTGATGTACATAGAAAGAAAAATCATTTCTATTGGATCTTGCACATCAAATAATAAATAAATAATTTTCTAAAAAATTAATATATATATATATATACATATAATTATTATTGTTCTGTCTGAGTAATTCTCCATAAATTACATTAAAAAAAAATTATTTCACGACACACATACTATGCTTTATCGATATCTTTTTTTTTACAAAAAAACTAAATCAAACACTTATATTTTATTTTTATATTATAGAAAAAATTAATTATATATTTAAAATATTATATTAATATTTATTTATATTATATCAAAACGATTTAACATTTTATTATTCAAAATTTAAAATCCAAACTCAGCCATCAACACCCAACATCTCAAAGTGAAATATTTCTTTCTTTTTATTTATTTGTTAAATTTTGATATTCTTTGAAATAAAATAATTGAATTTTTGCAATATATAAGATGTATTTAATTTTGATTTGCAATTGTATTTTTTATTTGAATTTTATTTTTAATAATATTTTGATATAATATATTTACAAGATAAAATAATATATTTTTATAAAGAATTATGTAGAATGAATAATAAATTTTAATTTTAAAACTAAATCTAAAAGCAAAGAAACCCATTATATTTTGCCAAAATTATTTATAATATTCATGTTGTTTGGAAAGTCAGCACTATACTTATTCGTGATTTAGAAATTATATAGGACTTTCTCATATTTTAAAAAATATTGTACCAAATATCCTAAAAATTGTATGAAAGACTTTCTTTTATTTTTAATAATATTGTATAAAATTTCATAAAAATGAATTTTTTAAAACCATAAGGGATAATGGTGTAAAATTTTTAAATTGAGAGTAAGTTATAAATATTTAACTTAATATATATAATACTACTCATTCCGTCCATTTTGAAAGTTTACAGTTACCTTTTGCATCATTATAATTAACATTAAAAATATCATTGTATTTGTATAAGTTTGTATACAAATATCATCATATTTGTATTATAAGACATTAATAGAAGTATTTTTGTCGTGTTTATTTAATTTATACTATTTTGATATAATAATTAATATTTAAAGAGCAACACGAATGTAAACCTTTAAGGTGGACGGAGGAAGTATGATCTATTCCCTCCGTCCCAAATAAGGTGCAACATTTGCTTTTGACACGGGTTTTTAGGTGGGTAGTATTAAGTATGATAATTTAGAAATTAGGTGATGTGATGGAGAGAGAAATATATATTTTATTTTTTTATTTGGATGATGTGAGTTGATAAAGTGTGAGGTATAGATTAAATATAATTAATTATTTTTTATTTTGAAAATATTGCATGATGTTTGGGATATACCAAAAAAAAAAAAATGTTGCAGGTGTTTGGAACGGAGTGAGGATATAACAAGTACAAAATAGAAGCAAAAAACTAAGAGAAGAAGCACATACACTCAATATCTTTGACTAAGAAGTAAGAACCCATGTAGAGTAGTCATGGACATGCCCATACCCAACTACATACCTATTTATTTCTTTATAATGTAATAGTTTTTTTTTTTCTTTAATTAAATTTTTATATTTATGATGATTTTATAAATTATATTGATAAATTTAAAGTTGAAATAACATTGTAAAATAGAGTTTATACATATATATACAATCTTAAAAACACCTAAAAGTGTGTTTTACTTGTGAGAGTTTGGATATGATTTTACTATTTAAAAATGAATTTTAGAGATAAATTTCTATGATAAAATGATTTTGTGGGTTTTTTTTAAAATTATTATTACTTCGTATTATTCATATTTTTATAAAATTATATTATTTGTTCTTATAAAATACTATTATATTAAAATTATCATTAAATTGAAATAAAATTTTTTAAAAAAAATGTATATCAACCAAACACAATCTTAAGCTTTATTTATTTATTTATGAATTTTGTTTTAACTACAATTTATACTATATATTTACAATTTTCAATAAAATTTATTGTTTATTTACAAAAAAATCGTATTAAAATACTATTTAAATAAAAATTAAAATATAATTCGAAACCATGTACTTCCTTAATATTTGTATTTGTATTTACACGGTAATTTAAATATTTGTAATGGAGAAAATTAATATTACTTTCGTCGGGTTACAAGGATCTCATTTACTTTTTGAATATTAATTATTATATTAAAACGTATGACAAATTAAAAAAAA